GTCCTAAACGGACCGTCCGTCATAGTTTCCAACTGCATATAGACGTAAAACGAATCAATCAATCAATCAACCATCACCTCCCCCCAAACCTACCTCCGCCCGTCACCAACCATGCCCACCCAAACCCAAACCCCAAAACGAGTCATTCCTCTCACAAGCCCCCGACTCAAACCCCCGACCCCAAGTCCCGAGTCTCGACCCGACGCACCAAGCCCCACCAAGCGCCGGAAGAATCTCCGGCGGGCGGCCCTAACGAACGAACACTTAATCTATTTACCGTATTACCGCATATTAAGTTATTAGCACGTTAGCACGTTAGCACGCGCGCCAGGGTCCAGGATCTAGGGTCCAGCACCGGGCCGACACGTGTGTGTGGGTGATGACGCTGGCGATGACGCTGCGAAGTGGAGGTGTGTTTACGTAGAGTAGTGCTAATTCAGGGCATTCGGTGTCTGCCTCTGTACTACAGGTCGCACGCAAACAAGCAAGCAACTGACTTCCCGACCCGCCGTCGGGAAGGGGTGCTCACTCACACATACACACTCTCACTCACTCACTCACTCACTCACACACACAGACACAGTACACACACGCTACTTCCACGCGAGCGCGCCCGCGCGCCACTACGCTACAGCGCCGCTCACAATGCCACATAGGTATTGTCCGCACCCGACCAGCCCCTACCCGAAGCCGGGCAGCTTATGCCCACGCCTAAGCGTGTGTAGTAAGCGTGCGTGCATGCTAGCCTGTGGTAAGGACCATGTCCACAGCAAAACCAAACCAAGCCAAGCCAAGCCAGGGCGCGGGAGGCGATCGCTCACCCGTTGCGGCTGGCTGGCGGGCAATAATAACAATAATGCTGACTCTGACTGACTGACTGACTGACTAGCTGACTAGGTAGACGGCACTAGCTGGCACTCACTACTACTACATAGGTAGGTACTACAATACGCGCGCGTTCAGGGTCTGCAGCACGAGCACGAGCACGAGGTCGAGGTCGAGGTCGAGGTCGAGGCTTCTCGCACCTAGAGAGCGTGTTTCAGCATCCAAAAGCGAACAGCGGCGGAGACCGACCGGGGGGCGGCGGCGGCTGGACCCTCGTACCCTCGTTCTAGATGCTGCGTGTGTGGGTGCCCGGCAACAGCAGCAGCAGGAGCAGCAGCGGCGATGCCGCTCCCATTGCATCGCATCGCCTTTCCCACCGTGCGTGCAGCGTCCTCCAGCAATACAGATAGACTGGGTCCGGCCCACCTCAGTCCAGTCCAGCCCAGCCCGGGGCACCGCAGCCTGCCTGCCTACTGGCTGTGTTCCTGGCGATCCGCACGTGCTCGCAGCGGCGGCGACGGCAGGGGGGGACTGGTGGGTTAGGGTGGGCCGGGGAGGTCGGGTCGGGTCGGTTCGTCGGGGGTTCCGATGAATGAACAAGCTGCTGTTGCTGCTGTTGCGGCTCGGCGCAATCATGGAGATGGTGGTGGACGCATTTCCGCGTCGCGTGGGATGATATGAGCTCTCGAGGTCCGCGGAGCCAAGAGCGCTGATTTGATTGCTTGCTTGAGCGGGGGCCTATTTCCGTGTACAGGGTGTAGGTAGGCGCATCGGGGTGGAATGGGGCCGCTGTGGAGGTAGAAATGTCGATGCTGCAAACAGCACAGGTTTTCATACTTGTGGAGGCAACGAATTACGACTCAGAAGCCCAGGCACAGACACCGGATTCCAATCCGATGCGCCTACACCCTGTACCGCACGTACTCGTAGTACGAGACCGTTACTGGGTGAGAACGCTGATGGTGATCAAACGCTGACCGGTCGGTCTGTCTATCTGTGTCGACAGCGCGCCCACTGGAGGGAAGTCTCGGCCTCGATCCGCCGCCCGCAGCATGAACGACGGTGATGCGCGGATCCCGTACCTAGGTACCTACGCACGCAACAGCGAGGGGGCCGCTGCCCGCTGCCCGCTGCCCGCAGCCGCTGCTCATCAGCAATGCTAGGTCGTTAATGCTATTATTATGCGTCCCCACTGCCCGCCGTCTGTCGCGACTAAGCCGAGATCTCCTACACGACCTCACTCCCGACTCCTCGCGCGCTCTACAGTACTTACTATAAGCGAGCGCACGACTAGAGGGAACGGCCCGTTGGACCCGACCAACCACGCGCGAGCGCGTCTCGGCAGGGCGAGAGGGTCCGGGTTGTGAGCGACGGCGCGGAAACGGGGCGTGGTAGTGTCGATTGTGGGACCCACGGGCTACATCCCACTGCCTGCTACCTACGTCTCAGCAAGACAGTCAGTACTGCACCAAGCAGCGCCATCATCATCACCATCCGCGCCGCAGACGACGTCGCAAGCAAACCACGGCACGCCAAAGGCCCCTGCACGAGTCGCACGAGTCGAGAGGCAACTTGGCAAGTGTGGTGATTGAGGGCGAGACGTAGGAGTCGAATGCCTGCAGCTAGCCGCGTCATGGTGGGCACGAACGAAGCGCTAGGTAGACAAGTTCGCAGGCGAGGCGCCCTGCCGCGGTACGCGCGACCGATTGATCCAGCGGCCCAGATCCTTCGACGTACCAGATGAGCAGAGGGTGGGTGGCGGCTTGGCTACTTTGCCAAGCTCTCCCGGGTGCGCGCGATGCGGGTTGTGCGCGGCGATGGTCTTCCCTGATGCGATGAGTTGCGTGCGCACCGGCCCGTCGTGGGATGCACACATGGGGGGCCCCGCCCAACGGCCCGAAACTCTCTGGTGAAGTGCCGAGCTATGTAAATCCGGCTACTGTACCCTTCCTTTGTGGACGCGTTTCACCACCTTCCTCCTCTGAGTCCTCCTCTATCATCATCATCATCATCACCTTTCCCTTCCCATCAACGCCATCCACGCCATTCACGCCACCTTATCACTTCCGTAAGTCCGACATCCAAGGCACCAAGTCCCGTACGCGTACCTACCTACCTACCATCCGGCACCCGCTCCGGGGAGAAGACGCATTTTGCATTCGTGACCCAGGCCATTTCAATTTCTTCATGACGCGCCCCTACTGGGCCAATGCGCCCGCCTTTACTCCGCCATTGGTGCCATATGCAAAGTCGGACATATTTTTTTGCTCTTCTTTGCCAACGGTCTTGCAGCTCCTATTTGTCATGAACCACGCGCAGATTCACCGTTCATCGGTCGCTTCGCCCCACGTGCCTTTGCCGCTACTGCTGCAGGGCCTTCCGTCCGTCCTCCTACTCTAGGAGGTGGCGTACGCCACAACGAGTCCCCTTTTCTGCATGTTGGATTTAGCGCCATCACGTCTTCAGCCCATCCAAGATTGCGTTCCTCTACACTCACTCACTCCTTTCGGCCTGTCACGCTGCTTCTCTCTCAAGGAAGAAAGGAAATTTTATTCAACGTGAAAATATTGCAAAGTGGTATTATCTAATGGCCGTTCCCGTTTGAAAGAAGAAAAACATTGCCGCCCCCTACTCCCTGATCTCGGCGTACTTCCGCCACAGCGGGTCTTGGCAGAGCCTTTCAAAGTTCTGCTTCTCCACACCAACATACATCTCGAGACCGCCATCCTTGTGCTCGGGGAATACAATCTGTGCGCCGTTGCACATGCCTGCTTGCGGCAACCTCATCGAGCGCATCTGGTTGCCCAACGCGCTACCCCACTGCAGGTCGTACAGCGTGAAGTTCCTCCACGTCGTGTAGAGGATGTTGGGGCCGGGCATGTCCAGGAAAACCGTCGGCGCCAAGCCGTATATGTTCTCGGTGTTCTCGATCAGCGCCGTCAGACTGTCCAGGTAGTCCTTGTCCGAGCGGGTGATGGAACGGCGGACTTCGCGCGCCGTCTCGGCCAGCGTCGCCTCCGTCAGCAGCCTCTTGAGGTCCATCCTCGCGTCAGCGAAGCCCACAAAGTTGCCGATCGTTTGCTTGTGCATGGGCGCATGGGCGCGGCGGCGAGTGTCAGTCGCAACGGTAAATAGCGCCTGCTGCGCCTCTCCGTTCAGCGACTCGACGGGCATCTGCGCGTTCATGACGGTCCGCCACACGAGGCCGGCAACGGCGTCATTGGTCGAAATCCACTCGCCCGAATTCTCGTCCGTCGAGTCCTTCTTCAGCGCCGCCATCGACTCTGGCGAGAAATAAAACACCTGGCCCTTGATGGTGTTGCGCTCGAGGAGCTTAGGGGGAGGACCCTCCGGGACGAAGGGCAGAGCCACGTACTCGGGGTGATCCTCGGGCTTGCCGGGCTTGCGCCCAGAGCTGCGCATGATTTTTGCGCGATCCTCATAGGGGATTTCGCAGGGATTGGTAATTTTGATTCCCTGCAGCCTGCGAACATCCTCGGCGAGGATCTCGGTGAATTTGTAGGCCGTGGTGCCGTCGGAGTAGGCGTGGAAGATGCACCAGTTCAGAATGAGGCCGCCGTTGATGAAGTTGGCCTGCATGAGGGTGACGGGCAGGCGGTCGCCGGCCTCGGGCCACTCGGAGCTACGGTAGCAGACATCGTCGGCTTCGAGGGCGGAGACGGGGAAGTTCTTGGCCTGCAGCTCGGCGAACGAGGGGAACAGACCCGGAGCGCGCAGATCCTTGGCCTTGAAGTCGTTGATCTCGTCGCCGTACTCGCGTAGCGTGAGCAGGCCCGTCTTGAGGTCGGGGACGGCCTCGCATCCCAGCAAAGGAGTGCGTTTCTTGGCGGCGATAAAGGCATCCCGCAGGAGTTGCTCCACCCGTGCCGCGTCGTAGTTCTCAGGGAGCTCGAAGAGGTAAAGGTAACGAATCCATCCCTTGGGCCCAATATGCTCGGTGGGAATGAGCGGCGCGGCCAGGGTCGGCTGGGAAATGGAACCAGGACGAGAGCCCATTTTGTGAAAGAGAGAGGGGTGTGATTGACGTGAAGCAGAAGAAGAAGAAGAAGGAAAAGAAAAAGAAGAGATTGAGTGGTGTACCGACCTACCGCCGCGTGGGCAGATATTTTATATAGTGAAGGAGAGAAAAAAAAAAAAAGAGAAGGCAGCAATTCGGGCTGAACATAGGGGTCCGGGCAGTCATCTGGATCGGTGCAAGCTGACGCCGCAAAAGTCAGCGCCGAGATTTGTGGTGAAGCCAAAAGGAGCAACGAGGAGAGGGACGAGGCTAGAATGCAGCAAACGCGTAGACGGCAAGTGGGGCTGGGCTGGTGATCCGCTGACAGGGCGCCCGACCGGCGGCGGCGTCGGCGGTCGGCTGCGTAATGCCGCGGCCCCGCCGCCCTGCAGTCCCTGCCCATCAGCAGCGCCATCCATCCTCTTTGATCCAGAACATGCTTGCCCGTTGCCCCCACCGCCGGCCGCCTTGCCACGCTTACCTCCAACTTCTTGCCATCTCCTTCAACAATGCGGCGGCCCCGAGATCGCCCGTTTCCACTTTCCGCCGCCATCGAGCCCCTACCAATTTCATGAATTTAGCAATGGCTGCGCTTCATCTTTATATTCAATCCCATGCCGATGCGCTCTTGCCTTGCGCCACGTTTTTGCTCTAGCTTTCTCGTGTCGCGACCATGGCCACCGACCCAGTCATCACCAAGATCTTTGGCCCTGCGCCTGACGGTCTCAACTTGAAGGAGAGCCGCCAGACCGAAGACAATGTCATCAGCATAGTCTTGATCATCGTCGCCGCAGTGTCGGTGACGCTGCGCATCATCGCCAGGAAGATGCAAGGTCTTTTCCTCAGGGCTGATGATTATGCCATGGTGGTTGGCTTGGTTTGTCAGCCTTATACCCTGCAGGCTTCTCCACTCGCTGACTTCAGCCGCAGTTCCTCGTCGCTGCCATGGTGGCCATGTCCATAGTCGGTAAGTAAATGCTCAACAAATGCCTATTTACGCTGCGAACGTGCATGCTGACCGCTTCGCTGCACAGCCGCAGGATATGGTGCCGGAAGACACATCTGGTCGGTCGACGTGGGAAATTTCATGAACGTCATGAAGGTATGTGGAGCCGTCTGGTTCGCAGTGTCGCGTGCACGTTTACTAACCTCACGACAGATAGTGTACTGCTTGCCCTTCATCTACGCCGCAAGCCAGACGGTCATTAAATTCGGCATCCTGTACTTCTACTACTGCATCTTCGGCCAAGCAAAGCCCGACAGCTCGTTCCGCATCATGTTCTTCACCGCCACGTTCCTTACCACAGTCTACCCCCTCATTCTCTGGATCACCATGGCCGTCGCCTGCCGCCCGGTACATTACTACTGGGACCAGTACATTGGCGGCACGGGCACGTGCATCGACACCAACGCCTTCTACCTGGCTCTGGGCGTCGTCAACATGATCAACGACATGATCATCCTGGCGGTGCCGCTGCCGCCCATCCTGCGCTTGAAGATGGACACGAAGAAGAAGCTCGCCGTCGTGGGCATCATGATGATGGGAGGCTTGTAAGCACACCACACGACCACAACCAAGCAGACGCCAACTAACGCAACCCCGCAGCGTCTGCGTCGCCAGCATCATCCGCATCTACTACCTAGCCAAACTCAACGAGGCCATCGACGCAACCTTCGCCATCGGCCCCGCCTTCGTCTGGACAACGGTCGAGCCCGCCGTCGGCATCGTCTCCGCCTGCCTGCCTACGTTCCGCCCGCTCTTCCGCAAAGCCAAAGCGCTGGGCAGCACGATCCCGCGCATCAGCATGCCGACCTACCCCTCGAGCAGCCAGCGCACGGCCTCGGAGCCGAAGACTTGGCACCGGCAGACGGAGATCGAGCTCGGTGAGGGCAGGGGGTACGACGACGACGAGGCAAGGCTCACTAGCAATGTTAGTGGCGGCGGCCACACGCAGATGTCGGCGCAGTCGGATGTCGAGGCTGGTGGGTGTGTTGGTGGGGGCGCGCCGCATGCTGCTGGCCGTGGGATTGTCGTGCAGAAGGAGTTTCGCGTTAGGGAGGAGCGCGATAGTGATTCTTTTTAGAGGGGGGGGGGGAGAAGCTGAAGGTGTTATGGTCAATGGTTAGGTCGGGAGTTGTGGCTTTGTTGTTTTTTGGGGGTTTGTGAGAAAAGTTTGTACAAGTATTGTGTTTTGGTGAGCGGGTTAAGGTTAGGGCAAGGGCACGGTTGGGGTGTTTTCTCTTTTTTATTGTTTTCTTTTGTTGTTTTTTGTTTTTTCTATATACCAGGAGCGATTAGATTCCATGCCATCATATCATCAAAAGAGTTGTTTTGTTTGTTTGTTTTTTTATTTACTAAGGATTGGTGGGTTTGCTTGTTTGCTTGTTTGCTTGCTTGTTTGCTCAGAAAGAAAGAAAGAAAGAAAGACAGAAAGGACTACAAGGATGAAATAGTAAAAGCCGCACGATTAAACGAAACATGAGACGAAACGGGGTAGGAGGTTGGTGCAGGGCTAGGTGCAGTAACTAATGCGGTGCGGGGAGTCGGAGCTTAAGGTTAAGCTTTCGTCTCGTCTAGTTTCAGGCGTTAACTTTTCAAAAGGAATCCTATTTCTGGGGAGTAAGGGATTTAGTTTAGGGATTTAGGGTTTCGGCTAGCTGGCTGGTGCGGAGGAGCTAGCTTAGATTAATTTTTAAGTTAGAGTAGAGAGTTTAGGTTTAGGTTATGTTGGTGGTGGGGGTTTAGGCTTTAGGCTTTGGGTTTTGGGAGGATGTGTTTGAGGGATAGATAGACTAGGTGGTTTAGTAATTGGGTGGTTAGGTAGTGCGGGTGTGGAGGTGGGGGTGGGGGTAGAGGGTGCCGAGTAGGTGAGTTGGGGATTTTAGTTTAGTATAGTATACTATAGACGTTGCAGATTTCGTAGGTTTAGGAATATTTAACAGCGAAGTAGCTTGCTGTTCGTGATTGCTTTGTAGTGTTGCTGCTAATAGGTGTTGGATTAATATTCACTGTACTAAATTAATAATAGGGGTTTGGGTTAGTGATGATTTTATAAGCTGTTAAAAGATAAGGGAGATTCCGCGTTTAGAATCTCGATAGTAGAGAGGATTGGTGAGGTTTACTACTATCTAGGTGTGTATATTGTCGAGTTATGCCGTGTAGGACTTATTTTTTCAAGTGATGTTTAACAGCGTTTGCTGTGCTTTCCAATACAAATGCATTTAAAACTACTTTTTAGGTTTACAGAATCACTGACAGGTCGACTGCCACTGGAGATATTCAGCTATACAAGGTGTAGGTGCGTCGGAGCAAAGCGGAGCCATTGCGAGTACAATATCATTGCCACAATGTCCAGATCTTTTATGAAACAACCAAACACGACTCAGAAGCCCAAGCATAGACGCCGAAATTCCCACCGACGCGCTTACGGCGTGTACAACAGGCGCATCGGGGCGGATCGAGGCTATAGTGGAGAGCAGAAAGTCGCTGCCTATACTTGTGGGGACAAGGAAGTAGGGCCCAGGGCCAGAAGCTCAGGCACAGCCATGGAAGTCTCGAATAGGCATGCGAGCGGGTGGGAATCCTTCAGGGCAATAACAAGGCTGTCGAGCCCTACAACAACCGCTTCTCGGCCCCCTAGTGCTTCCGCGTTCCCTGACCCCGTGTACCACGTAGGTACAAAATTGCTCGTTGTGGAGAAGTGAGGCTCAAGTTTAGAATTTGGACAAGCGTCACGTAGTTACGTATCCTACGTACTGCCGGACATGCCGAGATGAGGGTCCCCGGCTTCCGGGACGTTTGCCGTGCGGGGTCACTGGGATGCCTAATCAATTGCCCCATTAATCAAGCGCTTAGCATGCCAAAGCGGCACAGGCGGGTCGGGTCCGCCCGAGAAGCTTGTTGCCTGCAACATTACTTGTTGGCTCATGTCAGCAAACTATAAACAAGGTTGTCGGTGGAACACTTCTGTGACGACGACTTGTTACACCATATGTAAGAAGACGAAGAGATTGTCAAAGGCAAAGTGGGCCACGAGCAAAGAGCCGCATCTCCAGTGTTCTCAAAATAGGTTGTTTATCCGAATATGGGGACGATCTGCGTCTCACATTGCACAGTGCGCTGGAGTAGTGGAGCCCCGTTTATCACGTGTTAAGTGATATCAACGTCTGGCGCTTAATGTGGCACAGTATTCAGCGCAGTTCCACAATTTAAGTTTCCTTGTACCCAGGGACTCCCCTTCCATCGTTCACTCTCATACAGTCAAGAGGTCGAGATGAGGCTGAGTTCGCAATGTTTGCGCCGGTTATTTGCCGGACTAATCATCACCATCGGCTTGTTTAATCCGTGCTATGGCAAAGCCTCCGAGTGGAAAAATTCCGAATACTTTTTGTTTCCCGTCAAAGCCGACGATATTCCCACCGTACATGTTGGCGATACGGTCCATTTAAAGTGGGCTTCGCTCTATTCACAAGCCTACCTGCAGCAATACTGTAATGGCACTGCAGGTGAGTCTTCTACTACGAATCTCAAATCAGGACTCAGCTAATCAGTGATGCTTCTCCAGTGAACAAAGTCCCCGGTCTTGCCGGAGACGGAGAACATACATTCGTCGTTAATAGTACTTGGGTCAGTCCTTGCTACTGGCGTTATTATACCCAAGAATCCATATACAAATACGTGGAAAGCGGATACGTCTACGTTACCTCTTCACAAACCACTCCGGCTGTTACCTGGGAGCCCCAAAGCCTTGGTACCGCTTGTGGGATTCAGAGCGTCACTGCTGGGCCATCTGTAAACGCGGCCAGCACTTCGACTATCACCATAGGACCAACATCGGGGGCCGAAGAGACCTCATCGGACACGGAGTGCACAGGAAAGGAAGCAAAGAAGATTACAAGTGGTGCAGGGGTGGGGATTGGCTTCGTTGTGGGATCAGCTATCGCTGGACTTACGGCCGGCTTTTGGACTATCTGGCAGAGGCAGCACCTCAAGAAATCCACCCCGGAGGTTGAAAAACCACATGAAGCTGACGGGGTTCCCCATCAGCCAGCTTGGGAGCTGCCAAGTGAATCACGTCCCGTGGAGCTTATGACCATGAGGAGATTTGCGGAACTACCATCCACTCCTAAACCACGGTAGAGCTACCGCGATACTCATACTATATAATTAATTGAGCGGCAAGATTGTTCCTGCATGGCTCCAAAAGACGTTGTCGTCGCTGTTTTCTGACAACAGCACGTCATACTACGTACATAGAGAGCTGAGTGAAAGGACTTGCAAACTGATGCCTTAGAGCATGTACGGATTGTCCGCAACGGCTAGATCTGCGCTTATGCATTCCACTTTTGCTACCCGAGATTAGAGAGATGCGGCGATAACCTCAGATCCCACCCCAATCGGGTAACCAGCACCGAGGGACTATACTGAAAAATATATATGTACCCGCAAGCACGTGCGCGCTGAGAGAGGAGCGCGCTTACAGATAGTTGTGATTGGTGCCAGCTATTAAGGAAGTGGGCCAAGTAAAAGTGGGAATGTGCGTGATGGAAGCACGTCCACACGTCAGCGCTTGTGTATCTAAAAATTATACCCTGCAAAAGCACCTGCTGGAGCCTTCTGACCGCAAGTGCTGGTAAAGGATAATGTCTACCCGGCACGATCAAAAGAGCCTTCTCTATACTTGTCCAATTATTTGCGTAGTAAAGTCTAATTTTTTTAAACTAAATCCCTATTGCACTGGCTGAGAGTGCAGCTCTGGGATATTGTATTTAGGATTATAAGGCTGGGGATTAAACTGTTGGGGATAATACTGCTGGGGATAATAAGCCCCAGCAACTGCTGGATAATAAACACCGCCTGTAGGGATAGACGCCTTCTCTTGGCGTTTCTTATGTAGCCGCCTGTGCATCATGAGTGTAAGTGTACCCACCAATGCGCCAGCGGCTACTCCAGCAACTATGCCAACTCCGATGCTTGCGCCGGTTCCCATCTCGTGGCTGTTGTCATTGTTGGAAGTGCTATTGCTACAGCCCGAAGTTGCTGTAACGGTCGCGATGGCAACGGGCGAGGAAGCGCCGGTAGATTGGCCAGAAGCTGAAATGGTTTGGACACCACATGATGGCGTGGCCAACGACGAAGGGATCCAGGTCACGGCGGGTGTAGCTTTGGCGTTGGTAACGTCGATTTGGCCGCTGTCGAAGTAGTGTTTTTCGTCGCCTCTCTTGACAAGTTGCCAGTGGCATGGAGAAGTCCAGGTAGAATTCACTGTCAGAACAATGTTTCCGCTGCCTGGTTGGTCTTCGTAACTGTCGGCTGTTCCAATGTTAGCCTTGTGAAACGTCGAATGAAAGAGGGTGCAATCTTACCTTGACCATCCGCGCAGCCTAGGTACAGATTAATTCGGTCATATTGAGAAAGCCATGTCACATTGACAATGTCGCCACTATGGACGATAGGGACTTCATCAGATCGTAAGGGAAACAGGAAAAAGTCGGTGTTGCTCAGTTCTGACCGGCAGAGGAGGACATGGAAAGCAGACAGAAACAGGAGAATGGGTATCATGGAACTCGCCATGGCGGGCCGAGCAACGTCGCAGACAAGGAAATGGAAAGACAAGAGGTTGAGTGAGAGCTGAAGCTGCAGCCCACATATACCCAGCCATGATGTGCGTGCTGTGCCGCGCAGCTGCCAGCGACAGGGCCGCGCTGCAACGGCGGCTAGCGTGCAGCCGACGTGTAATGTACTGATCACAACAAGGATGTTTTGTAACTTGTTTGCGACAAAAAGTCAGGTGTAGCCCTGGGGTTTCGCTTGACGAATAATGATAATCGGTGGACTGTGCCGCACGCGCGGCACTTTTTACACATTTAGCCCCGGCTGCTCCCGGCCCAACGGCCGTCTTCCCTCGACTTCCGTCTCGTCGTCATGCTGTACCCCAACGCCACCATCTCACTAACACCAGCCCATCGGCGCTGGCTAGTGGGCTGCGTAGCCTCGCTCATCGCCGGATGGCTCCTGTTGCATCTGATCTTCCCCGACCGCACTTACTGGCCGTATGCTCAAAGCCCCAATCTCAAGCCCGACGAACACCCCATCAGTTATCTCATCGACCGAGCCGCTTCCGACTTTAATCGCCTGCTTGGCTCACGTTCCACAAACCTAAAAGATGCCGCCGCGCGATATCGCGCGCGACGCGGGAGACACCCGCCACCCGGTTTCGATGCTTGGTTCAAGTTCGCGGCCGATCGCGACGCTATCATCGTCGAGGAATTCTTCGACCAGATCTACCACGATCTAGAGCCATTCTGGAGCATTCCGGCGCGCGATATTCGAATCACCACCGCTGCGCCATCGGATGATCCCACATTGAAAATAAGAGATGGCGTTGCTACCGCATGGGTTGCTCGACGGGGACCAACCGCTTGGCGCGCCGACACCTGGTCGGATCTCGTGAACAGCATCACTGAGTCTGAAGACGTCCCTGACGTAAACATGCCCCTGAACACTATGGACGAGTCTCGCCTTCTCGTTCCCTGGGAAGACGTCAACCGCATGATGAAGGCGGCCTCGACGGAGCATCACATACCCCTTGACCTCGTAGACGTCATCGACCACTTCCAAAATGCAACTTCTGTAGACGTTGATGAGTTCCCCAAGATTGAATGGTCCAGGGATGCATCCCGTATTTGGAGACTATATCGAGCCACTTGTGGCCCCGACTCTCCAGCACGCCAAGTACCTGAAAGTCAGGAGCTTTCTCCGGATGCAACAGAATACTTCCCTTCTGAATGGCCGAGAGAATCTTACCAAGGTTACGTCGCAAACTGGACTACCGCCTCTAACCCATGCACTCATGCTGGTTTGCGCGGCCTCCACGGGACATTTGTCCAGCCAGTGTCTGTCAGAATCTCAAAGAATCTGGTGCCGCTTTTCGCAGGGTCCAAAACGAGTAGACACAACGAAGTCATTATTCCCGCAGCGATGTACTGGGCCAACCAAGAGAGATATTCTGGTGGCGATGAGCACGGGATGCCTTGGGAAAGTAAAACGGACGGGCTCACATGGCGTGGAGTAGCCTCAGGCGGCCATAGCGACGAGAGCCAATGGACTCACTTCCATCGGCATCGATTTGTCTCCATGACCAATGCGTCAACAGTTGCAGATGCCGAGACCCACGACGGCAAGTCCTTGACGTTCAGGTTGCCTTCTCCTGAGTTGTATTCCATCATGGGCAAAGAAAAGGTGAGCGAGTGGATCGGCTCATGGACGGATACCGGGTTCATTGACCTTCTCTGCGCCGCGCCGGAAACCAACCCGTTCTGTCCTTACCTCGATCCGTACTTCAAACCTGTGGAAAAGGTACCAATGCAAGACCAGTACCGGTATAAGTTCCTCCCGGACATCGATGGGAATTCGTACAGCGGACGCTACCGTGCTTTCCTACTGTCTACTTCTCTGCCTATCAAAGCCTCCATCTATCGGGAGTGGCACGATTTCCGCCTTTTCCCCTGGCTGCACTTTGTGCCCATGGACAACACCTTCATCGATTTCTACGGCATCCTGGATTACTTTTTACAACGAGATCACGCCGCAAAGCATATTGCTACGAATGGCCAAGAGTGGGCTCAGCAGGTGTTACGGAAAGAAGACATGCAGATATACATGTACCGCTTGATTCTCGAATGGGCGAGGATATGTAGCGATGACCGGCAACGTATAGGTTTTGTGAAGGATCTGTGAGCAGGTCTCCTGGTCTTCCTTCTTTCTTTTTTCTTTCATGTTTAACTCCGGTGGCTCTCTGAGATTTTGCGTATTTATCGTTGCATCGTTGCCATACAACTGTGTCCATATTTTTGTATTTTTCTCATTATTTATCTTTTTAGTTACGTTTCTTTCTTTGGTCCATCAAAATCTCGAGGAAATACTGTGGTCTACCGGACAAGAGTATAACGACGTCGTATTAGATATCAACTGCATTGCGATAGGAATTCATGCGTGTTCAAACGAGAGCGTTACGAGAAGGTGAAGGCCTGAAGATGTTAGAACCAAGGGGTGCACAAGAGCTGCCTGGTAATTATAAACATTGGTACGTCGTCTTGTCCCATGGTATTGTGTATTGGCCTAATGTTTAGCCTACAATTCTATGTGTGTAGTTGCGGTCGCTGCAGATGCTGTGGGAATCGCGGATCTACGGCAGGCTCGTAGGGGTCAGGAATTGTACAACCCAGCAATACCTCAACCCACAAATCTTACACGGAGGTAGAAAGGTACAGGGGTAGACGAGAAGACAAAGAGAATAATTGGAAAACTATTATCAATATAGTCTAAAGTTTCAGTGTCGGTATGCACGAGCTCCTCTGTCGGTTGAAAAGTAAATATCAGTGAGATAAAGGATGGAGAACGAAGTGTTTAGAGCCCTTTCAGTTAACTTCAACTATAAGAAGCTTTCTCCCCTCTGATAATATCAAGACCGGCGAGGAGTAACGCACGCGCCATATACCACAATTCGATTGCTTGACCCTACGCCAGGAAAAACATTTCTCGATCTCCATCTCCCTTCCAATGACCATGCTGTGTGCTCCAAGAGTGCTCGAAGTAACCAACGCGAGATAAGATCTTGCGCATGCCCCCTTTCGCCTGTATCTTGCACTTGCACTCTGTCAAAACAATTCCAGCCGCATACCATCGGTTGTCCCACGCCCTTTCCCAACGCGCAATAGTCAAACAAAAGACGTTCTTATCCGTTTCGTCAATGAAGTCAACGGTATCAGGAAAGAACCATTCCAATCCTGAAAACAAGCCTTCCTCGTCCTCTTTTACTTCATCATCCGGCCACGGATATTCCCACTGCAACCTCTCTGCAGGCTGGTCATCAGGTTTCGTCGCTTTCACGAGCCTCACGCTCCTAAGTGGGCCTTCTAGGATCAACAGCGCAGCGTGGCTCGCGAACAAGTCCCGTTGCGGCATCGCTCCGATGAACTTTGTCCGGAACTCGAGCGACTTAAGGGATGTATCGCATTCGGGAGATAGCCCCTTCACCCGTAAACTCCCATCGCGAAATCTGCATTCTTTGTACCCGACAGGCTTCTTTCCCGTATCGTGCACCAAAACAAAGTTGGAACGGCTCGTATCGCTCCAACTTGCGGCGTGGTTGATATGACGCGTGTGGAAGCTAATGCAGTAGTCCACTGTGTAGTCGACTGTTGCCCAGCTAAATGTTGGAAGTCGGCATTGGCTTACTTGTTTTCCATCTTTTTCTGTGTAGTGAAAAACACGAGTGGTGTAGCTTGGGTTGGTCGACATCCAGAGTAGTTGAGAAAGCAGCATTGCTTGGTCTTGTGAACCGAGCCAGATGCCGTAGAAGTACTCGAAGCCTGTGGATTTGTGTATAGTTTGAGCAATGCCGGCGATGGCCACAAGCCTGTCTTCTTGTCGTGTAAAAGCCAATTTGCTGTAGTTGTGTACGAGTTCATACCACGCGACTAGGAAGACTTTTCGGTCTTTGTCAGTGACCAGGGGCTGCAGGAGCGGTGTTGTGGCCTGCCTAAACATGTCCTTGAGCTTCACATCTGTCGAGCTCATGAGGCGCAGCGGAAAAGCTCCAGGATGTTCCTCATGGGCCAGTGAATAGCCACATTCCCAGTAGATGCCAGTTGAAGAAAATCCTAGGGTCCTTGGGCTTAGCAAGCGCTCCTGAAAGACCCAACCACGCGTATGGAGGTGGTGATTCCTGGTCGCTCCGGAACCGCCACATTCTGGCACCATAAATGGACGGCCACTATTGTCGGAGAAAACAAGTGTGCAGTGACCAAGGTTGTTGCGTGCTGAGAAGCAACCTCCATGGTCGCTATCAGAGGATAATGCCGCAATGGTACAGATCGAATTGCCGTATACTCTTGCCATCTGAGATGCTTCCGTTGCCCAATCATCACCGTCCTGGACGATGCATAGTGAATCGATCCAGATGAATCTTTGCTTCAGTCTTCGACATATCATAATTGCATCCTGGAATGTTTCCGGCAATCTTGCAATCTCAAATCCTTTCGTGAGTTGGTTTAGGTTTGAACGGAACAGCTGAAATGAGTTTTGCATGCCCCAACAGTGGCTCAACGCAAGATAACCCATACCTTTATCTGCTGCGGATGTGACGTATAAGTAGGGATCCTGAGATCCATCAGGATCACCCACATCAATAACCCTTGTTGGTGGGGAAGATTCGGGGCTATTTGATGAGCAACAGTGAATGTTTTGGCACTGTGACAGCCAGAATTACGCAAGTTCAATTGTCTGTGCCGAATCAGTGAATCTCGTACTTTTAGCATGGCTCTTTGGATGCTCTTGTTGAGTAAGCCAATTTTCCGCCTCTTCCTTGGATTCGGCTAGTCTTAGAACCTTTACGGGGGCTTTGAACTCAGGCTCACTGCTGTTGCTTGGCCGGTAGAGACATATCTCGCCTTCACTATCGGCGGATGTTGAGGGCGCTTTGATCCGGATATAGAGGACAGTGGCGGCAGGGTCACTAGGCTGAGCATCGGCGTTGCGTCTAGGAGATTTTGGTTGCTTTAGTGAAAGCCATTCGAGACCATCCTCGAAATCCAGCGACGATTTGCTATGTGGCCGTGCAGTGTTTGTTTGTTCAAACTTAGGGAACATATTCTCATCGAAGATTCCACAGTCGCCTTTGGAATTCTTCCTCGCAACAGTGTTGACGACTTTTTGAAGTTTGTTTTGCACGTCTTTGTCTGTGTGTTGCAGAAAAAGAGCGCACATATGACATCCGCGAAGGATAGATACGGCCATTTCTTCTAGAGATTGGTAATGCTCCCAATGCTCGTATCGAAATGGTAATAATGTCCTTTCCGAGTTTTCTGTGGTTGAGCGTAATGCTGGCTCTTCTTTTCGATCACCTGTATACGTGATCCTGAATGATGTGAAGTTCAGTCCTTGAGATTCGCGGGCCCCTGAAGGCACCTTACTAATAGGAGTTCCTCCCCAAGCCGATGTATCGTTGATAAGTGCGGAACTTTTGATGATTGTGTTGCACAAATCGCACAGAGCCCCTGGAACTGTCCCTATATCGTTTCTCGTTGCCAACTGTTTCTCGCTTGACTTTGAATAGATGAGATCTCGATCGGTATCAGATGTGACCTCTATACCTTTGGCCGGGAGCTGAGATTCATGTTGATCTGGATACCAGCCACCTTCGTTTTTGTGTTCCGAATTTGCTAGGTCGAGTTTGAGGGGCAACTGGCCGGTCCCTAATAGAGGATGCAGTACTAGCCACGAACGATTTCCGTTTTTGTTTTCCGAAAAATATTGGACGGCAGAAAACTGAGATGTGAGAGAAGATGGTATACAAAAATTCCGGGCCTTGGCTCCAGGAGCAGCCTGGTGGATTGCTGAGCGGTGTATCCGATCCATGCTCGATATTTTGAATTCGGGAACGGCACTGATATATCCCATTCTAAGGCATTTCACGCTGCCACATGATGTGATAAATGTCACATAGATTTGTGAAGCTGGGCGCGAGGAATTGGACGTCGCTTGTCCTCCTAAATTACTACTACCTATGGGGGTATATATGCTGCTATCTAAAAGAACACGTTTTCTCTTTAAGATCCTTATTCCCTTGCAGTGGATAAACGTGTGGTGTAAGGGGTAAGGCTGTAGTGTAACAACTGACTGTAATAAGGCTGAAAAACCGAGAGTTATCGGAGTGATCCTGGCTGACAAGATTCTATCGCCCGTCAGAGTGACACTGGGGGTTGAGTTTTGGCGGATATCCTTGAGAACAACCCTAGTTGTACAGAGTGGCGGCGTAATTCTTGATTCTTGGAGGTCATCAGCTCTGTACGAGGAGCATCTGACGAACAAAATCTGGTTTCCTTGATTGGGAGAGGCTGAAAAACCATGTCTGTCTTCTTGGGTATTTGGATCTGCATAGTTGGTGCCGATCGAAACAACAAACAGAAACTGGTGATCTCCGGAGATGTTGGTGTGAATTCGCGTAATATTTGCTGCAAGATAGGTCAGTCATGCAGTCAAGACTGGTTACATATAATCAAAGACAAACTTACAACTTGGGTCAAGGGGCTCGATTGCGCAAATGGCGCCACTACCACCGTCAACGCCAATGTCTAGAACATGACATGCGTCTAGGAACCAAAATATTCGTTTTAGGTTTTTCCTAACCATGGGTTCATGCTTGACGGTAGTAGTCAGTCTATCGAGGAATAGACTCTGCTCAAACGCTGGCAGCTGACCAGTATCAACAACAGACAAACTGTGAGTGTTTCTCCAGGAGAGTGGTTTCCGCTGTTTCTCTCGTGATTCCAGTTTATGGTCCTTGTTATTACACCATTGGCCTTTGTGGAGACAAGAGACGCAGACGTTGTAGCGGCTGGGTTGGCAAGCTGTACAGAAGTAGCATTCCGATCCGTTACGCATCAGGGCGCAACCGTCGCAGAGTACGAAAGACACTTGCCTTCCTTCACGTGCAGTAAAACCAGATGTAGATGCAGTTCCCAAATCATCGGATCTTCTTGGTGGCGATTTGAGATAAGCAAAGAAGTCCTCAGGGGCGTCTTTATCTTTCGGCTGTACCGGACCATCTTCCATGTCAAGAGTTTGAGTATTTGCCATCAAGACTAAACCATCAACCGAGGTGATGGTTGGTTCTAATGGCATAAACTCGCAATGATCCAACACTGTTTGTATCGACATGTAGCTGTTTTCATACGTGAAGCGGTAAAGGCTGCCTTCAATGAGTCCATACTCTAATTTGTCCGAAAATGAGATGTCGGGTTTGACTCCTTCAATCTGGCGTTTCTGCACTGTCGCATCGTCGGAAGTTTCTGGACTGCCGAGCTGTGCGTTCCATAGTCGTTGGTTCAATTTGCCAATACTCGTAAGAGTAGGCTCTCCCGAAGACAGTGACCATAAGTCAAATCTTAACTGCGTGGGCGTCGTGGATGACAAACTGCAGAATTCATGTTCATGTCAACGACACGAAGTCAGAAAATTTAAGGTAGTCACTTACAAATTGTTGTTTTCCTTGACTACCATCACGGACTTCCCATCTCTGCTCAAAGCATAGTTAAGTAGGAGTTCAGGCTCAGTCGACACTGTATAAGCCTGAACAGTGTTTGAAAGACCCTCTTCGAAACTTTCGTCGACAAGAGCTAAATGTGTAAGTTAGAAGGTGTTGGTAGAAATCAAATTATGCATTAAGTGGGGTAGCCATACCTGCTGATTTTTTCATTTTTGGAAGCCGCTTTTGCTGAATGTTGGATATTGCGGTCCCAATGGAAGCAGAAACATTTAAAAATCGACGGGTGGCGGTCATATCTTTAAGTCAGTATGCCGCCAATGATCTTAATAAACATAACGCCTGCAATTTGTTGAATAGAAGATGCTGACGCCCGCTACTCCTTGTTTTTACAAGGGTAAATCAAGCGATGGTTGTCAGCGGAACAATGGCGAGACGTCAGCAAGCATATATTGCGTCATTGTACATACACTCTGAACCGAGGAAGAACCTCGTCAGTAGAAGTAAGACTATCACATGAAATCTTTGCTGTGCAGATGGCGGGTAGGAAAGTTAGGATATTATTTTAATTCACATGTCCCTTATAAACAATTTATCCAACCACGATCACAAAGACGCAAAATCTTGATGTATATAGGGTAGCCTATGGGAAGGGTTTGAATGGTACTATAAGTATATATGCTCCTATAAGTTGGATTAAGGTTTAAATTCAGAGCGAATTGACACACTTCTACCTCTACAAATTACTACTTACTCTGAGGGTATGAATAAAATAAGCTACTAATTTAACTGGGCTGTAGCGCGGATCGAGGCTGGTCGATCTGGTTATATCCATTGTCACGCACCTGCGCAGTGTTATGGATTTACTCATACTGACAGTAGATTCTAAACGGCGACCGGACAGAGAGCAAACCAGATAAAAATAAATTATGACCGAAAACTACTGCGAGATTGTTGTTCCTGTTACATTCAATGCTGTGTCTCACACAACCGGTCGGGATTCATGTGATCGTGTCACTGATCCACACTAGCTGCTGACAGTGACCATCATAAGCAGCTAACCACCTTCACTTTCCCAGAGCACAATTTAAAATCTTGCATTCAATAGTTTGTACACATGCGTACCGCCAACGGACACAAATTAAACTATGATATCAGAGCGGAGGGTTGTCAGTTTCTCCTGAATCAGCTATCTCAGTCATGCATGATCAATAAAGTTAGAGTTGTAATTTTTTGCATAGCCCCATGCGGCGGACTGTTGCTTTGCGACACCGAATATCAGTAACCGAATACGTATGTAAATCTTTCCTGTACATGTTGCTGTGATAATCGGTCCGAACAAGGCTGAGACCTGTCGCCTATTCTTGTTACCTATTTGGTGTTACCGGCTTCCCGCCTCCTTCTGCTGCCTAGTCGGTGTTGCAGCCTTGTCAATGTGCTGTAGTATATAGAAGCAGGCTTCCTCCACGACATTGCTTTTCAGTCTTCACCAAAAAGCAGCTTTTTCTAGTGCACCCTTTCTCCTCAACATACACAAAAACCATGGTTTCCAGTCAAGTCCTCCCCGATGGCGGAGATGTATATCGGGATTACCAAGAACTCTGCAAGAAACACCGGCCCGGTACCGAGCTACACATCCTGGAAATTTTGCGCAAACGGTATCCGGGATACCACGTTGTTTGTGCTTCGCAATCCGATTGCGATCTACTTGGATATGCCGAGGCCGGCCTGGCAGTTGTAGAGCTAGACGCCGATGACGAAAACCTCGATTTCAGCCGTGGTTACAAATCACCGGACAACCGTCTGGAAGAGAAGCCAGGAATCCTTAAAGACGACGTTCGGTTTGGACGCTTTCGCTACTCCTGGAAGGGGCGAGATTTTATTCTCTACAAAATATCTCACACACGTATGTCCGACTGGGCCCAGGAACTTTTATTCGTCTTATCCAGACGCACTGGAGATAAAACTACCACTAGCCGCAATACTGCCATCGATGAGCTCCTCCTGGATGTGGGCACATGGACCGGGAAAATTCACGAAGAAATTTTTGTCTTCGACGATGGATACTGGCAAAAGAGCAGTTCACTCTGGAAAAGCATACAAAGGGCATCTTGGGATGATGTTATCCTTGACAGCAAAACGAAGCAGAGCCTGATTCAAGATGTGGATGGCTTTTTCGACAACCGCAAACTGTACGCGGAGTTCTCAGTCCCGTGGAAACGAGGCCTGATTTTCCACGGCCTTCCTGGAAATGGCAAGACTCTGTCCATCAAAGCATTGATGAATGCGCTTTCAGCTCGCCCAGGTCCGGTTCCTTCACTATATGTGAAAGCTTTGGACAAGAGCTGCGGCACTGATCAGTCTTCTATCCAATCAATTTTCCAACATGCACGGGTAAATGCTCCCTGCCTTCTTGTCTTTGAGGACCTGGACAGCCTCATCACAGACGAAACGCGCAGCTACTTCCTCAATGAGGTGGACGGTCTTGAATCAAATGATGGGATATTGATGATAGGATCCACCAATCATCTCGAGAAGTTGGACTCCGCCATTTCAAACCGGCCCAGCAGATTTGATCGCAAGTACTACTACAAGCTTCCTGATCATCAAATGAGGTCAGATTATTGCCAGTACTGGAGGAAGAAGCTGGAGAGTAACAAGACAATTGGCTTCCCATCTGAACTCTGCCCAGTTATTGCGAGCCTTACCGATGGTTTCACTTTCGCTTACCTGAATGAGCTCTTCGTTACCACACTACTTGCCATTGCTCGAGGGGATCAAAGCATCAAAGAGGCAATAGAAGGGGCAAATGGAGAATATTCAAGCACTCCGGGACCAGAGTCAGATTCCAAACACTCGGACAATCTATCAATACCGGAAGGTCTGGAGGAAAATGTTGTTTTCAAAGTCATTCGGGCCCAGGTCAAGATTCTCGTGTCGGAGATGGGCAACTCGGAAAGTGAGAGTAAAACCGCGGAGGAGAAAGTGGAAGATAAATCGAGTAACTAGATATACTCACAATTCTAGAATCTCTTTTCCACTGAAAAAGCTTTTACCCAACCAGTATTCAATACAGCTGTCAAACTTAGCAAGAAATTCCAGCTTGTATTCTCTGTTAACAGTAACACTGACTTCAATCAGACACAAGTTGCAAACCACCCGGGTCTTCCGGTACAGAAATTAATATTAACAACGAAGCGAAGCCATAAACCGAGCGCATCCGACAATTGTTGACAGAAAGGAAAGGTAGTTGATCTACGTAGATCGCCGCTGCAAGCGAGGCTACCGCAACAGCCCACACATACACTGGCAGTCCGGCACCGGACACATCTTATGCTTCGCAAACCAATTCCGCGCATGATGTCCATGGAACCCATGCGTGCACGTCATGCAAAAGACCATCTGCTTCGCTTCCGTGTCCTCGTCTTTGAGGGCCTCGGCCCCGCCCAAGGTTGCTGGATCCGGGCTCCCCAGCCACATCATGCAGATACCGCAGCGCGGCATGCGCCTGCTACAGTTAGGGCAAACGAGACCGGAGTTGTGCGAAGGCGTGTTCGTTTTTTGCTGCTGTGCGGGCTTAGCGGTGATGCCTGGTCCGAAGGATGGTGCTTTGTGAATGGCCGTCGAAGCGGTTTCGGACGCTGGGACAAGCGTGTCGCCTCGTCGAGCGAGGCTCAGTTGGCAGTGGTTGCAACGGATGGTGATTTGGCGTGGGAAGGGTTTGTTGAGGCAGACAGCGTCTCGAGTCGTGGCGACTTTATTGTGTGAGACGATGAAGCGCGTGCGCTCGAGGAAGCAGCGCCAAACTTGCAACTGCATGAAGTAGGTTTCCTTCCAGTATTCCCAGCGAGGATCAGAAATGTAGACGGGATTGCTGCGAGCCATTGCCAGTACGACGGTTTGCAGATCGCCCCATTTGGCGATATAGTGCTCAAAGAGGTCCATAGCACGCTCGCTGAGTCCGGTGAGGACGATGCCTTCGATATCACCGTAGAGCTTTGCGCCTGCAACAGACAGCTTGATAAACTGACCGAGCTGTACATCATCAAGATACTTGAGAGCAACTCCGAGTCGATCTGCAAGCGACAGCTCCTCCATTTTGGTCACCGTGCTCCAGTTACCAGTGATGAAGTATTTGAGGAGCGCCTTAAGGTACGGCTCATCACTCTCCTCGGCCATCCATTCGCACATTTCTCGCTGTTCTTCGTTGACCTTGTCGCAGGCAATCACGGCTCCGAGACCAATGTTCTGGAGTTGTCTTTGCCGTACAAGCTGTTTCAGAAGATCGAGAGCTATATCCTTGTGGCCCTTAAAGACAGCCAACACAATGGCCTTGTAGTAGTAGCCTTGTTCAATGAGCGCTTTGCAATTGTCGCGAATGCGTTGACCCGAAAATGTCCATCCGCAGATAGCAAGACAAAGCTGACGATGTTCAGGAAAATCAGTCCTGGCACCTTGGAAAGGTGGGTATTCTTTCTCTTGCACAATCTTTCGAACAACATTCTGAAAGTCTGGCACAGACACAGAAGGTCTGTTGATTAGACGGTAGGTGCTGCGCTTTGCACCAAGGCTGTTCTCCCATAGGTAGGCAACGCCAAGGTAGCTGAGGTCAACTCCTTCGGCAACCATACCATTATCTTTGGCGAGATCATCTAGTCTCTGGATAAGTTCCCAGAGACCTACGAGCCATGGATCATTAGCCACAATTTGTCTGTTTCTTTTACTGTCCAAGCAATATCCTTCTTTAGCTCGTCGCTTGGCGACGTCAAGCACCTTCAGAGCGTCAGTAATGTCTAGCTTGAGACCGGGATAGCCCATTGTGAGTAACTCCTCGTGGTGCCCTCGACTAGTATCCGGGCTCACATCGCGAATCTTGTGGCCAAAGTTCTCCATGCGCAATCTTTCAATACGCGGTGTGTCGCTTAGGCCATTTACCCTGACGGACGTTTTCGAAGGAAACCTTTCACCAATTGTTCGGTTCTGGAGCCGAGTAAGGTCTTCGGCGACGGGACCCTCTGGTGAACTTGGCTCGGCCACAGCTATACGGTCCATGTACAATTCGTTGAGCGCCGTTAAATGCACTCTGGGTGCCCGGGTGGGGATCTTCATAACCTTAACCTCTCGGTTGGGATGCAGAGCGATGGCACTATGACTTCCGATGGGGGACCCTTCGCCCATGAAATCAAATGCAACGACGCGGGAAGCCTCATCGTGGCCAAAATGTGGATCGTACCAAGGGTACCGCAAATTATGTGTATACCTGACGTAATTCTGGGAGCGTGGTAGAATTGTGGCTGCGGGACTTTGATCTCTGGATTCGTATTGCGCAATGTCGACCACTTTCAGCTCTCCCATGCTGGAAAGAACACCAAAGCAGTTTCTTTTGCTTCGAGAGAATCGCAGGCACCATATTCCAGCCACGTGGCTGTTGTCAACAGCAGGACGTAATTCAACGACAGCAGCGGGTGGGGCTTCCCCGGATGGGGTTGTGGCCCCAGATCGCGAGGCAAAACGTCGGTCCCACACACTCACAGCGGGGTCGCCCGTCGGACCGGCAGAGATGATGTAATTCTCATCTAACGGATCGATTGACAAATTGTGAACTTGACGCGTCCCATACTGGGCAGAGCTGACCGGAGCGGAGTCTGTCATGCGTCAAAGTCAGTTTAACGACTGAAAGATGCCTGAATGTCCCCCGGAGTTGACAGCCAACTGACCTCGTAGATCATATATCCTGATACATTGTCGAGAGACTCCAGCCACGAGTGTTTGTGGATGTGTAGGGAAGAACTTGATGCTGGTGATGGCTTCCGAGCTGGCCAGCTTCTTGTAAGGCTCATGATTGGCGGTGAATGAAGCAACGTTCAGATCATAAATATTCATACAAAAGTCGTTTCGAACTCTATCCAGGCCTGTGGCCAACAGATTGTTGGTACTGAAGGCTATCGAGTTGCATTTCCGTTGATGCTTGATAGGAAAGGAATGAATGAAATCGGAATTCGGCCGGCTGGAGTCAATTTCAATCAAGCTGGCTTCACCGGATGCCGACCCGATGGCCACGAAATGCTCATGCGTCTTGGACCAGTCGAAAGCGGTGAAGTTGGGTAGCTTGTCACGGTTCGCTACCTGCTTGTACTGCACGTCGCCATCACTTGAGGCCGAGTCGATCTCGCACAGACGCAGACGATTCCCGGCGACATCGATGATGAGGAACTGTGGATTCTGCTGGCTTGCATGAGGCGACCAGCGGACGGCTGCTTCCATTGCTTTTGATGGAGACAAGTGTCAAGGACGTATGGTTCGAGGGCGAGAAGTTAAGAGAGAGGCCGCTGAGCTGGTGAATTCGAAGGAGAGCAATCAGCCATGGTCCTCAATGCGAGCAGCAAGCCCGTGCGACAGCCAGGCGCATGATGACTATGAGCGTGTCGCGGTTGGTGGTTGGGCGCGACGCTGATCGCGCTGCTATAGGGCTGGGCGCGATGCCGAAGAAAAGCCGCTCATTAAGCTTCGCCGGAGAAATTCATCGCCAAAGACCCAGATCTCGTCACCCAGCAGGCCAGCAATGTCGGCAGGCATAAAACGAAGACGCAACGACGACGAGGACGTTGACATGGACACCGACGGACCCGCTCGCTCTGCGCCCCAGAAGCGCAAGCAGAATGGCGCTGGCCCGCACGGCAAGAAGCCGAAGACGGCCAAGTACCAGCCCAAGAAGTTCGCATTCAACACCACCAAGGCGCGCATTCGAGACTTGCGACGACAGCTGTCGCGCAAGGCCGAGGATATGCCCGCCAACCTTCGTCTGAACAAGGAGCGCGAGTTGGCCGCCTGCGAGCACGAGCTGCGCATTGCCGAGGGCGAGTCGCTCAAGCAGCAGATGATTCCGAAATACCACAAGATTCGCTTTTTTGGTGCGTAGCATGGAGTCTCGTTGGTATCTAGAGTTTGCGCACTAACACCAAGCAGAACGTCAGAAGGCCACGCGTTTCCTCAAGAAAGCCGTCAAGAAGCTGAACGACAACGACAACCCCGAAAAGCATGCGGAACTCGAACGCGAGAAGCATGTCGCTGAAGTTGACCTCAACTACACGCTCTACTACCCACTCATCCGGCCCTACGTTTCCTTGTACGCCTCGACGAAGTCCAAGGACGGAGAACAGGAGGGTTCTGCCACAAAGAGGATCGGAGGAGACCAGAATATGTGGGAAATAGTGGAGCAGAAGATGGAGGAAAATGGGCTTGAGAACCTGCGCAATGGACTTGAATGGAGAGAGGGCGCAGACAGTGCCCCCTCTGCTGCTCCTGCAACCCAGACGGAGGGCAAGGCCAAGCCTGCAAAGGCTTCCTCTAGCAAGGGAGAGGGCAAGCCGCCCACTGCAAAGAAGTCTGCAGCTAAGCCTGAGAAAGAAGAGTCGGGTGATGAGAGTGATGGTGGCTTCTTTGAGTAAAAAGTGTTTAAAAGGCGATGGATACGCATGGGAAGCTCACAGCATAGCGTCGGCGTTCTGGGAGGTTATTTTACACAGGCGTTGCAATTCAGGCCAAGATTCAGGGCATCTCGATCTGCCTACGATCTATCTCTTCGGATTATATCCTACTTAAAATTGCAGGACGTGCTCTACCATGTGTATGTCTACACTGACGAATTCTTGATTAGGGACACTACCGTGACGAAAATGATACGAAACAACATCGTTTTTGGAAAGTAGAGGGATAATAGAGGTAAGATATATTGTTACTGGGCTTATATTTAGTGGCGTCAGGCCTTTAACGCCCGTTACCTTAAAGGGATACCGATCATCTTGCGAGACAATGACGCTTATATGGAGTAGAAGAAGAGAGTATAGGGTATGATATTTATAGTACATGTATGCTCTAAGACCATTTTATTCCATCTAGGTCTCAGGCTTGTAGCTAGACGGGGAGTATTTTGTAGGGACTGCTTCATCCCGCTGGACGGTGAATATTGCTTCACGGTGATGGACGCTAAGTGTACATGAAGAAGTCACCCTACGCGTCAATGATAAAACTCAATAATAAGACAAAGGGACATTAGATACTGATACAGAATAGGTATTTCGAGACCGTACGAAGTCATTCATGAGAATAAAAATTAGCTACGACTATGCCGACAAAGTCATTTCCAAGCAGCCTTCTCTTTCCCCGAATTGAACTTTTCTGATTACCAACAAGGGTTCCTCTCTCTTCAGGCATCGATCTTTCTTCCACGTTTAACCAACAATGCCTCAGTAATGGTATCTGAAGTGCACATTCTCAACGTCAGTTGCATCGTCATCCGCTTCCAGGACTCCCAAACGCCGTGACTCTTCCGGAGAGACGTCCATATCAGAAACTTTCTGTGCGCGGGTCTTGTTCTGCCAAACGAGCCAAGCCGCCCACAATGCTAGCAGTACCAGCTCGACAGAAGCACAGCTAGCGACAAACGGGATAAATCGCGCTTGTTCGGCGAAAGCCGTGAATTCGTCATTGAAGACTTTCCGGGTGATAATATGTCCTAGAGTGTAGCCTGTGAATAGTGTGCACAGGATAAATGCTTTCCGAACGCGCCCGGAAATGTTTGCCGTGAAAAGAGACCAAAGAACTTCGCGGAGTGTTAGTAGTGGCTCTACTGTGATATTCACAACGTTGTATGCAGTCAATTGACAAAAGGCAGTGCTTACGAATCTGTGTGATATCGCCCATTCCGATCAAAGTCCACGCGCCGAAAAACAGTCCTTTTTCTGTGGTATGCCCCGGCCGGAGGGTAAGAACGATTCTGCCAACAAGCGCTAAGACGACGCTGAGCGCCATAAAGGCAACTTTTTGGTTAGAACAGTGAGCCAAATGAAGTAATGCAGACTTACAACGTAGATTTTGCCACATCGTTGTAACCACCCCTACGATCAGAAACCATCCGAGTGATGGAAGGATCCGGAGTGCATCACTCTCAGTCTGAAGGACCTCTAAATAGGCGGCAACTTTACCGTTTGGCAATGCATCAAGCAATGAGACCATAAAGAAGAAGTAGATCTGGGGATCTAAGAATGATGTACGGACCTGCAAATTATTAGCTTTAGTTGTGTAAGAATTTCAAGCTGTCTCACCTGAGCCCATGGCCAATGATGTCTCTTTCGAGAAAGTCGAGAAGACGACTTGGTCATGTTGGCTTCCACTCGCGCTGATACCTGCTTTGCTTGCTGTCTCGATAGCCAACTGACTTGTTCTGGTGTCCCTAGCAGGAAAAAGGTACCGAAAGCCAAAAGGAGCAGCATCGTCCCTTCAATAGACGTCCAGGCAGTTGAAGCGCTATTTTTCTGACTGTAGTTGATAGACAAACTAACGGCAGCCAATATCGGGCCAGCGGTTGCCCATATAACCGTACGAGCCGTTTGTTCCTCTGTTTTATACCACATTTGCATAAGGAGCAAACAGGCAGGTACCGTTACAGACTTGGCTATTCCTTCACAAGCTCTGAGGACTTGGATGCCGATTGTGTTGAGTGATATAAGGAAAAGCAATATTATACAGCCTGTTACGGTTCAGAACTATCGCATATCGAAAAGCTGCACGAGATGTGCTTACCGTTGAGTAACATTCCGGCCGAAAAGACAATCTTTGTGTCGAAGTATCGCATGGCGTAAACGACCGGCCATACACCCACAAGCCATCCAATCTGAGAGGGGATGTAGATGGCTGCAATTTGTTAGGAAATTTACTACGGTTCCGGAATGTTACTTACAGTCATAATAATCAGGGATGTTGTCGTACTGATGTTGGAGGCCATAAATCACCTAAGTTGAACGTCAAGAGTCAGATATATCGAGATAAGGGAAATCGTAACGTAACTTACCCACATCAGGGGCAACATAAGAAGGTCGGCCTTGAATCGAGCATTCATTCCTGGGTTGGGGTCTGCAGAAACACGTCCGGAGGGAAGTCGATGAACTGTACTGCCAGCATCGAGCTCACTGAATGTACGGCTGAGGGCAAGCCGGAAACGGTCGATTCGAAACATGCGATCAAGTACAAGCGTAGGCATGCGCAAGACTGTCTCTCTGCAAAATGTCTGGGCTTGCCAATCGTATGAACAGAGAATTGCTCTTTGCATTCCTCCTTCCCTGCCACATATGATAACAGCGGTAGGGGGGCGGTCCGCGTCGAAGGCTGTAGCGGTCATGGTAAATGTGTCCACCAAAGTGAAGCGCTTTGACGTTGGAGAGCTGTTATGGGCACGAGCAGGACTCGGAGCTTTCCCCATGCATTCTCCATCCAAAGAGTAGTGGCGAGAAATTACACTGCCATTTGTGGACCACTTCAGTCGACCGCAGTTGAAGCCAAACAGGAATCGCTCAGCCATGCCGATATCAACATCACCTTCCAGTCCGATGAAAGCTCCTTGAGTGGACCAGAACTTTCCGCGGTAGATGCTGTGGAGCATGACTGGAGCCAGAAGGAGAATAGCAACGGTGGGTATGAGAACTACCAGGCCACCAACGAATAAGCCCGTTGGTGTTGAACCACCGGCTAAGGATGCCGTAATAGCAGCTGCAACTATGAAGGAAAGACCAGTCAGGAAATATGCTGGCGCGCCTCGCAATATGATTTTCATGATCTTTCTAGCCACCGTGTTCCTTTTGATAAAGGCCTGCGGTCTCATAGATTTCCAGTTGATTGTGGCACCGTAAGCTCCATCCAAGATCACGGTCTCGTCATCGGCGATGCCTGCGATTTGGGTCGTTGGCTCAATGTCCCAAAGGTGTGCACCCCAGGCATCTCGTATCTGATACCATTTAGCATCGTAGCGAGGCGGCAGCATACATATGAGACGTTCCAAAAGCATGTCGCTATCATTGCTCAGTGAAAGTCGTGCGAAGGCTTGGAATCCAGAATCCGTCCGGTCCACCTTTGGCCTTCGGCGCAACAGACCCATCAAAGCATAAGACATATCGCCTCCAGTTCTCTGATCCGTTTGACGGACTTGAAAGCATTCCAAAGCTATGCTGACAAGTTCGAGCGGAGTCAAATGTATCGAAGACTCGTAGTGGTCTATGAGCTGCCGCACTAATTTGGCGTCTTTCCAGGCTCTTGTTGCAAAGTTTCGCTTGGCCAGCAGCTCTGGACCATCACGTACACCGATGGTGTACAAGCTGACTCTATGCTCCGGCGGGCAGAGTAGGATCTCGGGTAGAGTCCAAAGCCTACTTCCCCATTCATGAAACCAGCAGGTTTGAGAGGAAGGGCTATAAGGCTCACTTTTGTCGTTGATAGATGGCCCCAGTAGGATCACCATAGAATGAGCTGCGCGGACGATGTCACAAATGCGCCATACGTCATCAAGGTCATGGTTATCATTGGGCCCGTCGTTATTTTCCCGGAGACATTCGAAGTCGAGCCAGAAAGCGGGCACGCCGGCCGCACGGGCTGCCCTAGTACCGTAATGACGAAGTGTTGCCCTGTCTTCTTTGGATAGAGCAGAAAGGCGCGCTCGCTCTTGGTCCGATACATTCCAAGTGGCCAGCTCAGTGTCCGTGGCCACGCAAAACTGCTTCCTTGTGTATGATAAGAAAATGTACTCGGTCGTAGGATTTTTGCCGTGTTCTTTGATGTAATCTGAGACATTCCATGTGGTACATTCGAGAGCCCCATCTGCTACCTCAGCTGCTGAATTGAGGAAGCACAGATACCTCGGCCGGAATTGACGGGCTGGGAGGTAATCGAAATCAGTATCAAAGTCATCTTCCTCTGTAGGCCGAACTGCTAGCAAGTGGTTTTCAGTAGGATATGAAGGCAATTCGATATCCCCATCATTTGGCGGTGAATGCAGGAGAGGGGCCTCTTCAGCTTCGTCGCTTTCGTTGTTCTGATCTTGCTGACGATTCTCGGCGGGATTTTTTGCCGTTTTAGCGTAACCCCAATCTTTATACCGGACAGGGTCGTAAAACCCATTGTTCCTGAAATCTCCCTCGAGGTTTTGGGGAATCAACAACTGTAATATATAAGTATCATACTGACTTAAGTAGTAAACAATACTCACCATGAACAACATCATGGTGCAGGAAGGAAGCCATTTCAATCCGAGGATGATCCAACTTTCCGCACGTGAGGTTCCTCGAGCTCTCTCCTCTAGAATGGATGCGTATGTCCAATACAAAAGTTGAATAATGGTGGGCGTCTCCTCTTCTGGGGTTCCGGTGCGTTCCCAACTAGCCTCTATATGTCTGGGCTGGTTAAAACCCTGCACTTTCAACGGAGCAAGTCGTCCATCTTTGGGCCGAAGGTACCATTCGCGTTTGTCGGCAGCTGAGATCCACTGAACACGTCCGGAGGCGTCTCTGTGTTTGATGAACATCTCTTTCTCTAGATCACAGTAGTCTCCTTCGTCTGAGTGAATTCCACTGTTTTCAGGGCTGCGAGATTCATCGTGGGTCCTCGAAGTTGAAGTTTGCATTAGATTAGAGCTCGATGCATGACCGTGAGCCATTTGCTCTTCGGCAACGAACGACTTCGGTCGCAAGGTTAACTAGAGAACTCCTGCAATCTAGCAGAGGACTTACCATGATTTCATGAGAACTTTGAACAGAAACTGCACAAGAGCGAGGCTTCGGCTATTTCTAGATTAACCCTCGCTCAAAGCTCAAGTCAGATGGGCGCAGGCGTGACCTGCATCTTTTGGCCCCCACACTTCTCGCACAATGCTGGAGCCTGATTTGTACCACCACGGAGCCTAACGGGAAGAACTCCATCATTTAGAGTTCGCATTTTCCGCCATCTCACGAGAGAAGACATTAACAGGAACCATGGTAGAATTTTGAAGCGCCACACATGATGTTCCACCAGTATTTTCGGCGAGGGTGGGATACGGAATGAAGGTGGGATACGGGCGCTGAGGCTCTAGCCGCTGACAAGGTTCTTGTGCGATCAACCAATAGCGGAAAGTAAGCAAGGAAAAAGAAAAGAAAAAGGAAATGAGGGCGGGAAGTTTAAGAAACAGGAGTTGAAGATTGATTGGAAGTGATCGTGCCAATTTCATGCATGTACTAGCGAAAAAGGGCTGACAGCAGCCACGAGCGGGTGTTGTTTAAGGCCTGGCAGGTACTGTACATGCTAACAGTCATCGTGAGTTTGTCAACGTTGTCTGCGTGATTAGGTGTCATTAGAAGAGAACCACTAGCATGGCAGTTGCGATATATGAAATCTCCGATGATTTTATATCTTGGTGTGATGAGTTGGTAGAGTATTCGAATGTCCACGCCGAAAATCTTCAGTGTCAAGATATTGATCACGTGATAAGACTGATGCACCATCCTGCCATAGGAGTACATCCACTGGCTAATAGTTTTGTCCTCTGTGTATTAGTCAGACGAATATCCTCGGTTTTATGGCATGGTGTGATTGATCAGAAGTACGCATGTGACAATGATACATGGTCATACACCGTAATCTGGACATCCTGCAAATTTTGTCGCATTGCACTCCCTGCAATGTGTGATGGCTGAGGCGAAAGGAGTTCTGTTCCGTATTTGATTAGGTTTATTTACAATTCAGATAGTCGTTGATCCGAGTCTTTTCGTCCAATGCATATTTCCAACGCATGTTGGAAATCCAATTAGTCCGCAAGTCTTAACCCGAGGCGCTTAAAAAGTCGTAAAGCCACCGTCCGCCGTGATAATCGCACCGTTGATCGTTTCTGACCACTCCGAGGCCAGATGCACGATGCTCTTCGCGACCTTGTCGGCATCAAGGTAGTCGGGATGCACGTCCAGGATGTCTTGGCAGATCTTCAGCTTGCTCTCGTTGATGGTTCCTGGGACAGAATGGACGATGTTGGTCTCCATGTTGCCGGGCAACAACGCATTGCAGCGGATTCCCTGTTGCAAATAAGCAGCAGCAGTGTTCTTGGTCAAGCCAATGAGACCGTGCTTGCTGGTTGTGTATGCGGCGCCTGCAACATTGTCAGCTCAATGATTGCATCAATCTCGAGGTCAAACATACCAGCATGTGCGCCACGCAGACCGGCAATGGAGCCAATGTTTATGATGGAACAACCAGTGGCCTTGCGGTCCAAGAAATGCTTTACCGCATATTTGGACATGAGGACCGGACCGGTCAGATTGACGGCAAGGACGCGATTCCAGATCTGCATGTCGACAGTGTCGACCGGATCAAACGTGTCAAAGATACCCGCGTTGTTTACGAGAACATCCAGCTTGCCAAAGGTATGGACCGCGTGATCAACCGCTCTTGCTGCAGAAACCTCGTCCGACACGTCTGCCACGACGGCGGTGAGGTCGCGCAGAGGCCCAACGTGCCATCGCGTCTTCAGCTCCTCTTCGCACTCCTTGAGCATCTTCTCGTTGATATCTGCGATGACGACCTTGGCCTTGGCTTCCAAACAGGCTTTGGCGGCGGCTCTTCCAAGACCACTTGCGCCGCCGGTGATGAGAACGACCTTTTCGTCTAGAATGTGGTTCATTGTGAGTGGATGCAGGGATTCAATGTAGGTTGCACGGATTGTGTATGGTTGTTAAGGACGTGTGGCTGCAGGTGGTGATGGCGTAAGCAGAGAGGAATGCGTCATATTCAGAAACGAGTCACCAAGGCTAAACTCCGGCCGTCCAACAGACCCACATCTTCCGGGTTGATGACAAGCTATATACCAGACTTCTACATCGCCTTCACCTATCCATCATCCTCCATCAGAAACGACGCCAGATCATCGGTCGAACTACTAATAGCTGCAATGTCCGCAATACCCGCAATCATCCGCAGAACAAGCCGTGTAATCCGGCTCTGACTCGTCACTATAGTGCGTGTACGAATAGCGAGACTCAAAGACGTAATCCTCATCATATCCATCGTCTTTTTCATGGAGATCCACGAGATTCCCTCCAACATCTGAGCCTTCCCCTTCCCAAATTTCCTTCGTCTCTGGCGACATTGCGGACGCGGCACCCTCTTTCTGCTTACGTATCTCCAGGATGTCGGCTTCCTTTCTTCTGATCTCCAATTTCCCGTCACCGTTGCTCTTAGCAATATGTGTGATCTTCCTGATCAGTATGGCAAGTTGACCTAGGACTTTCTGGTTTTGATCTTCCCATTCAGTGACCTTATGGCGAACGTCATGGATGTGAATCTCTTCCTTCTTAAAAAAGCCCCTTTCATGATATGCGAGAATCATGTTTGGAATTTGCGAAACCCAGAGACGGCCTATCTCATCGGACACGACATCCACGTCTTTTCGCCTGATCGACCGCGTTTTGAGGTCGAAAATAGCCTCTTGGGGGATTTCTGTGCCGCCCTGCTCCAAGCTCAAAAGAGCATTAGATGACGAAGGCCGATGTGACATGGAACTTTGGTGAAGAGCATCGGAGAGCGAGAAACCATCCGACTCTTTCTGTCCTGGAGTAGCCGGTGTTGACGTGGTGCCCTCTGGCGACGCAAGATTGTCAAAGTAACCATCGGCTTCGAAACGTACGACGAACTGAAGACCGCCGAAGTTGTACCTGATGAGGCGCTGATGAGTCTCAGAACCGCTAACGTCCACTTTCCATTCCGTGTAGTTCTCAGGAAAAGTATGGCCAAATCCTCTGACATCTGGTATGGTTTCAGTCGGAGAGTTCTCTCTTCGAATGAAGAAAACGGTATCCCCAACCACCTCGACGAGAAATCTGAACGGTTTGTCGATACCTCGAACGAATCTCAGCAGGTTACCGATGGTGCTGCTGCAGCCGAAGACATCAATATCCGCTGATAGAAAGGTTGGGTTGGTTGTAAGAAGTGCTCGAATTGCAGGTTCGATGGGGTACTGGGGAAAGCGCGCAGAATTGAGGTCACGAAAGTAAGTGCCGTTATCTTCCGCTAAAGTCTTCGGCTTGTCCAACGGCTTCCAGACTGGTGGTCGACCTTTTAAAGTGTTAACAGGATCTCTACATCAGCGAAGTTGGTTGACTCACCTGGAACTTTGATGGTGGGATTACTCCTGTTGAGCCAATTGTATGATCCGACATACTCGCAATTGGAAATTTTGCAATCTAAATAGTTTGAGTATGGAATGTCTTCCAGGTCATTTCCTATGATTGTCTTCAGGATGGGACCAAGAGGAGGTGACGGCGTTCTGGGAGTACTCTCAGAGCTTTGTTGTTGTGGTCGCCCTCTATCAGCTCTGTTTGAACTGAAAGTTGGGTGGTCAGCAAAGAATCCTCGGGAGCTCGTTCCTCTCCAACCCCCGCGGCCGCGGGTCCGTCCTTGTTGGTAAGTAGACATGTCTGGTGTTGCATCCGTGTCTTTGGTCCTCTACAGCTGCGGATGCGTTCTAATTAATAGTAGCACATCACGGCGCAGCACATGGAAAGAACATCTAGACTCTAGACGCAATCAATGACACTGCATGTTTGCCCATGGAGTGTTGCCTAATGCAGCTTTCCGTGTTGGTCAGTGCACACGTGTCTCAAGCAAGGGTTATGAGGCACAGCTACCCCACTATCTGCAACAAACGCATCATTGATAATTCAATCCCAGCGCTAACAGCGTTCAGCGAATGGAAACACCCATTCAGATGGAAGCTTCAACTTTGTCACAAAGATAAACTTGTTGGACTTTGTTGACTAATATCTTTGTCCACCAACGAAGTAATGTACAGCCTTCCTACCTGCAAGCCAAGACAGGGATAAGTATTGTTTCAGACCCTTATCGTTGGAAATATGAGAGGAAACTAATAGGCTGGTAGTCTAAGCCACGGAACGGCACGCATGTTAGCGGTTATGCGCCGCTGTCGATCACTCGAAGGCGTGCGTTTGCTTTGCTCCACTGAATCACTGCCACCCAGCTCTACGCCGCCCGCGCCGCCGGAAACCAGCCTACAATCTTCTCCAAGTTTCTCTAGGCAGCAGAAGGCAAAGTCCTGCGCCTTGTTGGATGCTCTCCAGGCCTGTCACCCATCTGCCATAAATTGGTGCAGTGGCTGGCACTTTGATGCCAAGATCACCCGAACCTTTTGCACAAGTCAGTTCTTGTCTCACAACCTTAGCCTTTTGCGCAACAAATTTGCAATTTTCCAGAACACTACCCTTTGCACGACAACCCGCTCCTCCCACATCATACCCAGTCCAACATGTCGGCGCAGGACGGATCTTCCGCACGTTCTTCACGGTTGTCGAAACTCTTCTATTCTGTCACCCAAGGCTACCGCCCCTTCAACAACGCGGGAGATGCAAAGCTATTCTTCGAGGCCATCTGTGACCGGAATGATCATGCAAATTGCATCGAAAGGCTGGTGGCTAGTCCCAAAGGCCTTGAATGTCTTCGATTTGGTGTCAGATATGACCTGTCCAAAGATTTCATCAACGGACCCTTGGCAAACCTACTCTGTTATCTTTCGGAACCGGCCATCAAGCAGCTCTGCAATGGCGAGTTACTTCGACAAATTTTGTCCGAGATGGTTGGCCCACCGACCATGTGGAACGCTATTGTCCAATTCCATCGTAAAAAGGCTCTCGAACACAAAGCCGATCGTGCATTTGCGTGGCTTCTCCTGGAGCTTCTTATGATGGGAGAAATAGGGCCTCACGATACTGGAGATATAGCGCAAGAGATCACCAACCAGCGGTCTTTCATCGATTCTTCTTCACAAGACATCAGAACAATTGGTCATAGGATCAATCATATCCTTCTCACACAGTCAGCAAACGACATTCACGACACAGATTACAGCCCAGGTGGTAGACATGACAACGACTACGCCGATTTCCGGAAAATTGCTATCTATCCTACCGAGGATGAATTAACTTCCACCGAAAAGCCATTCTACCGCCGAGCGAATGCGGTAGATGAAATAGACCTGGAACATCGCGCAGCAGTACATCTCGACAATCAATTTCGGTTGCTGAGAGAAGACATGCTGGCAGAACTGCGTCACGATCTTCAAGTTGCTGCTGAAAAGTCGGGTAAAAATCGTAGAGCCATCAGAATGCGCGGTCTTTCCCTCGTAGGAGTCGATTGTGGCGAGGACAAAAGACGTCTTCCGTTATGCCTGTCAGTCACTTGCAAGTCTGGTCTGGAACGACTCACGAAAGTCCCTGTTTCCGGCCGCAAAGACTTTCTCAACGACAAATACAACCGCAGCTTCCTCAAACATGGATCACTAGGATGCTTGATTCAAGGAGACCATGTGACTTCATTTGCTACCCTCCACCGGAAGCCGGATAAGCTTAGTATGGACCCACCGATAGTGACATTGCAGTTTCCTGAAGGGGCTGCCCTTGAAAAGGCTCTTCTCGCATTCAAGACATCGAAAGACTTGCAATTCATGCTGGTTGACACGGCGATGTTTGCTTGTGAGCCTATCTTGAAATGCCTGCAAAGCAAGAAAGAGTTGCCTCTTGCCGAGGAACTTTTGGCTCCAGGAACTGAAGAAGCTCTTCGTATTTCTCCTCTAAGGCCTGACGAAGTGATTCAGAAAGTAGAGGAAAACGAAGGCCATTGTCTCGAGGAGATCTTGAATATTGGAAAGTCCATCAATCTGGACACTTCGCAGACTGAATCGCTTTTGTCAGGACTGGCTCAAACTGTCAGCCTTATTCAAGGCCCTCCAGGTACTGGCAAGTCGTTCATAGGCGCTTTGCTTGCGAAGAGCTTGTACGACCATACAAAACAAACAATCCTTGTCATTTGCTATACCAACCACGCTCTAGATCAGTTCTTGGAAGACCTTCTTGATATCGGCATTCCAGAGCATGATATGATTCGTCTCGGTGCAAAGTCGAGCCAAAAAACCAAATGCTTGAGTCTGTCAGAGAAAGCACGACAAAAGAGACGATCTCAAGACACATGGAGGCTCATTGACAAGCTCAAGGAGGGGGCCCAGGATAGCGAAGTTAAGCTGAAGAGCTCACTGAGTTCATACCTCAACAAAGGTATTGAGAAAATGGCCATCATGGAATACCTAGAGTTCTCTGATGATGAGTCACACTACTTTTACGCTTTCCTTGTCCCAGAGGCAGAGGACGGCATGAAAAAAGTTGGTAAAGGAGGTAAGGCGATTGATCCTTACTATCTCTATGATAGATGGACTCAAGGACGAGATGCCACTCCCTTCAAGGAGAGCGTGGAAAAGGATCACCCTTATGTCTGGCAAATGGCCAAATCAGCAAGGGCAGAGGCCGTTGCCAGATGGAAACTCGCCCTTCTAAAGGAGGCTGTCGCTGATATCCAGGGATCAACATGTACCTACAACACCCAGCAACGGCTGTTGCAAGATACCCTAAATGGTAGGGACCTAGAGGCTATCCGTGGACACAGGATCGTAGCGTGCACGACCACCGGAGCTGCTATGTACACTCAGCAGCTACAAGGAGCATCACCAGGGGTTGTACTGGTGGAGGAAGCTGGCGAAATTCTCGAGAGTCATGTCCTAACCGCCTTGACATCAAACACCAAACAGCTTATCCTAATAGGCGACCACCAACAGTTGCGTCCGAAAGTCAGTAACTATGCTCTAACCGTGGAGAGAGGAGATGGATACGATTTGAACAAGTCTCTTTTCGAACGGCTCATACTGTCTGGGTTTCCGCATACCACACTGAGGGAACAGCACCGCATGCATCCAGAAATATCATCCCTCGTGAGGCGTCTTACGTACCCAGAACTCCTAGATGCCCCAAGCACCAAGAATCGACCACCGGTCCGTGGCTTGCAAAATAGAGTCATATTCTTCAACCACCAACACCCTGAAGACGAGATGAAAGGCGTGGCGGATCGACGCGACCAAGGCTCATCCGTCAGCAGAGAGAATCTGTACGAAGTTGAGATGGTTTGGAAGATCGTCCGCTACCTGGGGCAACAGGGCTATGGTACCGACAAACAGGTCGTACTCACTCCATACCTTGGCCAACTACACCTCTTGCGAAAACGTCTTAGCGTTGATAACGATCCGGTGTTGAACGACTTGGATTCTTACGACCTCGTCAAAGCGGGCCTTCTCTCGCCTGCCAGCGCCCAGCAATCGAAGCGCCCAATCAAGCTTTCTACTATCGATAACTACCAAGGAGAAGAGAGCGAAATCATCATCGCAAGTCTTACTCGTAGCAACAGGAATGGCGATATTGGGTTCATGTCATCCCCGGAAAGGCTCAACGTCCTGCTTTCAAGGGCACGGGATGCACTTATCTTGGTTGGAAATGCAGAAACCTTCCTCGCTAGTCGGAAAGGTAAAGCAACTTGGAGCCCGTTCCTAAACCATCTCAATGAGAATGGGCATTTTTATGATGGGCTACCCGTCAAGTGCGAACAACATCCAGACGTCAAGGCTATCTTAAAGGACAAAGATGATTTCGACAAGCACTGTCCCGAGGGCGGATGCAATGCTCCTTGCGGAACAAAGCTCAGCTGCGGAATCCATGACTGCCCTTCTCGCTGTCATCAACTTTCAGATCACTCCAAGATGGAATGCAACCGGATTGTAACTTCAACATGTCCCCTCAACCACAACCATTCTCGGAGATGCCATACAAAAGCTCCTGCCGTTTGCCCGACATGTGAGGCTGAGGCGCGAAGGAAGCTCGAGAAAGCGGAGAGAGACCATAAGTTGGATGAACAACAGCAAAGGAAACAGCAAGAGTATGCACGGCAGCTGTCGGATGTAAAGGATGAGATTGCCCATGAGCGGCGTATACGAAAAGATCGCCTGGAACAGGAGAACAGGGAAAACATCCTCCGACAACACCGTGCAGACTTGGCGAACTTGAGAGCGGGATCAAATCAGCCACAGCCCAAGCCAGAACCCACTTATCCCTCCAGTGCTTCCCCTCAAACTGCCAACAAGGAGAACAACAATGCCCCTGTATCTCCTAACAAAACCAACAATTGCCCGAAAGGTGGCGATGAGAATGGCCAGATCAAACAACAGAGCCAGCCTATACAATCAGATGCAAAAGACGAATGGGAGAATCAAAAACAGTTCGAAGGAGCGCAGAATGATGCACTAGATGAACTGATGAAAATGATTGGGCTCGAAAGTGTCAAGGACAAATTCCTCGCGATCAAAGACAAGATAGACACAGCTGTCCGTCAGAATGTCGACATGAAGACAGAAAGGCTTGGTGCCGCTCTTCTAGGAAATCCTGGTACTGGAAAAACAACAGTGGCTCGTCTCTATGCCAAGTTCCTCAGTTCAGTAGGCGCTCTTCCAGGCAGTTTCATGGTCGAGACCACTGGCTCAAGATTGGCGAATGAGGGAATCAGTGGATGCAAGAAGCATATTGAGGACATTCTTGATAATGACGGAGGAGTGCTCTTCATCGACGAAGCTTACCAACTGGTATCCCAAGGCAACTTTGGCGGCAGTCAAGTACTCGACTTCCTCCTTGCAGAAGTCGAGAACCTAACAGGCAAAGTGGTATTTGTCCTCGCCGGTTACCAGAAGCAAATGGAGGCTTTCTTCGCGCATAACCCTGGCTTGCCGAGTCGCTTCCCGAACGAGATGCAATTCGCAGACTACAATGACAAAGAGCTGCTCGAAATTACAGTGTACGGAATCAACAAGAAATACCAAGGCCGGATGAAGGTAGAAGATGGGATGAGGGGTCTCTACGCCCGTATTTTCGCCCGTCGGGTCGGTCGTGGAAGAGGCCGAGAGGGTTTCGGCAACGCACGCGCGATCGAAAATGCACTGGCTAAAGTGACCGACCGACAAGCACGCCGGCTTCGGAATCAGCGACGAGCAGGAACGCGCCCCGATGACATGATTCTCGTCAGGGAAGACCTCATTGGTCCAGAGCCTTCCGTTGCGCTTCAAGGCAATGAGTCTTGGTCAAAACTTCAAACGATGATAGGCCTTGGAAGCGTCAAGCAAGCCATAAAAGCATTCTTTGATACCATTCAGTACAACTACCAACGGGAGTTAGCAGAAAAGCCTCTTATAGAATTCTCTCTGAATCGTGTGTTTCTTGGTTCGCCCGGTACAGGAAAAACGACAGTGGCAAAGCTATATGGACAGATCTTGGCGGACATTGGATTCCTCTCCAGCGGACAAGGTAAGTCTGTTTTTTCCAACGCATACTCAGTTACTGACAAGCGAAGTGGTCGTCAAAAACCCCGCTGATTTCGTGGGAAGCGCACTCGGGGAATCAGAAAAACAAACAAAAGGGATTCTAGCATCTACTGTCGGCAAAGTCCTTGTCATAGACGAAGCTTACGGGTTGTGCACGGACTCCAACGATATCTATAAAACCGCAGTGGTTGATACCCTAGTAGCAGAAGTTCAAAGCACGCCAGGAGAAGACCGCTGCGTGCTCCTGCTTGGGTACAAAGACGAGATGGAGAAGATGTTCAACAACTCTAATCCCGGCCTTGCGAGAAGGTTCCCGATCGACTCTGCTTTCGTGTTCGAGGACTTTACTGATGATGAGATACGACGCGTCTTCGAGATGAAACTGAAGCAGCAAGGCTTCCAAGTAACCGACCAGGGAAAAAACATTGCTCTAGGCATGCTCAGCCGAGCCCGGAACAGGCCAAATTTCGGAAATGCTGGCGAAGTTGATATCCTCCTGAACAAAGCCAAGCTCCGCCATCAGCAGCGCCTCTCGCGCGGAGGTCCAGCAGTAAAAGTGTCTGCAAGCTTCGAGGCAACCGACTTCGACGAAGATTTTGACAGAACCAGTCGGGCTGCCACAAATATCAATAAGCTGTTCGAAGGTGTCATAGGATGCGAGGAGATTATCGCTCAATTACAGGGCTACCAAGCAATAGTGGCCAACATGAGAGCTCGGGACATGGATCCTCGAGAGCAGATTCCGTTTGCGTTTCTGTTCCGTGGCCCCCCAGGTAATTACTCCACCGTTCTTTTAAGACGCATGCACTAACTACATTCTTGAACAGGCACGGGAAAGACAACTACCGCAAGAAGAATGGGCAAAGTTTACTATGACATGGGCTTCCTATCCAATGCTGAGGTAATCGAGTGTTCTGCCACAGAGCTTGTCGGCGAATACATTGGACATACCGGACCAAAGACACAAAAACTCTTAGAGAAAGCTCTAGGAAAAGTCCTTTTCATCGACGAAGCATACCGTCTGGCAGAAGGCCAATTTGCCAAGGAGGCCATGGATGAGATCGTCGACTGCCTCACAAAGACGAAGTTTGCACAGAAGCTGGTGGTCATCCTGGCGGGTTATGATGCCGATATCAACCGCCTCATGTCCATCAACCCTGGATTAACAAGCCGTTTCCCTGAAACGGTCGTTTTCAGGTCAATGACTCCTGAAGAGTGCCTCAAGCTTTTCACACAGTTGCTCAAGCGCCGTCTCGACGTCACAGTTCTCGAACAACCGCCAAATGATCTCCAAAAATCTGTCCTGGCAGCATTCAGCCATCTTTCACAGCTGGCCAACTGGGCCAATGCTCGCGACGTACAGACACTAACCAAAGCTGTATTCGGCAAAACCATCAGCGCCGCCTCAGATCCGAAAAAGAAGTTGGTGGTCGATGAGAATGCCATCATCGAACAGCTTCAAAAAATGATCGACGAACGATCGCATAGAGAGCGCAATGCTGCTGCTGGACCGTCATTTCCAAGCCTACCTCAGGCACCCTTGTCAGCGCCGAACAAGCAACTGCAGCTACGGACTAAGCAGGATACTAACGTTTCTTCTGGCGACGCAAACTTGAATGCTGAAGCTCCCAACGGGCATGATTGCGAGCCGCAACAACCTCCAGTGAAACCGAAACAGACTACCGCTCAGCCGCAAGAGCCTTCGACAGCCAGAGACCAAGGTGTCAGCGATGCGGTTTGGGAGCAGCTGCAAAGAGACAAAGAAGCAGCACAAGCCCGAGAGAGAGAATACGCAAAGATGCTCGAAGAGGAAAAGAGGCTTCAGAAGAGTGTTGCAGACGCGAAGGCCGAAGAGGAAGCCGCAACAGCCGAGTACGTCCGAGAAATCGAAGAAATGGTCCAGCTCCAGAGAGCGAAAGAGGCAGCAGAGCAAGAAGCCATCAGAAAGGCAATCGAAGAGGCTAAACGCCGCCGCGAAGAAGAGCGACTGAAGAGGGAAGCTGAGCGACGTGCCTATGAAGCCATGTTGGCTGAAGTTGCAAGAAAGAAAAAAGCGGAGGAGGAGCAGAGAAAGAAGGAGGCAGAGGTGCAGAAGAAATTACAGGACATCGGCGTGTGTGTAATGGGCTTCAGGTGGATCAAGCAAAGTGGTGGATACAGATGCGCGGGGGGGTCTCACTTTGTGTCTGATGCGCAGCTTGGTATGTAATGACCATCATGACTTGGTGTGATGGAGTTTTCTGGAGTCAAGTTAGTAGGCCAGGCCCGATTGAACTAATCGTGGCCGGTATAAGACTGCAAGAGCAGCTTCAGTCTTCAGAGATAGCCAAAGAATCTATTTCCTGATGGTCTCACAATATGGTTTATCACTGTGAAGCCATGTTCCAGTTAAGCCTATGGAAAGCTCTATTCATTTGATGTTTACTGTTCACATGGGTTCCGAGAACTTCTGCAACCGCCCGCGAAAAAAGGACACGACATATTCAACCAGGCCGTGAGTTACAAAATATGGCTGAATTATAAATATACGAATAGCTTTAAATTTTAGTCGACTGTTATTTCTCTCGGCTTACTACGTTTATATTCCTATATTTATATTTCTATACGCTTAAACTCTAATATATTCTACTACCCTACTTCCGTCCTTTTAATACCTCCTACACTCTTACTCCCTTCCTAATTTTTACTCGACTCTTATTTCTCTATAGATACGCTACTCGTGCTTAGCTTATCTACTTCCTTTGTACCGTTACCGATCTCGGATCACTAGCACTATAACCCTATTTACTTATCCTCTAGAACGAACGACGTACCTACTTACCTACCTACTTATAATCCTTCCTAGATACTATTACTAAAAACCACGCCCTATACCCTAGGTACTTACCTAGAGTACTCTAACTAGAGTAGGTATCCTTTCCCCGCCGCCAACTACGTACGTAAGTGTAGGTAGCATACTCTACTCTAGCAGCAAAACAGCCTATCCATAAGCACGAACGGCACTTGGGCATTCCCTCGCGCCGCCTCCGCAGCCACTTTAGCACTTCCCCACCGCACCCCCAAAAAACCCCAACGCCAACGCCATCACCACCACCATCATCATCGCACCCAGCGCCTCCTACGTAACTAAGGTACGGCCCTCTCATCCCTCACCCGCACCTCAAACCCCGCCCATGCATTGCGTGCTTGCTCGCGAGCTCGCTACCCCTTTCCCTCACCCCCTCACCCCAAACAGAAAATCCCCAAGACCCAAGACCAAGACTCCACACCCACGAGGCCACCCACGCACCCACCCACCGCACCGACCACCAACGCCAGCCCTACCGCCGGTGCCGCCGATCCCAACCCCGTCACGTACCTACTACGGCTTCCCCGCAAAGACCACCAACCGTGCCGGCAGCCTCTGCAGCTCGCAACCTGCGACTTGCGACTTGCGACTTGCGACCTCAAATCCAGCCGTGCCTGGTGCCAACCAGCGGCCACCAAAATCAGCTCAGCACTCACTCACACCGCCGAGCTTGCGCGGCTCCGCCCCAGCCCCAGCCCCTGCGCATCACTCAGTCGTGCTCGCGTGCGCGCCTTCGAGAAACGCTCCAGAAACGCCGTCGCTTGCGGTCGTGCGTGCGTGCGATCCTCCTGCCAATGCCAAAGCTTCCTGCCTGGTGCCCTGCCTCCTGCCTCCTGCCTCCTGCGACACCGCCAATGGGGCGCGCGGCGTCATCGCCGCCTGCGGCCCGCCACTTGCCGCGGTGGTGACGTCGGCGCGGTTTGCGGCTGAGCTAAGGTATGTACGAGTAGAGAGCGATCGCCGGGTTAGTGCGGCAAATCTCGCAGCGCGCAGCCATCGCGACGCCGCTGACCTAGTTACTGTAGAGTAGTTACCTAGAGTAGAGTAGAGGACGCTAGACGCCAAGCTGCGTGCCTGCTGCTGCTGCTGCTGTTTGCGTACGCAGTACTACGGACGCGCGATCGACTGCTGTAAGACATGGGTTGCGTTGTATGTGTGTATTGTATGTGTGTGGTGAGCGCACTGCCACCGCACGCTCGATGTGTGTGTGTCGCAGCTTGCAGTGTCGGTGACCGACTGACTGACAGACAGAAGGACGGCTTGCGTCGGCGTCTGTGTTGCTGACTTTTTGTTCGCGCGCGAGTGTCGGTGTGTATGAGTGAGGGGACTCGTCTCGGTGCCCACGGTGCCTGCCACCTGCCTAAGTATCATCAGCGGGAGAGCTCGCCTCGGCGAGGCGAGACGGAGACAAGCGGAGACTGCAGGACAGGGCTGTGTGCGAGTGGTAGGTAACGGTAAAGAGCGACAGGGGCAGCGGCGCACGGATGCGCGCAGAGATGAGATGAGATGCGCTGCGATGCGCCCTGAGTATCGAATTAGGAAAGCGACGAATGCGCGAGGAGGACAGGGAGGCAGGGAGGCAGTGAGGGAGTGAGGCTGAGACTGGGTGTGCTCGTGCTCGTGCTCGTGCTGGCGTGGGGAGCGGAGGCCGTGTGTGGGCGGCCTGTCTGGGTGCTGGCTGGCTGCCTGGATGTCTGTCTGGAGGTACTCTACAAAGCGCGCAGCGCACCTCGCCGCCAAGAGCGTTGCCATTGCCGTTCCATACGTAACCAAACCCGGTCCCGGTTCCGGTCTCGGTCTCGCTAACTAACTAACCACCTAACCAACCAAAAGCCGCCAATAGCAACTCCGCGGCACTGCGGACTAACTATGTAACCTACTCGTACCTTACTCTACGAGTACGACGGACGGCAAGCCGGAGAAACCTACCTAAGTAGCCAAAACCAAAGCCCAACTACCCGAAAACTTCGACTACTGCCGCGCGTCAGGGCGCCAGCCAGGGTGTCAGGCCGACAGCGGCGGCTCGTGCGTGCGCGCACGAAGGACCAAAGGATGAAGGCCTGAAAGGACGAAGGAAGGAAGGCGTCTCGGAGCGATGATGCGACGACAGCTGACGACGGGGTGATGGGGATGACGACGACGGCAAACGGCGTGTGTGATGTGTGCGTGCCCGATGCTGTTTGTGGGGTGAGGGGAGCTGGGGTGCGGGATTGCGGGATTGCGGGTGCGGGTGCGGGTGCGGGCTTCTGGAATGCTCTGGAGCTGTTCTGGGGCTGTTCTGGAGGACCGGGAATGGGGTCCCGCGTGAGATGCTGATGGATGATGGCAGACCTATCGGAGCTGGCGGGAGGGGTGAGGGGTGAGGGTTTGCTTGCTTGCTTGCGGTTTGGCTGCTGCTGCTACTGCCCGACAAGGCCGGAAGCAGCCGCGCAGGGCAGCAGAGCCATCCGCGCCGTCGACGCGTCCCTAGGTAGAGTACTTCGCGTAGAGCGAGTAGAGGATGGCGCGCGCTTCTGTGTAGAGTATGATATTTCAGTGAGGTCCTCAGTCCTTCCTATACCATCCATCACCATCCTTATCCAAGCAAAAAACAAAAAAACACAAAAAGCCACATCATCATCCCATCCCAGCCCAGCCCATATATCTCCCCACACCCCCCTCCCCACACCGCACGCCGCATACCTCACCCTCACCCCATACAGCACTCCACACACCACCATCACCCCCGCATCGAACGCGAGACACGCCCACGCCCTTTCCAACAAATACCTACTCTAGCTAGGCGAGGACGCCCGCGTCGCGGCCCGCCCAGGCCAGTCCCGCCCTGCGCCGTGGCTTGTCCTGCCCTACCTTGCCTTGTTTTCCTGTTTCACGCGCGCAGCTGAACTAGACTAAGCTGAAGAAAAACAGCGAGGTGAGGCGAGGCGAGGAGCTGAGCTGAGCTGAGTAGAGTAGAGTAGAGGGCCTAGGAGTACGAGGGAGGGAGGGAGGGAGGCAGGGAGATGAGATTGTCCTGTCCTGTCTCTCTGTCTGAAATCGTTAGGTACTCCTAGGTAGAAGGGAAATCAGCGAACCTCAGCCTCACTCCGATCCAATTTCCGCCTTTGTAGCCAATGCAATGCAACCCAACCAATCCCAAGCAATGCAACGCAACGCCCATCTTAACCCACCAATTCAATTCACCAATCGCGCACACAAAGATTTGATATCTTATTGATTTATTGATTTATTTCTTGATTTGATTTGATTCGATATTTGCCATAATAGCAGTGATAGTAGTAGTCTGTCTGCACGAGCGCGCACACACGGCACGCACTCCTCTGCTCTCCCCCCATCCGCGCCGGTCTCTCTCTAAAGTAGATAGATAGATAGACAGCAAGGCAAGCAAGGCCGTAGCCAAAAGCTCAAAACCCGTAAAACCCAATAAAGCAAAGCAAAAGCAAAAGCAAAAGCTAAAAACGACAAGTAGTAGAAAGCGCAAAAAAGGAACAAAGAAAAAGGACAAAGAAATCTAAATCGACGACCGAGACCAACGTCCGGAACAAGAGAAGACGAGTACAGACAGACTGGGTTGTTTAGACAGAGACAGACGAGAGATAGAGGCAGGTAGGTAGGAAGCTACGACTGGACGCCCCCACCCCCTTCATTGTGGTTGTGGTGGGGGCAAGGAAACAGAGACAATGAAACAATGAAATGAAATGAAGATAATCTACAGGGGTATCATCCAACTCCCAAGGCCGTGGAGCGGCGCCCTCTACTGGCGCAACCGCCCGCGACCGTGTTACTTTACTTTAGGTTGTGAGGTAGTATATGGTGTGTTATGTGTGTGAGGGTGTGAGAGAGTATGTTTGAGAGGGTGTGTGAGAGTATGTGTGAGAGTATGTGTGAGGCGTGAGAGTGCGTGGTATGTGTGTGTGAGAGAGAAAGAAGACATTTACGCCGCCGGCGCCAGCCCCGAATCGACGCGGTGATCGCGCTTCATCGTGTAGGCGGACTCGTGCAGGCCGTCCATGGCGGGCAGGTCGTCCGAGGGATCCTCCTCGGGGACCTCGTCGACGGTCGACACGTCCGAGTGCAGCGAGTGAGGGCGCGACGACGCGTCCGACGGCTCCGACGTCGCGGTCCACGGGCGGCGGTTCGAGTAGACAAACGAGCCCTGGTCGAGCACGACAATGTGCTGCTGCAGGGCGAGGGCCTTCTCCGAGAGCTCAAAGTCGGTGGGGCCGCGCAGCTTCTTGAAGTACTGCCACGCGAGGTGCGCGTTGGCCGACTCGAGCTCCTGGCGCAGCGGCTCCGGAACGTCGAGCGCCGAGAACAGAATCGTCCGGTCCGTCCACAGCTTCTCGGCCAGCGCGGGGAAGTCGGTCATGTCGAAGTTGTCGAGGCTGAGGGCGGCCGCCTCGAAGCGGTGGTGCGTGCTGCGATGGCGGAGCAGCATGGCGCGCACCGTCGCCTCGGGCACGCCCAGCTCGGCGGCGGGGATGGTGATGTGGCGGCGGACGTAGGCCTCGGCCAGGGTGCGCTCGTACGTGCGGCCATTGAGCGCCTTGCTCTGGATGCTGGCCAGGCGGTCGAATCGCCGAATGTCCCAGAACTTCTTGAAGCCGAGGTGCTCGACGGTCGGGTCGTGGTTGTAGTCGCAGCACAGGCGCCAGATGAGGAAGCGGCGCAGCTGCTCGATGCGGCGCGGGCGCTCGGCCATGCCTCTGCTGGTGTGGCCTTCGGGCGTGGTGCTGAGGCCGGTTCCGGTGCGCGGGACCTGCTTGCGCGGAATCGAAATGCCGTTGGACTGCTGGGGCGAGTCGACCTGGGCCATTTGCTGCGTCAGGCCATGCGACAGGTCGAGCGATTCGATTGACGGCATCTCGGGGTATTCGGAGCATTCCGAGCCGTAGCTGCCGCACACGGACGAGTCGTAGCTGGCCAGCGACTCGGACTCGCTCTGCTGGGCCTGCTGGGCGGCGCGACGGGCAGCCTTGCGTTGTTGCGAAGGGAGAATGAACTTGGCCGTGTGTTTGTCGCCAATGTCCTGGATGGTGGACTCGCCACCGCCCTGGCCGCCAAAGCCGGCCAGGATGTTGCACAGGGCGGCCTGCTGGTCGATGTTGGAAGGTTTGGAAACCATGTTGGCGGTTGGAGCGGTGGGAACCCGGGGGAGGGTGAAGCGGAGGAGGGCGTGGAGTGGAGGTTGTCAAGATCTTGAGAAAGGAAGAAGAGGATGCGAGCGAGGAACGGGTCAAGTACAAGTAGTATTGCGGGGGAGTATCCTCTGGGGGGCTTGGCGGGCCTATGCCATCATCTCGCGCGCCAAGGCCCCAAGGCCCGAGAGCGAAAATCGGTCAAAAAAAAATCTGGAGCGTGCGCGCCCTGGAAGCCAAGAGGTGCACGGCAGCGTCGGCAGAGTGAGGCTCTGTCCTGCACGAATAATCCCTCACACAATTCTGTGAGTGATTTACAGGTAGACCCTAGCCACCGCACCTACGAGTAGCTTCGTACGAACTCTCAAAATGCTCTGTGACGTCGCCCAGCCCCCGCATGCAGCGAAGAGGAACAACTCAATAATCCCACGCGACCTTGATTGACTGACCGTGACCAGCTGGTAATTCAGCAACAGCAGCAGCATCATCATCATCGCCCGCACATCCCGTCCCGTGCGCGCCTCGCCTCTCTCCCGTCCCTCCTCTCTCTCACACACACACACGCGCACGGCACGACCAAATCCCTCGAATCGGCCCTCGCGCGAAATGAGCATGCGCTTGCTCTAGCGTGGGGCGAGGGCGCTCAAGCGAGAGGCCCCGAGTCGCGCGCGCCCCTGAAAAGCCGGCCGGCCGATTAACGGGCGGGCGCCTATCTCTGCAGCCTTCTGTCCGCGCTATTACTCTTCCCTTACCGTGCCGCGCCGCGCCCAACAAGATTTCTTACGAGTCCCGCACCGCGCTGTGTTTCCGCGGCCTTGGCGGGGGTTGGGGGGGGCGTGGTCGCGCCCGTCGCCCTGATTGGCCACGACACGGCTTTCGTGGCCATTTGCTGTTGTTGTCGTGGCCTTCGCACTAGTTACTTCAGGTATTTGATACATGTAGCAGCTGTTCATCATCATCGTCGGACTTGTTGGTGGTGGCCAGCTAGCTAACTAACGCTGCGGCGGCGTTTGGTGTTTTCGCTGTGTGCTAGCTGCGTGTCTGCCTTGACAGGCTGACACACTCCTTCATGCATCTCACATCCCAATTTGCCCTCTCGCGCCGCCCGTATCCGTATCGGGACGCCCAGGCGTCCCAATCTATCCCTCCCCTCCGCCTCCCGCCCCCGTCTCCCGACGTCTCCCCTCGGTTTGCGACGACGACGACGCCGACGATTGACGGCGACATTGTCATCAACGCGCGCAAGGGACCGCTGCTCCCCGTCCAATACCTGCTCGCTATTGCCCTCTGTACCCTGCGTGCCGCTTAGGAGTAATAATCCGTCCCCGTACACTGCCCTGCCCTGCCCTGCCGCGCGAGCGTGTCATCCTCCGACACCGACCTGAATCCTGAATCCCATCTCTTACCTGGGGCGACGGCGACAACGGCGACAACAGCGACGACGGCGACAACAACAACGAGTACGAACGACGTGGAGGAGCGCGCGCACGAGCACGAGCTACAACGCCCGCCGAAGGAAGCGGGCTCCCCGTCGTCTAGCATCCATGGAACAAGCAAGCTCAAGCGGCCGTTTCGCGATCCGTCTTCTTTGCCGGCAGGCAGTAGGCACTCGGCTCCCCCGTGCTCTGCGGTCTGCGGTCTGCGGTCTGCGGCCGCGCGCGCGCCGGGGATCATGCCTGCGGCGCGCGTACTCTAACGCTGCGTGCAAGACACACTATCCGTAGGCTCCGTCCGCTCCGTCCTCTAGGCAAGCGAGCGCGTGCGTGCGGGCATGCTAGGTAGTTAGCTACGGCAAGTACGGATCCGTAGCTTTGCTGCTGTGCTGTTGTGCTGTGCTGTGCTGGCCTGGCGCCGCTTCATCCATATCCGCGACGCTGGGGCGAATGGGAGGCCAGAGCCGCCTAGAGTCAAGAACCGCCTTTCCTCGCTGATGCTTGCGATGCTGACACTCACCGCCGCAAACTTTTTTGCTTGCTTGCTTGCTTTCTCTTTGTCCCTGTCCCTGTCCCTGTCCGACATCCTAAATCCGACCTCACCTTCCTGTCGGTGCCGGTGCCGAGGCCTGCGTACCTGCGTAGGTCCTCTTGCCGAAGTAGGCAGGACCACACGTGCGTGCGCCTTTTCCGTACCTAGTCTACACCTAGGTCGTGAGTCGTAGGTCCTCCCGCCCGTCTTTCCTTGTCCACAGCTGTCGCTGTCACTGCCACGCATGCGCTCCATTCCATTCCATTGCAGTCACACTTGAGACTGTCGCCGGATCTCGCCCTCGCCAGCACCAGCCAGCGCTACACCGACTCTGCGCCTGCGCCTTGGACACGCCCATCGCATCGCGTCCCGGCCCCGGGCCTAGTGATGCAGATAAATAGGCAGGCATCCATGTATTCAGGACGAGACGTACTCCTACAATACCACCTCCGCAGCAAAGATCGGCAAGCGCGCTTCTCGAAGCCGTCAATCCGTCAATCCGTCAGGCTGGCCGTGGTCTGTGGTCTGTGGTCTGTGGTCTGTGTGGTGAGACTCGAGCGCAGGGCAAAGCAGGGCAGCGGAAGGAACGGGGGGCCCGAGGGGCGGTGGCACTGGCACTGGCACTGGCGCTGGCGGCTTGTTGGCTTGTTGGTGGTGTGGTAAGCTGTTGCTGTGTTAAGCTGGGTGCTGTTGGTTGGTTGGCTGTGGCGGTGGCTGTGGCTGTGTAGGTCGAAGGATGGATGGATGGATAAGAGGTGGGTGTGTGCGTGGGTGCGTTGCTTCCTACTACGTAAGGTAGGTTGTGAGCGCAGCCTGCTGCGCCGGTGCCTCGTCACTAGGTAGGTAGGTAGGTATCATGCGAAGAGGAGGAAGAGGAAGAGGAGGCGGAAGAGGGCGAGGACTCGAACGAGGGCGCAGCGAAGCGCAAACCGCAAAGACGAGCGCAACGAACCTCTCATCTCATCTATCTCAACCGCAGACACCCAGACACAGACACAACCGCGCACGTCTATCGCAGATATTGTATTGTATACGTACGCGGCACCCGCACCCGCACCCACACCCGCACGCAAACCCACACCCAGACCGAAGCCCAGACTCAAGTCCAAGCCCACGCACAGGCACAGGCACAGGCACAGGCACAGCAAAGCAAAGAGCAAAAACAAGAGCAAGGAGCAAGGGACCAAACGCTCCGCTAGGCACCATGCTTGCACACTCCCGGCCCAGATCTCCCGGCGCACACGCCCACACCCACCCAGCACGGGATCGCGGCACGCACGGTGCGAGCACGAAACAGCAGGGCGTGAGGCTGGCAGTGGCGGCATTTTTTTTTTGCGTCGTCGTCCCTTTGTTCGTTTCGTTTCGTTTGTTGCTCTTCGGCCAACTTGCGCTGCTTTGTGGTCTGCTTTGTGGGCTCCGCTGTGGCGAGTCTCACGAGCTGGCGAGTCAAGTCGAGGCTGTCGACTTCACGCACCACTCCACTCACTGCACCACAACATTCATGCATGCATCCACCCATCCGTTCTCGGCCTCGGCATCGCCCTCGCGGCCGTAGCAGCAGCAGCGTCGTGCTAGGCAAGTAAGCACGTCCGCGACACCCAAGGTAGTGGGAACCCGGAACTGGGAAGCACAAATAATAGCGCGGGGATCAGCGCAGGGCGAGGCGAAGCGACGAGCGATAAGGAACAGAGTCAGAGACAGAGTCAGAGTCAGACGGGAGGGTTAGGGTAAGGTGAGGTGACGAGCATACGTGCGCGGCTTGGCTTGGATTGGAGTTGGGCACGACGCACGAGTAGGTGGGATGGCGATCGATATCTAAGGTTCCATGTAAGGTGAGGTGAAGTTGCGTGACACTGACTGACGGTCACGGAGCGGGACGGCGGGCGCAGCGGGTCAGATAAGATGACTTAGGTTTGGCGATGGGGATGGATGGGGTGACGGGGATGACGGGAGGAGGGGCGGTGCGTCGTGCGTCGTGCGTCGTGCGTCGTGTAGTGTGGTGTGGTGTGCTGTGCTGGTAAAAAGATATCCGTACTACGTACCTAGGTACCCAGGCCTTAACACCATTAACAATAGCAATAGCATGGCCATCTCAAGATTGCGGTAGGTAGAAGCACAAAGCAGAAAGTCCCGCCGGCCATCTCGGCTGCTTCCGGTAGCGGGTAGATCTCGCGTTCGCGCGCTCGTTTGCTCGTTCTGACTGAATCGCGCCTGTGCCCACCTAGTGCCTACCTACCTATTGCAGAGGTGCCGGGTGGAGCCAATACAATATATCCCCTTCCTCCGTACATAGGAGCAGCATTGGCGTGTTTGAGGAGCCGTGGACGAGGTCGAGGTCGAGGTCGAGATCCTGCGCCTGACTCTGCGAGTAGGTTAGGTACGGATTAGAATTGCTCGAACGGCACGGCACGGCATGGCGTTGCCGTCTCTCGCCGATTGTATAGGTCTGCGGCGGCTAGGTATGTCAGACGGCGTGCGTGCATGCGGCGTGCGGCGTGGACATATGCATGCATGCATGCACGCACGCACGCAGTTTTCCATCTCCATCTCCAGGGCGCGCGGCAGCAATTCCGCACTGCCAAAAAACGCCGGAAACAAAACAGAAAACAGAAACAACAAAACAGCGGGTCCTCGCTCCTCAGGGTCTGCACATCCATCTTGGCAAGACCCAAGTCTGCGCAGGCTCTGAATCAGGCGCGCGCCCACTTTGCACTCGCAAGACATGAGAGTCCGGAGCGCCATTTGATGCCGAATGCACGGCGAACGCGCACCTCGCCGAGCCCGAGCCCGAGCCCGAGCCCGAACCACGTTCTCGGATTTCCGACCAGGCGTGCACTTTACCACGTATATTACTTCTAGAGCCTAGGCTAGGTAGGTCGAGCCTAGGTCGAGCCTAGAGCAGAAGCTAGAGGCTAGGTTCCTAGGTATTGTATTGTACCTAGGTAATAGATAGAGTGCGTAGCGATATATTGATTGTTGTATATTATTCGCGCACCTGCACCGCGGGTTTGGATTCTTGGAGAGATGAAGGAGGGAGGCTGGAGTAGAGCGTGGGTATTTTTGGGCACGCCAGCCAGCCAGCCAGCCAGCCAGCCAGCCATGTCATTCGCCCTACCTAGGTAGCCTACCGGTAGTCTGCCGGCGGACATCAAGGTCTACGCGCGAAGCAGACAGACAGACATGGTCGTCGTCCTCACATCCACATCCGCCATCCGCGCCGCCCGCTCCATCCGCACCGCCGCTTCGTCGATGCCACTCTGCCGCACCTCCAGCAACTAGTTAGTCAAGCTAGTCAGCGCAGCCGCGCTTCGCGCCGCACCGCACCGCACCGCAGTAGGGCAAAGGAGCAGAAGGCGGCCAGTCCGCGCGTGGCAGCATGGCAATGGCTTATTCCCGGCCGAGGCTGCGGAAGCAAGCAAGCAAGCGCGGCGATGGTAGCGGCGATCTTCTCTCTCGCTCGCTCTCCCGCCGGCGCCCGGGTGCTGTGCAGCGTGCGGCGTGCGGCGCGGCTGGAGATGCCCTGCCTACCTAGGTAGGAGTAGGTAGATACCCTGTGCGCTGTGGACGGGTTACAAACTCAGCGACCTGGCTGGCTGGCTAGCTGGCTGACTGGCTGGTAGTAGTGGTGGATTGGAACAGAAGCTGAGACGAAACCGTAAACGAGCGAGAGAGACGGTGTGACAAGGTGATTGATGATGATGATTTTTCCGGGCCGCGCCCGGACCATGCCATTCACATCTTGAAATTGAATTGCCTTTCTCCGCCGGCCATGGCTCCGCGGGCCCGTTCTGGCGGTAGATAGGGCGGCAGCAGAGAGCGGCAGGGGCCCGCGGTACGTAGATGCGGTAGGTAGGGTGGTAGGGACGTATCCGTAATCCGTAGGGTAGGCAGCCAAAGCGTCGAGAAGGGTTGACAGCTTTGCTTTGCCAGCCGTTAGTTCTGTCCCCTCCCCACGTCACCAACGCACTCGCATCCATCCATCGCATCGCTGCCCGCGGCGATGATCCAGCCAGCTAGCTAGCTCTCTCAGATGCTGCCACCACACACACAAACGACGTCGACAGCCAGCAAGCAGCCAAGATGCCGCGCCGCAGAAACGAACAACTCACACAGTAGGTACGGAGCAGTCCAGCTGTGCTGTGCCAGCCTCGGTCCCTTCTCCACACTCGCCTCTCTCGTGACGATGCGATGTGCGCGCAATCGTCGCATCCTCCACACCTAAAAACTTGGCCCGGCTGGCCAGGGCATCCAACATTCTTGGGTCTTACGTCAATTCGCCGCTTGGCTTGCCTTCTTTCCCCGTGGCACAGCCCCCGACAGCCAGGTTTTTGGACAAAGGCTGACTGGCTGACACCTCCTGGGCCGCTGGAAACGCCATGCTCGCCGCAGCCGCCAGCCCTACGGAGCAGGTCCTCACAACGTGATGTCTCGCTACCTTCGCACCCACGCCGCGGCTGCATCGGCCGAAAGCCAAAACAAAAACACGAAGTATTGGAGGCGTACTCTGTTGTTGGGCGGCTCGGTGCTTGGCTGCTGCGCGCCGCCGGTCCCTGAGTCGTCTCGCCGACCCGTCTGCCTCCGATTCTTTGACCGCTTCGACTAGGCAACAACAAAGGGATAGTTACGCGCCGCCTTTCTCCGACTTACTCCGCGCCGCCGCGCCGCAACCCGGAGGAGCAAGGAGCGTGGCTGGCGAAGCATCTGATAATCTGTGGAGTGATTTGTTTCAAAGCCAAGCCCCGGTGCTGCCGTCATAGGCTCTTGGCCTAGCAACCACATGTTTCGGGTGTCTGGGGACGCTTGGCGATTGTCAAGAGGTGTGTGTACTATGTGTGTGTGTTGCGCCGAGAGGATCATCCTCGCCTTACCGCTCCCGGATGCCCGAGGAGAAAAAGCAATGCGAACATCTTCTGTCGTGCCAGCTCAGCACGACCACACGACCAACAACGCCCGTTGGGAAATGCTCTTCCGAAAGAAGCTCCGTCGAGAGAGGGATGATCGCGGAGACTTGGAGATGTTTGAAACGCTCCCCGCGTGCCGGGATCGTGTTGCAGTCATTGGTGCTTATCTTTGGGCATGAAAAAACCTTTTGGTGCTGCGTTAAGATGTGCTGCTATTCGACGGTCGACAGGGAAGACTGGGTATGCGATCTCCGCATGGCCGTGCCCAACGTTCACGCTGGCCTTTGCTCCGCCATGTTGCGCAGATTGCTCGGGGAATGGCAAAGTGAGGCTTTCGGTGCCGTCATATGCACATGCGCGGCATGGGCGCGTTCGTTGGTGCGTCCGGTATTCTGGTCCTTCTCGAGCTATCTTGGATTACTCGTTTGGGATACTCGCTGATTGCTCTAGCTGAAGAATGCTGAGGATTGCGAGAGTAGGTAAGTCTTTCTCATTTGGTTGAACTTCAAATTCCGTTTTTCATGAATCCATCTTTCTTCCCCTGAAGAGTCTTCCTTTCTTTTCTCTTACTTCTGGACTGGATGTGCTATCCCTGTCTTAGACAGTCTTATTCCTCAATATCATTTTCTCCCTGAATTTCTTCAAGTCATTGGAAGAATTTCTCTCTTGTCGTCACCGTCGAAGCCGTGGTCTGCATTCTTGAGATTCCAGACTTGTCAGCAATGACGTCTCCTTATTTCCCAGCGTCCGTTCTCCAAGGCCATTGGGATTCTTATACGGACGACAAACCCGGCTGCCATCACCAGGGACAATGTTCAAGTTCCTCTTCTGGATGTCACAGCCCCTGGATATGCATCCGCTTCGGAACCAAATGGCCCTAACTCGAGAAAAGAATTCTTTTGAGCCGCATTCTTTGGTTTGATTCAGCCGGGAGATCGGATAACCAAGCTCTGGCGTGGCATTTGTCTTCAAACCCAAGCAAACAGCATACAGCCATCATAATGCTCCTCCACACGCCATCAAGTCCTTGCTCTTATCCGAGACCCATATGAGTCAAACCACAGTCCAACGGCCGCCGGGATGCGTCCAAGTACCACAACCTCGCCGTTTGCAGTGGTTCTTCCAGAGATGGCCCTCTCCGGCGCCCTAGAGTGGGCATCATGGCGTGTGCAGGCTGCCGCCACCGACGGCTCCATGCAGCTTGTCGACAAAGCGATCTCACCGCTTATGGGCGTGGTTTGCTGCCGATATCCCAGCAGCCTCAAACCCTGTTCAAGGCGTCCGATGTGTTTTCCTCTGCATAACAGCAAACCCATGCAAGCAGCCACGCGAGAGTCACCCGGTATAGCGACAAACGCCTTTCCAACAATCGGAAGCCCCTGACTAGCCCCAGCGCCGTAATGCAACTTGCCGGTATGAAGGACCCTGGGCGTCAGACTGTTGCGGCTGGCTTGATTGTGCTGCTGTTGGTTTCTGCAACGCCGCGAAGCTGCTCGTTCTGCTGCCGGTAGCGAGGCTGTAAAGAGCCGTGGATAGGTGTAGAGGGGACTGCCGGAGTCGCGGTATGCCACCCATTGGGGCTCTGGCTCCTGCTGTTTAGCTGTAGCTACGCCACCGTTGCCATCAATTCGATCGGGCTCTTGCTAGGGCTGTACGAAGCCCCAGATCTGCTGCAGCTCGCATCGTATCCAAGTAGCCGCGCCACCATCGCGACCAGCTCGACCCAGCTCTTGCTAGGCCTCAACGAAGCCTCAAACCCGCTCGCCATGTCGCCGACAGCAATCTTTCGCGTCAGCCTTGAACAGACCCAAAGGGAATCGGTATAATCACGACCCACTCCTCATCGTCTGCTCCAGCTCGCACAGCACCAAGCACCAGTACGGCCGTTTCGCCTGCTCCAGCATCCGCCGTACATGCGCCACTGTCTGCGCCCGCATTTGTGGGTCCCGGAGCCGCTGCTCCGGTTCATTCGTCTCCATGGACACTCGGTCGTCGTATTTCGCCTGTTCTGGCTCGGCTCGCGGTGTTTCGGGCCGCCGTTGGGTGTGCGTGAGGGGATGGGGGACGTGAAAGGTGTCCAAGCTGCCTAGTCCAGACGCCTTCAACGCCGTGGATGACGCGGCGCGTCGTTTTTGCTTCTGGAGAGCTGGCGATAGCTAGCTACAGCGGTCGACCTTCGTGCTGTCTGTCTGTCTGTCTGTCTGTCAGTTGGCCAGCGCGTCCTATTCATGGCGAAAGACACATGCCTTGTCAGCATAGGTCATTATCACTTATCCCGACCGCGCGCTGGAGTGTCCCTCCGAACGAGCGTAAATTCTGATCGCCGCGTCTCTGAAGTCATCGCCAACCATCTCTCCCTCTCAAAACATGGACGGCGCAAAACGCCCCTGCTCTGCTCAAACTCAGGCAATACCAGTGCCAGTGCTAGAGCCAGAGCCAGAGCCAGAACTAGCGCCAGCACCCGCAATCAAGTTTTCCTCTCGATTCGTCCGCGCCGCTGCCGGCCGTCGGCATTGTCACGCTTGCTGCGGAGACGACCTACGAGAGCGGCAAGGCTGGCTGGGTGAACGCGCTGGAAGCTGCTGGAACGCAGCTGGCGCCGGCGCGCCGCATGGCATGGCAGGGCCTTTCAAGGCTTTGTTTTGTGTGTTGGCTTAGGAGATGGCTCCGCGCTGTGGGGTTTTGGTGCTGGTGCTGGTGTTGGTGAGCGCGCTGCTGCTGTGCCTACAGTAGCGGCAGCGCGGCGGGGCCCCTCCGCAAAAGGTCTTGAGTGAGGGCAGGACATGCATGAGCTTTCGATGGCCGGCGAGGTGGTGTGCTGGCTGGACGTTACGACTGCGTTTTTCGTGTTCGGTGCGTCGGTCGTGGTCGGCGGCGGACTTGCCATGCGAGATGCGAGATGGGCTCGCGACGTGCGACGAGAATCGAATCGAAGCCTTCACGCGGCGGCCTGGAGCGCGCTGCGCAGGCGGTGTCACGGTAGCGAAGATGGAAGCAAGTGCAGCACGCGCTGTTCGTCTGTCTAAAGGATATTACAGACAGACAGAGAGACAGGCAGGCAGGCAGACGTTGACCCGACGGCCCCCGCCTCCAGGCTCTCCCTGTTGTAGCTCACCCTACTACAGGGCCGAGCCGAGCAGAGCAGAGCAAAGCAAGCAAACCAAACCAACCAAACCAAACCAAAGGCCAACCAGGCCCACAACCCTCCCTCCCACCTCAAGCAAGCACCCCTACTCCTCCCCCTCCCCCTCCATCTCCCGCTCCCTCTTCATCAACTCAACCCCGACCCTCACCTTCCCAACTCTAAGCCGCACCATCGCGGCATCCAGCCTCGCGAGCACAGAGACGAAGTCATGCCGCACAAGCACGGGCGCGTCTTCAGCAGCAGCGGCGGCGCGGCCCAGCCTAGCCTCAGCAAGGCACTCGGCCGCGGCATTGAGGCTCCCGGCCGCCGTGTCGAGCAGCCGCGCCGCGGCATTCATGTGCGCCTCCGCGGCGGCGAAGTGCTCGGCCTGCTCGCGCTGCTCGGCTTGCGCGACCGCAAGCGTGCGCCGCCTGTGCCGCCGGTATCGCTGGCTGAGGGGGCGCGGGCGCCGGCTTAGCGTGCGTACGCTGTGGGGGGTGGAGCTCGTGAGTAGTACTACTGATGCGGGGCGCGCGTGGGGAGAGGGGTGGAGGGTTTGCTTACGAAGGGGACTGCTGCTGCTGCTCCTGCTTCTGCTCCTGCTGCTGCTGCTGCTCCTCCGGCTCGGCCTCGCTCTGGGTGAGCGGGCGGTCCCTGGCGCATCAGTAGACGTGTGCTGGAAACTTGTCTGGGAGGGCCGTGGAGGTGAGCTTGCTTACGGCTGCTGCTCCTGCTCCTCCTCCTCCGTCTCCTGCCCCTTCGCCTTCTCCTCCTTCTCCGGCTCCATGGTGAGCGCGTCGGGTGTGTGTGAGTGAGTGTGTGAGTGAGTGAGTGAGTAGGTGGGAGAGAGAAAGCGCGTTCGTCGTCGTGGTCAAGGAGGCAGCGAGGCGGCGCGACGGTCGTCTCTCACAACCACCACCTACGATGGGGCCGTGCGCCACGTCGGGCAATCCAACCTAAAAGAGGAGAATCGCCGCCGTTTCTTAATCTCTACGTATAACGGTTCAAGGCGCGCTAGACCAGAGAGCGAAGCAAGAGAAGACTCGGCGTCGTTTTCATCGTCTATAATACAGCACGCGCTCTTCTCCTCTTCTCTCTCCTCAGCCCTGACCCGATCGACCCCCAGCTCCCCCCTAGTAGCTCACCCTACGAGGGATAGGCACAAAGGCCAGGCCGGCCGCTCTCTCTCTCTCTCTCTCTCTCTCTCACACACACACACACACACACACACACACACACACACACACACTCACCCTCCCACGCCCCTAATCCCCGCCAGCCACCTCTCCACCCTCTCCCTCATCTCCCTCATCATTCTGCCCTCCTCCAACCGCCGCTCCGCCCTCCTCCGCTCCCGCATCAGAACCCCGTTCTCCACCCGGTGGCGCAGGAAGCGCGCGTAACGCGCCGCCGCCACGTCGACCTCCTCCTCGGCGAGAACGAGGGCGGTGGTAGGCGTAGTAGGCGTGCGGGCGCGCTAGGGGAGCCTAAACGCCCGGATAGTGGGCGGCGGGGCAGTGGTGACGGCGGTGGCGACAGCGGTGGTGGTGGTGGTGGTGGTGGTGGTGGTGACGGCGGCGCCGGCGGCGGTGTTCTCGGCCTGCGCGGCCGCGTTGTCCTGGGTGGTGGAGCGGGCGCTGGGGTAGTAGTCATGGGGATTCTCGCGTGAGGAGATGATGGTTTACTTACGACTGCTTCTGCTCCTGCTGCTGCTGTTCCGTCTCCTTCTCCTCCCTCTCTCCCTCCCTGCTCTGCTCGGCCTTCGCGGCCTCGGTCTCCTCCTCGGCGTCGGCGGCGGCGGGGCGGGCTCTGAGACGCGTGAGGAGGTGAGTTGTGAGGGAATGGAGGGCGGTTGCTTACGGCTGCGACTGAGGCGGACGAACCTCCTCCTGCTTCTTCTCCATCTCCTTCTCCTCCGTCATGAGGGCGTTGTGGGGTTTGTGTGGTTGTTGGTGGTGGTGATGAAGGTGCGTTCGTGGTGGTTGTTGGGTTGGTGGGAGCGAGGCGGCGGAGGGTGGTTTTGAGCGCGGCGACCGGCGCCTTTCGGCTTAGGAAGTCGCGCTTGGCCTCTGCGCCTATTGCGCCTTCCTGACGGTGAAGCCGCTCAGTGTCTGCCTGGCTTTCCATCTGGCGTCGCCCTGACCCACTTAGCAGCACCACAAAGCTGGGGGGGGGGTGCTTCTCCATTGTCACTGCACCGAGCAGGCCATGGCAACTTGGCCTTCAACAGCCCTTACACGAGTTCAGCGCGTTCAATGCCTTCGCGCGCCCAGCGACTGACTGCTCACTGATTGACTGAACATACGCGCACGGAAGCACTCACAACGCTCATGTAACAACACAGCACAAAAGCGAATTCCATAACTTGACCAGCGCGGCTCCCCGCTCTCTCGTACACGGCTTCGCCCTTTCCATCGGAGCGACATTTTTGGTGGGATTTGGCACATTCTTGGAAATTTTGTGCCACTGGCAACCCTGGGAGGAGCAGTATTTCTTCACTCTAACTGACACCCACTCCTGGATATACGGGGCCATGCTGCCAACAGAGGGTCCAACATCGCCCCATATGGACGCAGACGAGACCCGTGTGAAGCAGCGAAACAGTCCTCCAAGCCAGCCAGCCGTACTCTTCATATAGACACAACCGCGTCGTAACTCTCTAGCAGGCACAATACCGCGTAGGCATGGATTCCTTTACCGACAGACGAAGTCCAAATGTAACTAAACACTCGACCATCATTGGATGCAGACGCAGCCGGCACTCAGCGATAGTCAGGCCTCTCTCACCATCTACGCGCTTATGTATACAATCATCACACCCAACCATCTCCACAGCTGGACAACCACAGTGGACACCGGGGGCAGTAGCTCCAGCCGTATACAGCTAAAGACCTAGGCACACGCTACTCTCGACCGATGGTGCAGCCCGTCAGCTACGCACTCACTCTCACCGACCCTTTCCAGACGCGCATCGATGCAGAACTCACAATTGAGCGTCGATTGAGAAAAAAGAAGGCTATCAGAGACGGAAGAACAGCTGACGAAATCCGGGACATCGCCGTCTACATGAAGGCTTACAGGGAGGGGCGCAAAGCGGCAATGACAGAAGCGGACAAGGCCGAGCACCGAAGGAAGGAAGCGCAGAGATGGAGGGAGACACGAGCGAAGTGGTCGCCCGAGACGCGGGCCTCCAAGAACAGGCAGAGCCAAGTTCGGAAAAGGTTCGTTCGCGAAGAGTCCAACAAGGATCCCGAGAAGAGAGCTGCGCGCCTTGCTCAACAGAGGCTGGACACGGCCAAGTGGAAGGCAAAGCGCGACCCTGGTGAAGTGATGCACAATGCGAAGATGAGGATGAGAAAGCACCGCGCAAGTAAGAAGGAGAAGAAGGTCCAGGAAGAGCGAGCCAAACACAAGGGCACTTGGGACGCCTTCCTCATCAAGGGATAGCAAGGTTCCTGTCAAGGCATCACTGTCTGGTCGTCTGGCAAGTTTCTGTCGAGGAATCGCTGTCTGGTTGTCTGGTTTCATGCTTACCTATGTTTGCTAGCGCTACCCATAGTTGAGCCTGAGTTCATTTTGCAGGATTTCGGCAGCCGGGCAAATCTTATGTTGCATGAACCTAGGTGGTACTTTAGTCTGGGATTAGTTCACTATTTAGCTTGCATGAAACTCACTTCGAGCTTCCCTATCTAAGCTCATACTTCTAATTCATTTACTACAACTCTGCATACCGTGCTTACCCCATCTACGACTCCGCATATCGTGTTTACTCCACCTTCGCATGCCGTGCTTAACGCACCTACACCTTCGCACATCGCGTTTACTCCACCTCTACACACTACGGCTACCCCATCTACGACTCCGCATATCGTATTTACTCCACCTCCGCACGCCGAAATTACCGCACCTACACCTCCACATATCGTTTTTACTCCACCTTCGCATACTATATCTACCGCTCCTCCGCATAGTACAACTCTCTACTTCATATTCACTACACCTTCGCATACTACGCCTACCCCTCCTCCGAATAGTATAACTCCGCAGATCGTATTTACTACACCTTCAAACACCGCAGTTACCACACCTCCGCATACTTCAACTCTTTATACTTAATTCACAACACCTCCTCATACTCGATTTACAACGCCTCCTCATACTCAATTCACAACACCTTCTCATACTTAATTTACAACGCCTCCTCATACTCAATTCACAACACCTTCTCATACTTAATTTACAACGCCTCCTTAAGCTCAAATTATAATACCTCCTTATAGTCTATTCACAACGCTTCCATATACTCTATTTACAATACTTCTACGCACTCTATTTATCGCTCTTTCTTATAATATATTTACCGTACTTTCTCACGATACTTTTACCGCCCCTTATCACGACACTTTTTTACTACATATTATTAAAAATAAAAATAAAAAAATTAAATAAAAAAAATCTATAGACAGATTATACACACTTAAATATACCCTAGCTGTTCTCGTCTTTCTCCTACCGTAATATAGAGTCCTAGGGCCAAGTTAAGATACTTAAACGTATATATAAGCCTAAAGACCTCTTTACTTTTATCCGAGACTTGGGTATACAGCTAGACATGGAGTATCCTATAGGGACTGCTTGTATCGCTCCCTATCACGCTAGAGCGGGGATATGGGTTAACGGTAGCGGACGTTAAAGTAGGTAGGAAGAGGTTTAGGTATGGAGACGCAGTCATGTCTGCTAAGTACCCTGGGAGTACCATGACTCGACCAATGACGCAGGAGCCTCGGCCACCAAAAGAAGCTTATTCCAACATCCCGCACCCGCTCGTATAGCCAGCCCGCCTCACCGACTTCTTTTTGCTTTCTCCTCTTCCCGCTCCCAGCAGCAGGACGAGACCTCGGCATTGGACATGGCCGCGCGCTCGTCGACCGTCGCCTAGGCCTCCTCTCCTCTACCTATGACGCCGCGATAGCGCTCGCCTATCCCTCCACCACACCCCACGCTCTCCCGACATGGACGCACCGGACTCGCATGCGCAGCGGCGCACACGCTCCTCGACCTCCAAAGCCGCAGCGGAACCGCTTGGGCGCGCCGACACGCGCGCGACGGCGTCGACGCATAAGCATGTGCCGTGGTGGCAGATACGCTGGGGCAGGGGCATGGTCAACGATGTGCGGCGGCGCGCGCCCTTCTATGTCAGCGATTTTACCGATGCGTGGGACTATCGCGTCGTCCCTGCTACGGTGTACATGTATTTTGCCAAGTACGTGGGTGTTGCACTGCCTACCTTTTTGTGTGGGGATGTCGTTAGAGAGGGTGCTTGGTGTGGAGTGGATTGCTGATGTCAAGGCAGCATTCTTCCCGCGCTGGCCTTCTCGCTCGACATGTTCTCCAAGACGGAAATGAGCTTTGGCGTTAATGAGGTGTTGCTGGCGTCGGTGCTGGGGTCCGTGGTGTTCGCGCTGTTGTCCGCGCAGCCGCTGGTTATTGTGGGGGTTACGGGTATGGTTGTCCTTAGGCTTTATGGCTGGCATGCGGTGCTCATGTTCGTGCAGGTCCAATCACCGTGTTCAACTACACCGTATACGATATCATGGCGCCGCGCGGGACGAACTATTTTGCTTTTATGTGCTGGATCGGGCTGTAAGTGGTTGGCTTGATCTAGCGATTCCCGTCCAGAGCTCACACATTCACAGCTGGTCGCTGGTCATGCACTGGCTCCTCGCCGTCACCAATGCTTGCAACGGCCTTAAATACGTGACGCGCTTCTCCTGCGACATCTTCGGCTTCTACGTCGCGTGCATCTACCTCCAAAAAGGCATCCAGGTCCTCACGCGGCAGTGGGACGCCGGCGACACGTCCGCCTACCTCTCCATCATGATTTCGCTGTTAGTCTTGATGGTGGCGTACCTGGGCGGTGTGGTCGGCAGCGGCAACCTCTTTCATAGATCCGTCCGGAAGTTTCTGGAAGACTATGCTACGCCTCTGACGGTCGTCTTTTTTACGGGCTTTGTTCATATTGGCAAGATGAGGGATGTGGAGTTGTTGACGTTGCCGACGAGCAAGAGTTTCTTCCCTACGATTGATAGGGGGTGGTTTATTCACTTCTGGGATATTGACGTGGCAGACATATTCATTGCAATCCCTTTCGCCATCCTCTTGACGATTCTCTTTTACTTTGACCACAACGGTATGTAATCCAGGCAGAAGGCAAACCCTTTTCACTAACACCCCCCAGTATCCTCCCTCATAGCACAAGGCACGGAATTCCCGCTCCGCAAGCCCGCCGGCTTCCACTGGGACATCTTCCTCCTAGGCATAACCACAGGCGTAGCCGGGCTGCTCGGAATCCCCTTCCCCAACGGACTGATCCCACAAGCGCCCTTCCACACCAACGCACTCTGCGTGACACGCACCGAGCACGACGACGAAGCGGAAGCGTACAAAGGGCACACGCGGCGGGTCGTCGACCACGTCGTGGAGCAGCGCGTGTCGAACCTAGCGCAGGGCCTGCTAACGCTAGGCACGATGACGGGCCCGCTGCTCGTGGTGCTGCACCTGATCCCGCAGGCGGTGCTGGCGGGGCTCTTCTTCGTCATGGGCGTCCAGGCCCTCGAGGGCAACGGCATCACGCTCAAGCTTGTCTTCCTGTGCAAAGACGGCGCGCTGACTCCCGCCAGCGACCCGCTCAAGCGCCTGCGCCGCCGCGCCGTCTGGGCGTTTGTCGCGCTCGAGCTGTTTGGCTTTGGCGCGACGTTCGCCATCACGCAGACGATTGCGGCGATTGGCTTCCCCGTCGTCATCCTCTTGCTCATTCCCGTGCGCACGTGGGTCCTGCCCAGGTATTTCTCGCCGCTCGAGCTCGGCGTGCTGGACGCCCCCACCGCGTCGCCGTTTACGATGGAGAGCGTGGGCGGGAACCATGGCGAGGATGTGGCTGATCCGAATGAGAACGTGGGGGTCGTGGCGACGGGGAGGGAGGGCGAGAGCGGCAGTGGTGCCGAGAGCGATGATGCGGAGCGTGGGCTTGCGGGGTGGTTGGCTGCGCCTGGACAGGCGGGGAAGAGCGTCCGGAGGGCCAGTTTTAGGAGTAGAGAGGGGCGAGAGGGGGACGAGGGGATTGAGTTGGCGGGGGTCGGGAAGGGGAAGGCGAGGTAGTAGGGGGTATGTGTGCTCGAGCAAGATAGAGAACGATACAACCCATCCCCACAGCCCCCTCCCCATCTAGCTACACACCCAACGCCAGACACAACGAGAAGATCTTAGAACACATACATCCGCAACCTAAATCTCTTACTGTGTACTACCTAACGCGATATTAAACAACCCAACCCAACCCCACAAACCCCTCCTCATGCAGCTGCACGCCCAAACACCCTACCCCCATTTCCCCTTCAACGCCATACACTGCCACTACATCTTCGTAGCCCCCAGCTACTTCAAGAGCATCTACAATCCTATTTTTATATCCACACACCTCGCACCCTTCATACCCACCCACTTATACAAAACACCCGCATCACCTATTAACCAACCAATCAAAAAATATACATCCTCAATTCTACCTCATCTAGTCCATACCCATACCCATACCCATCTGTATATACAGTCCAGTACAATACAGCCAACCAATGCACCCGCTAAACTCCACTCCTCCTAACCATAACCATAACAATCAAAAGCGAAAAACCCCCCAAAGAAAACCTACAGCCTCAACCCCCCACCACCCCCCCGTTCAAACAGCCTCCCGAAACTCCACCCCTCATCATCACTGCCCCTCCTCGCACCACCAGCACCCCCCTCATCCTCATCGCCAAACTCGCCCCTCATCCACCTCGGCACCGTCAAAGTCGGCAAATCCGCCGTGTGAGTGTCGAACGTATTGCGGACGCGATGCGTAAAGTCGCCTAGCCAGTTCCCTTCCGCCTCGGCCGCGTCCCGCTCCGCCGCATCGTATACCACTGGCCGGCGTTGGCTGCCGATGCCTGCTCCAGCACTACCAGCCGGGCCCCCTGCCCCCAGTGCCCTCGCCGTCCGCGTCTCCCGCTGCTGCTGTGCGCGCGCCTGCCAAGCCGGGACAGTGGAAGCCGCCGGAGCAGCCGGGGCCGCCGTAGCCGCTGCGCCCGCACCCGCCCCCACGACTGCAGCGCCGAGCGCCGGGCTGCGGGCACCAGAGCGCGAGGGCGTGCCTGCCGCCGCAGGGGAAAGCGTGTTGTTATTGCTGTTGTTGTTTGGCGACGACGCGCCACCGCCATTGCCGTTGCCACCGCGCGGCGCAAGCCCCAGTGCCCCGCCGGCAAGCAGGCCCGAGCCGTGCAGCTCGCGGTCAATGAGCGCGCGGCCCTCGCGCCAGCCTGCAAACGCGTCGTCTGCGGCGTCCTCGTCCTCGTCGCCTATCTCCATGTACTCGCCCAGCCCGACGACGCGCTTGACGCGGGTATACAGGCCGAACAGCGCGGCCGCGACGGGCAGCAGGATGAGCGCGGGGAAGAAACGCGAGAAGCCCGAGCCCAGGGGCGTGAGGTTGATGAGCTTGCCCAAAAACTGGAAGAAGGCCGTTTCTTGGTAGATGTCTTTGGCCAGGAAGGTGATAAAGTTGTAGGCGAGCGGTACCGTCAGCTTGGCGACTTGTAGTGCGTACCAGCAGGCGGACTCCGAGTACGTGTTGCGCCGCACCAGCGCCCGGTTGCCCCAGATCTTGACTTCGGTGATTGAGTAGAGCGCAGAGAGCACCATGTAGCTGAGCCAAAAGGCCGCGATGCACTGGCCGGCGAAGCCAATCTTCCCGCGGTTGGAGTTGGGATGGTGCACGATGGACAAACCAACGATATTGACCTTGTGAGAGATGGACTTGGTCACTTCAGACCAGACAATAGCGGCCGACGCCAGCGCGAAGAAAGCACTGCTGCCGTAGTAGAGGGCCGGGATGACGTAGTTGTGCAGGTGGAAGCGCATGCCAGGGCTGAGCGTGCGGCGGCCCAGCCGGGACCAAAAGTTGTCAGAGCGCCACGAAGCTCCTGCAGTGGCTTCAATTCGCCCGCTCGGACCAGCATCGATGATGGCCTGCGTAAAGACGGCATTGGCGACGAGGCGCGCCCACTCGTCCTCGAAGCGGAGTCTGGCGTGGCGCGCACGCTTGAGCCGGCGCGTCAGCTCGGCGAGGAACTTTTCCGTAATGACAGACGGTATCGTAGTCGGCTGGGAGGTGCGGGGCAACGACGACGGCTGCGATTCCAGCAGCGAAGCGCCGTCGCCGAGCTCCTCGATCCATTCCTGGAAATCGCGCGGGACAGCGTTCCTCTTGGCCCGGAGCTGGACAACCTGCTGCTCGTAGTCGTCCAACATCTCATTGGCGTCCATGAGCTTCTCATGCACCCTCGGCGCGTGGGCCTGGATCCTTTTCAGGCGCGCAGCAACATTGGCGTCTCTCCACAGCCGGCGAGGGAACGCAACCAGACCGTGACCCATCAGATATATGGCCAGAATAAGACCCCAGGCGTAGGCCAACGCCATGACCAGACCCTTCATCGTAGCGATATGGAAGCCCGAGTTGATAAAGAAGTATATCGCGCCGGGAATGCTCACGGCGATGACGATGGCCCAGTACTGGCCGTTGGAGCGGAGCGAGTAGAAGAAGCGCGATCTGGGGGAAAGATAACCGGCGTCGCTATATTCGCCCAGGAGAGGCAGAATGGCCCTATATGCGCACGTCAGCCCCAAGTCACAACGCCGCCTTGGCTCCCCGAGACACGTACCAAGTGAGCGCAAAGGTCAACCAGTACGCGATGCGCCAGCAGACCAGCAGGGCGCGCTGAGGCAACCAGATGCCCCTGCCGCCGCCGTCGTAGCCATCGCCGCCCTTGACGCTGGCCAGGTCAATGGGCACGAGCAGGATGATGCTGGCGGGCAGGACGAGGGCCAGGAAGACGGGCACGAGGAGGTAGGCCGGGGTGCGGCGGATGGGGAGGTAGTAGCGCAGCAGGAGCAGGGTGAGCAGGCCGACGGTGCCCACGCCGATGGCGAAGAAGGCGTTGGAGCCGGCCGAGGACTTGGCTGCGGCTACGATGGACGACATGGTGCTCGAGGATGCTCGGGGGGTGATGCGGTCGTGATGCGGGAGCTAGGGGTGACGTTGCGCTATCATCATTCGGCGGGCACGGCGGCGAGAAGGGCGAGCGAGAGACTGTACGTGGGGAGAGTCGAGTGGACGTCGCAGCAACAACAGCAGGTCGAAAGTGTAGGGCCAGGAGTGGCACCTCCAAGCGAAGAGGGATCGATGCAGGCACGCACGCGCGGCTCGGCCAGCACGCGCCACAGCCTTGCGTCATGCCTGAAAGAGGAAGTCTGAGTGAAACATCGTTTGGCTGACAAACCTCGGCCGGCTGGTGGCGGCATCCCACTTTGTCCCGCCTTGACGTGCTCGCCGTCTCTCCAACTTCCATCCACTTCCGCTCCCACATCCACTCTCACCAACACACACCTCGCCCACCATTCAGTTCCTCCGCTTCTTTTCGCGCGCCGCCAGCCCCGCAACCATGAGCGCCGCCAAGACCAAGGCCCAAGGCATCATCGACGACAACGCCGTCGGTACGAATGGCCCTCACCCGCCTCAGCCAAGCCCGCGTCACTGACAACAAAACCCCTGCCACAGCCGTCTTCAGCAAGTCCTACTGCCCCTACTGCAAGGCGACCAAGTCGCTGCTCTCGGAGATGGGCGCCAAGTTCTACGCCATTGAGCTGGACCAAGTCGGTACGTCGAGTCGCGCGCTCATGATGGAAGAAGAAGAAGAGGAATTGACAGTGTCGTGTGCCTGCAGACGACGGCGCTGCCATCCAGGACGCTCTTCAGGATATGACGGGCCAGCGCTCCGTGCCCAACATCTTCATTGCCAAGAAGCACATTGGCGGCAACAGCGACCTGCAGGGCAAGAAGGGCGAGCTGCCGAAGATGCTGCAGGCCGCCAAGGCTGTTTAGGCTGAGGCTGTTGAAGCCGAAGCTGAGGTCGAGGCCTTTGAGGCTGAGGCCGAGGTCAGGGCCCTTGAGGTCAAGGCTAAGGCAATGCAAAGCGAAGCGGAGCCCTTCCTCACCGAACAAGACAAGACATCCGGGCCCTTCCGGCGCCCCTCCCGTCACTACAGCATTGACGGCCTCCGAACGAGCACAAGTGTCTTTATTTTCCTAGACTTCACGAGCAAGCCATCCAGTGCACGAGTCGAATTGAAGGAAGCGAGGAGGCGAGCTAGAAAGCGTATATACCATTACCAAGATATAGAATTAGGTACGCAATGCGATGCGATGCGATGACTGGATGGATGAGCGTGATGCCGTTTGCGTTGGCGTGTGTTCGTGCGTGTGTCGTGGGTGAGTGAGCTAGCTAACTAGTATGGGTACACGAAGGCGTCTGTCTTCTTAAACCCCCCCGCTTGACATGAGGGGTGCGTGTTGGCTAGGTAGGCACTTATAGGTAAACCCCCCCATCAAGCCCCACCCAGGCAGGCAGCACACAACCGCAGGAGTAAGTAGCCTCGCCATATATATATATATATATACCTGCCTACCTGCCTAGTTACTTATCCCATCTTAGCTCAGCACAGCTCGCCTTTCATCAGCATCGTTTTTCCTGCGCACTTATGCTCGCACTCCCGCCCGCGTTGGCGCAACTAGCTAGCTAGCAAGCACACACACCTCCGCAGTGGAAAGAAATGGAAAGCAAAGAAACGGACGGAATGAGATGGAATGGAATGGAATGGAATGAGACAGAATGAGACACGTACAGACAACAGACAACAGACAGAGAAAAACATGAGATAGACGACAAAACCCCACACGCACGCACGCACACAAGAAACGCCATCCCAATGCTGCTTTCACCTTTGCCCTTTCATCTTCCCCTTACTTTCATCCTTCGTCCTTTCGTACTTTCTTCCTCCTTTTCCTTTTGCTTCGCTTTTGCTTCCCCGCAGGCAGGCGACGTCGCTTGAACGTGAACCGTGAACTGTAAAGCGACGTGCATGTGGATGTGCATGTGCCAGCAGGTACGGACGGACTGACGGACAAGCTAGGATCGAGCAGCGAGGCACTGCAACAGTAACGGACAAACAAGACAAACAACGACGAGAGACGGCAGAAACAGACACAGACACGGCGAACAGCAGACGAGAGAAAAAGATGAAAGGACGACAGACGAAAGACGACAGAAGAGACGACACACAGAGATAGAGACAGAGACAGAGAGAGAAGACAAAAACACCGCTCGTCCGTCCATCCGTCCGCTGTTCGCTGTTCGCTGCCCTTCCCGCCTCACGGCATAGTGGACATGCATACACCACACCACAATACACCGCCGCCGCCCTCGTCGCCGTCGTATGTCTGTCTCTTAAAGCCCGCCCGCGTGCGTAAACAAAGATAAAGCAAGCCAGCAAGCCAGCAAGCCAGCAAGCAAGCAAGCAAGCTCGCGTGCCAATGCAACAGCAGCGCAAGTCCGTCCCGTCCCGTTCCGTTCCGTCATAAGCTGCGTCCATGCCAGCCGCGTGCCAGTTAATCGTCCATCATGATCAAGCGCCATCCCTAGCAGTCCATTCAGCGAGCACAGCGAGTACAGCCAGCCCAGCCAGTAGTCAGTCAGCCTCAGCGCGAGGCCGCAAGCTCCACCACCGTGACGGCGCCAGCACCGCCACACACACCCATACAAACACATAAACACACACCTCTCTCTTTCGTCAACAAGCCGCGCCACAGCGGCACGGCGCGGAAACGGGACGGGACGACGGGACGGCCTTGGCACTCACGCACGCACGCACGCACGCACACGCTCAAAGGTGCCGCCACACGCCCCCGCCGCTTAGTCTTGCCATTCCCACACCTGCGACAGGAAGTGCTCCATGTTGACTTTTTTGGTCTTCATCTCGACCATCCACGGGTGCTCGACCATGCGCCAGGGCGTTGCGCGGCGGCTGGGCTCTTTTTCTAGGCTGTGAGTTGGGCGTTAGCTTTGGATTCTCTCTCTCTCTCTCCCCCTCCCCCCCTCCTCCTCCTCCCTCCCCGAGAGGACCAAACTTACCAGCACTCGATAAAATACTTGAAGCCGTCACCCCACACGATGCCGTTCTGCGGCTCGTCCTTGAGCTTCGGAATCGGCTGACGCACAATATACGTCAAGAGGTCGATGAGGCCCGCGCGCGGAGCCATGGCGCCGCCCTCGCCGTCGGCCGGGAACGGGAACCGGCCCTGCGCCACCTCGAGCAGCGTCACGCCCAGGCTCCACACGTCCGACGTGATTGTGTACGAGAGGCCCTGGATGCGCTCCGGCGCCATGTAGTAGCTCGTGCCGATGAACGTGTCGGCCATGCCCTTTGTGCCGAACTCGCCGCTGACGCCAAAGTCGCACAGCTTGATGATGCCCTCCCATGCGTTCGTCTTGCTGCCTTTTTGCCGCGTCCCGTCGGGGTTGAATGGCGCTCGTGACAGCAAGATGTTCGATGGCTTGATGTCGCGGTGGATGATCCGCTTGCTGTGCAGGTATGTCAGGCCTTCTAAAACGCCGCGTGCTACGACACCAAGCACTTTCTCGCCAATGCGGCCGCCGCGGCCGAGCACTTCGCGGTAGACGGAGTCGAGGGAGCCGCCCTCGCAGAATTCCATGGCAATGTTGATGACGGAGGAGTTGTTAGGGGGCTGGAACGCGCCATAGTACTGGCAGATGGATGGGTGTCGTAGTGAAGCGTTGAACGAAAGCTCGCGCACAATCTGCTTTTTTATGCTGGGGTCGGGGTTCGTGGTGATGATCTAGGAGGGTTAACAGAGGCGCTGGAATCTAGGTCGCGCTCAATAGCTCACCTTCAATGCAAATACCGTCCTTGAACCTTTCAGCACGCAGCGCGTCACGGCGCCGCCTGCACCCTCGCCCAAGCTGCCTAGCTCGCTGATCAAACCCTCTTTACTCGCGGCTCTCCAGCCCGCGTCGTCCAGATCACCAGGCTCCAGAATCCCGCCTTTGTCAATCCTCAGCTTCTCCAGGTCCGGGAGCACGAGGATGTCACTTCCGCTGCGCTGCATTTCGTGTGACGACGTCGAGTGCACGGTCGGGCTCGAGTTGGTCAGCGCCGACAGCGGGTCGTGCGAGGCATTCGAGCGCAAGGAGCCGGCGCCCCCGCCGCCGCTGGCATCGCCGAAGCTCCCGCTGCGACTACGCGCCGACGTGTCGCTGCTCCCGCCGCCGCCCATGGCGCCGATGCTGAGCTTCAGCTTGGGCGGGCCCTTGGGCCGCGTCACCTCCTGCGGGGTGGCCTGGCTGCCCCGCGGCGTGTCCAGGCGCAGCATCGGGGGCGGCGTGGGCCGCGAATGGGCGGGCATCTGGAGCTGGGGCAGGGCGGGCGGCTGGGCGGTGGTGCCGTTGATGACGGGCCGTTGGTTGGGCGAGGGCGGGATGGCCAGGCCGAGCTTGGGGGTGCGCGACGAGCCCCGCGAGCCAGGAATGGGCGGGCGGAGCAGAGGAGCGGGCGCCGACATGTCGACAGTGGACATTGGGTGGGATTGCTGGTGCGGAGGAGTGGCCGGTCGGGGCCCGGGCTGCGACGAGGGGTCCGTCTGCATGATATATGGAGAGAGAGAGTGGCCGAGTCACACGGGCAGGTCGAGTTAATGCCTTGGCTGCAAGCACCCGCGCCAGCTGCGCCAGGCACACACGGGCTGCTGTTTGTAGGTATTGACGCAGGGAGCCTAAATTTAGTGGTATTTGTGTGCTTGCGTGGGACGGCCGGTGGGCAGTGTGATGAGGAAGGAAAGAGATGTAGATGGATGTGTACTCGTCCGTCGATGGAGGGGAATTCTGGGCCGCTGGCGTCAGGCGTTTGATCTGGCGCGTGCTCGGTGCCGATCTCCCACGTCTCATCAGGTCTCTCGCCGTCTGTCGCTCTCGCTCTTCGATTGACTGATTCTCGTGGCAAAAAAAAAAATTGGTTGCCGTGGGGGCCAGGCCGACCAAGTTTCAATAGGCGCCTCTTATGTAGCTGCGCTCCTCCATCACATTCAGGAGAGCAGAAGAAAGCCCTTCACCGTCGCGCACCGCAGCCGCGACGCCTGCGATCTGCCTGAGATTGCGGTGTATCGCGCCCGCGCGGGCCCCCCGTCTTGCCCTACCGCGCAGCCCATCCCCATCTTTCCCACGCTTGGGGCACAGCCGCCTCCAACCACCACAGCCTTGATCTATTTTGTTGCATCCCTATACATAGCTTGCTGGCTGTGCAAGCCTGCACCTACCACGTACTCCATTCCTCTCACCCCTCTCACCACTCTGTCTGTCCGTCTGTCTGTCTGTCTGTCGATATTGCCATGCATGCGCCGTGCATCTCGACGATCAACAGGGGCCTCTCGGATCGAGTGGCATGTTAGCCCGCCGATCCTTGATTGCCAAAGTCTGCTGTTTGGCCATGACGAAATCCATCCCAATGGCCTCATGACTGTCCATGTATGCACGCGACTAGTCGTGGCTGGAACGACTTCCGGTAGGTCAACCCTACAATGCCATGGTTCACTCCACCACGAAACATTGGCTTGGACCACATCTGGAGAGCTGCCACTCACGATCAATCGCACGTTGCACGCGCCTCGGCGGCGTCTCTGGTGACTAAGCGCCGGCGGAGACTCCGCGCGCCGACCGTCAGCATTGGTTGCTATCTGGTACGGAGTACATGACTTGTTCGATAGCATCCGCACCATGTCCTCTCTTCGTTGATGCATATACAGAGTAGAAGTGAAACCTAGCTAAGAAGTTCACAGCACATATACGCTCGAGACCTTTCCACTCATAACCAGACCTCAGCTTTGCATCTAGACAGGGAGTATTCCATAGGCCTGCGTATATCCTTCCCTCTCTCGCTACACGGTGACCCTGTCTAACGAGATCTTCATCCCCCAGAAAGCCTGCCTTGCTTACTTGTTTGTTTGCTCACTCTACCCACCGTCCATTACGTACGTCCGTACCCAATCCCAAGCAAAGCAGTCAGTCCCACCATAGTCTCAAGTTCCAAGAGAAAGAGAAAAAAAAGAAGGAAAGAAAGAACAAAAGAAAGCAAGTCCCTCACATCCTCCCAATAGAAAAGCGCAGTTATCGCGCGGACCGGACCAGAACATAACAGAGCAGATCAGAGCAGAGCAGCAATCTGCTCTCCAGTCCCGAAAACGCCGTCTTGTGTCATGAAGTAGGTAGGCCCGGGTCTGAGCTAGCCGGTGAATGGTGCATGAGTTAAGCAAGCTGGTGTGGTGAGCAGATAGATAGACAGGTCGTGTGCGTTGGTGTTGGTGTTCGTTAGTGTCGAGTCGAAGGTCCAGAGTATCTACCCGTCGTTCTCATCTTCTTCATCATCTTCTTCCTCCTCTCCATCACCAGCAGCACTCCCCTCCCTCACTTGCCTGCGTCTTTCCTGCTCGGCCCTCGCAGCCACCGGATCCACATGCAAGAGCTCGATGCCCCAGCCTTGCAGGACCCAGGGCCGCGCCCTCCTCCACCGCGGCACGCAGCGCCTGACGTAATCCTCCCCGCGCTCGCGGGCAATGTCGTTGTAGAGCGTCGTCTATGCCACATGTACAACCTGTCAGCCTTTCACTCTCTACCCAACCACCACACCACACCACACGACGAGAGTGGAAAAAGAAAAGGGAAAACAAACTCACCAGCGCGCGCCCCAGCACCGAATACCGCGCCTCACCAACCCTCTGCGGCGGCGACGCGTCCTCCATCATCTCAGCCATAAGCTCTCTCTCGACGTCCAGCGGCGCGCTGCCCCACCCCGCCGACGCAGCGAAAACGTCATCCGCGGCCGCGGCGAGCAGCATGCGCTTCCAGTGGCGGTGCACCCACGCAGCTTGGGGGGAGGGGGAGGGCGGGCGCGCGGAAGGCGATGGTGGCGGCGCGGGCGGGCAGCGCGGGGAGTGCGAGTGGTGTTGTGGGGGGGAGGAGTCGGGGGAGGAGTCTGGGGTGGTCGGGGGCGCCGGTGTGCTGTCCGCGGCGGTGGTGCTTGCGTCTGCGGTAGCGGCGGCACTGGTCGTCGTCGTCGTATCTGTCTGTGGGCGAGGAGTGTTCAGCCGGAGGATGATGCGCTTGGGGGTCATGACTGATGGAAGGAAGCGGGATGGAACGACGCAAAGCGTAAGAGAGACAGCGAAAAATAGAGAAAGAGAGAGAGAGGTGAACGTACGCTTCTCTTCTTCAGCGATTTCGGCTGCGCCGGTGCGTGTGACTGCGCCCGAGTGCGCGCGTGTGAAGGCCTCTTGCGCGTAGCTGTTAAAGCAGCGACAGCAGCAGCTTTGGCTGCGCGCGAGCCACGCCGCTTCTGCGAAGAACTCGCGCGTAGGGCCGCGGTGCTTCGCGACGCCGAGCGCAGCGTCGGGCGGGTACTAGAGGTCGCGGCCGTCGTCTTGCCGCTGCGCGTTATAGCTGGCATTGTGGAGGTGTTGGGTGTGGGTTCTGGCGCTTTCGATCTGTTTGGTGGGAGTGAGCGCGCGCGTGTTTGGATGCAGTCTTTTTTTGACGGCGTGATGGGGAGAAGTAGGATCGAGAAGAGGAGAGAATGTGCTGCGTTCTGCTGTGCTGTGCGCCGGGGTTTAAGGGCCCGTTGAGCCGTGGTGGTGACTGCGGATGCCTTGGGCTGGTGCCGTGGTTCGGTTTGAGCGCCACAACTGTCCATCTATCAACACACGCAAGCAGGAAATGCAGCAGCCGGTAAAGAGAGTCATACGGATGAGGAAAACAGAACGGTGTCGGTGTGCGAATGGCATGGGGCAGGCAATACGGTTTGACACCAAACACTGCAGCTGTTCAGCCATGAGTACACGCAAGCAGGAAACACAGCAACTAGTAAAGCGAGCCGTGCGGACAGAGAAAAGAGAACAGCGCTGGGACAGAGAAGGTATGAACAGACCAACCCATCACTGAAGCAGACAGACACGAAGCATACCCATACACACTTACGCAGATGCACAGCCAGAAACGAACACCACTCCATACGTACGTATATACAACAAACCAAGGATATATAGACAGCAGCTAGACATTAACCCTCGCCCGAAAGGCGGGGTGGTCGGAAGACAAATGCAAGACAAACAGACGACAAGATGACAGGATAATAGGCAGGAGAATGACGACAAGCACCCAAACACACACCACCTACCCCCACCCCAGTACCTACGCACACCAACCCCCCACATGCATGCACAGCAGCAGCGACCCAAACGCCGTACACCCCCACCCCCATCCGCTCCATCATATACAACCCCTTAATAAGGCGCCCCAACACCCAGCCCCCGTCCCCTCTCCCGCTCTTCCTCCCCACTGTCCGTATCAATCCCCGCCAACAACCCTCCCAGATCCTGCCTCCCCCTCATAGTACCAGCAGCATTGCTCCTGCTGCGGCTCCTCCCGGACCTCGCGCCCTTCAAGCTCCTACTCCGCGCGCTCTGCACGCCCAAACTGTTCTTCCTCCCCCCCTCAGCAGTCGTAGCCGACGTCCTTGGTCTCGGGCTCCCGTTCCCGCTCGGCGAGGGCGGCACCGGTGGCGGCGGCGTCTTAAAGTTCAGCTGCAGCTGCGGCGTCGCCGTGCTACCTGCGAACTGCGCCGGGATCTCCGGGACGGGGGGCTCGGTGCCGTTGGGCGCAGGTGCAGGCGTGTTCAGTCCCTCGGACGGAATCGTTTCCAGCACCGGCCTTGTGCCGTCTGCGTTCTCACCACCAGCGCCACCAGCGTAGCTGTGGCTGTAGCTCGACCCTGGCGGCGCGAAGCTGTACTCTGAAGCGGAAAAGTCGGCACTAACAAGCGAGTCCGAGTCGTCTGCGTCGTCGCCATCCGCGGCGTCCTCGGGCCGTCCCATCCGCGTACCAGGGAGTGGCGCGTCGTCCTTCTGGCCCGCGAGAACCTTCTTGAGGTCGTCCAACCTGACCGCCGAGCGCGCGCTCGATGCGCTCATGCGGCTGCTGTCGTGCGGCGCGGGGCCTCCCGCTGTGTTGGGATCGTTCAGCGCACCGAGCGCCGCGCGGTGGGTATGCTGATGCGTGGATGGGGAGCCCGGTGCTGCCAAGTTCGGAGAGCTGCTTCCCGGGCCCGCCATCGCCGACGACGGCGCAATAGCGCGCTGGCTGGTGGCCGCAGTGCGGGTGCCTGCGCGCGAGCCCGACATCGATCCGGACTGGGAGGAGCCGTCTTGGGCCGCCGTCGCGGCAAGGCACTGCTCGCGGCTCCAGGGCTCAAGCAGCTGCTCCTTGACGCGCGGGGGGAGAACTTGCGGGAACGCCGCGGAGCTGCCACGCCGGTCTGAGATGGGGCTGCCCAGGATCGGGCTGGTGACGGACAACGAGCCGCGGCCCGGGCTTGTCGGCGGGCTGGTCGGCGGCGAGTACAGCTTCTCGGAGTAGCCCTCGGCGATGCGGTCAACGAGCTCGGCACGCTCGTCCAGAGGGTCGATGCTCTCCTCGTCGACGATACCCTGTGCCAAGTCATGCACGCCCGCCTTGTTGTCGATCTGGGAAAGGTCGAGCGGCGGGTACGCGATGCCTTCCAGCCACATGCCCAGTCCTCTCCTCCTGGTGATCTCGTTGTGGATGCTCTGGCCGATGGGGCTGGCTTCAAAGTCAAATGTCGCGGCGAGTGTCCAGAAATAGCCATGCGCAAGAGTGGCCAGGCGAATCTTGGCGGCGGGCGAAGACACGGATGGGTTGGGGATGTCTTCTTGCAGACGGAAGATCATAGGGAGACCGGAAGCGGCGGCATTGACGCCAAGGTTCTGCAGCAGGCGGGCGAGCAGCAGGTGCAGGTGCAGGAACTCGAGGTCGGCGTCCGGAGAGTCAGCGAACTGGTGTGCGTTCTCGTAGACGGCGAGGTGCAGTAGCGGCAGGAACGACGTCTTGAGGCCGCGCGGGCTCTTCTCACGTTGACTGGCGTTGCTGACGGCACGCCTGGCCAGGCTGTCCCGGCCGTCTTTCTCCCTCTTGTCGCTCGTGTCGACAGCCACACGCAGGTGCGTCCTCTGCAGCTCCACGTCTAGCCACGTGAGCACCGCCTCGGCGTACGCCCTCCGCACCTTGGGAGCGGGGTCTCGCAGCAGCCACTGCGTGCCCTCCCACACATCCACCCCGGCGCGCGTCCTTCCCACGCCGCCTCCCTGGCTCTTCTCACCCTCCTGCTGCTGGTTGGCGACGAGCAGGATGGCCTTGATTGCGTCGAGCGCCACCACTCGCGCCGTCTCGAAGCTGAAGAAGGCGTCCGCGCCGGGGTTGTCGTGCAGCTTGGCCGAGTCCGCCACGGCGTCGACCGCACCGTTCGGGTCTTCAATGGCTGCCGCCGTGTTGATGATGCCGCTGCTCGGCGCCGGCTTCAAGCGCACCAACACCGCCGAGAGCATGTCGGGGATTTGGTCCGTGTAATAGATGTGCGTGGCCAGGTTCGCAATGCAGGACTGCAGCCGCTGGAGGAGCTTGATGCGCGCTTCCGAGGGTGTCGTCGCGCGGTCATGCACAGGGGCGTCTGCCACCGAGTCTTTGGGGCCGTCACCATTCAGCAGAGAGGCACCGCTGCCGACTTGCAAAAGGGCGAGAATGTGGCCCATCAGTCCAATCAACACGTCCATGACACTCAAACCAATAAAGTTGGTCTTGGCGCCCAACAGCCAGCCGATGATGGTCGCGAGGACGTACTGCCGCTCCAGCTCGTCTTCGGAAATCTTGCTGCGCACCAGGGTGTCCTTGGCTGTGACGAGTATCGTGTAGCGGTCCTGGACAGTCGCCCACCCGCAAATCATGCCGAACAGCGTCGTAGGCCACGAGCCGTCCGCCTTGTCTCCTGGGAAGTGCTCGCTCGGCTTGACCCGTGCAGCCATGAACTTGAGTACCGCGCTCGTGGCAAGGCGCAGCTGCTCGCGGCTCACGGCCGTGAAGATGTTGCGCAAAGCCTGCATGGCGAGGATGCCAGCCTCCTCCTCCGCAAGCTTGTCCGCGTCCTCGGTGGTGCCGGCCGCGACCTGAGGGTCCGCCTCGCTGGTCTCGGTGGGGCGGAGAGTCGAAGTCGACTGCCGCCGCTTGTACGCCGCCTCCTTGTCCTGTCCTTCCTTTTCCGTTTCGCGCCTCTCCAGCTGCTCAAGGTTCGCGCCGCTGTTCGCGTACAGGTTCACCAGAATGACCGGGATGATGACGGCGAGCTGGCGTCCCGTCTCCGAGCTCAAGCTCTCCGAAGCCGCGACGGCCTTGATGGCCTGCAATCCCACGCTCCTGAACCGTATGGCGACGGGCCAGCCCAGGGAGGCCTTTGTTTCTTGTAGTTTCTCCTTGGACGCGAACGCGGCGTACATCTGGACAATCTCCTCATACTGGGTAATGTATTCTTGGTCGGCGGCCAGCGTGGCGGGGTCCTGGTGGGCGCAAAAGCTTTCAAACGTAGGAACGGAGGCCTCGGCCAGGGTAATGTCATTGGACTGCAGGACGGTGCGCAGGATGCTGAGGACCGAGTTTGCGTAGAGAGGAATGTCGCGGGGGCATTTCTCAATCAGGGCATTGAGAATCTGCAGGGTGACGAGGACGTTTCTGTGAGCGCGTCAGCAATGCGGCCACAGCCATAGCCCGACAATCAACCTACCCTATCCTGCTCCTCCACACGTCGCCGCCCGTCCTCTTCTCCAGAAAATCGCCCACCTTGACCAGCTTGGTGCGGCGCGTGCTCGCATAGTACAGCAGGTAGCTCAGCTCGCTGCTGTTCGGCTTGATTTCGGCATCGCGGTAGCCCTTCTGCAGCTGCGGGTAGCACTTGAGGATCAAGACCTGGTGCTTGGGTCGGCACGACTGGCGAATGGCTTGCATTTCGTTCTCGCCGGCTCACGGCGCCGCGGCGTCCCCGCCTAAGTAATTGCGCTGCGAGGGCGTGCGTTCAGGGGAGGCGGCGTGGAAAGTGTCGCGGCTGTGGCCGGGGGGAGGATGGGTTTTGTCGGCGTCGGAAGCGGTCGCGGTGGTGGCGGCGGCGCGCGGATGACGTGGATCGCGCGGGTAGGAGGGAGAATAAATAGCTGTAGGGCGGCCGGGTGGATTGGCGTAGGTGGATGGGCAGTATGCACGTAGTAGTAGTAGGCTGGGCAGAAAGACGGCCAGGTCGCCCGAGCTAGCTCAGTAGTCAAGAACTCAAACAAATAAACATGCGCAAAGAACGTTGTCTCAACGCCTCGGTCGTCCCCTTTCGCGCCCATAAGATTAAGCCACTCAGCCCCCCCTCCTCTCCAGATTCGAGGGTCGCTCGACGGGGATTGCGATCTGCACTACCATTGCACGCATGCCAGAGAGCTTCTACGGCACCGTGGGCACCTTTGCATGCAGCGACACTCCATCTGTCCTTACCACTCAACCACTCAATCACCACACTTCGCCCCATCCCGCCCCCAACCATCCACTTTGTCCGCTCCGCCACGGCCGTATCGTATCCTATGAATAAATGTCGACGTGCCGACTAACCTCGCGAGACGAGACGAGATGAAATAAGATGAACAAGTGCACTGACCGCTCGGTCTAGCCCCTCCCCTATGCGTGCCACAGTAGAGACCTAAGCCGCCTGTCCAGCCGCGCCACACCTGCATTGTGTAGATGTTGTATCAACCGTAAACAAAGTACGAGTGCTTATTTTTGGCTATCGAACCTCAAACATCTACCTCTAGTTGCTCAACACGTCCAACTCACCCTGCAACCGTCGTACATACCTCCACCCGCGCCTGCATGGCATGGCATGGCATCGCGTCGCGTCGCAGCTCGGCCCAGGACCCTGGTCCCTGATCCACGGTCCGGTCTAAGACCCCTGCCTCACGCGCTTGCGACTCCAAGTCACGCGTCAAGTCTAGGCAGAGTGAGAATACCACATCAATTCACAGCGCTGACTACGCCTACGTACACCTACGTTGCGCCTACGCCTAAATATGCCTCATGTCGGCCCTCGCGGCCATTGCGTTCAATCATGACAGGTAGATGGTGCGGTGGTGCACACGAGCAAACACCACACCATTGACAGACCGCTGTGACAAGGTACAGGATAGTCGAAAAGAATGACTCCAAAGAAAGATTCGTGAGTGCGGCAAGCAAAGTGTCTCGGACCGCAAATGCCGTGTCCAAAGGCTTAGAGAACCGTGTTAAGCAGTCGCAGACATGGGGAATAGAAGCCAGAAACGGAAGAAACAGGGCCGCCGGCTTCCGGGCCGTCAAACATTGCCCTTGGATACCAAAGCATGCCATAATACAGGAAGAGAAGGAACCTTGCACCCTATATCCTCGTCAAAGCCTGTCATATGTAAATTCGACAAGACAACGGCGGTCACTACAGCATCGTCGAGTCCGATGGAGCCCGACGGAGCCACTCCCGCCGGAGTCTGGGTATCGGTCGTGTTGCAATGAGTGAATTGAATTAGGCGCGGCGGATAAAGCTTTGGTTTAGGCCACGATGGAAGCTGCCAATGTTTTGGAATCCCCTGTAGACGCGTTAGCGACGTGTCTTGATATGGTGCAATAAACCTACTTCATCAAGTCAATGCCCTCGTCGTCCTCCTTGTCCTCGATACCCGCGTCGAGTTGGGTGGGCAATTGTTTCTTGACGGCCTCTTCCTCGGCCGTGTTGAACCTACGGCTGCTCGGTCTCGTTGGCGTCGTCGGCTCCTGCGAACCTTCGCCAGAGTTGGAGCCTTCACGACTGCGGCTGGCCGTATCGCCCAGCACGACGGGGGGAGAGCTGGGTTGCACGGCTTCAGCACCATTGTCCTCTTCCTCGTGGTCTTCCTTCTCCTCATCCTCATCCTCATCATCATCGTCGTCGACGGGCAAAAGATGCAGCGGCTTGGGCTCTTTGATGGGGCTGAAGTCGTTGTACCCGCGAGCTGGCGTCGACCCGAGATCGGCGTACTTCCAGAAAGGAGCGGGGGAGCTAAGATAGCAAAATTGACTAGGCATCTTAGCGGTACTCGGGGGTGCGAGGTGCGGTCGGTTCTTAGCGATCAACGGTGTGACGAGCCCCAGAGCCGTGGGTTCGGGCATATCGTTCAGCGCGGTCGACTTGTACCCATTGGTCGTAGGGGGTGAATATTCAATGTCGACGGAAGAACGAGGGGGAGCAGGAGTGGGAGCAGTCTCGTGGTCCTTGCTCTCTGCTGCCGCAATGTTGCTAGCGAGGGTGGAGTTTTCAATGGGTCTGCCAAAAGTGGCTTCACGGACATTGGCGAATTGAGAAGCATCGTGCTTGCGGTCATTTACGGGAGTGAAGATTTGGTTGCTGAGCTGGGGTTTATTTCTCGGAGGCTGGGGGCCACGATCGGGCGTGTAGGATTCGTTGGCTGTGGGGTAGCTGGTCAACGGAGGTGTCACGGAGCGCGGTGATTCTTTGACACGGAACTTGTTAGGCTGGGGAGTGGTTAGTTCGTTGGTGACGGCCCCCTGCAGGCGCTCGGCTGCTTGAGCAATTGCGGGTGAATTTTGATTGATCGCAGGCGAATTCGGCCCAGACGATGCCATTCTGGTCTTTCGAGTGTGGATTCCCTTTTTGAGGAAAGCGTCACGTTCATCAGGGACTAGACGCCACTTCATGCCTTTTCCAGGCTCGTCCGTGCGGCGGGCGACCTTTTCAAAGTGCTTGCTGAGTGACAGGTTGTGGCGGATCGAATTTTGCCATCCTCCGCCATTGAACCGGTAAAAGGCATAGTGGGTCTTGATGTATTCGTAGATATTGGCCAATGTAAGCTGTTCCTCCGGAGATGCCATGATGGCTTGTCCGATGAGCTGCGCGTAGCTGTGGGGTGGCTTCAAATCTTTGGCCGAGTCTGCGCTGTAGTCTATTTGTTCGGTGCTCTCGAGCATGACGCCTCGCGAGTATGCGCCGGATACCGTTGCGGGAGAAGTTTTTACCTTTGGGGATGATTGCTGCGCCTTGGTGCGAGACGGCATTGGCGTATTGGGCAGAATAGGCCCGGCAGGAGTCGAGGTTGGCGCCAGCTGCGTTTGACCAGGTGCGTGTCCAGTTTGGCGGCTGTTGGACTGGTTTTGATTGCCCGTTGGGGGTTGGCCACGTGAATCCGCGGACTTGCCGTATCCATTGTTCATGCCGTGGTACGAGTCTTCCTCCTGGCCTTCTTCATCGCTGTTCTTGGCCCGTGCCATGATGGAAGGATGGATGTACAGCTCCTCGCCAGGGCAAACAAAAATCATATCCGTCCCGCAAACGTTGATGACGGACCCAGAGTGCAGCTTATTTTTCTCCCCTCGCGTGAGCGTGCGATCGTCCAGCTTCAATCCGTTCCGGCCGTTGACTATAATAAACCAATGTCCTTGGTCGGATTCGTATTCGATCCAGGCGTGGATTCTCGAGACTTGTTTATCGGGGCCCAGGTCAATGTTTACTTGTGTGCTCGACGTCGGCTGGTTTGCGCCAAACACTATCCCAAGCCCATTTTGTTGACTCGATGCATTGTTGCCATTTGACGCGCTCGCCGAATATCCATGCTCTCCCCTTCCAATGATGATCTGGGTGGACTTTGCGAAATAAACCCAGGCGTGACCCTCGATCTTGGCATAAGCTTCGGTGCTTCCTCTCTGGGCAATGATCGGATCGCGCTTCTGCAGGTCATTTGAAAGTTCGATCTGGGCGTTGGTGACGTAACTGGCGATGCGCAGGTGCGGGACGACGGTCGTGAGCAGTTCCTCGGTGGTCATTTTTCCTCCATATTCACGTTCGTCGTCGCTGCCGACGGTCCTATCGCTCTGCGCAGACGGCGGCCGGGTCGGGACTCGAGAATCGGGCGGTGGAGCAGGGGCGGCAGCGTTGACCTGGGCGCGTTAGCGGGTGCAGGCAAGAAGCTGGCGAGGCCGAGTGCATTCGCACCTTTCTTCGCTTCCTGGTCGGGGTGTTGATTGCTTCGGGCGTGTCCGACTGTTCCTGAATCTCTCGCTTTGCGCCGCGAGTGCGCCTACCCGGGGGTGCCATGGCGGCAGAGGCGGCAGCTGGAGCAAAGTCAGTGTCGCGAACGGAGGAATGTGGAGCGGAGGCAGCGGAGGGCGGAGGCAGCGGGAGGTATGACGGTAGCGGCACGATGACCAAGCCAGGCTGAGAGACAGCTTGACCCTGACCCCACCGGCTGACGGTACTCACCGAGCAGAGGACGAGGACGCGCGGGAACGGGGACTTTGCAGCGAGTGCGGGCGTTGCAGCGTGCAGGAGTCGATCGGGGTTGAAGGAGGTTCGTCGCTATGCAACGGGTCGCGTTGTTTTCCTCGTAAGGGTGGCGGTCGATCACTCGCGCAAGCACGAGCGAACAGCAAATAATGGGCAGGGCGCAGGCAAAATACCTGGGAGCTGTAGTATTTGTGGTAGCGAGCGGGCAGCTGGCAAAAACTGTTTTCTTGCGACCCAAACTTGGGCAAGCTTGCCTTTAGCACAACAACGAGGGAGCGAGCGAGGAGCGAATGACGGCGACGCGAGGAGCGGGACGCGTCGTCGTCCGCCTTTGCAGCGACACCAAGATTGCGCGTCTCCTGGCTGCCGCATTCCTCGCTGCTCTGCCTCACGCCCGCCGCACGCAGTCACGCCTCTGCCTCTGTGTCGTTTTGCACGCGGCCTCGCTACCCTTGCATGCATCATCGAGGATCTCCCACATTCCCTGCCGTCCTTACACTCTGATAGTCGGTGCTAAATCAGGCGGTGCTTAAATCAGTCGGTGCTTAAATCAACCGGCGCCCATTCATCATCCCTTTTTTCGGATTTCAACCGGAAAATTGCGGGACTACTTGAGTTTATTCTTCTCCTGACTGGGATGATTAACCTAGCGATTTAACGGAGTGACTCTTTTGACAGAAGAGATGCGGATGTTGGATAATTCCACGTAGGACACGGAGGTTAGTATACCAGCCGGAAGGTGTTTTTAAGACATATCATAGGAGTATCTTAAGGCGTATCCTAAGGACATGCCTTAGGACGTGTCTTCAGGATCTCTTCAAGGATGTCTTCGGATGTGCTAGGACGTGTCTAGACGTGTCCAGACGTGTCTCCACGGACGCGTACAAGTTTCCCATTACGGGTTGTGAATTCGCGACCCCCCTCCCTTGCTAGCGCCGTTAGAGCCTATGCTTACTTGTGATATTTGTACGGAGTAGAAGAAGAGATCCAATTGTGATATATAGAATCTACGTGTGCTCTAAAACCATTTCATCTATATCCAGGACTCGGGCTAGGAGCTAGGCAAGGTGTACTCTGTAGGGACTGCTTGTATCGTCTCCTGTCTTGCTAAGCTGTAGATCTCGGTTCCCGCTAGGAAAGGCGTCTTGGCAGCCTGTAAGACAGTGGCCGGCGACATGCGAAGGGATCTTCGTCTAATTTTATGGCACCGGATAATTTGCCTACCCCCTCTAGATACTTTGCCTACCCCACGTGATAGCATCTACAGAATTACATGGTGTGTCTTCTAGTCTTTAAGATCTTAGGTCTCTATACCCTTATAAGTACGTTTACACCCGTCGAATATTTTATTTTTATACCCTCGTAGCTACTCTAGTAGTCGTATATATCTATACCTCTATACTCTCGTAGTATACTCTACTACTCGTATATTTTTACTTTTATATAATTATATAGTATCTATTAGCTGTAGTGTAATAGTCTATTATAACTACCTAAGAAGTATTCTGTAGGTATTATAGATTTTACTCAATATATAGTTGAGGGGTGGGTAAAATATCTAGAAGTGGTGGGCAAATTATCCGGGGCCAATTTTATTCCTTCGTGATAGACGGTGGATAGATCGCTCCACGTGGAAACGACACGTGCTGATGTCTCTACATTCCTGACTGCCAATTACATGCTAACATGCAAGGCCAGCCATTGATCGTATAGGATGGCCAATTGAGGTATTTAATAGATCGGAATAAACAGCCATTTCTCGACCGCAACACTTGCAGTGCAGTCAAAGAAGAAATATCAAGACAAGGCCTCCAGTCACCACCCCGGCCCGCAATCTTCTGACCCCAGCATGATGCTTGTGAGTCAATGCTGTGTTCCTTGCGCGTTGCCTCTGCCGCGGGTGATGGTCGGACGTAGTATCCTTGAGGTTACAGTGATGGCGGATCTTGGCGGAGGACGGGCAGCCGCGCGAGGTCGAGGCCGACGTGTGGCATGGCGGCACGTCATTCCAGCCTGACGTCAGCAGACAAGCCGGGCAGAGGCTGCTTTTGAGGCGCCGGCTCCGGGGATGCCGGGGATGGTGGAGGCCGGCGTGGAGTCCCCAAGGGAGAGTGCCCGCGGTGGAGCCAGACGCTCGCATTCGACGTACGTGATAGCGTGAGCCTCAGCGGTTTTTGGCGGGGTTGACTTGATCGCAAGTATTGCCGATACGAGGCCAAGCTACAGACGCCGTGCCATGCGGTGAGCTTTGCCTGCTCATCAGGTGGAGAGGTCATGCACTGGAGCCCCGCACTCTGGCGGCCCCAGAAAATACAATCTGGAGGTGGGGCGGAGCCAAGGGCCGCCGCACCTTACCTTAGCTCGACGCCTCAACGCATCCAGGCAATCGTCCGCTTTGTGGACGAATGCGGTGCCGGACAATGGCGCCCGTCATTGCCACAGCACGGCCTGCGGGAATCGGCTGTCCGCATTATTTCCCCCGCGCCAAGACGTTGCCTGCTACGGTAGCTTGAAGTCATGCCGCATCGAGAGGGAGCACCCGCGCCGGGAAACAATAAATTCAACCTTTGCGCATGCAACTTTTCCTCTCATTCCAGCCAGTCTTGGGCGACAGCCTTTTGCAGTTCATCCTCAACCAAGCCAATTGAATTCTAGACGCTCCATTGCGTCCGTCTGCCAGGATGCGCCTCACCCAGGTTACGGCCTCGCTTCTGGCCACTCATTTCACTGTGGCACAGGTGAGTTGTTTACATTTCCCCGCCTACCCGTCACACCCAAACACCACGGCGACATGCGCCGCATTACCTTTCCATTCCTTGGACGTTTTGCATTTCATTTGGTCGCGCTGGTCGTCGCCATAGTAGTTGCTATTTGCGTTTGGAAGCTGACAGGCCACGAGGAATCGAGTTCTTCCGACCCTCTTTGGGAAATCAAGTCTCCTCCCAAGTATCCCTCGCCATGGATCGAAGGCACCGGTGATTGGGCAGCTGCCCAAGCCAAAGCGCAAGATTTCGTCAAGCAGCTTACCCTTCTCGAGAAGGTTAATATAACGACTGGTGTCGGGTACGTTCAATGCGACTTGGCGTAAGCAGGGCTGACAGACGCAGGTGGGAAGGAAAAGGCTGCGTTGGAAACACGGGATCTGTTCCCCGCTTGGGCTTTGAATCTCTATGCCTGCAGGATGCGCCATTGGGTGTTCGCAATGGTATGTTCTCTTGTACTTGCACGGAACGAAGCTTACCAAGTCAGCCGACTATGTTTCCGGGTTCTCCGCTGGTGGCACAGTAGCAGCATCGTTTGACCGTGAAGTGTGGCGCCAGCGGGGCTTCGACATGGCCTCTGAGCACCGCGACAAGGGTGTTGACGTCCAATTGGGTCCTGTCGCTGGACCTTTGGGTCGCAGTCCCGAGGGCGGTCGAAACTGGGAAGGTCAGTACTTGTCTACTAATCCTGTCGACCAATCACTGACTTGGCACAACAGGGTTCAGTCCCGATCCCGTCCTCACCGGCATTGCCATGGCCGAGACCGTCAAGGGTATTCAGAGTGCGGGTGTTATCGCCTGTGCTAAGCACTATATCCTCAATGAGCAAGAGCATTTCCGCCAGGCGCCCGAAGCTCAGGGTTACGGAGACAACATTACCGAGTCTGTCAGTTCCAACATTGACGATGTTACTATGCATGAGCTGTACCTGTGGCCGTTTGCAGATGCTGTCCGCGCTGGCACGGGTGCATTTATGTGCTCATACAACCTCATCAACAATTCTTATGGCTGCCAGAACAGTTATACCCTGAACCACCTGCTCAAGGGTGAATTGGGTTTCCAGGGCTTCGTCATGAGCGATTGGCAGGCTCAGCACGGCGGTGTCTCTGACTCGCTTGCTGGTTTGGACATGGCAATGCCAGGAGACACGCTCTTCAGCACCGGCAGGGCATTCTGGGGATCCAACCTTACGCTCGCGGTTGTCAACGGCACCATTCCCGAGTGGCGCATTGACGATATGGTCACTCGCATCATGGCTGCCTACTACTACGTTGGCCGTGACGAGTCCAGAGTTCCAGTCAACTTTAACTCTTGGAGCAAGGCCACCTATGGCTACCAAAACGCCATTGGAAATGCCAACTGGGGTGTGATCAACGAGCATATTGACGTCCGTGGTAAGCATGGTGCCAACATTCGCGAGCATGCTGCCAAGTCTACCGTTTTGTTGAAGAACAACGGCGCTCTGCCTCTTACTGGCGAGGAAAAGTTCACTGGTGTGTTTGGCAGCGACGCCGCCGACTCTCCCCTTGGAGCGAACGGATGCTCAGACCGTGGCTGTGACATTGGTACGCTCGCCATGGGCTGGGGTTCGGGAACGTCTGACTTTTCGTACCTCATTTCTCCTTTCACGGCCATCCAGAATGAGGTGGTCTCGAAGTTTGGAGCTATTGATTCTGTCACTGACGACTACGCATACGAGGAGATTCAGGCTCTTGCCGCGCAAGTCAGCCACGCCCTCGTCTTTGTAAACGCCGACAGCGGCGAAGGCTTCATTAACTATGACGGCAATGAGGGCGACAGGAACAACCTGACCCTCTGGCACGACGGCGAGGCGCTGATCAAGAACGTGTCGAGCCTCTGCAACAACACCATTGTCGTCATCCACAGCGTGGGACCTGTTCTCGTCGACTCATTCTATGACAATGAAAATGTTACTGCTATTGTTTGGGCTGGCCTTCCCGGCGAGCAATCCGGCAACTCGATTGCCGACATTCTTTACGGCCGCGTCAACCCCGCAGCTCGTCTTCCCTTCACCATTGGCCGCACCCGCGAGGACTATGGTACGGATATCATTTACAAGCCCAACAACGGCCAGGATTCGCCGCAGGACGACTTTAATGAGGGTGTCTTCATTGACTACCGCGCCTTTGACAAGAACGACATTACTCCTATTTATGAGTTTGGTTTTGGTCTTTCATACACCAACTTCAGCTACTCTGACCTCACCATCACTAAGCACAACGTCAGCGTCTACGTGCCCACGACCGGCGACACCAAGGCAGCTCCCAGTCTCGGCAACTATAGCACCGATCTCAGCGAGTACCAGTTCCCCGAGAACATTACGCGCGTCCCGCTTTACATCTACCCCTACCTCAACACGACCGACGCTGAAACTGCCTACAACTACAGCGACTTTGGCGCGTCTGCAGACTCGTACATTCCCGAGGGTGCCCGCGACGGCTCGCCCCAGCCACGTGTCCCGGCCGGCGGTGCCCCTGGCGGCAACCCCATGCTGTACGACGTGTTGTTCACGGTTACTGCTACGGTGACGAACAACGGCACGGTAGCGGGTGATGAAGTTCCCCAGCTATATGTGGCTCTTGGTGGACCGAACGACCCGAAGGTGCAGCTGCGCGGGTTCGACCGTCTGAGCCTGCAACCCGGGAAGAGTGGCACGCTTAGCGTGGATGTGACGCGTAGGGATCTGTCGAACTGGGATACGGTCAGTCAGAACTGGGTGATTAGTGAGTATCCGAAGACGGTGCACGTAGGTGCGAGTTCGAGGAAGTTGTTCTTGAGCAAGGAGTTGGATTTGTAGTGTAATGGTGGAGAATATGGAGAGGTTAGGGGTATTGAGGGGAAGAGAGTGAGAGATTGAGAAGACGATACTGTCGATGGGGAGGGCTTGCCGGTGCAATGCCTGGCTGCTGGCTGTAGCTGGTGAAGCTACACTGATGCATACAGCCCTCCTCTGCCTAGTTAATGACTAATGACATAATGCCACTCTTTTGCCACACAAACAGATACTCGTAGACATAGCTACTCGTGGAGCACAAATACTTTATCGGTGGACTGTCAGATGGCGCTCCCCGTCCGTCGTCTTTTAGGAGGACCTTACGGTCAGTCTCGTGAGTTCTTCTCGAGCGGGTCCCATCCGGTTAGGGGTTCCTGTACCAAGGTACTCGGCCAGCTAGAATGGTTCCGTAGCCTTGGGTCTTGTTTTCTGTTTGGGGAGTCATGACGTCTGTTTTTGGGGTTTGGTGGAGGGCCGGGGAACTGGGACAGGGCTTGGCTTGGGGGTGGAGATGGGATGGGGTGTCGTGAATGCTTAGATGGGGAGGGGTGTACTGGTACGGCATCTTGGGTGTAGGCACCCTGACACTCTACGCCGTACACTTCGCTGTGGGGGTAGGGAGGGCGTGGTGGCGTGCGGGGGAGGTGGTGTGTTTACGCTGCTGTTGAGAATTGCTCACCGCGATGTTGGGGGTGGCGGCGTCTAGACGCGGGACTGCGGTGTGTACGGTGATGTGGGCTGTGTATATATAGCGGAGTTTCTTTGCTTCGTCTCTATTTACTGTGATTTGTCACTACCCGCCTGCATGTCCTCCGTCTTCCCCCCTCTGGCCCCTCTGGCCCCTCTGTCACTGTACACTCCCTTCCCTTCCCTTCAGTGCAATCCAGTCCCATCGCGTCTCAAGTAAAAAGAAAAAAGTCATTGAATCATAGAACTAGAAATCCTCAGACTCCACGCTAAAGACATCCCATCCGCCGGGTGGATAACTCTGTGGTGTATAAGTACAAGTGCGCATGCTCAAGTGCGCGAGAAATAAACAAGCCAAGAAAAGTGGTTTTGATTCGTGTCATGGTCTCGTGCGTGGTATTAAGGGGAAAGGGGATTCGTCGTCTCCACCTCATCGTATCGTACAGCTACACGCGCTCCTCTCCCGCGTACAAGTTCCTATTCTCCGTTTTCGTAGTGTCGGTGTCTGTTCCTTGCAACACACCGCAGCTCGCTTTCCGTGAAGGGGTATCATAACTCATAACCGCGTCTTGCGTCCGGCGTCAAACACCGACGCCTGCTCCTACGTGCTCAACGCAAGGACTTAGACACCCTCGTACGCCGGCGGCTGTCCGGTCGTGTGCGCCTGCTGGGGGTAGTTGGGCGCGTGGCCCAGACGGGAGCCCTGCGCGTCCGAAGCACCAGCTCCGACGGCAACATCATCGCTGCCGTTGATGTGAGAGGCGTAACCCTTTTCGCTCTCGCGCGCATGCGTCGACTTGGGGCCGAACTTGTCGTCATGGGCGATGGAGAACCACATCAGGACGGTGCTGTAAGGGGTTAGTGGCGGCTGGTTGAGGGTAGAGTGGAGTGAGACGTACCTAGCCACAGTGAAGATAAAGCCAGGCCACAAAAACACCAGACTCGCAACTGCGCGTGGGCTGTTGTGGTACTCGAGCGGACCCTTGCCAAACTCATTCATGAGCTGGCGGGCCTGCTCGGGCGTCACGTCGCTGCCGGGGCGGATCTCGACGTGGGCGCGGAAGCACGCCGTGATGACGGTGAAGGTGATGGCGGACGACAGGCAGAAGATGCAGGCCAGCACGCTACAGATGCGCCAGGCGAGCTTGACGGCAGGGGACTCGTACCGCTCGGGCCAGAAGAGGTCGAAGAAGAAGGCGGCGCCGAAGATGGTGGCCACGAAGACGCCGACGAAGATGTTGTACGAGCCAGCGCCAATGTAGTCGTTGTTGTAGACACTGGCGTTGAGACCGGTCTTGTTCTCGATGTAGGATTGCTGGTCACGGTAGTCTGGGGATGTTAGGGAGAGATACCAGGGATGTGAGGGATAGGAACATACCGGACAGTACGGCTGTGCCGAGTGATTCCGAAACAACGCAGAATATCATCGCCAGCTGGTAAACGATAAACTTGGTACGGCGCAGATGGTACTCGTTGTTCCACATGTAGGAGCTCTTGAACTTGCTCCACTGCATGTCGTGCAGGTCGAGGCCCCAGATGACAGCCATGACTAGGGTGTGTGTTCTTTGTGTGTGATGGAGGGTGGAGAGACGGAGGATGAAGGTGAAAGAATCACGAGAGAAAGCGACAGATGTTGAAAGGCGGGAACGGGCGGCGGCCGGCAATAATAAAAGCAACCTAGCGAAAATCCAGGGTCTGACGTTGGCCGTTCTGGTTGACAAAATGCTTGTCAATCGGCCATGACGTCTTCATTCGCCGTGCGTCATGATCGCCGCCCTAAACCTTCTCCGAACTCCCTGCGCAACGCGACCGCGTTCTTTTCCACCCGTTCGCTCCCTTTTCTCGGCCTTTTCTAGAGCCTGTCCGACGCGTATTCTATCTCCCGTCGACCCGCCTCCACTCAGCGCCCGCCGTCAGCCTTATTCAGCTGTTGACGCCGCAAGGGACGGCCGGGCTCTGCTCGCCTTCGATCCGCTTGGCGCACGGCTTGTTGATCCTCCTCACCCACCCCGGTTGCTGAGGCCTTCTGACGTCCTGCATCGCGCCCATTCGTGCGCGAGATCCACTGATGCGCGTTCACTTATCTCCGCTGCGACAATGACGATGCACTCAAACACTGAGTGAGGAACGTCGATAAGAACTATGGTCTAGCCAACAAGGTCTTGATGGCATGTAGAGTACGAGTCGAAGTCTGGTACTCTACGCTGGCAGCCAGTCGTCGGACTCATCAACGCTTGCATCGCGGTTATAAGGGTAGGTCCTCGGTCCCGTTCTTTCATCCGATTTTCTCTCCACGAGCCGCCACCGCCAGAAGCCGGCCTCGTACCGTCTCTGCTTAGTCAAAACCTTCTTCCGACGCGCGGTCTTCCCATGCCGAGGCGGTGGGCTTTTGGCCAGCACGACCGGTTTGCATGTGGGCACGCTCTAAGCTGGATCAACGACTGGGTTTCGAGGGTAAATTTAATCGTCAGTTTATTCTATCCTACTCGGTCCCACCTTCCAGGCGCATCTGCCGGCCTGAACAATCCATGACTGGACGCTAGACGGACATGCCTAAATTCAACTAAATTCACCGTCTTGCTTACGGAGCAGACCGGACATCCACGCGGAGTTATGCCTCGGACCTGCAGACTCGGTCTTTGAGGCGCGAGAACCATCGCTTAGTCCGTTGCGCAATCGAAATATTGCGTGCTTTTGCCGCTGCCATGCACGCTGGACATATCAGCGTCTGGTACTTTCTATCCGTCGGTTCCTCACCTCCAGAGAGACAGCACGTGATTCTGTCTGTCTTTTTCCTTCTGCCTCTCCTTTTGGGCTTGCGCTTCCCTCCGAATGTCTGCAACAGCCCACGGGGCTTGAACACGGATGATAGCACGGCCTTTGTCTTGCGGAGAGAGTGAAGCATAATGATCTTCTTAGGGCGTTGTTCCTGCTCGTCGGGGGGTGTCGAGTCGGGACCCGTGGGCGAGGGCGGCGAGTTGAAGCGTGTGCCATGCGTGGAGCGGAACATGCGGTCCAAGGCGATGGTTGCTTCCTCGTCGGCGGAATGGCCTAGTCGATTTGCCCAATAGCCGCGGACGTGACGATGGTAGATGGTCTGATTGAACTTGGCGACGTATGTCTCTTGTTTGACTCGCGGCTGGAGGCGTGGGGAGTCGTACGTTAGGATGTACACCTCGTCTTGGTTTTCTGGATCCTCTCCGCTCTCCTCGGTATCCGTGTCGAGCCCAGATTTGGAGGCTGTAGACGAATTCCTAGTCACGCCTGGTCCCTCTCTTTCTGTCTTGTTTCTTTCAATTTTACTCTTGTAGATGTCTCCTTCTCTCACGACCTTCAGCAGCCCGATGTCCATGTCCACCTGCACGGGCTTCCCGGCTATCGCCATGCTTTCGACCGCGAGACCGATATGTTCGGCCATCGTGTCCGTCATTGTGTAGGTGTGGTGATTGTCAGTACATGGTGAGGGTAGCGACATAAATATGCGCGGGCGGGCAGATCAAGGATCCGACCAGGTGAGTGAGAACATTTTAATAGGGAATGGGTTTTACTTCTGTCGAGGTTTATATCCTCAAGGTGCACGTTACGACATTTTGCACCGAGATGTGTTCGTGGGCTTGCGAGCAAGGTACCAACCATGGTCATGAGTCACCACCAGAGGGGAGCCGTGGGTCGTGGGGAGTGACAGATCCTTAAATGGATGCGGGGAGTAGGTGTACGTATACGCAACGAGCAGAGGACTGGACTCTAGCAGAAATTCCGACCCTTCAGACACACGCAAATACGCTTTCGATCCTTTCACAGATAACAATAAACAGTTTGCTTTGGGCCGTCGTCGCCCCCGGAATTTGGTCCACAAGTAGCAGCTGTACACGGTGCACCTCGGATCCTTAATCTAACCCTTGGCTACCCCCTCAAGGATCTATCTATTCGTCACCTCGCGAGCACGTCACTCGCGTCCAAGCAAAACGCTTAACCACGGCGGTGCTTACCTCTGCTTCTACCGGAGGCGGCTCGCCCCAGATCCTTAATCCAACCTATGACCACTTCCTCAAAGATCTACCTGTCGTCCTACCAACAAGTTACTCGCGTCCGAGCAAGACGCCTAAGCACGCGGGTACTTATCTCTACTTCTACCGTAGACGGCTTATCTTAGAGCCTTCAGCCCTGCCTTAGTCTCCATCCTTAAAGATCTATCTATCGTCTCACGAACACATCATTCTCGTCCGGGCAAGACGCCTAACCAACAGTGCTATAGCCAGCTCACCCCAGCCCCTGACCCAACCCTTTGCCTCCCCAAAAACCCATCCACCACCTCACGAGTACGAGCACCAGCAGCAGCACCAGCAGCGGCATCAACCCGCCACTCGCATCCAAGAAACAGGCCGAACCAACACCAGCGCCGTCCTAGTGGGGCGATTCAGCCCAGCGTCCAGGCAAACAGTGAAGCGTACACCAGCCGCAAGTCCCGGCCCCGTCGGCCCCGTCTCCCAGCTCGAGAGGGTCACGGGTTCCGTTCCGGCCCCAGAAGTCCACGCGCGAAGACGCCTCCGCCCGCAATGCAACGCAACGCAACGAAGGGACCGGCCTGGCCCAAGGAGGCGCCTCGGCTGTGTTGAAGGCGTATGTATGTATGTACGAGCGCACTGGCTACGCGGAAGAAGCTTCGGGGCCGGACACCCGCTGTCGCTGTCGCTGTTGTGCCTCCTGAGTGTGGGTGGATGTGGATGCTGTGGATCTGTCTCTGCCAGAGAGCGGGAGGGATGAGGAGGATGCTGGAGTAGCTAGGAGATAGATGCTAGCATCCAAGTGCTGGTAGGATACTCCATCCTTCCACACATGCGTCTCGTGAGACGCCTAGCAGCAGTCAAGCAGGCAAGACGACTGTCGCGAGACCCAATGCCTTGAATCCATGCAGCATATAGCGATGAGTGAGATTCGACATTCTCCCTACGCCGGGGATCTACTTGGGTTTGGGCCTACAGGCCTGTCCATACCCGTATACGGCCCAAGACGGACTCGTGGGTATATGCAAGTCGTCCACACGAAGAACACTCGAAACACATCCATATCTTAGAATTCCCATTGGGGAAGCACGTAGCATAACCCCCGCTATTTAATTTATACACCAAATGACCATTCTCTCTCCCTCCACATTCAGCAGACAGGCCAGCGCGCCCGCACGCAGGAAATTATGCACTGAACTGCAATGCAAGGCCTGGCTGCAACACACAGCCTGCAACACACAGGCTGCAGACGACCGGCCAGCCAGCCATACGTGCGCATCACAGCCGCAGCTGCCAGGCGTGCGCGTCCTGCATCTACGTCTACCGCACCAAGCGAGGCTGTGCGCGCCGTGCGTGCCAAGACTTTGTTAGCATAGAGGCTCTAGACTGTTCGTCGGTCGGACATGACGCGGGCGATGCTGCCGAGGCCGGCAATCTCGACGAGCTGGGGGGAGGGTCAGCTTGCTGCAGACATGGGTGATAGATGCGGGGCGAGCATCAGACGGGACGGAACCTACCTTTTCATGCCAGCTGAGCAACACGCTCATGGCTTGACCACTGCCCTCGCCGGCTCCGACGCGCGTGTGCACTTGCGAGAAGCCCGTCGCTTGCGGCGTGACTTGTTTAGGGCCCGAGTGCGCCTGTCCCATGCCTCTGTACCTGCGACGGCGTTAGTCTCGGCTCGGGAGGCGTGTTGCAACAGGGCGTGTTGGAACAAGAAAGGAACAGGCGTGTTGGAACAAAAAAGGAACAAGGCGTGTTGCAATAGAAAGGTGTTGCAAAAGGTCTCGGGCAGGTGCTTCGGCACGATGTTACGGAAGCATGGCGTCGGGCCGTGGTGGGACGGACGTACAGGTACTTCATCAGCGTATCCAAGACCTCGGAGCCACCGTCCGATTCGTATATCCTACTCAGGATGGGCGACATTTCGGTCTGGCGGATGGATTGAAGGATCTCGATGACGGTAGCGGTGTGGACGTCCTGTCGCGCAAGTGTTAGTGGCCATGTCCCTCTTTCTCCGAGCTTTCCGTGGATGAGGCTGACGGCGGGCTGCCGGACCAAGGCCACACCCGCCAGCCAGGTCTGGCATCTTGTCTTCTCCATTCGGCCTTAATCGACCCCCCGGATATACCCCCATCACTCACCTTCCCTTGCTGATCGGCACCGTAAGGTGCATTCTCGAGCGCACCGCGCAGCGCGCCCTCGCTGTCACCACCCCTGAGCAGCTGCCGGATCTGGCCCGCCAGCGTCTGCACGTCGGCCGTGGCGACGGGGGCGACGGCCGGGGTCAGGCTGGCCATGTCGAAGTTGGCGGGCGAGTCTGGATCGAGGGCATCGATGTTGATGGTGCGCCAGTTGATTTGCGACATGGTGGGAGGGGTGCGAGGTGGATTGGCGGGCGAGGTCGGGTCGTCGTGTCTGTCTTGTCGTCGGAGTACGAGAGGGGTTGTTGCGAGGTGCAGTGGGCTTGGGCGGTGACGATGGTGCGCCCGTGGGGTCGACTGCGGCCACTAACGAGACAGGGCAACGCCGCGCAACCTCACGCGGCCATGACCGCTTTCAATCGATAAAGCATTTTCGCTCAGCTCAGGGAGGCCATTGTCGCCCTGCATGCCTGTTTCCCGGTCAGCAGCCGGGCCGGAACCCTTGCTTGTGCCACCCCAAGCCCTTGCAAAACGTATTGTCTAAAGCTGAAAGGGATCGTTTTCGTGGCTATCTATAGACGTAGAATCCGCGGTGGCGAGACGGGAGACCCCTTCCGGCGCCAGCCCTGTGCCACCCAACCCGCAGATCCAGACGGCCAATCTCAGATCTCACTCGAAGCCGTGGAGAATGCAAATCCTGATTACAACCATGTTCTTTGTCCCCGGTCCGCCTCAATCTCCCCGGAAGAAGAATACGATAACTGAATGAAAAAGAAACCAAAGCCATCGCGGGCCGTTTGTGCAAGCGCCGTCATGATGTCAGTCTGCGCCAGATCCCTCCCTGCCAAGCTATTGTACAAATGTCTATGCCGATACTGAATAAAATAAAATCCAAAAGCGAGCGTGAAGAATCGAAAACGAACAGCAGGCCCCGATTTTGGTATCCCTTTGCGTGAGCAAATCCCATGATCTAAATAACGCCGATGAAACACTTTTGGCATGGAGGAAGCAAGGAGGCCCGTCGCTGAAGATGATACAGGCGCGCGCCAAGGAAGTAGTCGCTCGCAGAATGGCTCGAGGGGGTATTAAAACGTGTCGAAGGTAATCGCAGTCGCTCGTATTAAAAGTCGTAGTAACCGAAGGTGCCCAAAGGGGGAGGGAGTGCCGGGAGTGCCGGATGACGGCGGTGAGTGCGAGGGATGGGCTAGTCGAGGGTTAGAATGCGTGCATGCAAGGTGGGGTCAAACGGGCTTCTCACCAACGCGACAACTCATCCCTCCAGTTTTTTCTCCAAAGGCCAGCGCAACATGTACCAGTCATGTTGTTATTGATTTGGAGATGAACCATCACCGACGCTTCGGAGGAGGCGGAGGAGGCTTGGGAGTGCCTGTAGTATCGTAGGCACCACGACCCATGTTGGTGGAAGAGACGACGGTCCGAAGGATCATTGTGGGTGGAGGTGTGTTGCGGAGATGTGTGTTGCGAGAGAGAGTGAGAGTCTGGTGGGTGTTAGTGATGAACAGCAAAAGTGAAAGGAATAAGACTCACATTAATGCCTCGGTATGGAAGCGAAAAGAAGGAAGCGAGGCGGATGAGGGAAAGTTGGGGTTTGGTGGCCGGGCGCCGCTGGGTTGATATAGAGCATGCCCCCTTTCCACAAAAGCACTTGGCAGGAAGCGAGAGACAAATGAAATTTGGACGCATTTCCAACGACATGACATGACGTGCGGTTCGGGCTGTTTCAAAGGAGACCCTGCTCGTTAATTCACCAGGGATCGACGGCGCTGATGTTCCAAAAGTTCCAGCGGAAGGGATGCCCCTGGCTTGCACCTTTCGTACCTGCAGCCCGCCAACGCTCTTGCAGCTTGGAAGCTGATACGGCCGGTGGACGCGCGCGGGAACTGCTGCGGCCTCCCCGACGCCTCCCGGGTCGTTGGTACGCTGCGTCCCACGTGGGTCTCTATGACTTTCTGGAAGCCGTACTCCTAGTGTCACAAGTGCTGTGCTGCTGCTTGCTTCAAGCTGCGCCCATCCGTCCGCCTGCAAGGGTTTCGCTATTGACGCGTCGCATCCTTCCCCAGAATCGTCGTGGCGTTGGCACCGGCCCGCCCGCATATCCACCTGAGACATGCCACGGTCGCGGATTGACTGCAGCGAAGCTTGTCGGATGGCGTTCCGCGAGGAGGGTACTGCTCGCAATCTCCGTCACTGCCCTCCCGCCACAAGCAATCAAGCCTGCATCGGCTCTTCCAACCCGCCGGAAGCGATCCCAGGGATGTGCATCCCGGCCCACACGTGGCTGTGGAGCGAAAAGGAGGCGTCTGCATATGCACCATCGACGTTGCAATGTGAGAGTTTCTTCCTCCCATCCTCTCCCGCCGACCTGTCTCGCTGCCTCTTCTCGTCCCCTGGCGATCGCGCCGATCCAAGCCATCACGCGTGTTTGCCTACTCTGACTTCATGTGGCGCCAGATCTTCCCCCTCCGATTCCAATCGCCCGGCTTGCGGGTCGCGGTTGCACATCGCCAACGCACCATATCGGTTTGGTGGTGACACAGAGATTCATTCGGCCGTATGCAGTCCTGTCGTATGTGATGGTCTTGTTGCAGATGCTCCTGCGTCTTGTTGGTGTTCGTCGCAATCATCTCTCAAACGTCCCTCCCACCATTTACCCACTACGGCTAGCGCCCGTCCTTCCCGCCGATTTTGCGACCTCTCCTTTGCGATTCATTCTTATTGAAAATGCGGGTTGACGTGGCTTATCCAAGGATGCACAGCCTTATGACCATTCCCCATGCTTGCCCTCCCGTTTCGGCCCTTTTTCCGTGCCTCTGCCATCTCCGTATCCGAGGCCCCTTCCAATTCCCCGTGCCCCCCTTATCGATCCCTTCCAGAAGCCCGCCCGACAGATCCTCGTAGCGTCCGCGAATGAAGCCCGTCCGGGGTAGGCTCCAACCCTTCAGCCTTCCGGTCAATCGCGAGTCAGCATGCTAGCGTGCGGCTGTAGAGGTTGCTCGCCTCGCCTAGTCTCGCGTGGGACGTCGGGATCGACTTCTGGAATGCTTTTGAGTTGTTCTAGAGGATTTCAGGGGTAGCGGGTCGTGGCTCCATGTGGATTCTGCACGGTCGTTTGTATCCATCACATCTAGCCTGCGGTATGTTTTAGTCAAATGGGGGGAGGAGTCCTGTTTGCCACTAGACTCTACGGATCCGTCAGGCCATTCTACAATTGTATATCAGGTTGAAAGTCGGAAGCCAAACCAGTCAAGCCAAAGTCAAGCCAAAGTCAAAAGACAAAGCCAGACCGAAGCCACAAAGCTCAGTCCGCGGAGGCGGCTAATTAGTGTGTGCACGGAAGTCAGAAGCACGGGTGAGGGAATCAGAAGTGAGGCAAGTCAGGCAACAGGCAACAGGCAACAGGCAAGTCAGGCAATGTCAGTGCGAGCTCAGGCAAAGCTCAGGTCAAACTGCAAGCAAGCCAGTGTCAGTGCAAACAAACGAGCTCAGATAATCATGTCTGGGGCAAATTAACTTCGGGATTGGCGGATGAATGGAACTCGTTCGCCACTGTTGGGCGCCTGTTTGTCGTGAGGTCGAGCGAGCGACGAACAGGCACGGCAGACGAGCAGACAAACGCAGAGCAGACCGCGAAATCACATGACCTCCACGTCATGGCACAAACTTATCAACACCAACGTCGAGGGCTTCGTGCAACCCTCACCTATCCCATCTCCCCCCACTCGTCATGACGACCCGACGGAAACCCGAACGCAGCCAAGACAGCTACAACGAAGCCCCCTTGAACTCGACCCCGATGGAAAAAGACGACGCCGTCAGCCCGCACCGCACGTCGCTCGCGCGCCGCTCGCCCTTTCTACCCACCCGCCTGGAGCTGCTGCTGCTCCTCGTCTACCCGCTGACGCTCATCTTGGGCTCCGTCTTCTCCATCCTGTCGCCCACGACGCGAAACACGCCCTACAGCGCGACGCTCCAATCGCATCCGGTCGACGTGGCACCGTCATATTTCGCGCAAAAAAAGAACGTGTTCAACGTCTACTTCGTCAAGAAGGGATGGGCATGGACCACCGTGGCCCTCTTCCTCTTCGTCCTCACCCACCCGTCGCTCGGCCCGCCCATGCGCCCGCTGCTCACGCCCCGCCGCGCACGCGCTACCCTGCGCTGGGCCGCCGTCACGGCCGTCTGGGTCGTCGTCACGCAATGGTGCTTTGGGCCCCCGCTCATCGACACCCTGTTCCGCTTCACGGGCGGGCAGTGCGAGCTCGTGCGCGACCCAGAAGCGCGCCAGGACCTCTCCGCTCCCCGCGAGTACGTCACCGCCGCGACGTGTAAGCTCGCCGGCGGCCAGTGGAAGGGCGGCCATGACATCAGCGGTCATGTCTTCCTGCTCATTCTCGGATCTATGCTCCTCTGGTTCGAGATCCTCCCCGCCGTCTTGCGCTCCGAGGGTCTACGCGATGGCCGTCGCGTCGTCATGCCCGACGGAAAGGTCCGCACTGCCGCCGCAGAGGCCCAACGCGAGAGCCACGCCCCGACCCAATACGTCTCCTCCGATGAGGACCCTGGCCTCGGAGTCAAGGCTGCTATCGCTGTCATGGCCCTGAGTTGGTGGATGCTTCTCATGACCGCCGCTTTTTTCCACACTTGGTTCGAGAAGTTTACTGGTCTGCTCGTCGCTTTTGCCGCCATCTGGTCCGTCTACTTTCTTCCGCGCGGTGTTCCTACATTGAGGGCCGTTGTCGGAATGCCCGGAGTGTAGTGGCATGGCGCGTAGCGGCATGCGCGGGAGTTGGGCTCTGGCATGCGCGGGTAGTTGGGCTCCATAGACATGTACAATAGGCCGCATGGCGAGACGACTAGACGAATGAATGCCTTGTATGAGATCTGTCTGTGCTGTCATGTCTGGGCTTCAAGTCGTCCGTTTGCTCCTTTTCAGACCGTATCCTCACCGCTCTTAATCAGGCTACAGTCAAGAGGCAGTGCAAGATGATGGCCACAGTGGCCGAGTCTTAAAGGACGTCTTGCCAGCGTTGACCTACTTACCCTTTCTATGTACCCTTTCGATCCCGAACCGCGTGTACGGCTCAGCAGACATGGCGCAGACAGCCGAGATCCACCTTGTGAAGCTGTCATGTCTGCTGCTGCGTCTTATCCTCGCTGTCATCCCCAGGGTGCGTATCTTGCAGCCTTGGTGTCTCGTACACCCGTCCACCCGTTGTATGTCATCCTCAGGCGGGTGTTGCTCCGCGACCTTCTTCCGCTGCATGAGTAGAAGCCTGCGTATGCGTTAGGGCTCCGCGCCTGGTGAATTCACTGCAATCAGGGTGTCAATCAACTTAGTAAAACGCACTGCCCGACGGTAAACATTGCAGACTACCTCTGCCAACATCCGTTGCGCTAAATCTGTCGTTTGCTGCATTCAACGGATTGCTGGTTGACCGGTCGTTAGTAGGTATCGTGACCCTAGAGTGGAGATTCCAATAGGTAGAGAGTCAATAGATGTATAGAGGTGGGCGACGCTCCACTTTACAATCTGAGCCACAATCCACTGCGGAGCGATATATGCAAGTCATATCCAAAGACGACTCACCGACTGCACATCGCACCACGTGAGGGCAGATCTCCGCCTTATGAGCTCTGGCCAAGGAAGGGCAGCAGTGCAGAATTATTCAGGTCGAATGTCTACACGCAGGAATTGGCAGCTGGCTGAAATGGACGAATCTCTGCACTGAGCCCTGGAGGCTGAATACTAGAAATCTAGAATTGTAGTCCTGGGAAGACTCGACGTCAAAGAATAAACGTTGAAGTTAAGACTCACGAGGATTTACTAAACAAGGCCCACAGCGGCAATTGCGTAGTTTAACAAGATCAACATATATCCCCAGGTGCACGGAGGATGTTGACGAACTAGCCTCAAGGAACACGAGTTTACTAACCAGACCCAAAGCGGTAATTCCGAGAGAAACGAAGTGAACGTGTTTTATGGGTGAATGCGTTAAGGTCTGATGTTTGGTCAATCAGTGAACCTAGTTGCAACTCAAAGCTCCAAAATCGAACGTCTAGGTTCAGTGACTAGGGTCTAGATGTCCACACGGAGGGAGTGAACTATCGCAAATCGGCAATCATCCAGTGTCAGACGTCTAGGTTTCAGTGAGCAGATTGTGGGCTGCACGATAGCATCTGGAAGTTGATCACTTGGCCTGAAAGGGTAACTTCAAGCCGTTTCATGTCGAATGTCTAAGTTTTGTGATACGCTTCTTCGCGTCACCTTGATCGCCTTGTCGTATCATGAGTTGTGTGGCACCGTACCTTCACTGACTTCTGACTTACTTTGTTTGCCTTTACGGGGCTTCTCGATTCTGACAGACAGTGCCTCGTATCCCATTCAGTGATCGAGCCCAGCTCTGGATATAGTTTACCTTTTAGGGGTCTTGACCCACGGTACTTGCCACAGCTGGACCGAATGACGGGTTTGTCCAACTCGATCCCACTGATAGGGCGGTCGACCCTGAATGAATGAATGATTCCGTGCGTGGCTTTCGGTATATGGCCCCGATTGGGTCATTGCGTGCAGCGGGGAATGAGCAACCGTAGGCGAATCCCATCTTGAGAGTAGGTTTGAGTGACAGTAGGAAGAGAAAGTTGCGAGAAAGTGTTGCTAGGGACAATTGGAAACAGTAACGATGACCGGATTGACCAGAAAGGCATATAGACTCACAACTTCTCCCTCTTCTCCATCCCCGGCCGGCCTCCCATCTTGGCCTCCACTGCCGTCCATCTCACTCCTCATCCTCGCCGTTCTCTTCCTCACGGGCGAAACCGACCTTCTCCAGGCTCCAACCACCGGGGAAGGCGACTGGGAACGTGAGTGACATGTGAGGAATTCGCCGGGGGTAAGTCAAATTTGGGGACTGGCGTCAAAGAGGGCTGAGTTGTGGTAGACGAAGTCGAGGCCGTCAGACTGCAGCCATGGTAGAAGATTAGCAGAGCCGTCTCGCGGGCGCGACGCTGCAGAGGGGATGACAGCGTTGATCGATCCACTGCTAGAGACTGTTAGCCGCTGTGCCAGAATCGGGTATTCGTCTTGGGCACCACGAGTCGTACTTTCCTGAGTTGGTAGCGTCAGTGCTTGAGTGGAAGCATAAGAGTTAGTCCAGGTCCACCGCATGCCGTTCTGCTTGGCCGGAGCTGAAGCTCGCCATCTGAACGAGAGAGGGTTATTCTGACCGGACAAGGCGGTGATGGTGAACATCGGGTTGCTCCTGTGACAGTCGGCTCAAAACCCGTAGAAGGATGGCAGTATTGCGTGACAGTGCCCTTCCGTGAAGCAGTGTGACGGACAGAGTAGGTTCGATGAGGCGGCTGATGGACAAGACCGTAAGAAGGTACGCCGGCCAGGGAAGTCACGACATGGTCCCCTTGAACATGAGTGACAAGCATCACCAATATGTCCCACCGTACGCAGTACCCACATCTTCAGGAAGTAGCCGAGAGGCTGTAAGGTGCGTGACCTGAGTAGCTCCGGCTATTCATACCGTGTGTAAGTGGCTCATACAATCCGTACGACTCACATCTTACGGTATGACGACCGAGGGGCAGTAGGACGAGCCGGGGATGCTTGTATAGTGCTTTCTTTTTCTCAGTAAAGTTCTGACTAGGGCACACACAAAACACTGCATGCAGGTCTATTCACTTCGGCCCAGATCGTCATCAGGGATATGCACTTGCCGCTATTACTTCTATTGCATGCATCACTACCGATATTTCCTCCTCACTGCTTTCAAAAGCAATCACAGAAGAATTCACTGCAGCTCACCCCACCGTCCCACATCCGTGCAACCATGTATCACAAACAGCAATCTATCCTGCCAAATAATGACGAGACGCAAGAACGAGAAGAAATCATATTCGCCATCCTGTGAGGACCCGTGAGGGTTGGGTTGGAAGCCGTGAGCGCAGCAGCCTCTCCAGTCCTGTTGCCTGCCATCTACACTCTCGCAGTTTTGTCCTGATACCGAGCCTACTCCTAACATGCGCAGCCTTCCTTGGGACCCTGTGCCTGTCCGCTCGTCAGGTTGACCCTGGCACTGCCGTCGTCGCCACCCCGTCCACCCAGACCCTGGCCAACACCACGGGGTCCCTTGAGGCTGGTCTCAGGGATGGCATTGGCAATGGCCGTGAAGACCTCCGTCACGTTCTCACCCGTCTTGGCCGAAGTCTCGAAGAAGAGCAGACTTTCCTCGTCCGCATATGCCTTGGCAGCCTTGGTAGAAACCTTGCGCGCGTCGTCGTTCTCCTCATCCTCGGTCTCCTCGGGGGCCGGGGCCGGGGCGGGTGGCGTCGTGGTGTCAGCATCCGCCTCCAACTCTCCGCTCGGACCATCACCCTCAACATCGTGGTCGCCAGGAGTTTCCGTTGCGACGGCCGGCGCGTTTTCGCTGCTCTCCGGTTGCGTCGCCGGAGTCTCCTCCTCGACCTCTTCGTTGTCTGCCTCAACCAAATCCGCCTTGTTTCCGACAAGTGCGATGACGATGCCCGGCGAAGCCTGTCTCTGCAACTCCGCGACCCAGTGTTGTGCCTTGGTCAAGCTGGATGCCTTGGTGATGTCGTAGACGACGAGCGCGGCCTGCGCGTTACGGTAGTACATGGGAGCCAGGCTGGCGAAGCGTTCTTGACCCGCCGTATCCCAAATCTCGAACTTGATGGTGCGGGTGGGGAGGTTGCATTTTTGGGTCAGGAAGGCGGCTGCGGGGGTCAGTCGAGGGTCTTGCCGAGTGTGGGGAGGCGGGGTGGCAAGGCGAACCTCCTATCGTGGGTTCCTTGTTCTCTTGGAAGTCGTTGTTTACGAATCGCATCACCAACGACGACTAGGATGGATGGACAGGTCAGTGTCTGGTCACGTCGCTGGGCTCGAGTCGGTACCTTTCCTACGGCCGCTTCACCCAGAAGCACGAGCTTCACACTGCTGCTCGGTTTGGCAGCCGCTGATCCTGATTCGGCCATGAGTGTAGAGGTCTGGTTGTCGGGAATGTGACTAGTTGAGTCGATGTTGGCGGAGTCGTCGCGGAGGTAAACGCGGGCCTGCGGGTGGACCTGCTTGTTGTTGCTGGGCGGTGAGAGGCCTCAGCTTAGTCGCCAATACTCGATAACAAATTCACTATCGATTGCTGACAAACTCAAGGAAATGGACAATTAGAGATTCTAACATTCAGCATTATTCTGCGGCAGCGATGCGGCGAAGGGGTTGGTCACGTGATGTTAGTAAGCAGGCTGCGGACTGCCGACTGCCGACTGCGGACTGCGGTCTCCTTGCATACCGTGATAGATTCGATCTTGCACGGTGTAGATGAATTGAGACTTCGAATCTCGATCTCACGATTGTGAATTGTAATCTTGTTGAATTCTATCTATAGAGGCATCGAGATCCGCCATGTTGCCAGGTGCTTTACAAGATGCGATGCACAATCAACTCACACAAAAGGAAAGGTTAGCTTCTTCAATTCCGCCGCCGTCTTAAGTCAAAGCGGAACTGGCTCCGCAAGTTCCACAAAACGGAAAGATGTGGGGAGCTTGCGGACAAGTCCACAACGTGCGTGGCAGCTGTCAGTAGATGTAGCTGGTCAGCGGCGATATGATTGACGCATCAACAAGTAGTACGTAGACTTGATTGATGTAGGTGGAGTGCATAGTCAGCTGTGGCTCGATCGGAGGTGGGCGGCAGAGCCGATACCACGCGTCATTCCCCCGCATGTCGGAAGGCTAGACCATGACAGCTAGCACCTGACTTTGGCAGCGGATGTCGTGAGAAGACAGATGGCCTCAACGATCGACATTAGCTGTGGCTTATCGGAATCGAGCGAAGCACAGACTTTGGAGCAGGCGATCAGGCGGGCAGTTGTTGAAGGTTGTAACGGCGCGAGTTGAGCGAAACGGCCGCTTCCGGCACGACGATCTCGGCCCCGTACGAAGATCCGAGTCCGGAGAGTGGCACTGATAAAGCCTCAGGCTCAGGAACGCGTGCTGGGAGGGAAACAAGGGTCCGGCGAGAGCAGGAGAGCATTTCCCGTGCGACGCCAGAAACATTTCCCCATTCTTGCCAGTTGCCAGCAGAGACGAGCTCGGATGGCGTGGCGGCCTCTGCGCAACCCGCGCCCGTCGAGCGCTGCCCCGAATAGCAACCCTCTTCGTACGCCATTGGGGCCGGTACGTCGCGACCATGATGCCGCGCCGGTCACGCCTGGCGCCAGCCTGGCCTGCTGATTCCCACTCTCCCCACGATGTAGCTAGAAAAAAAGTTGCCCTGCCTCGGCTGCCGCCCTTTCTTTGCGCCTCGATTGCCTGATCCGCCGCCCCTCTCCTCGCTCTAGCCTCGTCTCGGCCGTCGCACAATAAGCCTGCAGCGGCGCGGCTGTGTGCGGGGACGCTTTCATTGTATCGCTGCAACTTCTCCATAATTTTTGGCCCGGCTTCCTTTCAAGGCGCGGCTTGCACGGACTGTCCTCTCGTCATTGCTCCCCACGCCTCCTTGAACTTCGACTCGTGGCCCGCTGCTCGACAACAATTGTCTCCCATTTTCACGCCTTTGCATTCCCCTCAAGCCGACCCTGTGCAACCGACGCAACGCTGCGACCTCTCTCCCCTCTCTCCATCTCTGCCCGTCACCATCATGACGGCCACCAGGGTATTCATCTCCTGACCCTCGTCTCCCTTCACGCTGACACTGATGCAGGAAGTAAGCACCTCCCGCCCATCAAACCACCATCGTTCCTCGATGGGCGGCATCGCCTCCAGCCTCCCCGCCCGTCATTCGCGACAAAACTCGTCCCTCTCCGTCGGCTCCCTCAACCCCGCGCATCGCGTCTCGCGCCGGAAAAGCATGTCCACGACCGCCGCCACAAACGTAGCCGCCGTAGCTGCAGCCGTCGGTGGAGATGCTCCCACTCGCCGAACCTCGTCCAAATCAACCCTCACCCCCAGAGGTCCGCCCGGCTTATACACATCCATGGGCGGTAGCTTGCCAAACAGCGGCTCTCCCTTTGGTCCTTCGAGCTACAACGCCAAGAACGGCGCCGCCGTGGCCGATGGCCCGCCCCTGGCTTCCATCCCCGACGCAGAAAAGGGAAATGGCAAGTCCAGAGCGAGGCGCGCCAGCGAAGGTTCGGGCGCAAAGGGCAAGCGAGCGAGCGGTAGCGAACTTCGCTGTGAAAAATGTGGAAAAGGGTACAAGCACAGCAGCTGTCTCACAAAGCACCTGTCAGTTCCCCTGAGTCCCGCATACTTCACACCGAGGTTGACATTTGCAGATGGGAACACACGCCGGAATGGGCCATTACCTCGAAACTGCTCATCTCAAAGCACCAGCAGGTGCAATTGCTCGAGGCCGCGTCGGTGCTGGTCAACATGAACCAAGAAGCCACCCAGGCCGAAAGCGATCACTCCTCATCCCCTGCCGCCTCGGGATCTTCCGACTACCGCGACGACGGCATGAGTTCGGCGGAAACGACGCCTCCCCCGGATGCGCCCGTCGGCTCTTATCAGGGCCCCGCCGTCCGATACTCCAACAAACGCTTCAGCAGCAACAGCAGCGCCTACTCCCAATCCTACCAATCGAATCCTTCAGTCTTCTCTCCCAACTCTTACGGCTACTATCGTCAGCAAAGCATCGATCATCTCCGTCCACCTACCTCGGGCACGTCGACGACCTTTGACGAGGAGGACCAGGCCGATCTCGCTGCCGCGGTGGGTCTGCTGAGTTGCAGCTACGGCACGCCCCAGAGCAAGCCCATCATGCTGCCACCAGACGTCCCGCCCGTACCTCCACTCCCCGCTCGCTTCCTCAGTCAAAACAGTCTCGACTCCCGAACCGGCACCGTCGCCACTCCACCCGGCCAGCAGCAGTACGCCACGTCTCTGCGCTCGTACGCCAGCCGGCATCAATCTGCAGATGATGACGTGGACATGGAGGACGATGAGGATGATTTTGAGCGGCACCAGCGCGCTCGTGGGAGAAGCGACGAAGACGAGGAAGGCATGTTTGGCCGGATGGAGGAGTAGATCTCTACCCTTTGACCACCATCAAGCCCGCCCGTATAATCAAGCATTCAATCCATTTCAGCGCGCATTTACGAATTTCTTTCGCGCATTCACCTTTCACCATCTCTTCACCATTCTTCTTCACATCTCTCCATACCATCTTCACATCTCTCCATCCCGAATGGCCCCCATCGCTTGCTGTGTCACCGCCTGTTTCTGACCGGTCTCGTGCACGGACCCAGGCGGAGCGTCGGCATATGGGGAAGCGGTGGGGTTGTCCGTTTCGGGTTAGCGCCAGTTACATCATCGTCTGACTCGTTGCTGAAGATTTCAGCTCCTCCACGGTACGACCCACAACAACTTACCACCACTCCAGATACCCGTCAAGATGCCTGTTGGAATCAAGACAGTAGGCGAACCCTGCTCCGTTTGCGACTGTCGCTAACCTCATTAGCCCGTCAATCAAATCAAGCTGACCAACGTGTCGCTTGTGCGCATGAAAAAGGGTGTGTCCGAAATGTTTCGTGTGACATCGAAGTCTTGTACTGACGCCTCCAGGCAAGAAGCGCTTCGAGATCGCATGCTATAAGAACAAAGTTCTCGAGTGGCGCAGCGGCGTCGAAAAAGACCTCGACAATGTCCTCCAAATCCCAAACGTCTTTATGAATGTTAGCAAAGGCCAAGTCGCCAACTCACAAGAACTGGCCAAGTCGTTTGGCGCCGACAAATCCTTGGATGACATTATCCTCGACATCCTAAACAAAGGCGAACTGCAGGTCGGGGAGAAGGAGCGCAACGCGCAAATGGAACGTGTGCACAACGAGGTCATCGATATCGTCGCCGGCAAACTCGTCGATCCCAAGACGAAGCGCGTCTACACAACTGGCATGATTGAGAAGGCGTTGGATCAGCTTCAGTCGCAAACGGCGCAGGCTCCGAGTAGTGGTACCGCCACTCCCACGGAAGATTCCGGCAAGAAGGAGCTTCCCAAATGGTCCGGCGTCGCCACCAACAAGTCGGCCAAGTCGCAGGCTCTGGAAGCCATGAAGGCATTGATCGCCCACCAGCCCATTCCCCTCGCCCGCGCCCGCATGCGGCTACGCATCACCTGCCCGACGAGCGTCCTCAAGCAGGCCGTCAAGGCGCCAAAGGACAAGGCCGCAGACGAGGACGAGGAGAAGAAAACCCCCGGCACCGTCAAGGACCGCATCATCAGCTACGTCGAGCAGGTCGAGTCGCAGGATGTCGTAGGCGATGAGTGGGAGTGCATGGGTTTCGTCGAGCCGGGTGCTTTCCGAGCCCTGTCCGAGTTCATTAGCGGGCAGACCAAGGGACGTGCAAGAGCAGAAGTGCTGGACATGGCTGTCATGCATGAGGATTGAGGAGCTTTGGGTGTCTGCGCAGGTTCTGCAGCATTTCTTCGGGTAGACGAGAGTTACCGTGGTTGTCTGTCCTTACCTTTCGAGACTTGATGTGTGGGTCAGCTTGAGAGGTGGCCGAGTGATGGATACTTGTACATGATTACATGAAAGCGATGAGCGTTGATTCTTGCCTTTTCTTCGATGGCGTTGGCACATTGTGATCTGATACCAGCCAGCAGGTCGAGTACAGTAATAGACGATTGTAGGAGTCAGGCAGGAGAGCTGAAACCGGGGCCCTCTGCCTTAAGAACCACCCTCCCTCGCGCTGCCTTGGAATGGACCCAAGACACCCGCCCGCTCCTGTGACGTACCCCAACCGCGCGAGTGATGAAATGCTTAATATCCCCTCCTGCGCGGCGACGTCACGACACGCCGCGGACGAGCACAAAAGAGCGCGTTGATCGGCAGCGGCGGGTACCACGCAGCAACGGGCAAACAATCTACACGACGAGGGCCGGAGGAGTTGCGTCGGCTCAGCAAGGGCGGCGCTGCTGCTCCCTCCAAACTCCGCCTGGGGTTACCGTGCGAGGCCATGGATGTGCTTGGTCGGGGGGAGGCTCGCCCGCTTCCCGCCGCGCATCTGTGCTGTGCAGGGTATGGTGGAGGATCGGCGGCGGCCGTTGGAACGCGTGGAGGGCGCGCCGGGCTGGGGTTGTCGTCGCACACGCTCGCCTGCCGTACGCGTGCGGCGAGGATGGCGCGACCGTGGCCGCTCTCGGTTGCCCCCTCCGCGTCTGATGTGGAATGGTCGTGTTTTTCTTGTCGAGCTGGACTGCTGCCGTGGAGTTGCAGACGTCATGTGCTTTGCGGTCCGAATTGAGCGTCGGCGCTTCGTCGTGTTCGGCGCAACCTGCCTCTGTTCACTTGAGTGTGCTCCGAGAGAAAGTTTGTATCGTCTTGACTGCTGGTCGTGGACGCGCTGACGAGGTCTTCCTGTGTGTTGTTAGCACTCCGGTCTGGATTATGGGCATTCTTTCCTGTGCCTTAGAATGAGTCACAACACCACCAGGCTCCTGGACTTGCGGATGTCCTGCTCCGCCTTCGTGCCGGTATTGGAATGCTGTCGACATGGGTACGCGTCTCGCAGTCACGGACGAAGAGCGTCTTTGGGCGTGGGTATGGCGTCTTCCATGCCCCGACAATAGGCATTCTTCTCGCAGTGTTGTGGCGACCCATGCCTGGATGACAGACGATGTTTGGCGTGCACAGTGTCCATTTCCAACGGCATGGTGGGTTGTTGGTTGCGTCCCTGCTTGCTTCTTCCACTCCAGATCCTTTACCTCTCTACTTGGCCGGCCGAACCGTTTCCAGGAGACACGACGTGGACGTGCAGAGTAGGGTTTGTCTCCCATGCCGGCCGAAGCCAGCGTTCAATCCAAGGATTGACACTCTACCTATGAGGTAGACAACATACGTTACGACATTCATCGTAACCACTACAGCAGTTGCTGTAAACATTGTTCAATCCAAAGAAGAATTGACGTTCTATCATGAGATAGACCATACGTTACGATACTCATCGTACTCATTGCACCAGCCTCGCTGTGCATTATTAGTTCAATCGTTGGATTGACATTCTATCATGAGATAGACCACAGCGTTACGATATTCACCGTAACCTCAGTACAACAGACCGTTGTACTCCACAGTAACAGTCGACCTCTCAGGAAGACTGTTCCTCGCTCTCGTCCTCACTGGGATGAGGATCGTCGGTGCCGTAAACAAGGACAAGCAGCCGGGAGAGGAGCGCTGTAGTCTCATTGACACTTTCAATGCACCGGTTGACTTCAGGCATGAGATTGTCGTCGAGCCAACCATCTGCGGCCTCCAAGTTTGGACGCTCCTGTGCCGAAAGATCATCGGCCTCTTCATGCTGACGCTCGTTCTCCCTGAGCGCCCACTTCCGGGCGTTGAACGCGCGAATAGACAGCTCGAGGGGCGTAAGCTTATCAACCCAGAGACAATTACACTCCCATTGTGCTAGGGTCACATCCTCACACTTGTTGTTCTGCCCCGCGGGATGGTGGCTAAAGCCACCGCCCTCACGTGTATAACCATCCGCGATTGCTGTGAACAGAACCTCGGACGCTATACACGCTTCTGGGGTTTCACACCAGTAAATGGGGAACCCTTCCACACGGAAACCCCTGTTCTTCCACACGGCCCGACAAGTGGACTCCGTGAGGTTCATTATGTAATTCGAGCTCTGATGCTTGATGTGGTTTTCAAGCCTCTTCGCCGGATTTCCGTAACCAATGTACCTGAGCGGAGGATGCAGAGGTTTATCCTGGAGGTCGGTAGGAAGCTGCTTGATGCGAGCCTCCAACGCGGCACTCCAGCCCACTTTCTCGAGGTAGCGCCGTTCACCAGGCTGGGTCTGCGACAACAACACTTGAGTAGACTTTACGGCGTTGTCAATGTCGAAAGCTATCGAGTCGTTACCGCTGGTGGTGTCGCAGTACTGGCGCATAGCTTCGATGACTTTGAGTAGTTCGCGAGGTGTCGGTGACAAGCCTTCCTCGTCGACGAGGACAATGTGGTAGATCCCAGGACCTGCCGCATTCCCATGCTCTGCACGCTTCTTGTACAGATTCGTAACCCGTTCGGCGTCCGGGTTTTTTCTTACGGCCCGTGTAAGATTTCCGCCGACCAGCTCATTCAGGATAACCTGAGGAGTGGCACATAGTATCGGCATGCACAAGTCCCTCCAGTCTTCAAATGAAAGACCCATTACTACTGGGATTCGATCAGGTTCTCTCTGATGTTCATCCCAAACAAGCGTCACCAAGTGATGCAAATCGTCCCCGAGAGCCTCGGCGTATCTGCTGACACGCTTGTTCTCTTCCGGGACATCAGCAGGGTCGAAAGGCCGTTCCATTACAGGTAACAGAGCCTGTGCTGTCTGCTGCGTCATCGGGATGTTTACGTCGTCGTCGTCATCGGCAGCCTCGACTTCATCCTCGCTGTCACTGGGAGGATCGGGATCCGTCGCAGGAACTTGGGTATCGGGGAGGGGTGGGGAACTCATGGTTGAAGTGACGGGGGCAAGGGTTGAAAAGGTGGGTGGGAAATGGGTGGAGGAGGTGGAGTGGTGGAGGAAGGGTGGAGTTGGGAGCGTAGAAGATAAAGACGGTGAGGCGCTAGTCGCACCTTCCTTTCACTCTGCAGCTCCTTCCTGAAGCGAAGTCGCTCTTTCCCTTCATTATGCTCTATCCTCTAGGCTCCTGCCTGGTCCTCCTTTCACTCTGCTCTCGCTCTGCCTGAGATGCCGCACAAGGACGTTTCTCAATACTGCGCATCCCCACGCTCACGACTGGTCATAGACGTCCCTGGCGCACACGCAGACTTCCCGTCGATGGAGTCGGAGTGATACAAAAGTGTCGTGGAGCCCCGCGCGTCCATAGGGACGAAGCATATAGCAGACCAACTGGTGTATGGACGTACTGTGTCTACAATGAAGATATATTCCCCGACGAGGACGACAGCGGCGAGGGTGCAAGATGTAGCAAGACAGCAGCGGTAGACTTCTGGTAGGTATAGGCAGTTCTGTCTAAAGCATCGCGCTCATGACGACTCGCGAGCGGACAACAGTCAATTTATCTTCTGCTTGCGAGAAAGACATCATACCCTTACAGCATACCCTCGTGCTCTCGTATATCTATATCCTTGTACTTTTAGAGAAAAGTCTCGTAGACGCATACCTCCGTATATTGACCCTTCGTGGAGCGCTCCTGGACCCCCGTATGCTTGTTTCTTATATCGTGTAAGATCCTCTTATACCCTCTCGCATTTTCGTCTTCGTACGTACGTGGCAGCTCGTCTCCTCTGTCACTAAATCGGAAGCGTACCTATCCAACACGATCCATGTTTGTGGCAGCAGGCAGGCGTCGCCGGACACGTTATCTCCGTGACCGCCGAGCCTCAGCGCTTTTCCATCATGACTGCCTAAACCGTATGCCAAGCCAAGGTGCGGCGGCCGGCACAAAACCGCCTTCTTGCGACAAGTTCAACCTCTCCTCATACACCATCCATCGTCAACACAGGTAAACCTCACACGTTCTCGCGCCCAAGATCTCATGCTAATATATATCTCACATAGCAAACATGGCATCGTCGTCTGAGCAACCTGGGGATTCGTGGGAAGAGGCCACGCGACATGCTAATGAGAACATCGACCTGGTTCATGAGATGACGACGAAATTCGAGAAGGCCAGGGGCGAGGCCAACGAGAAACGTTCCCGGGTAAAAAGTCCCCCACTCGGGACCATCTTCAAAGAGATTCCGGACGGGTTGGAAGCAGCCCGCGTCCTTGTGGACAGGCATCGCCGTCGCGCAGAGGAACAGAGTAGTCAGCTAATCTCCCAGAGTGATAAGATTTCTGAGCTGGAAAGACGTGTGGATTGGCGGGACGCGTCTCTGAGCGATCTAAAAAAACAGATCAAGGATCAGAGTAAAACTCTGCAAAGACAGATCAACTCGCGGGACAACCGTATCATCGAGCTGACTGAGCAGAATAATGCTCTGCAAGAACAAGTCAACTCTCGGGACACCCGGATCAACGAGTTGACTGAGCAGAATACTATTCTGCAGAAACAACTCGAGGAGAGTGAGGAAACCCGCAAGCAGGGCCAGGCCCAGGCTGAGGTGATCTCCACACTTCACAGCACGAGTTATGAGGTTCTCCAACAGCGTGAAAAGCTGCAGAATCATCTAAGCATACAGCGTGAGAAGTTCCGTTCTCAGCTGCATGAGGTGCGTGAGTCTCTCGAGACCACGCAGTTGACTGGTTCTTCGGGTGCACCTGTGGATACGGACGAGACACTCGAACATGACACTCATGAACGAGAGTCTCTGGACGTGGAAGCAGACACCGGAGAACATGAGGCCTTCTTCAGAAGACCTGCATTGCCATCTGTGGAGGATCGGGAATCCACACAGGTGCACTCACGTCCTTCGACGTCGGGTAGTACTGGTGCTGGCTCCCGTCCCCCGGTGGAAGGCACTGAGTTTTCAACCAGTGAGAAAGGAAAGCGCAGGAGGGTCGATCCGTCGCTGCCCATCCAGCCCGAGGCTGGTGGCAGCACCACGGTTCAAACTCCAGTCGCTTTCGGATCCACGCAGACGCCTGCTGGATCATCATCGCAGAGTCCGGCCCAGACGCAAAGCCAGTCCACGACTGCTAGCGGCACGGCCCAGACATTTACTGCTGGAGGGTCCGGGCAGACTACTGCTGGTCCATCAACTGCCTTGCAGAGTTCGCCCCAGGAAGCATCCAAGAAGGCAGGCCGGCCTTTGAAGAAGGGCTTCTCGCATACTCGGGCCAAGGCTCGCGTTACAGAGACAGCCCCCTTCGCCGCCGAACTGGTATTCTTGGTGCCAACTGGTGTCGACGGCAATAGTTCTCGTTATGAGAGAATGGATTCCCTGCAGGACAAGTCCTTGGTTAAGGCCATTGTCGATACCATGAAAGGATTTAGGAACAGAGATTTTATCGCGTTCTCAGAAACCGAGTCTCTGAAGTGCTTTGGGTGCCTCAAAGTATCAAAATGTACGACGCCCTGGCTGGAAGGCTTCGCGCGGCGTAGAGCATGTGGGGACTGCATCCAAAAGAAGCGTCCCTGCGTGATAATGGTTATGGACGGGGATGAACCTCTCATGGTTGTCCTTCCGATCGAGGATCGCTATCGTGATCACCAATGGACTGACCTTGCAACTTATGTGAGGCAGTAAGTGCAGTTGGATTTTCTTAGCTGCAACACCTTGGGGGTGAAGACGTCGGAGGCGAGACTTTGACTCGCAAAATTTTTGGAACCTACACACGCCGCTCGTATTGCAGTGTCTCGAGCTGGCGTGTACTTTTTCTTTTTCATTGTCGTACTGGGCTTGCTCGGTCTTCGATGAAGAAGTCGTCGTGCAGACGTGGTGGTGATGTTTCGGCCGACGTTGGAACGAGTCACGTGGCCAGCCGAGGTGTGACGTATTTGATAGGAGATCTGCAGCAACACCAAACATCTCTCTTTTGCGACTCCTTAGTCAAGCTTTGACTTTCTGTCAGAGAAGTCTGCTGTACCTACCGGTAACTCCTCCGGTGGTTGTAAATGGCTTCGACCCCTGTAATGGGGCAGTTTTCGATAGGTGAATAAAGGCAGAGTTGACGAGCTGCTACGTATGTACGAAGTTGAAATCATGAGAGAGTACAAGGGTTCCTCCAGAGGTATAAGAAGCACTTATGTGGAGGTATAAGAGCACTCTACAAAGGGTATGTTGTGCAGAGGTATGTGTGTACGAAGGTAATCTGCAAAGAGATGGGAAAAAAGACACGAAAGATACGAGAATATTCCAGGAGAGTGCAAGAATGTGTAAGTTGAAAGGCAACACATATTCATATACCTAGCCCAGTGTGGTGTCGTGTAAGGTAGGCAATTCATCCCAAGTCTGTGCGAGCGGAAGTTGACTGAAGTTGGAAGGGATGTCGCCTTTAACTTTCGCTGATACCGCCGGACTCTTCGTTGCAACTTTACCACTGGCCAAGACAGGTATCGCGGAACCATGTTCCAACCCAGCCTTTAACGGCATACTTTTTTAACAAGGAATGCCTTCAATTTGGTGAATTGACAGTACCACCACTCCACCAGTACACCCAGCCACGACCAGCAGCGAAGGGGGAGTGAACTAGGTGCCAAAAGGCCATGGGAGCCGATATATTTACCAGACTTTGAGCGTGGAGGTGGCGGATAACACCACTGGATATGAAACTGGACCTACTTCTCGGAACAAGCAGATAGGCGAAAGCCAGATGAATCCAGCCTCTGAAGACCATGAAAGCTAAGGCGTCTACCAGACAACATTGGATGTGGTTGTGGCGGGCAACAGCACAGAAAGCGGAACAGCGGCGTTACTCTCCCAGAACTGACAGAAGAACGAGCTGAAGGTAAGCCAGGAGACAGGGTCGCAGAGCATCATACACAGCGAGCCGGTGGATGAAGGTACCATGAGCGTCAACCTTCCCGGAATCGCAAACACGGGCGGACTTGAAACGAATCGCGACAGAAGACCGATGTCCAGCAAAGCACATGGTGGACGACGAGCCTGATATATGTCAATCAAAGAAAGCAAGCGGTAACAAACCGTCCGACGACAAACAAGACGACCCAATCAACGCGAAAGGCACGACACTCAAGGGCCCAAAGACAAGTCGATACAGTAGCTGAGACGAGCCGGGGACTGGCAGCGATCAAATAGCTTGTTCCAGAATCCCGCAGCACCTGCTAAGACCAGGGCCACCCGATAGGAGGAACAGACCTTCATTCATGACGTTTCTGACGGTTTCAGCCCACGGCGACTGGTCGAGTGGCGTCCTTAAATCGGAGGGGATTGGCGTATCGGTGAAAGCCAGAAGTGGCCGGTGACAGCGCCCCGGTCTGAAAGCCAGTGCCTGTGTCTCTGTCAGTGATGAAGAAGTGTTCCGTCCTCCGATTCTTGTCAGGAACTAGCACCATGCGGCATGTGTCAGTGAAGAAGAGACGTCATCTCCCTCATCCCAGCGACCAACGCCTTTCAGTGTATCCAGTGAGAGAGGTGTACCATTCTATACCCCTCAGGAACCGTCATCATCCGGCAGGTGCAACGAGCGAGTGTGGAGGTGTTGAAGCGTATGGAGTTGCGACTGAAAACCAATTGATACGGATGCGCGCAGTAGCGCATGCTGCAATATCTGGTTAGGGAATCGTAACGAAGATATTGGCGCTGCCAAAATACCTGTAGAGTGTTGCCATGCACGGTTGACGGTGGCAGTTGGCAGCTCACAATTGAGGGATCACCGGGTGGATGGCAAGCAGCAACTGTCATCTCAGGCCATCGCAAGTAGCAGATTTTTCGTGCAGAGTAGGGCGCCGAAGAGAGTACCTCAAGCAGTTGTAGGATGCTGAAAATGTTTGTTGGCTGTGAGCGAGGGAGGAGTGAAAGTTAAATCAGGCAAGCACGACCCGGCCCATCGATCGCGACTTGGAGCTGCAGGACAACGACACGCCCGGAGATCTGCTGCTGCTTGCAGTATCTCTTGCCGAGAAATGCCAGAAAGGCTCACTACCCACGCATACGCGACAGTGCACCGAAGGCTTTTAGGACCAAGTGGATAACAGACCTACACCAGGCATTGAAACCCAGACAACTAGACTCATCCGATCACCACCACCCAAAATCAAACCTCCTCCACTAAAGACATGACTGAAAAGCCAAGACCCCTCTACTCAGCCGGTCGCAATAAAGCGAACCGTTTCCAGGAAACACGACGAGGACGTGTAGAGTAGGATTTGTTTCCCGCCGCCGGCGAAAGCCAGCGACCCCCACATATTACAAATGCAATATTGCAGGGAATTCAATCCATTTGATGCCAAGTGGATTGACGTTCTATCCGTACACCGTACAGGTAGACCATGCTGTTACGAGAAACGTAACCTTGATACAGCGACTGCATCCTGTTCTCCAATCCGTCTTGGATTGACGTTCTATCCGTACACTGTACAGATAGACCATTATGTTACGAAAACGTAACCTTGGTACAGCGACTATACCACAATCTCCAATCCGTCACCGGATTGACGCTCAAATTGAGATTAAATGAACGCCTGCCACGAATTACTTCGCGTAGTCGTCCATAACCTTTTTGATCCCTTCGACCCCGGCTTTGACCCCGGCTTTGAGCCTTTTGTGGTCCAAGTCGAGGTTCTTGTAAGCCTCGACGAGCTTCTCGAAGTCCGAGTCGAGCTTATTGTACATAGCCGCCCAGGTGTCACACGTATCCTTGTAGGTACGGACCATTTTCAGGGCTTCGCTCGCCTCATTGTTCGTCCTTTCGAACATCTGAGTTGCTTGTGATTCAAGATGACCACACGCACCTTCCAGAGCGACAATTGCGGATTCAGCTTCGGCTCGCGCCTGCTGCTCCCGCTCCAGTTGCTGCTGAAGATCCTTTATAGCCTGGCTATGGATAAGCTCAGGCTCCTTCAGAGCAGCTTCGGCACGCTCCTTGGCAGCCTCAGCCTCGGCTCTTGCCTGCTGGTCCTGCTCCAAGCTGCGTCGAAGCTGCTCATTCTCTGCACGCAGACGATTCAGTTCTGCGTCGTGAGGAGCCTCTGTCTGCACGGCCTCGCCGCCGACATGCTCCTCCTGCTTGATCTGAGTGGGATCAATCTGTTGCTGGGACATGGTGTTAGTGTTGGTGTTAGTGTTAGTGTCAGTTGGTGTCGATGTTTGTTGTGGGGTGAAGTTGTAACGTCGTGGAGACCAAAGGTCGATGGTCGGAAGGCACGTGACTACGCTCGAACCTCACTCGCGCAGGCCGCACCCGACGTCATCTCAACATCTTCCCACTGGTCGGTCAAGATTCTCTGCAACGCGCCTCAGTATCTTACCGGCGAATGGGTTTGGAGCATATTTCACGTCATGGAGTGGCTGAAGCTTCGGATGACTTAATGTCTACTTATAACTACACTATAAATTCTCCTGCCGCATCCTCGGTTTCCCACGCAACTTGTGCGCATCATGTTTGATCCTCCGACTGGTCCTAGCCTCTCCTATCTTGCCTCCTAAGTATCCAACTCGAACATGTCGACGGCCATGGAGAGGAATCTTAGTCGGCATCGGATGCGCTGGCGATGTTCGAGATACATCTTGTCGAGGCGGCGGGCGAGAAGCAGGACGAGGCAGCGAGTCGATCCACCGCAGCTCGGCTCTGACGTCGCCGGTATTCAGGACGATCTGTCATGGGCCTGGATGAAAGACAGGGCATCGACGGTATACTGGACGGTCTCGTGAGCCTAGGGTCTGGATCAATCATGGACAGGGACAGGGCCGCGCTGTCGCCGGTGTACAGGACGGCCTTGCGACTCACCATGGCTTGGTCCTGACGGCGTCGGTGTGTAAGACGACTTTGCGGCGGATCTGGAGCTTGGATGGGAAACGACAGGACATTGCCGGGTACAGGACAACTTTGTCACGGCCTGGAGCCTCGCCGCGACCCTGGATTAGGAACATGACGGCGTCGACGCAGTGGTTGGCGTCGAGGAGAGTGTCATTGCTGTCCAACAGATTAGTACGGGGAAATGAGGACATTGCCGCCAATGACTTACCTCAAATGGAGAGCGCCAAAGACATGACTGATCAGTCAAGACCCCTCTACTTGGCCGGCCGAACCGTTTCCAGGAGACGCGACGAGGACGCGTAGAGTAGGATTTGTCTCCCGCCGCTGGCCGAAGCCAGCGGCCCCTGCAGCCGCCAAAACTAACAGGGAGGTGCTACGGCAAGGTAGAACAATGCCATAGACTAGAAGGGGGTGCGAAACTTAGCCCTTTTCAGGACTCTTGTCCGAACTCTCGTTCAGTCGCTTCGCTCTCGCCGCCTTCCTTCTTTCACGGGCACGCCGATTCTTCTCCCATTGTGGATCACGCTGTTGAGCGGGGTTCACGCTGGTCGTGTCTTCAGCGTCCACCATCGACGCGTCACCATCAGCTTCAGCAATGGCGTTGCCGCCAGCGTCAGCAGCGGTAGGTTCAGCATCTTGTGTGGTTGCGCGCGCAGGGGGCGGTTGTGTAAGAAGACGGGATACACTAGCGTAACCCTCGTCAGCCTGCGCCCTCCGCTGCTGCTCGCTCCGGAGCAGCTCCTGCAGGATGCGGATCTCCTCCTGTGCCGCACGGGTTTTCTCCTGCGACACACGGAGTTGTTCCTGTGATCCGCGGAGTTGCTCCTCAACGTGACGCACCCTTGACTCCGTATTGGCCTGAACGGCATCCGCAGTCTTAGATGCGTTCTGGAGGGAGCTCTGCAGCGAGAAGATCTCACGCCGAGCTTCACTCAACTTCAACTCTGCCAGTTCGGCCCTGGCATTAGCACCGCGCTCGGCCTGTCTGCTGCGCCGTGAAGTTGTCAGTATGGATGTGTCTGGAACATTTGTCGTGCAGGTATGAGCTTACTTCGACGTTTTTGCCCGTGGCAGTAGCCGGGAGGCGGCCGAACAAGGCGTTGGCCTTGCGATTGCCAAGCAGGTCGATCGCGTACTTGCAGATGGTAGGCCTACCGTTCGTCGGATGATGACGGTTGCACCAAATGCAGACACGCTCGCAGCCGCGCCAGCCGTTGGCAGTGTGCATCGTGTTGCCACAACGGCCACACCGACCACGCCAGTATTCTGCCGTCCAGTCCTGTGGAAGCGGCAGGCCTTGCCCCGTAGAGGCTGCCTTGGTGGGCTGCTTCTTGCCAGCCTTCTGCTCCAAAGGAGGAGCGACCTTGTCCCGCTGGTGGGATCTGTCGGGGAGCTTCTGCGTTTCGGTCAGTCTCACTTCACATCAGGTCGTATACTTGGACATACCCGATTGCGGTTGGGGTCTTCACCGCCACCGCCAGCTCCGCCGCCGGCAACGCCTTGGAGATTTCTAAAGACTTCTTGGAGAATGTCAGCCATTTTGTAAAGACCAAATAGCTGATTTGTGTAGAGAAAGGAAGAAGGAGCAGGACGAGAAAATGGTTTGGCTTTGTGCGTGCTTAGCGCGGCGCTAGCGCGGCGACAATAGCAGGCGCGTCGAGCAGCAGTCACGAAATGCTGCCTGATCGGGTTAGCGTGGTAGCCAAATGAAGTGCAAGTCCAGCCCACCTGCCACCCTCTCTCCAACAACAACTTCGCCAACCTCATTGACAGCGTAAGACTCTGGGCTGACATATGACCAATGTTGTCAATTCTAACCGCGGTCAAAATTGACCGATTATTGAGCTTTTCGAGGATCGATGGCGTCGAATACCTGACTTAAACGGGTGAAGGTGGCTAACCACGAAACGGGTGACAAGCTTCGGACAAGTTTGGAGATCGTGATTTATTGCTACGTAGCTACATATGATAGAATCGGAAGGTTACTGATAGCATGTATATATTGCAGATGTGCTTTTCCCTTAGCAGTACGCCATTGAAAGCTTCCACTCAGCAACAAAGCAAAGATAGGTATGCCCGCACATTAGTCTCTGCCACCCTGTCTGCTCAAGCCTTACTTTTGCTTCTTATCTTGTTCAAAGCCCACCATTGTCTCTTCTTGGCCTTGACCTCGGGATCTCTTTGCCGGGCTCTGTTGCGTTCCCTCACCTGTTCAAGGTGCTCCTGTCGATACTTGGCAGAATATAGTCTGTTCTTCTCCTTCTCCTGAGGGTCCGCACGACGCTTCGTCCAGTAATCCTTGATTTGCTGCTGGTGAGATGAACGATAATCTGCAGCGGCAGCTAGCTCTTTTGCCTTCGTGATTGGATCCTGCCTTTTAATCTTACGTTGGGTTAAGACCTCCTGTTTCTTCTGTGCTGTCATATCAGCTCGATGCCTGCGCGTTGCTAGCTTGGACCTTGTCTTGCGCCTTTCCTTTGTCTGACTAACAGTTGGTAACTTCATCGGCTCCACTAGGGCCGAATGGGTGCACGCACCCCACCACCCAAGATTTGTCGTGTCGTATGGGCAGAGCCTGACAAGGAGTGCGTGAGAACCATGCTTGTAACAACCGAGCCAGGAACTGAAAACAGTCTCCGCAAGAATGCAAAGAGTTCTGCGTTCACAAATCTCTTCTGGTGGACATGGAACTAGCCCTGGATACCTCAGCATGTTGAACCACACCGCTTTCCTCTTCACACTCGGCTGCTTTAAGAGATGATGAAAATAACTAGGCCTGTACCAGTCAGCTGTGAACACACAAATCGACAGCATCGATACTCACTCCGTCTTAGCAATGTTCGGGTTGTCCCGAGCCTTTTTGCGAAGCATCAAGCCACCAAATGGCGATGTAGCTGAGCCACAGTAAAGATGATGATGGTGCTCCTGATTGGGAGGCACTAGGAAACAGCCGTACGTCCCGAAGTCCACTGTCTGAACCCACGGGAGTGCTTCGATTTCCTTCACAGTCGGCGCTTCCACTTTGCTGAGAAGCTTCTTGAGGGGCTTTGCGGTATACTTTAGGATGTCTCGAGACCAGTCTGAAGCGGATCGCGATGGCAGAATGTCCAGCCATGGATGTTCCATGACCTCATCCGAAAGGCCTTCAATTATGCCCATACACCGCTGTAGGAACATTTTGTCCTCATCCGTCGCCATGGCCCTTCGATTGTAGTCAAGGGTTGGCAATGGGAATCAGTGTATGCTCGAAGATCGGTTTAGCGTTGACTCTAGTCGGAATCAGCAGCCTCGAATCTGAACAACACCCGCAGTTAGTGAGCTTCAAACAGGTCCGAAGGAGGGTCTCGAACTCACTGATCGAGTATCCAACAAGAACGCAGGCTGTTATGACCACGGTCAAATCGATCAGTGAAGAAGCCGTAGGGCCACTCTGGTCTGCCTATACCCAACATGAGCTCTTTGCAGTGACTCTTTTGTGAGCCTACAAAATGGTCTGGTTAGCAGGCTTCAGACGAGTCCGAAGGAGGACTTTGAGCTTACTGTTCAACAGGGATCCGACAGAGTCATGGGCATGATCGCGTCTGATTTGGCCGTGGTCGTTCTCTTTCGTGGTCCTACAAAAGTTGTCTGGTTAGCAGTCTCCAAACAAGTCCGAGGGAGGACCTGGAGCTCACTGTTTAGAAGGTATCCGGCAGGGACATGAACATGAGCGCGTTTGGTTTGACCGCGGTCGTTCTCTTTCGTGGTCCTACAAAGGCTGCCTGGTTAGCCGTCTTCAAATAAGTCCGAGGGAGGCTGCCTACTGACCGAATCGATGGTATCGATTCAACCTGACTACGGTCAGACTGCGTCCCTTGGTCGGTCTGTAACTTGAAGTCAGTGAGGCTCGGATCAGTCTGAAAGTGGGCTCATGCTATACCGTCTTGAGAGCCGTCGGTGTGGCGTGTCGAGCCGTCGCAATGAAGAGTGAAGGTGTGAGAGAGGCGTGAGGGAGGTGAGCGAGTGAAGAGCGTGAGAGATTGCGCCTCCCCCGACGGCAGGTACGAGGCCATCGAGGAAGGCGCTGAGGAGGGAAGGCGCCAGGGCCCTGCACCGCGACTGCCATGATGGGCAGCCGCCAACGGCAGGTACAGGGCCCGGAGCCGACACGGCCCGAGCCGCCTCCGCGGTGGAGGAGGATGAGGAAGAAGAAAAGAGGAAGAGTGGAGTGAAGAGTTGAAGAAAGATTTGAGGGGGAGAGGGGTATTTATACCTGAGAATCGGCCCTCCGAAGCCGCACGGAAAGGAAGGAGCTACCCAGCAAACGGGCAACAACGAGGGTAGCGGTAAGCATATCAAGGCTTCAAACGGGCAGCTGCAAGGCTGCGGAGAGGGGGCGGTGAAGAATGAGGAGAGAGCGTTCGGGGGTAGACTGCTCGGCGAGGCGGCGGTGGAGCATGAGGGAGGAACAAGAGGAGGAAGGAAAGGCAGGAGGTGTAGGGGCGCTGAAGAACTCGACTGAAGGTGAAGTTGGGTGGTAAGTGATAAGTGATGAGAATACTACGTGTATCTACAAGAATTGGCAATATCGAATGTAGTTATCTATCACTGTCTACTTATGTCCGGATCCAATGTCTTCTGCATACGTTATAACTGTATATCTGCAAAGCATGTCATACCCATGCATAATACATACAATCGAGGCCTCTACAACGTGCTGGGGATACTGAAGTGTACCTGTAGCGTCTTGGTATAGAGTACTTCGTGATTGTTGTAGATATCATAACCGTATGTATAATCCACACTTCAACACTCTTCTACCCTTAATTCCACGTACCCTCGAAGAAAACTCTCATACTCTCGCATTCTATATCCTCGTATCTCTATAGACCACCTTTATCCGCTCGAAGCCTGTAGGCTGTAGGGCATCTTACCCTGAATAATCCCTTGGTTTTCTAGAATTCCGGTGGTGTCGGTATACTTCAAGTAGATATAAGGGCCTCGCATTCATGAGCATATGTGTACTTAGAGAGGCCCCCCTTTTGTGTATATTAAGCGGCCAGGGGGAGCGGTTAACTAGTCGGTGTCTAGTATTATGGCTGTATATAAGGCGAGAGCTGGTCTGATCAATCATGGCCGAAGGTGACAGTACAAATTGCTTTAGAGATAGTTGAAGCTGTTATTTCCAAACAATATCATATTATTCTTATGCATGCAACTATTAAACTTTTAGCTGTATACAAAGCAGGACTTGCGCTGGTGGATTATGACTTACTCGAACAGTACGGAATGCTTTAAACCTTGCCGAAACCATCATCTCCAGAAATAATCGGGACGTCCTCATACATACGACTATTGAACTTTTTATTGTATACAGGGCAGGCCCTACTTTGTTAGATCATGACTTATTGCGACAGCATGAATAGCTTCCGAGGTCGCCGAAGCTGTTATCCATGGAAAGTATTCGAACTTTCTTGTATATACAACTGGCAAATATTTAGCTACATACAGAGCAAGGGCCAAACCGGGCAATCGTGACCAATTGCAATACCACAAACTACTTCAAAGAGATCCGAAACCGTCGTTTCCAGACGGTATCATGATGCCCTTGTACAGCTGTTAAAACTTTCTTCAATACAGGTGTAATGGCCTTCGTGCGGTTGGTGTTTAACTTGGCCGTGATCAAATCAACTGGACACTTCCAGACGTTTGAAGTCTGGCGTTTTTGAAAGTTGCACTGGTACTCTGAATCGACGCTGTCGACCCTTAGGTTTAAATGGTGGGCTTTGGTATGTACGGATGCTTGTTCGTACCATCTAACGAAGGACGCCGCTGTCATTTCTATGACGGGCTTGCGATATTCCGATCTGTTGATTACCGTCTGCTGCTTTAATATCCGCAAGAGGCCCCGAGACAACCCCAGCCTTGTGAAGGAGGAGTGAGTGTCGTTACTTTCTATCATGGGCCTGGTTACATGGCCTACTCAAGCGGCAGATGTTCTCTGAAAGCTTATAGGGTTCATCATACTGCAATACTCGGGGTAGTCGCCAAACACCTCTATGAGCGCCGTGGTTGAAAATCCTGTGCTTGTATGCATAAGCCGTGTTGTCGATTTGGTTGGGATGCTCAACGTTATCGAACCGAATCGAGACAATGTTGAATACCACCATTCGACGCTGACGTGAACCACCGCTGTGATGCTCTTGAGACAGAAGATCTTACGAGTCTGCTGCCCCCTCACACTGTAACGTCCTTCACCGCGAAGCGAGCCTCACCGTGTAGCGAGCGCACCAATCAGATGGGCTCTCCAAAGGTAACGATTTGGCGGTGATTTACGTGTGTTGATGTCAACGAGAGGGGCCACCCACCAAACGAGGCTGTGTTCTGATTGGAGCGCTCGCTACACGGTGAGGCTCGCTTCACGGTGAAGGACATTAGTGGTGCTTCTTGTTCTCGTTCACTTCTGACTCCGCAGTGTAGACCGCCATCTTCGTTTTTTCGTCGGGATGGTTTTATCTCAGGTTGATCGAGGGCGTGTTAGAAGGTATTACGTCAAAGCAGCGGGTGCGAAACTTTCAGCGCAGGTCCAGGGTGGCTATCCGCAAGCACGGGGTCGTCTGTCTGGCATGGAGAAGATATTGGTTGTCAACAAAAGTCGAACTGGTTCGGAAGCGCGAAATTGAAAAAACGGAAGACGCAGAAGAGGAAGGGTGATTTAAAAAACATAGACATTAGCATCTAGGTATATTAGCACTCTCCCAAGAAGCTACGGTAGAAAGGTTACAGGTAATTGAGACTATTTATTCATCCATCAGTAGTTGCATCTGAGACGTAGGTACCTCGAAACGATATGGTACGTGAGTGGCGGACTTCAAACCGGCCTGAAGCTTCTCGATCATTTTATGGAGCCCAGCTACTTACCCTCTGCCCACTAAGTTAGCGATTGACTGAAACTATTAAACCTGCTTTGTCCTGTGTACCCTTTTGCGTTCAACTACCCGCAGTGACATTGATTATCGCGAACGTTGAATTTCCAAGTACTGCAATGCAGCGAAGGCAGTGAATTTCACATAGCCAGGTCAATTGCATGCGCGTCGCGCTTTTCCATAGGGCCCTCGCCATGCGCATCCGACTTGTAGGTAGACCTTAAAGGGCCGGAGGTGTATCCACACCCGGATTTGTTCGCGCATTCCAAATCTGGTCGGATCGGTCGTATCCGTCTTCAGCAGCTGCCATAGGATATCTCTGATCGACCGCATGTCCTAGTCCAGCGGCCGCCGAGGAAAGCAGCTACGCGGCTTGGCTTTGGGGCTTGCCTGGGAAAACCAAGGGTGTATGTCCAGCGTACAAAACTGCAAGGGCTGAGGTCGGCGTTGGCGTCGAATGCCTCATGGCATGGTGAGAGCATATACCAGAGGAGACTGGAGGAAGTTGTGGTCCCGCGTGGACAGGGTATGCAGAAGCCGGACAGACATAGATAGGATGCGGTAGCAGCAAGGAAGATGCGTTGGACGAGAGGCGGCGACAATGGTGCGATGCTGGTAAGAGGCACGTATCTCCCAAACGGCTCACGCCGCTCCTATCGTACGACCAGTTAACAAATTGTCCATGAGAAGAGCGTGAGTAGAAACAGCATTGTATCTAGTCGTATGACTGGAGCGGCGGTTGTGAATTCCGGGTGACCGCGTGCGTTGTCAGCTTCGCAAATGTTCGACTTTATCATGACTATGCATGAGCCCAAAGTCGCCGGCATCCATATTGCTGCAACGGACAGATGCTACGGCGGGCTGAGGGCAGATTCTGTGATCGACGACGAGCCGCGTTGCAGCGCGTGGAACTTGGTGCGCTCACAAGCACAGACCGAAAGGAAGCGATCACATGACAGCCACAAGACACAGAAACAATTTTGGGGAATCATCAACTTCTATGGTATTTTTGGTTGGATAGAAGCTATCTCTATCAATCCCTTTCCACCCGTGAATCATGTCATAATCCATTAGCAAAAGAGAAAGTGACCCGCTCGCGGCATCCGCAGACACCCGAAACCAGCCGATCGAAAGAAGACATAAGCAAAAGCACCAGTGATGCGATCCGCTTATTTCTTGGAGGCCTGAGAATTTGTTAGTTACGTTTTTATGTCATGAGCTGCTGGAAAAAAATTTACCTTTTGCGCCGCTTTGGTAACCTTGCCAGCACCAGACTTGTCGGACTTGGCAACGGACTGGAAAGAAATTCGTTAGCATCACGGCATGAAGTATGGCAACATGGAAGTGGAATACCTTAATGACACCGACTGTTGAAATTGTTAGCCCATGATCAACATAGTACTTTAGGGAAGAGAACTTACCGGCAACGGTCTGGCGCATGTCACGGACGGCGAAACGGCCGAGAGGGGGGTACTCGGTGAAAGCCTCGACGCACATGGGCTTGGAGGGAATCATCTTGACGATGGCGGCGTCACCGGACTTGATGAACTTGGGGGCGTTCTCGATGGACTTGCCGGTACGGCGGTCGATCTTCTCGAGCAGCTCAGAGAACTTGCAAGCAATGTGGGCAGTGTGGCAGTCAAGAACCGGGGCGTAGCCGGCACCGACCTGGCCGGGGTGGTTGAGGACGATGACCTGGGCGTTGAAGGAGTCGCAGCCCTTGGGGGGGTCATTCTTGGAGTCACCGGCGACGTTGCCACGACGGATCTCCTTGACGGAGACGTTCTTGACGTTGAAGCCGACGTTGTCACCGGGGACACCCTCGGCAAGCTGCTCGTGGTGCATCTCGACGGACTTGACCTCGGTGGTGACACCGGCGGGGGCAAAGGTGACGACCATGCCGGCCTTGATGACACCGGTCTCGACACGGCCGACGGGGACCGTGCCAATGCCGCCAATCTTGTAGACGTCCTGGAGGGGCAGACGGAGGGGCTTGTCGGAGGGACGGACGGGGGTGTCGATGTTGTCAATGGCCTCGAGGAGGGTCTTGCCGGTGGACTTGGTCTTGGTCTCCTTCTCCCAGCCCTTGTACCAGGGGCAGTTGGTCGAGGCCTCGATCATGTTGTCGCCGTTGAAGCCGGAGATGGGGACGAAGGGGACGGTCTTGGGGTTGTAGCCGACCTTCTTGATGAAGTTGGAGGTCTCCTTGATGATCTCCTGGTAACGCTCCTCGGACCACTTGGTGGTGTCCATCTTGTTGATGGCGACGATGAGCTGCTTGACACCCAGGGTGTAGGCAAGCAGAGCGTGCTCGCGGGTCTGGCCATCCTTGGAGATACCAGCCTCGAACTCACCAGTGCCGGCGGCGATGATGAGAATGGCGCAGTCGGCCTGGGAGGTACCCGTGATCATGTTCTTGATGAAGTCACGGTGACCGGGGGCGTCAATGACGGTGACATAGTACTTCGGGGTCTCGAACTTCCAGAGAGCAATGTCGATGGTGATACCACGCTCACGCTCAGCCTTCAGCTTGTCGAGGACCCAGGCGTACTTGAAGGAACCCTTGCCGAGCTCGGCGGCTTCCTGGGAGGCTATTAGCACGGTCGCAAAATGTTGGTGGGCTTTGGCGAAGCCAAACGAGGCTAGCGCCAAGCGACCCCACCAAGACCCCGCCATGGGAAAAATGCAATGCATACCTTCTCGAACTTCTCGATGGTACGCTTGTCAATACCACCGCACTTGTAGATCAAGTCTGTAAGAGTATGTGAGAGGGACGTCGCATCGCAAAGGACGAGGTGGACTTACGACCGGTGGTGGTCGACTTGCCAGAGTCGACGTGGCCGATGACGACGACGTTGATGTGAGTCTTCTCCTTACTGGGCGAGGTTAGTAGGAGCGCAACGAGAGCGACGACAGCAACTTACCCCATGGTGACGGTTGTGAGTTCTGAAAGTGGAGTTGAAGTTGATTAAGTCCTGGAGGTGTTAGTGGAAAAAGTCAAACGACGGACGACGAGAGCATACACAGATACGAATGCTTGCCGATTCGAGGTGTGTGAGACGAAGAGGAAAAGAAGAGGTGGTGGAGGGGGGCGGAAGGTTTTTATCGGCAGATGGTGGGGGTCGCTAACTAAGCAGGGAAAACTTTTTGAGTGAAAGGACGGGTGCCTCACACGGATGGCGGGGCAACCCTTCTGCCGCCCAACGTATGATGAGCTGTTCACGGTATGACTCTGTGGAGAAGGACCGCGAGCCTCAGCCCGGTTAAGCAATACAATTGGGTCCAAATGCACTAGGGGCACGATAGGTTTTCACCGCACCCGCAGATCGACTCGCCACAGACGTGACTTGCAGATGGCCTCGTCCAATGCAGTCGCCTCTAGACCCGCGCGTTTGCCAAAAAACTGCAGTCGCACTATGCCGGGAGCCCGAGCGCTGGTGGCGCCCTGGTGTTTTTGCGGGTGCGCAACTGTCTGCTCGTCGTGCTCGCCTTGGGCTCGACTGTTTCTATCTCAGGCAGCAGGATGAATCACGTCGCTTACCATGACTGTTTCAGAGTCTTGAAAAAACCCTCGATGACGTCGCTGCTCCACGATCAAATTTCTCATGGTGGCTTTCTTGCTGAATTGCCACTGGGAGCACGGCTCGCCATCCGCGGACGGGGACTGCACGGTTTCCCGTGTGTTACCGGCGTAATGTACGATTTTGCAGATTTCCCTGACGTGGATCGGTCCCTGGACTCATGCTCATGCAACGAGCCACGTCTTATCATTTAAGTCTAATATACAAGTCTAAGTACCAGGCGCCAAACACCAACCGTGGCTTTATTAGTCCTTGCCTTTTTGTTCAAGATCCGAAAGTGCGTCCTGGACCTCAGAGGCATCCTCGACCTCGTCAGGAATTTCTACCATGTCCTGTGCATTTCCCATTGCATTCACATCTTGAGCCTCCATGACCTCGACGTCTTCCTCGACTTGAGGAACATCCTGAGCATCCTGAGCATCCACCTCTTGAGCATCCAAATCATCCACACCCTCCACACCATCCACACCCTCACTCTCCACACCCTCCCTCGACGCTTCCAACTCTGCACCCGTAATCCGCTTCACCCCATCATACATCTGATTCGCCGGCGTATACCTCCGAATGACGGGCACCGAGGTCAAACGATTATTCGCCGCATCATCAATGGTATTCGCCATGGCCAAACCCTTCTCCACCAACCTCTGCACCCTCTCCTCCAACTCTGCCGTTAAATCATCCGTCGTAGGCGTCTGCTCGGGCGTCTTGAATCTCAAGCGCAACTCTCCTCTCCTTCCACGAACCTTGCCCGCCTCGACAGAACTATACGTCACCCTGTACTCGTCATTGGGTTGGTCAAAGCGAATAATCTGCCTATGCTCAATGCCATAAAGCAGATAATTCACCCGGAACTCTTCGCCGCGTGGTGTTTGCCTCATAAGAAATTTCTCGCTCCATTTTTCCGGATTGTTGACGGTCCAGGCGGGAATGGAAAGTTTGAGGAATGGCAGGGCGCGAATCTTTCTGTCCGTTCCTTGTCCCATCTTGATGGTGTAGAGATAACTCCTAATGGCCTTGTCGGCAAATGTGCTCTCCCTCCAAAGAGACTCTCGTCTCTCAAAGCGTACATCGACAGCCTTGGAAGGAAGAAGAACCTCGGTGGTACGCTCTTTCAATGTCAGGCTCAATCCTTGAAATTTAGGATTCCCGTTTTGATCCACCACTATCCGCATGTCGGCAACAGGAAGATCCTTGACCACCGAAATGTCTTCGGCTTGCCATGGTGAAGGTATAAACCGGAACAAAAGACCGTGAGGAATCCGAGCTTGAGCGTCGAAACTATTCTTCGACGCACGCGCATAGGTCGAGATTTCCTTGAGTAGTGGACTGAATCCAGGTAGGGTATGCAAAAACGTCCGAGGCTCCCTATCCGTATCGGAAACCAGACTCGATACTGGCACCGAAGACAAAGACGAACCCATCTCAACCGGAGGATGCAAGATGTTGCCATATTCGGCAAAAATTTCCGTAATTGAACTGTCGCTCCAGGCAGATTTCACCGTATCCTCTTCAACCTCCGGCTCTTCAAACTCTTGTAACCCCTCTTCTCTCTCAGGTCGACGTGGTCCGTTCCATTTCATTATGCTCGAAGTTATCCGCTTCATAAATGCTTCGTCTTGCTCATCATGCTCGTCTTGCTTGTTCTCGGAAATCAATTCGCGTGCAACTGGAAATGCGAGACGTCCATATCCCTTGTCTCTTTGTCGGAATGGCAAAGCTGTCCCAGTAACAACCTGAAGAACGCCTTCACCTTCATCTTTGGCCAAGACTGTACCCTCTGCCCGCGAGGGTAAATCCAGCATGGCTAGAAGCATGCGCTGTGCATCCTTGGATATGGACTTGTCCAAAGATTGAATCAAAAGCTAAAAAGTCAGCAAATACAAACAAAATAATGCCGATCCAAACTCACCGCATCTCCCATGTTCGAAATGATTGTACCGCTCAACCTTGAAACAATCTCAATCTGTCTCGGTGTAAACAAATCCTCCAAACTCTCCACCATTGATGCAAATGGTTTTAGAGACACGGAAAATTGATCCATGTTCTCAATCGAGGCTTCAACCTCTGTCGCGGCTCGGTCGGCGCTTTCTCTATTCCCTATAATGCGAACAACACTGTCGGGACCGTAGACATCCAAAGTAGCGACGCAGCGTGATCCGATCATGTCCAGACGCGATTGTTTGTCTCCTACCTCATATTAGCCACGACCACTCCACAACCTCCATCATACGCACTGCGTTCGCTGAGGAGCCTCAACTGCCACGGCTCAATCTGCAATTCCATTTCTCCCACGGCTTCTTGTTCCTCGACAATGGAAACGTCCCAAACATGCCTGATTATCCGGTCCAGTAATTGCGCCTTTGTCGACTTTTCAAGCACGGGAAGAACCTCTTCCATCTCCGGCAATCTCTCCGTAATCTTGGTCAAGCCTTGTCGCCAACCCGACTTCTTGATCTGTGTCTTCAAATGAATCGCATCTCCGCTCGTGTCAAATGCGTCCAACTTGACCGAGCCTTGAACAATCGCAGCATATCGCCTCAGTTGAGGAATGTTGAATGCCAGCTTTAGAGCCTTTTTAATCTTGTTCATCTGCTCTCGCGTCATGGACCGGTCATAAACACTTGGTCGCAGCATTTCAATCTGCTCATTGACTTCTTCTTGTCCAGACACGGCCCTTTCGCGTTCAATGGCTTTCCGGAGTCCATCGTAAATCTCTCTCCTCTTCTCCTGCGACAGCTTCTCAACCTCCTCTTCCTCAATCTGCGTCGCATTGGGTGTATTGTCCAAGACATCCCTCAAAATCAAAACCTCCGACTGAGTCCCGAGACGAAGCTTTTGCAATGGCGCAGACGTCTCCTTCACCCTCTTCCCTTTCCGACCGCGAACCCTTTCGCGATTTTGATCGGAACCATTGTGATCGGGAGCATCTTGATCGGAGGCATTTCGGCCTTTGCGGGTGGTGGTCGTATCGACTTTGCGAATAAATGGCAGCTTTTCCGCCCTGTCGAACGCGTCTCGGTCGCGGATCGTGGCGCTGAAAGAGCGCGCGGGGAATGTCGACGGAAGTGAATGCGTTCCGACGCGCCGTCGCGCGAGTACAAGTCGGCACCGAAGACATACGGATGCCCCCAGAGATTGCTGGGCGAGCATATGGGAGGTAGGCGTGGCAAGTTTGGCAATGCGAGATTAGTGCAATGTTGGTGTCGAGGTTGAGATGCCGGAACTTTTGGTGCCGCGTTGACAACCGCTCGATTCTGCCGGCAATTCGGCGATCCTGACAATCTACTAACAATACTCTGGCAGACTCCAACTTCTCAAGTCATCCCTGATGTCTAGCTCATCAATCTCATACGCCGGTCGCCGTGCAAACTGAGCTTCCGCCTTCATCTGATGTGCCTGTTGCTCCAAACTCGCCCTTCCTCGTACCGCCCCACCACTATTCGTATGACTGTGTCCTCGAGTATGACCATCCTTCAACTTCATCTTCAATGCATCCTGTGACTTGTTGCTTCCTCGACTGTTGTGACTTTTGTGCCAACCTCCTCGAGGTGATCGAGGACCGTCACTCAAATCCGTACCATCTGCAACCAAACGGTCATTTGATTTCTGATCAGGATTCCCCCAGCCGTCTCCACCACTGAAGATATCTTCTATGCATTCGTCGGCTCGTAGCTCTCCAGCTTGGGCGGTCCAAAAGGCGATTTCGTTGCGACGATACATGTCTTGTAGCTCTCCGTTTTCTCGCGTGGTTTTGCTGATGGCGGGATTGTCTACAAAGTCAGCACCCGTACAGCACCACCCATACATGGAGACATACGACCAGAATCATCCGTTTCCACCTGTTCGCCAGCAATGATACCAGCAATTCCTCCAAAGACTTGAGCGGTTCGTAGAGAAGGACTGTGCCGTTAGTATACAACCCACAGGAATGCAGCAGGAGGACCGCTCACGCTATAAAGTCCCTGTCTCCATCGACTTGCTTCATGTAAATTCCAATCTGACCCGTCAGCTTCGCCCAGTCAGTTGCCCAGTCATTCGAGGATTTCCCCTACCTTCACAGTACTGTTAATCTTGCTCTCTTGCATGAGATACCTCCTGACAATACCCTCATTCTCATCCGCCTCCCGTTCACTTGCTTCCACATACTCGGAAAGGTTCAAATCCACCTTTCCAAGTATGATCCTCTCATTCTTCCCCCCTGATGCATACTCTTGAATAACCTCAAAATGTATCCATGACTCTTCAAGTATCTTCGACTTGTTCTGAATCGTAAGTCGAACCGGAATGTGCTTCTCAAAGTCGTAGGTAACTTTATGCTCTTTAATCACCCTTCGTTCGGTTCGACCACGATGTTCGGCGGAAGTCGAGGCAGGTAGATGCCATTTCACAAAGGAGTTTCCAGAGACGAGAGGGACGTTGTTCAGATCGATAATCTAGAACCGTCAGGAAGGAAAGGAGTAGGTAATCCATGGAGGGCTACCTTCAAGTATAGGTCGAATTTGGGCTAAAGAGTCAGCAACGAATACAACAAGCCGACACGCAGAACAACACCTACCCTTCGATGTTTAGGGACTGCTAGAGTCGTCAGCGACTCGCTCGCCCAAGCCACGGATTTGCGGCGCGGAGCCATTGAGAATCATACCGAGAGCTTGCATGGTGACGGAGGGGATTTATCAAGAGTAAATCCGGAAGCGGGTACCCTGTATCACTTCCTGTTTCGTCGGGGTCAGTTGGTCTCGGACTGGACAAGGCTGGGGGGGAATCTAGGGAGTGTAGCCGAAGCACGCGGGCTGGAGCTGGCTGGTTTGCGGAGGCCCACTGCCGATCCGTCCTCCCCCGAGCCGCACGCGCCTTAACTCCGGTCACCTCCAATTTATCCTCATGCCTGCCGACGACGACGTTGCTGAGTGTGTGTTGCGCGCCTTTGACGCGCTGCCGCCCAAGCGCAAGCCGCGCGCCCGTGATGCCGCGTCTAGGGAATGGGTGCCTCTGGCTGGCGTCGTCTTGGCAAACATGGCATCCATGCCCGCCGACACTGGCGCCTTGACTTGCGCCGCTCTGGGGTAACTCGCTCCTCCAGCTCCACTTCGTTCGCTTACACTACCGAGGACGGGCATGAAATGTCTCCCCGCTTCCAGGATCCCCGCGGCCAATGGCGTCGTCCTGCACGACTGGCACGCCGAGGTTCTGGCCATCCGTGCCTTCAACCGCTTCCTCATCGACGAGTGTGCTGGCCTCTTGTCCGGACGTGAATCGGAATTTGTGAGACTGCGAGAGCAGCATGAATTGTCTCTTACATCCTTCCAGCCGTTTGCCGTCCGCGATCATGTTCGAATCTACATGTACTGCTCCGAGGCTCCATGCGGCGATGCCAGCATGGAATTGACCATGGAAGCCCAAGAAGATGCCACCCCATGGGCATTGCCTCCAAAGGCTGCAGTCGAAGCTGCAGTCGCCGAAGATGCTCAAGTCCTACGCGGAAGGGGATATTTTTCAGAACTAGGAATCGTGCGACGAAAACCTGGTGTGTATTTACTATTTACTGAATACATACAACAGATACTGACTTTCCAGCTCGTCCAGATGCTCCCCCCACACTGAGCAAATCCTGCACCGACAAACTTGCCATGAAGCAATGTACTTCCCTCCTCACCGGCATATCCTCCATCCTCGTAAACCCTCAAACGGCCTACCTCCACACCCTGATCCTCCCAGAATCTCAACACGTACCCACAGCCACCACTCGTGCATTCGGCGCCTCTGGTCGAATGTCCGGCCTCACAAACACCGACTCCTACCGCCCCTTCGACGTCGTGTCAACATCGCGAGAGTTCAAGTGGTCCCGACGAAGTGGTCAGCCCAACCAAACCCTTGTTCCCTGCAATATCAGCGCTTTATATACCCCTCATCACCAGGAGACTCTGATCAACGGTGTGTTGCAGGGGAGGAAGCAGGGCGATTTGAGAGGAATGAGCGTTGTTTCGAAGCGGTCAATGTGGAAGGCGGTCACTGATCTTGCTTTGCGGTTAAGGGATGCAGAAATTGCGGTGCCTGTGGACTTGGCAGGGCTGACTGACGCAAGCTGTGACTATGGGACATTAAAGGGAAGTGGGCTGCTTGCGGCGAGGGCTCTGGTTAAAAGTGAAGCCGAGAAGATTTCTTTGAAGGGCTGGGTAAGGAATGTGGGGGATAGTAGCTTTAGTCTCGAGACTGCTCAATCCGAGAAACGCAAGACATGATGGACGTATGTCGTAGAATCAATCAACGAATTCTAGTTGATCTGGAAGCCTCTGCCTAAACTCTGTCTTGTGAATCCAACACTACACCACCTAACACGTCGCAGACTCATACTCCAACCTCTCCACAATCCCCTGCCAACCCTTCTTGACCACATCCGCCATGACGGACCCCCTCAACTTCGCCTGCGCCTCCCTCACCGGAAGCAAATAACTCTCATACAAAGCCTCCTCCTCATCCACACCCGTCCCCTCATGCCTCGGCGGGACATAGGCATCTCCATCCATCTTGACTCGCTCGCTGAGCAACAAGTCCGCAGGATACGGCGGCGGGGCCACATACGGCTGCTGAGCGGGAGCCAGTTCTTCGCCAGCGGCCGCCTCGCCCGACGGCACGCGCATGCTGGCCTCGACGTCCGGAGGCAGCGTCTCCGCTATGTACCAGAAGAGGATGTATTGCGTGCGCGCCGACTGCGGTATCAGCTGCGTCCATACCGGCTCCGTCGCGAACAGCGTGTGCGGAGCGGCGCCGGGACTGGGGGCGTGCGGGCGCGGCTGGCGGTGCGGGATTGAGATGGGGAGGAGGCGGTTGCGGTAGCCGGACTGCGTGCCGTGTCAGCGATGCTCTGCTCGTTTGTGCTTGTGCTCGCGCGCGCGCTCGTCATGCCGATGCGCTGGCTCCATGTTGTATTGAGTTGAGTAGTCTTGCATGAACACACCTCTTCAAACCCCTCTCGCTCCGCTGCCCGTGCCGTCTCTTCTCCGGCATCCCGCCGTCCTTTCGGCAGGAACCAGTACTTGTCGCGGCTGTGGTAGCAGAGCACGACGCGCTCCGAGGCAACGTGGAAGATGGCTACGCCGCAGCCAATGGTCAGGTGCTGCGAGGGGAAGTTGGCGATTACCGGAGGCGAAGACTGAGGATGCGGCGCCATGGGGTGAGAGGGGGCATGGCCATTGGTGCTCTGGGTTTTGTCTGGCTGAGGAATGCTTAATGCTTTGTTATTGGTTGGACAAGATCCTCGATGCGGAGGGAGCTTGGGCTCAGGGTCTTTGACGTCAGATTCGTGGTGGATCCACCACACCTGGGGTGGCTCGGCTCGTTCTCGTACTTTTACCTACGACGTCCAAAATTGTTAGCAGTGCCAGTCCGCTCGGATTGAAATGAACGCTCCAGCTTGCGGCAGGCAGTAGAACGTCACAGACAGCAGTAAGCACAGACAGCATTAAGAGAAGTGTCTATTTTGTTGTCAGGGTCGTTGTGCGTGCGCCATCCAGTCCAGCAAAAATCCTCCGCCAAATACCGTCCCTCCAAAGAAAGCCAAAAGACGGCCCACAAACAAGGGAGAAAACAAGATCCCACCAGCAGATCCATCCAGCCAGGTGCCCTTTCACCCACCGCCTCAAGAACGCCCACCCCAGCCCGTCCGACCCCGTAACAGCCACAACACTCTCAACCGCCCCTCCACGCCACAAGGAACCAGCAGGGCCACACTCCGAAAACAACTTCCTCCACCGCCCGTCCACCAACCGCTTCTGCTCCCGCCTCACCAACGTCCCAAGCCAGTCTGCTCAGAGCTCAGCAGTTTCCCCACTCTGCAGCTGCGCCACCGTCTCAGAAAGCATGGCCCAAGGTCTTGCGAGCTCCTCCGAATCTCAACCACCGCCTCTCTGAGGATGCTCTTCGAGGGACCAACACCGCTACCTCGCACTCCAGCTACTCCGGAATAGCATCAGATTAAGGCAGGACATTGGGAGCCCGGTCCAGAACTACTTCATACACCAACTTCTGCCTAACCCACAGACCGGAGTCCGTTGTGCAAGGGGCAGACATAGGAAGGATCCAAAAGCAGGACTGGACAAGCAGACACCAGCCATCGACCACGCTGCATCGCCCTTTGACCTTGACCAATATGCGACAGGGACAAGAGAACTAATTTCAAGGTCGCAGGACGATGAGCGAGGCGTCAAACCAGCATAAGCGGTTCCTAAGCCGGCCCTCGCATACTCCGGCAGTGTGTCAAGCCACGACCAACACCTCCGACCCTTTTGGGACAACCACGAGAAGAGAGCTAATGTAGGTCATCGTTGGTGAGGCCGAGGTGAGACACACAAGCCAGAGCAGCAGAACCGGCATCAGAATGAAGAGCAAACGACAGAGCCTTGGTGGCCTTGACCCGGTCTTGCAAGCCGTCCCAGGGACCTACCTTCATCACGGACAGCGGCGGTCGGCGTAGGAGCGGGGTTGAACTGAAGAGGTCCGAGACTGGCGGGTGCCGGCACCCGCACAGCGAGGAAACGATGGGTGGTGGCAGGTGCGTCCACGGCGGCAACTGGCAGTGAGTGGATTCCGTTGCCCCAGAGCACGGACACCTGCGGCTCCTGCGACGCGGAGTGCCGAGCTGTAGCTCGGCTGGGCGGCTGCATAGAGAGCACTGCGACTGTTAGCGGGGGCGGGTACGGGAAGTTTGGGGTATCGGGCGGTGAGGACGGTGGGCTACTCGGGATGTCACCTAGGGGCCGGAGAGGAGGATACAGCCGGGAAGGGGGGGAGAGGGAGGGGGAGAGAGGGGGAGAGAGGGAGGGACGAGCGACGAAGGTGAGCGCGGATGATGAGCCAGGGGATGCGCAAAGAAAGCAGAAAAACAGAGGCCGAAAGCAGAATTAAAAAGCAGAAGCAGAAACAGAGGGCAGAATTAGAAGCAGCCAACAGAAGAAAAGAAAGTAGAGAGCAGCCAGCAGAAAAGAAACAGTGAGCAGCCAGCAGAAGGAAAAGCAGTGAGCAGCCAGCAGAAAAAAGCAGCCCAGAAACAAACCGCACAACGACCCTTGACAGACACTAGATACCAGTTTCCTCGCAACCGGTGTCCTCGCTACCGGGGTACTTGAAACTGGCGGCAAGCTTTTGGAAGTACTCCTCCCAAGTCAAGTGGTCGCCGTAAAGTCTCCTCATAGCGTAACGGGAGCGCCTGGGGTTGTAATCAGGGCATTCGTACTCCTCGGGGAGGTCGTTGATTTCGACGTGATAGCTGCAGAGATATTTATTCTTATAGCAGAGGTCGCAAGGGCCCATGATGTAAGCCAAAGCCTCAGGAGTGTTGATACGGACGAGGATGGCGGTGCGAAGGCTTTCCTTGCGGAAGAAGATGAAGCTAAAGATCTTCGTGATGAGGTGCAAGCTTGACAAGACAAAGTCGGCGAGAATGTTTCCGAGGTAGCTCAGGATGGCTGGCACCTTGTCGACGAGCATGGTTCTGTCGCCCTGCCATGAACCTTCGCACATTTCAATGGCGTCCATGATGAAGGCGTTCACGAAGACCGGCGCATCGTTGTCAATCGTCCAGACAGCAGCGACCATGGCCAAAGCTAGTCCAGGAATCCACATTTGCATGCCAAGCTGGGCACAGACGGCAACCTCATGCGAGCGAATCTGAAAGTCGAGGAAGTTGAAGATCATGCCAATCCAGAAACCATACCAACAGCCGAAAGCGTGGCCGAGGGTGAACCAAGGATGAATGTACTCCGGAGGGTCGTGGTGAATGCCGCCTCTCATGATTCCTGAAACCTCGAGGCCTTGAGAGAAGCCGGTGTAGAAGCCAGGCGGAGTGAAGATGATGCAGTTGACAATAAAGTCCAAGACTTTCGGGACGAGCCATTCGGTGATGAAGTACAAGGGGGACAGTCGAGCTTGCCGGATGGGGGCCATGGGTGGCATGTCTTGACGGCGCATGTGCTCGCGAACCCTGAAGGGGGTGTTGGGTGTGCTCTGGATGAATGGACCAAGATATGCAGTGTAAACCGTTTCTTCTTTCCGGACATTGAGGCTGTACCAGACAACCATGCCGGCGTAGACTCTGTGGAAGAAAATGACCAAAAAGGCGATCCAGAGGGCAAGGTGGATGGCGCACAAGGTTGTGGCGAGCCATTGGTTCCAGGACGGTTCAAAGCCGTGCCACCTTCTGGTATACCAACAGAGCAAGCTCTTTTTGTCGCATTGGTCGCAGGGCTTGTACTTTGTGACCCAGGGTCCATATTTAGGCAGGTCGAAGAGGTGTCTCAGGAAATCGCAAATCGGGTCATCCTTGCATTTTTGAGGCATGAGAGATTCGCATGTATGGGTCTCGGGGTCCCATTTGCCTTCCTCCTCTTTGGGAGTGGTCCTCCTGGTGATATGAGCACGGTAGGCTTCATCTTGGAGTCGTTCAGCCTCATCGCTCACTTCCTTGAGTCGCCTCTCTCGCGTCTGTTCGTCCTCGATTGCAATCGTGACCGCGTCGAAGTTGTTGGCCACATCGAAGCTGTCGGAGTTGTTGAAGCCCTGTTGACCATAGAGACCGGGAAAGTGAGACTTGACGTAGTCAGACGGTGGGGTGCATTTGTTGGTTTTGCGACAGAGAACATTGGCCGTGATGAAGAAACCGGAGATGGGGATGAGAGAAGTGACAATTGGGTAGTCGATGTCAAGGACTTGGCCTATATCTGTGAGGCCAAGTGTGATCACCACAAGGGCGATCAACAAATGGAACAACTCCATGGTTGTCCCAATGTGAAGAGATGATGTGAGGTCCGAGGGTGAAGGTGAGGTTGAGGTCGAAGGGTTGATGTTGAAAGGTTGAGGTTGAAGAGCTCGGAAGCTTGGAGGGTGTTGAAGCTGAAAAGCCGGAAGGCTTGCAGATGTTTGTGGCTTCAGGCCAAGTCGAAGTTGATCGTGATAAACGTGCGACGAGGGAAACCGAAGAAAAAAAAGAAGGATGGAGGGTGGGGGGAGGGGGGTTTATAAAGAGGCCAGCGGGAGGGCGGATTTTTTGATTGGCCGCTAGCCGAAGGGTGAATGTTAAGGAGTGAATGTGAATGGGGTCTTAAGGGCCCTCGTAGGCTTAGACGTGGCAGGTGGTCACCGTGTGAAGAAGTGCCAAGTGAATGGTGGACGAGGCGCGGGGCGGGCGCTGATTGGACGGAGGTGACGTCGGGATCTTTTTTGGGAATGATGGAAGGAGCATCACGCGGGGCAGTAGTATCTCCGAAACATGAAGTGAAGTTGGGAGGGGGGTGAGGCGGGGTGGGTTGTGGGTTAAGCAAACGGATGAGGTGGCGGGGATGACGTCCGTATTAAGATGAGAAAATAACAGACTGCAGCAAAATGGCTCCGACACAGGGAAATAGATGGAACACGCAAAGTCACCTGCAGTCTAGCAGCCCCTACCACTGCAGCATGCCTCACGTCCTGCTCAGCCGATCTAGGACTTGATATCATTCAGTGAGGTAGCACAGCTGCTTCAGCCTCAGTGTACGATCGACCCGCCCTACGCCGTGGTATCACTTTGAAAATTGGCCAAAGCAACAGGATACGGTCTCGAATGCTATAGGTATATGCAAAAAGCAGGTCCCTTCACGAATGCAGTTAACCATTACCCCATCTTGTCAAGATGCGTCCACCCGCCTCGGCCAAGACAAATGGCAAACGGATCGATTGTCCTAGCGAATCAAAACCCGCGGCCGGTTAGGGAAATGGCTGGCAAACAAAAGACGAATGAATGCAAGCGGGAACTGCCGTTACGTCAAGAGCGAGGATTATATTTAACACTGTGCCCTCAGCTCTCCCCCTCATCATCTCGCAACAATGCCTCTCGATCGTCCCGCCCCACTACCATACCTCAAGCCCCTCCCGCCTCTCGATGCCAGACCGGCATTCTCCGAGCCAGAAACTCGTCGTCGCTCATCAGCAAGAGCACAGCACAAGCGTACCACACCGTCCGTCGCTGACGCTGAAGACATTCGCGACGCGATGAACACCACGCCTACACGGAGCCCTCAGCGCCAGAAGACAAACACCTCCCGCAAATGCCGGTCCGCGTCGGCCGCACAAAAGAGCACGGGCAAAAGCGCGGCCACAATGGCGACCCGCAAGCGTAGACGGGCAAATTCGCGTGCGGAGACGGACGAGGGTGCTGACCAAGTCGAACACCCTGAAGACGCCAACGAGGAAGAGGATGCGCCTGGCCAGCATACATTCCTGCCGCCGGGAAAAATTTTGGCATGGGCGCAAGTTTCGTCGCAGTGTCCGCGCATGAGGGCTCCAAGCTCGTCCGTGAACTGGCTGCCGGGGTAAGTTCTGCTTTGGTTTCCTGCTTGCGAAGTGCTCTGAGACTGATGGGGTTGGCACCAGCAGTGATGATGACGAAGATGACTGTGAAGATGACTATGAGGCCTCTGTGAAGGAGGAATACGTCAAGGACGAGCCCTCCTTCAATGGCGAGGCGTCTGTCAAAGTCGAGCCGTCGGTAAAGGACGAGTCCGCTGTCGAGGCCGAGCCGTCAGTGAAGGACGTGCTCACCGTCGAGAAGGAGCCCGTCAAGGATGAGCCTGCCGTCAAGGACGAAAATGACGGTGAGAGATGTAAGCCAAGCTCAACCGATCCGAAAAGCGTTGTTAACGAGAAGCAGATTCCGAACAGTCGTAGCCGCCAGCCGGACGAAGAGTTGACAGGCGGACAGAGACGCTCCCGCGACATGTCGGATCATGAGAGGCTTGAAGCGCTCGCTTGGGAGCTGAGTGGGGGATGGACGCATCGTGGCGTAGGATGTCCGAGAGGATGAGATGAGACCGTTGGACATGGGTCGCGGCCTGTTGGCGCTCGTGTACTTTTTCTACAGCTTCGTAGCCCTCCTCTCAATCCATGAGATCAGTCTGAATGTGACTTCTATGCTGTTGTTTGCAATCGACTCGTTGCCAACATGTTGCTATGAATCAGTGTCTGCCGAATGTGCTGGGTTGCGGGAAGACCAAATGACGAGAGACGACGTATTAACTGTCAGTGTGAGAAACCCAATGTTCGAAGACGGCGTAGGAGCGGCGGGAGACAAGGTCAGAGCATCAGATTTCCCAGCCACCAATGTCAGGAATATTTCTATATATTAAGGCCAGTCCAATACCTAAGCATCGAACTCGTCAGCGATTCAGTCGCCTGACTTAAGTAATGAGCGCTCTGGTCAAGGGGTAAACACCAATTTGGCTGTCCTGCGATAAGTGAGTCCGAATTTGGAGAAGGGAGCCCGCCTGAGAAGATGAGTTCGATTCCTATTTTTGTCATTTTGTTTTTTATATTTGATTTTTGTCCGCTCCCACACCTGTGAATGTTAAGCATCTACATCACTGCATCACTGTCACCTCCCACGCATGCGTTTGGCCTTGAGGCTCACCACACTTCCCTCCCCTCTCCCTAAACTTTTGCTGGGTAAGTGCAGCCAAAGCATTTAGCTCAGCTCATGCTCCGAACTGTCTGATTTCGGAGAACCCGTTGCCCCACAGAGCACTGTCATCCACTCTTGGATTGTTTCTCTAGGTGTGCGACTATTATCACAAAGCCGACAAGATAGAAGAATGCAATCACTGACGTATCAACAAAACTGTCAGATTCAGAAATGCAAGACGAAACATGGCTAACCCCGCAAGATATCAAACATCGAAGAAACGCACCATAAACCCTGTCAGCGTCCGGGGCTCACAACTCACATAACCCTGTCGACATCCAGGCTCACTCTGTGACCCGACTGATCTCTCCAAGACACTGCCTATTCAAGCATGCAAGGAAGCTGAGTACAGCAAGAGGATCATCAAGATCTGATGTAGCTGCCACGCTGCGTCACGCTCAAGTGTCAATCAGCCATCCTACCCTGCCATCCATCCTCACCGACTAGAAAGGAGATCAGCCACTTGATCTACACCAACCCTCCGCAAAACCAGTATTCCAGCTCGCCACACCTTCTAGAAGCCCGCCCCTTGCTTCATGATTTCATCCTTCATCCTTCGTCACTCCTGCCCCGCCACCCGCCACCACCCCGCATTCCTCACAACCCACATTCCACTCCTCACGCCCATCGCCTACCACCTACATCCATACCATACCAACCTTCCCCTCCCACCAAACAAACAACCGCATACAAACCCGCACAGGCCTCAACAGCAGCCGCACAGACGCAGCCGAGCCCACCGCGCCGAGCCCACCCGTCCGCAACCGCACACACCGATGTCCAGCGTGCGCACAAGCCCAGCAGACCACGCCAACGCACGGCCCGTAGCCCGCGCGGCCAGTAGTGGCTGTGTCGAGCTAGAGCCCTGCCTCATCCGACGCCTATTTTAATCTCGCGCGCACATCACTTACGCTCTGCCCCAACGTTACGTATGTACGTCGTATCTACCCGTAGCCATGTCGTAGACGCTCACGGCCTGTGCCCCTGCCACGGAACCGTCGCGGGCTCGGCACGCCGGGGATGCGCGTGGATAGGCGCGGTTTATGTCCGAGGCAGGGAGCGCGGCGTGGGAGACGCTGCGGCGGACGAAGGCATCGCGACAAGGCCGAGAGAGAGAGCGGCAACCTGTCGCCCCTAGCGAGAGAAGAAAGGCGCACTTGGGCTGTGCATAAAGTTGTGATCGTCGTGGTGTTCGTTTCTGTGCGCGTGTGCCTGGTGCTCGGACGTGGTCTGCGCGCCCCGTCACGCCTTGCCACGCCTTGTCTCGCCTTGGCACTGGACTTCAGGTGCCGAGGGTGGCAATGTCCTTGGTAGTGGGCCTGGGGGAAGCGAGTGCGAAACTAAACTACACAGTAAACGTAAGCGGCGAATGGAACAAACGCTATGGATGATCATGTCTTGTTTATCGCTACGTAGGTACTAAGACGAAAAAGCAGATAACTAATGGGTGAACGATTGGATATTTATACAACGAATGGAACTGACCGGCCCTTTGGACTCGCTAGATATACATCCGCCCGGTGATACAGGAGATGTATAAACGTAGCTTCGGGTACGCGGAGAATATGCCGAAATGCATTAACAAGAAACAGGAAAGCAATCGTCCAGTAAGAAGCAAGTAGCAAGTAGCAGCAAGCAACATCGTAGTAGCCGAGACAGCCAGCAGTCATGACGCAAAGCCTCCGAAATCCCTGCCACTATCGAAATATTTTTGGCTATGGAAAACACGAGACATGGGAAACGTATGGCCATAGCGCATTTACCAGGAAAAGGCCTCCTCGAAGAAATCAACGTTCCAACGAGTCTGTCTGGTACGAACCGCAAAGCGGACGTCGTCAGCCAAGGAACCCGTACCGCAGACACTGACAGCCGCGGCACCGACACCCTCCATCATCTCCGCGTCGACGAGAGACTGAATGTTGGGCTTGCCAGGGAACATCTGGACGGAGCTGGAGGGGCTGTGGATTTCCTTGGTGCTGCGCGGGCGCGTGACGAACAGGAGAATCTTCAAGCAGTCGCGACGCTGCGGCATGCTGAGAATCTCAGTCATCCAGGGCCGGATCCACTCGAGGTGCTCGGGCGAAGAGATGACCCAGACGAGGGTGATGCGGCGAATGGCAGCCGTCTTCTTGTCATAGGCATCGACGAGGTGGCGCACATGAGGCGTCTGGTGAGTGATGCCAATACCGGCGGCGAAGAGCATGACGGTGCCGTAAGAGGTAAGATCCTGGTAGCCTGGAAGAGTTAGTCCGCGAACCAACACCAACATAGAATAGCACTCAAACATACCGTAAGGACCCTCGACCAGAGCCGAAGAGGTGAATTTGCCGTTGGGCGTGGCCTGGGCCTTCTTGAACAGAGTGTCGGTGAAACCAGTACGGCGGCGGACGAGAAGGCTAATGGTCGACTTGCGCGAACCAGCTCCCTCATGAGAATCCATGGCAATGCCCTTCTCCTCACTCCAGACCTCCTCGTTGTCGCTCCACGCAAGGGAAAATGGGTGGCTGGTCCACCAACCAATGGAAGGCATGTACAGGTAAATGTGCTGACCAGTCCTGAACTTAAAGGGACGAGCCATCTTGAGGTCGATGCGAAGGCAGTCACCGGGAAGGATCTCGACCTCGGCCTGGGTACCGCCATTGCCAAAGTTGCGAATGGCAATCAGGAACAGACGAGCGAAGCGCTCAAGACACCACAGAGCCAGGACGGCTTGAATGATCTTGAGGTGGGGAAGCTCGCCGGACTGGCAGTGAACGTACACACCGGCGAGACCAAGGGCGGCGAGGAAGACGTGGAAGTGAAGGAAGATCTCGTAAAAGGCGTGGCGCACAATGGAGCAAGCCTGGATGAAGATGACCAAGAAGGAAATAGTACCCTATATCGTTAGCTTGGCCCGGACAATCATGTCTACAATACTTACAATAGTACCCCACAGGATGAACTGGCTTTCACCAAGCTCGGCACCGAAGACAGCCCAACCACTCTCATAGACCATGGGGCAGAGGAAGGCCAGGGTGTGGCAAAGAGCCTCGAAGATGACAATACGGCCAATCCAACGATGAATGAGGTTGAAGGTATCGAAAGAGATACCGCAAAGCTTGATGAAGGGGTTGTTGCGACCGGCCAGGAGGAAAAGCGGAAGCATGTTCATGACGCAAAGCACACCGGTACGGTTGCGCAGAACCTTGGAGATGGCCGTCTCGGTGGACCAGTCGATCCAGAGGACGCAGAAGGCGACGTTGGTAGCAAAGTATCCAACCAGGTAGATCATCTGCAGGCGACCGGGAAGCGTACCGACGTTGACGGCATTGGACATCTTGAACTCCTTGTGGTGACGGGTCCGGAGGAGAGGAGCATCGAACAGATAACGCTTGAACTTGCCGTACAGGTCGTTGGGAGTGTGGAAGTAACGCTGAGCCGGCTGGTTGAGACAGGCGACGCCACGGACGTAGCGCACAAAGGTGATGCCGGCCGTGTAAGCCATGAGGGCGGTGATGCAGGCCAACCAGGTCCAACCAATGTAGTAGGAGAGCGCAATGTTCTGGTTGACGAAAATCATCCAGGAGGGCTCGGCGGCGACGCCGGAGGCCATGGTGACGAGCCCGAGGGCCAAGAGGTTAGCGGAAACCATGATGATGTACTGGAACGGCCAGAGGTGAACCTCGAAGTTGAGGTAGTGTTGAGGTTGTGAGCGAAGGTTGACGATCTACTTGGCCAGCAGTAGACGTGTAGGGAATGGGTGTAGCGAGTGTGGTCCCGGACTTTCTTGCGAGCAAGTCAAAGAGGCGGGGGGTAATCAGGTCAGGGAGACTTGGGCAGTGTTGTGATTGACGAGTGCCAAGGTAGCTCACAACGTAATGAGCAAGTCGTAATGACCAAAACCTGATGACGAACGAAAGCAAAGGGTCGTGAAGAGAAAAGGCGACAGCCACCAAAGGGCAAGCCGAGAGAAGAGCAAGTAGGTGAATGGGACGTCGCGCGACTGGCGGCGACGAGAGAATGGGGGAACGACGAGGAGAAAAAGGGAAGAGGAAAAAGTAAAAAGATCGGGATCAACGACGACTTAAAGAAATCATTGGCGATCCCAGAAGGAGCGGAGGTTGGAAGGTTTGCGGTTGATTGATGTGGCCGGCAGCGGAGAAAAAGCCAGGGCGGCTGCAGCAGTCGATGGCGTCGCTGCGTCGCCGCGGCCCCCCACACGCCCCTGGAGCGCCGATCGCCGCGCATTGCGGGCCCCGGCGGGTCTTGGGCGCTTCAGCCAGGCCCGATTGGCCTGTTGTCATGCGCTGAAACGCCAGCCCTGACTCCTGGGTTTCACTCGACGACGCGTTGCCCGCCAGCACCTCCTCCACCAAGCCCAGCATCCTTTCCGTGCCAAACGCGCTGGAGACTCCGGGCCAACGGCTCCTCGCATCCTCTGCCAGCGCGTGACTCGGCCACGCGTGACAGCCACCGCCTTCCGTCACGTTCGACATCCGTCTGGCATCTGTTTGATTATGCAAATCTGAAGCCTGTTTCTCGCCTCTTCCTTCATTCATGTTGCCGAGTCAGCGCCAAGTGCGTACCTGACTATCGCTCCGATGCAAAGGAACCTCTGCTGGGCGCTTCTTCCGTGCCTGCTGCTCCTCACTGTCATCTACTCTGCTGCCATCCGACGCCCCGGCGCCATCTGTTCATGCATCTCGATATGAAATGCCCCATCTGGCAACGCCTGTCTCAACCCCATGCCGTCCACCGTGGCACCCGGATCGACCCTGGCCGCTGGCTGCTACCAGGATGACCCTTCGGCCGAGATACGAGAGCTTGGAAATTCTGGTACTTGATCGCCTTGCCCTATATTGAACGTCGACTTTTATTTTTATGTGCAGACAGCTGCAGACGACGTCGACGGTTAAGCCTGAATTGCTCGTTGACCGTACTACATATATTTCTCTCGCTGTCAGCGGCAAGACTTCATCTGTCCCACTTGCTCAGCAGGGTGATTGGCTCCAGCGTATTATAGCCCAGCTGCCCAATTGGTTTTTACTAAACGAAGCGGTACGCCCGGACCCATTCCCCCGCCGAAACGCGCGCAGATTACTTTATTACACCCCGCTGGCCACGGCGTTTGTGCTTTTGCCCGCATAGCCCGCAGCCCGCAGCCCCAGCCCGCAATCTACAATGCGCTTCTGGAACCCACCACTCAAATGGCGGCCCCTTAACGCGCGATAAGCTTTAACTAAGAGGCGTCCTGTCCCGCAAGTCTTGCAGATTCGCGCTGCATGGACAACGTGCGCCAGGCCCGTCCGGCGGCACACGGAGCGGACGGCTTGAGGCGGCGGAACCAATCAGCTTCCGTCCTGTTTTCGTGTTGCAGCCTCCTCCCATCTCGGCTGATGTTGCCCCCGTGAAATTCGCTGCTGGCACGTCATCGTCCATCCTCACACCTGCCGCGGCTCTGCCAAACGCTGCCTGTGTCGAGGGCCGTTTTACCGCTGATTGACAAGACACAACTCCAACACAGACCTCACATTCGGCACTTCATGCTCCGCTTCGAGCTTCCTCGCCATCTGCCGGATCGCTGCCTTGCGCAATCCAGACTATCTGCACGTGACTTGATGTATCCGGTTAGCGCCGTTGTATGGCGCCGCCGATTGTTTGTTTACTTTCAGCTTTGCCGTGAACTCATCCGCAACGACGTATACACTGCACACACTGTACCCATCCTAGCCACCAACCCCCTCTACATTCTACACCATGGCCTACAATCCGCGCATGAGCACGGTGGGCCACTCCAATCCGCGCGCCCGCCAGCAAGAAGAAGACTCGTTCATGACATTGGTATGTCCACCGATCTATCAACGACACCGCTATCACTCGACACCGCTAACAAGTGCAGCCTGATCGCGAAATCGCATCATGCATCAGCGACATTGGCATCAACTTCTCCACGGCCGATCTCCAGAAACCCAACCCGCAGCAAATCCAAAAAGTCTTTGAATGGTTCGCCGAGCTGCTCATGAATACCACTCGCGAAACAGTGGCCCCCGCCATGAGAGCTGCTGCTGAGGACATGGTTGGCCCCGACTCTGAGCGCATCTTTACCGCCGACACTCGGGACTTGATGGGTTTCTTCATCATCATGAGGAAGTTGTTGCTCGAGGTAAACACCCCAATACCCCGCAACCTTTCTTTGCACCCGCTAATTCCAGCAGTGCGGCATCAGTGACTTTACCTTCCAAGACCTGTACAAACCCACGCGCGAGCGCCTGGTCAAAATCTTTTCGTACATCATCAACTTTATCCGTTTCCGTGAGTCGCAAACCAGCGTCATTGACGAACACTTCAACAAGTCGGAGCGCACCAAGTTGCGCATCGAACAGCTTTACAACGAGAACCAGGACAAGGAAGCGCATTTGGCCGATCTGGAGCGCAACCGCAAGGCCACCGAAGACAAGATGAGGGCAAAGGAGAAGCGGCAAAAGGAACTCAAGCAGCGTCTGCTGGACCTCAAGATGGGCCAGGAAAAGGTGGTTGAGAAGCTGGAGATGGTCAAGGAGGACCAGCGCCGTCTGAAGGAGCTCCTCGAAAACAAGACCGAAGCGACCATGATTGTGCGCCAGGAAGCCTCCAAGTTACGCCCGTACACGACGCAATCGCCCGCCGTGCTCGAAGCCTCGCTCAAAGACCTCAACGCGAACCTTACCGCCGACAAGGCTGCCATTGAATCCCTTGACAGACGCAGCCGCTCCTTGCAGACTAGCAGTGACACTTTCGGCGCCGTCGCAGCCGATGTGGCAACATGCACGCGACTACTGACTGACCTGGCCGGAGACCTGCAGCGTGAGGAGGAGGAGCTGGCCAAGGCGGCGCGGCACCGCGATGCGCTGAGCGAACGTAGTAACAACGTGCGCGACGTCGAACGCCAAGAGAAGCTGCTCCAGAAGCAATTGAGCAATGTGACTGCGCGGACGGACAAGCTGCGTAAGGGCGCGGAAGACAAGGCCGAGGCGGCGCGGGTGCGCATGGAGGAGCTGAAGGCGGTGCACAAGCGCTTGGCAGAGGAGCGGGGAGAAAAGGGACGGGACATGGAGAGGCGGCGAGTACGGATTGAGCAGACGGAGAAGAAGGTAATTTTTCCTGATGACGTTTTTATTGATCAGAGCTAACTATCCCAGATGGCCGACCTCAAGGAAAACATTGAGAATGAAGTCCACTCGGCGCATGACGAGTACCTGAAGATGGAGAGCCATATCCGGCTGTACATTAAGGAGATGGAGCAGAGCATCTAAATCTTCCTCTTCTTTCTCTCTCTCTCTCTCTCTTTCTCTCTCCACGCACGTGTTACGTCCAGGGTGGTTTCAAGGGTCCCCGGAGCTCGGCGTTATATTAGGAGATACCATTGTCATATTTCTGTCTTCGCTTTTGCACACTGCGCTTCACCTGCCCTGTCGCCTCGCGTCATGGTGCTGGGATTCTGCAATATTCAAATGCTTGCAATTATCAGTCACACCTGCGAACATCCAAGGTCTAGACACGATGAGACATTCACCCGCCAAAAGTTGCCGTGATTCTACACTCGTTGCAACGATGAAGCACCTCCAAACTCAGGGTTTCGTACAACCCAGAACCATGCACGGTGCCCCTCGGCGTCCGCGCGGCAAGGTTTCGAGGGCGTCTCGACTCATGTCTGACCTTAAGCTGTTGAGAATCATGTGTTCTCGGGAAGAGCGGTGGGATGTACATGCTGCGTCGTCGGTATGGAGTGCGTGGAAAAAGTAGAGGTGATAGCAATGAGATATCACTTTGTCCCAGGTGATGTGATAGCTACTACGCTAATGCTGTCCAACCAGCAACGCTCTACTTTGGAGCTTAGTAGTCTACACTAAAGCGCAACTTGCCAGATGTGTACCTATCCAACCTGCCCGCCCAAACCTGAACCGGGATAGCGCGCATAGGCCTAAACTGCACTCCCTCACTACTCACCGATCACAAGCATACCGCATACCCCAATCCGAACAGGCACGCCTCCACCCGCACCTCATTCCATTCTCCCAGAAGCAACGGCGTAGTAACGCGCGCCGCGTCTACGTACATACCCCTCCCTTCGTTCCGCACACCACCAGACCTGTCGGCATCCACATCCATTCTCATCGCGAAATTACGTGAGGTAGCCACGCAGCAGCCAACAGCCAGCCAGCGCCAACCAAAGCAAGCCAACAGCCACGCAGTCAGCCAGCCAGCGGCCAGCCACCCAACGCAACAAGGCCGCTAACACGAGCTCCCGCCCAGGAACCGGGCGCATCGGTGCCAAGACGGTGAGACGGCAGGCTACCCCAGATTGAATTGCGGCGCTTTCCACCATTTCTGCCATCCTTCACCGCCAGGCCCGCTGAGTCCTGACCCGTCGCGAATCATCTGCTGGGTACCGCGGCAACAAGCTCGCTGCCGTCTGCGCATCACATCTTCAATCGCCCGCCATGGCCGCCGTATGTCGTCGCCCCTACAGCACCATGCCTCATACTAACCATACCCCAGCCCATAACCACCGTCGCCGAGAGCAAAGAGCTCAGAGGCCTCAACCTCATCGCAGCGCACTCGCACATTCGCGGCCTAGGCGTCGAGCCTGACACGCTCGAGCCCAAGGCCGCGTCGCAGGGCCTTGTTGGTCAGGAAAAAGCGCGCAAAGCTGCCGCCGTAATACTGCAGATGGTCAAGGACGGCAAGATTGCTGGTAGGGCCGTCTTGATCGCCGGACCGCCCAGCACTGGCAAGACGGCTATTGCCATGGGTATGGCTCAGTCGCTGGGCGCCGACGTGCCGTTCACCATGCTCGCGTCGTCCGAGATCTTCTCGTTGGAAATGTCCAAGACGGAGGCTCTCACTCAGGCTTTCCGCAAGTCCATTGGCGTGAGGATAACCGAAGAGAGCGAGGTGATTGAAGGCGAGGTCGTGGAGATTCAGATTGACAGGAGCGTGACGGGTGTATGTATACCTGGCAGTTTCGCGGGCAGCAACTAACAAAATCGCGGCAGAGCAACAAACAAGGCAAGCTCACGATCAAGACGACCGACATGGAGACGGTCTACGACATGGGCACCAAGATGATTGATTCCATGACCAAGGAAAAGGTCATGGCGGGAGACGTCATCTCCATCGACAAGGCGTCGGGCAAGATCACGAAGCTGGGCCGGTCGTACACGCGTTCGCGCGACTACGATGCCATGGGCGCCGACACCAAGTTTGTACAGTGCCCGGACGGCGAGTTGCAGCAGCGGCGCGAGGTGGTGCACACGGTCAGTCTGCACGAAATCGATGTCATCAACTCGCGCACACAGGGCTTCCTGGCGCTCTTCTCGGGCGACACGGGCGAGATACGGCAAGAGGTGCGGCAGCAGATCAACACCAAGGTGGCCGAGTGGAAAGAGGAGGGCAAGGCGGAGCTGGTTCCGGGCGTGCTGTTCATCGACGAGGTGCACATGCTCGACATTGAGTGCTTCAGCTTCGTCAACCGCGCGCTCGAGGACCAGCTCGCGCCCATCGTCATCATGGCCAGCAACCGCGGCACCACGAAAATCCGCGGCACCGACTACACGAGTCCGCACGGGCTGCCGCTCGACTTCCTCGACCGCGTCGTCATCGTGTCGACGCACGCGTACCAGCCCGACGAGATCCGCCAGATTCTCGCCATCCGCGCCCAGGAGGAGGAGATTGACCTCTCGCCCGACGCGCTGGCCCTCCTCACCAAGGTCGGCCAGGAGACGAACCTCCGCTACGCCAGCAACCTCATCACGACCTCGCACCTGCTGGCGCAGAAGCGCAAGGCGGCCGAAGTCAGCATCGACGACGTCCAGCGCGCGTACCTGCTCTTCTACGACCAGGACCGCAGCGCAAAGGTAATGATCCATTCTCCCTACTACCAACCCCCGCTAACGCATCGTCCGTAGTTTGTCGCAGAGTTTGAAAAACGCCTCATTGGCGGCTCAGGCGCAGTCACGCTGTCTGTGCCCAACGGCGGCGGCGACGACATGGAACTGTCGTAAGGTAGACGCAGCGCGAGCGGCGCGCGATGACGGCGGTGGCGAGCGAGGCAGTGTACGGGACGTGCATGAAGCGGCTGCATTCCAGGCAGCGAAAAAAGACGGTATGGCGTTATGGGGGAAATGAACCGGTACATGGGCTGCGGCGTGCGCGGCCGCGACTAGAGTAGGTGGTGCCTTGCCGTGGCGGAGCGGAGCGGGCGGTCGGGCGGTGGCACTTGTCATGCACGTAGTATGTATGGATTTGGATGTGGAGGTGGCTGAGGTCGTTGTGTTGTTGGTGTTGGTTGCTTTTGCGATCGCTCGTGCTGCGATGCTATGCGGGAAACGATAGTCGCCTGCTATGCCATGCCATGCTATGCCATGTCTGCTGCATGTACGTGTATGTACCTACATGCGGCCGCTGCCGGTGTGGGTTTCTGTCATCTGGTCCCCTACCGTACGCCGAGGTATATATGTACGTACATACATACATATATGCGCGCACGCCGTCCTTTTGTCTGCTTCCCTTCTTTGTTATTTTTCTTTTTTCTTTTTGCTGCCTGCCCGCCTGACCGGTGGGCTGGCTGGCTGCACATCCACATCCACCTCCACACCACAGCATATACGCACACACAGCATGCATACCTACATGCACGCACATACGCACAACCAGCCGCACCCGCTTCCCCGCGCTGCTGTCCTCTGCTCCCCGCTCTCCCCCGCGCGCGCTGTACGTGCATCGTCGATCGGTGCGCGGATTTGCGATCGCGATCGAGATCGAGTATGTAGGTATGCGTGTAGGCAGGCGGTGGGAGAAAGGCGAGTGCTGGCCTATATGCTGGGCCCCTAGAATACATATTGAAGCTGTGTATTGCACACACAAGCAGGCAAGAAAGCAAGAAAGAAAGCAAAGACACAGGTTGAGGCACGCACGTATGGGACGATGTCTACGCCTCTGCTGCTGCTGCTGCTGCTGCTGCTGTTGCTGCTGGTGGCGTGGTTGTGGTTGGGTTGAGGGCTGTTGAGGCGTGAGGTGTGGGTGGGTGGGTGGGCCGGTGGATGGATGGTGGGTGTGCTACTTGCTTTACTTGCTTTACTTTGCCTCTGCGTCCTTTGCTGTCTCTGTGCTTGATGCTCGATGCCGCCACCATCGCCGTCACCGTCACCGTCACCGCCCTCCCATCCCGTCGTCATCACTCACTCACTCATTCTCATCATGCCATGCCTGTGCCCGTGCCCGTGCCTATAGGTGGCGTGTACATCGTACATCCGCTTTACGCTTACATACATCCGCGGCGCGGAGAGGGAGAGGGAGAAGGAAGGAGTATTGGCTTGTATTGCGCGCTAGTGCTGTGCTGTGCTGTGGCTTGCGTGCTTGCGTGCTTGCTTGTGTATGTATGTACGGTACGGCACAGTGCGTGCACGCACTCACTGGAGGGAGGGGGAGGAAGCAGAGATGGGGTGATTGCGGCGGGGGGTGTGGGCTTGTGGTGTGGTGCGGTTGGGGAGCGGTGAGCAGTGGGCAGGAGATGAGAAAGAAGAGGGGAAGCGTAGGAGAAAGTAGGAGAGGACAGGAGAGGGAGCAGACAGTGGATGGGTAGGTGGGTGCAGTGATTACCCAGTGCTTGCGGGTGCAGTGTAGATAGGGTTTTGATCCTCTTCATTTGCCGTCCGTTGTGCTAGCAGTGGCAGTCTCTTTTCTTTCTTTTTGCATGTCGAGTTGAGAAGAAGAGAAGGACGAGAAGGACAAGACAAGATAAACCCACCTACCTCTCCACTCACACCCTCACTCCCCCCCTCACTCACGCACACAAACGCAACCACTCACAAAAAACACATACATGCATTCACCCAACCCCTTGCCCATACCATCCCAACCACCCCAACCATCACCCCCATCCCTCCCAGTTCATGTCTTTAAGCCGTCAATACGTACGTACGACCCTTCTTCCATTCCAATCCATTCTATATGCACCCCCCTTTCTCCATCGTCAATCCATCATCAATCAATCAAGCCATAAATATGATCTCGTCTCCTCTCTCTCTCTCTCTCTCTCTAGGAACCGAAACGGCAAACAACGACGACGACAACAACAGGTAATGGTGCCATAGGGCTGTGAGTGGCGGATAGGAAGCGGGTAGGTAGCCAGGTAGGTAGGGAGGGAGATAGACAGTAGGGTGGGGTAGGCTGGCGCGTCTGGGGGGCTGATCCCTTCCCAGCCCGTGGGGCTGCGAGGTGCTGCCTGCTGAGCTGATGAGGCGGACAGGCAGACAGGCAGGCAGACGAGCGGCCAGATCGAGCAGAGCAAGAAGAGAAGAGAAAAGAGTCGCAGCAACAGCCGCAACTTTGATCTCGTCCTCCCCCCACCCGCACCCCACAAACCCCAACCCAACCCCACAACACACCCCCAAGCCCACCATCTCCCCAACTTCTTCCTTCTAGAACGGGAACCCGCCCGAGAACTGGGCGCCCCTGCCGCGCCCGCCAAACCCACCACCACCCATACCGCCCATACCGCCAAAGCCGCCTCCCATACCCCCGCCCATCATATTGAACAGCATCTCAGGGTCGATCTGGACGCCGCCGCCCATGCCGCCCATGCCGCCGAACCCGCCGCCCATGCCACCGCCCATCATGTCCGAGGGGTCGATGAGGTCTTCGCCGCTGTCGTAGCGCGCGCGCTTCCTGCATGTCTGTTAACATCTCTCCTGCTGCGCACTCGCTCGCTCCTACGTACTGAGAATCGCTCAAGGTCTCGTAGGCCTCGCCAATGTCCTTGAAGCGCTCGGCCGCGGCCTCGTCGCCCTGGTTCTTGTCCGGGTGGTGCACTATGGCCAGCTTGCGGTAGGCCTTTTTGATCTGCGTCTCGTCGGCGTCCTTGTCAACGCCGAGAATCTTGTAGTAGTCCTTGCGCTTGCTCTTCTTGAGCTCCAGCTCCGCGTTGCGAATCTCCTTTTGGATGTTGGGCTCTCCCGGGTTGGCGTCCTTGACGGCGTTGAGCTCGCGCACCGCCTCTTCCCAGTTGCCCATCTCACCCAGCGCCTTGGCCTTTGTCTTGCGCGCCTTGACGTACGTGTTGTCGAGCTCGTATGCGCGAGTGGCATCATCCACGGCCGGCTGGTAGTTCTTGAGCTGTTTGCTGTTAGCACTGGTCTGTCATTCAATACGCCAGTCCCACCTTGATGTTGCAGAGCGCGCGGTTCTGCAGAATCTTCGAGTTGGTGCCCTTGTTCATGGGATCCACCTCCAAAGCCTGCGTGTAAACGTCCACGGCCTCCTGGTACTTTCCGCTCTTGAACAGCGAGTTGCCCTCCTCCTTCATGCGACCCAGCTTCTGCACTGTCCGCAACCACTTGACCGCATCCCTAAAGTCCGGATCGCAGTTCAGCGCTTGACGGAAGTGCGAAATGGCCTTGTCATCGTCGCCCTGCGCGTACAATGCCCGTCCCCGGAGCACCAGCGCCTCGGGGTCCTGGCTGTTGTTCCGCAGCAGCGTCATGGCCTGGCTCAGAGCCTCGCCGAGCGCGTTGGCGTTGCCCATTTTCAGGTACGCCTCGCCCTTCATCAGCCTCCACTTGCGCGGCACGCTCACGCCAGCTCCGAGGCCGCGCTCAGCCGAGTCGAGCGCGTGGATGACCAGCGAACCAGAAGTGCCCGTCCGCAGCTGATCGTCCGCCTGGTTCAAGTGCTGGAGCATGGCCTGAGCGGCCGCCTTGTCCTTGGCGCTCGCCTCTGCCTTGTTGTACACATCAAGGGCATCCTCCGGACGGCCCAGGCTGGTGTAGACGCGCGCTAACCTGTGCTGAATCTTGACATTGTTCGGCTCGAGCTCGTCGGCAACCTTGCAGTCGTCCAAAGCCTCGACGAAGCGATTCGCAGAAATCAGAGCGGCGGCGCGGTTTGACCGGTAGGTGGCGGACTTGGGGTCGGCCTCAATGGCTGGGAAGGGTCAGAAATTTTTTCAAGGCGTGATACAAGTCCAGAGCTGCATGTGCACCACACAAACCGTAGCAAAATCTTACCCTTGGTGTACTCCTTGATGGCCTTGTCGTACTCCTTTGCCTTGAAAAACTTGTTACCGGCGGCCTTGCAGGCCTCGGGGTCGACAGCATCGGCCTGGGGCGGCGGGCTGGTAGGGGTCCTGTGTGGGGGTGGCGGAGGAGCAGCCTTGTCGCCGTTGGTTTCGGCAGAGCCGTTGGCCGGTGCGGGCGAGTCGGCGTCCATGGGGGAGCTGGGCGGCTGCTGTTGATCGCTCATGGCGGACAAGACGGACAGCCTGCGGCGCTCTTCGGGCGGGAGGTTGAGCGGGTGGGTGTTGCGGTCAAAGGTGGAGGAGCGGGAGAAAGACTTCTTGGAGGGCGACGACGAGTCAGGTCGGCGATGACGTTCGGAGCGGTGGTCTTTTGCGCTGGGCTTGCTCCGTCTTTCGGGCAGCGACGTCGACGAGGCCGAGTGTCGCGGCGAGTGATGATGCGTGGGCGAGCGATTCGGGGAAGCAGGCTCAGCCTCGTGGTTGGTCTTCTTCTTGGAAGTTTTTGTGAAAATGCCCTGCAGCACCATCGGGACGGCTCTACTAGTCGAGGGCGGTGGGCGGGACGCTTATTCAGGGCGCACCGGGCTGGCGGGCGTTCTGGCGGCGGAATTCTGAGTAGCTGCGAGGCCTTGGGGTGGGCGAGGCGGTTCGTAGGGCGTTCATGGCGGCTTCGGGAACCTTCCACATGTCAAGCGCCGACTCCAATGCATCCAATCGTAGCCATACAAAATTACTATTACCACTTATTAATCTAGTTACTACAGCCTATCCATCTAGACCATGCTCCGCGCCATGCTCGTCTTCCGCTTCTCTGCAAAATCAAATTCCTCAACCCCCGCCGCCGCCGCAACCGGCTGCAAGCCCGTCGTACAGTTGGGGTCGTTGTTCAGGCGCGTGCCCACCGCCGTGACGGTCAGACGACGACCTAACTCGGTCGACTGCTGCTGCTGCTGCTTCTGCTGCTCCGGCCTCTCCTCCAAACGCAAAACAACCTCGACGGCCTTCTCGTCCTCAATGACCTTGGGGTGACGCTTGGCAAAGTAGCGCGCGTACTTGTACAGCGACCAGTAGCAGCTGGCGACGTTGATGAACGTAAGGACAATCTTGTAGGGCATGTAATAGAAAATCAAAACACTCCATGCGACGCGCTCCTTCTTCAGACGTAGATGAACCTCGTTGAAGATGACAACGTTGATCAGATACAGGACGACGGTGGATGCGAGGAGATAGCCGCAGAAAGAAGGTCTAACGATAAAAGAAATAGGCAGCACAAAAGGCGTAAGAAGATACAAAAGCGTCTCGTAAACCTAAAGATCATTAGTTCATGCACATAATATATCAAGGTATAAGGAACTCACCTCCTGGAACACAAACAGCTTTGCGCCAATCTCCCACCACCCCAGGTTCCAGCTGGTCAGGATATAGGCCATATCGTACCACATGCCGTTGACGAAGAAAAAGTTCCAACGCATGAACCGTTGCTTGAAGATGGTCATCTCACCAAAGCCTCCACGAGACCCGCCACTGCTGAAGAAAACGGCAGGCGGCGTCTCGGTCTCGACAAACACAGAAGTGCACATCTTGATCCGACCACCAAGACGGCGGCAGCTGTGTCCAAAGAACCAATCCTCAGACACGCTGAAGCCAGGGTGGTCATGGAAGGTCTTGATCAAGAACTCACGGTCCCACAACGAGATGGCACCATGAGGGAAGGTGGCGGAACCAATCTTTCCTGCAAGAGCACGCTGCAGGCCAGAAATCTTGTACTCGAGATCCTGTGCCTGTTGGCAAAAGGTTCCCTTGGAAGACTCAGGCCCAACAGACTTGATGGTGTAACCAATGCATTGAACCTTGCCCGTCAACCTGTCACTGACAATGGGAAAGTTGGGTGGCAGAGCGCAGTCATCGTCGATGAGGAGGACATCCTTGAAGCCTTTGGCAGCGTAGGCACCAACAAACTGGGCCACAATCTTCGAGCCAACAGGAGACCAGACATGGTTCACACCATAAGGACGGCAGACCTCCTCGGTGTTGTCGAGTGGCGTCGGAGAATTGCCGTTGGCAATGACGAAAATGTTTTGAGGAGGGAAGATCTTGACGGCAGCCTCTAGCGTTTTGGCAATGAGGCCGGCAGACTTGTAGCAGGGAATCAGAAGAGCAGTGTTGGCCACACCAGGGGTCTGCATCAGGTCATAGCCTTCGGGGTGGTTCGGCATTGGTGGATCCTTTTCGAAAAGGACGAGCAGTGGCGAAAAGGCATACAATGCGGCCAGTCCGATGGTGATAGCATAGCCACCCTCAATGACGAACTTGTTCTGGACCACCCACCACAGCCAGTAGACGGCGCCCTTCCAGAGGGGCAAGCCAACCAGGACCAGGTAGATGAAGATGATGAGAAAGGTATAAAAGGCGTACTCGAACAGGTACTGCACCCACTGCTTTCGTTGCAGCTCAGTTCCTCTTTGCTTGGCCTTCTCGTACACATCGTACATGCTGCTTCGCCGCACATTCTGGACCACCTCTTGTGCCGTCTGCTGCACTGCAGCTGGTATGACGGCCGTTACCACACGGGTGATGGTTCCTCTGCGCTGCAGACCATCCGACCCCTCAGCCTGAGTGGCCTGTGTCTGTACTCGTGCAGCATCAGAGCCAAACTCCGGAGCCGCTGGATCCTTCTCATCATCATACGAAGCAGAAGATTCACTGCTGCTGCCGTGGAAAGAGTAGTTGTTCAGTTGGTCGTAAAGAGAGCTTCTCGAGGTTTCGACCGATTCGGGCCTGTGGGTGGCGGGCTGAGGCTTGGGGCGGAAAGACTCATGGCTGGAGGTACTGCTCAACGACGTAACCTCCCGGCGAGTGGTAGGTTGGCTTGGCCTCCTCTGGGGTTGCGCTCTGGTGGTGCGGTTGTACCATCCGGTGCTGGCTGCACGGAAGAGGTTTGGCCGTAACCGCTGCGTCTGGGCCTGAGCAATGTTCTGCACAGGGCCATCAGCGGCGTAGGTAGAGCTTCCGCGGTGGTCCAAGTTCCAACTGCGTCGGACACTTGCCATGCGGAGAAGATGCTCCGGGATGACGACATCCTCGACAACAGATTGGCCTTGTTGACGGGATCTTGAAACACTGGGTTGATGCTCGAGGGGAGTGGCCCGTGATTGTGCGTGTTGTTGTGACATGGTGTAGTATGAAAGAGTGTTTGAATGCTAGAGAAGTATGGGGTACGGATGGGTTGCACTCTATAATAAAGACTCCAGGAGTAGACTATCGGGACGCAGAATACGGACATAGTGTCTAGACTGTCGACTGCAATGATGTCAAAGAAAATCTCGAGAGGAGCTGAGATTAGCGCTGCCCACATAGGCAGTGACGAAAATGAGAACAAGCCTCCATCGTAGTACTATTACGGAAGCCTAGTGAGATTCTAAAAACATCTACAGCGTAGCATGGGGTAGCGTGCTTTGAGATTACTCTTTTAGGCAGACGGATAGAGAATCGGGTAACCGATGCATCAAAGGCGTACAAGTTCGCGCCTCCCTACGGACCGTGATCGTGGCAAAGAAGCACGACGTTTCACCTAATTGCCTGGCGAAAGAACTGCCGATTAGCTTACCACATCCATCTTACGGCCGCCATAATGGTGCTTCCGCTAATGCCAGGTACACATGTCCGAGCTTCGGAGGCGGCCGTACCTAAGCGGAGAATCGGAAAATAACAATTTTCTTTTTCTCCGCCGAATGATGTAGACAGCGTTGCTCCTAGATCGGAGGGTCCTGGTAGCCTTCCAGCTTAGGGAGAAACTCGGGTCTATAATTAGGCCATTATCGATTACTATCGATTACAATCATATACAATAATCAGGCCATTATACAGCTCCGTGGCTGAGGTACTATAGTCCATCAAGTTAGGATCTTGAAGAAGATACAGTGGGAGATGGGGATCCGGGCAATGGCCGTAGCCAGAGTTGACATCATTGGAGGCAAAGACTCTCTTAGCATGTTCTCGTCTCCCGTTGCCTGTCACTACGCCACAGCGTTAGCGATTGCCGCAAATGTGGATTCGGCAGTCGTAGGGCTCGGAGAAAGACTCGAAATGATTCGGGAGGTTGTCAGCAAGCGTGGTACCAATGTTGCCCATGTACGAGTACGAGATGGCCCAGTCTGGTACTATGGTGTACCAAACTTTTTCAGAGTCTGCAGAATCGAGCCCCAAGTGAGCTTCCATCTGCTCCCGCTAAGCTCTGTTTTGACCAGTGCGCTGCCGGATGCCATCGGTGGCCGACAATTCGTCCGCTAGTCGTCATAGAAGACCCAGACTGCATGTCAGAGGCGTGCTCTTGTTGTTCCAAAGAGAAGAGTATCCTCCTAAACGTCATAGTCCAATCGGCCAGTGAACTGGTGAAACAGCTGCGGGAGTGTTAGCATTCAAACACGTGCCGAAAGTCACCGGCGGTCGTTTGGTGGAGAAGAATTGTCAAGCATCTACCGCCGTTAGTGGACACAGTTTGTGTCCAGATCCCGCTAGTGGCCGGTGAGATTTCTCATGCGAGTGTACCGCACGTATTCCAAGCTCTTGAAAACTGCAACACCAAATCCCCTGAATCACTACCTACAACCATGACTCCTGGCGTTGCTTCCATCGGGGGCTCCAGCGTTGCAGTCAGGTTGACTAGATGGTCTATTTTTGTGTCGTAAATGCACCGCGGCAATAGTCAAGGTAACGTGAAGATGACTGCACAAACACGACATCAGATGGGCTGCACTCGGGTGTTCGTGAGGCTCATGAGCTGAAGAGGATCGACAGGGGCATCTTGTCTGAATCAGTCGGGAGGGTTTGCCATTTTGTTCTCGGCCATGGGGCTTGGGGCCAAGAACTGAAGAACAGGAGACGTTGAGCTCGAGTCGCAATATGAGTCTCGCTAGAGGTCCCAGCGCGGACCGCATGCGCATCCCTGTGTCGGTCGCCGTGTTCGTCATTCGGAACAAACGGCCATGATCCCCAGAGGCAAACACGCATCCTCAAGTTCGAGGAGCATGGACATGGAAACGTGGTTTGCCCTGGGGCATCTCTCCCACGTGACGCTATCGAAGCTCGAGCTGACATAGCTCCCCACCCACCCTCCGTGACCTCCCCCGACCTGCCACGACTCCCGCCACTCTCGAGGACCTCCGCTCCCTCTCCGTATACTGCACTAGCTGCTGCTGCGGATCCAGCTCGTCCTCGTAGCATCGGCACCGCGCAAGCCACGTCAGGTTGAAACTTTGTCGTGGCAGCCTGATCACGCCTTATATACGGGTTCATCGCCGCCCCGTTGCAGTTGCACCGCTGCCGACGAGCTGCGCTCCTCAGGGGCTCCTCAAGCTAGACACAGTTTCTGGGATCACCACCTTCACTACCGGGCCTGGCCGAAGCGAGGACGCCTTGATCCCAAGACCCCGCGCCTCCCGTACCGAGCTACCTCATCCCGCCGTGAAGCCAACCTCCTCTGAATCATACTCCATAACGTGCACCCTCTGCGGTACGTGACAACATTGGAACGCCATCCCCCTTTCCAAACGACGTTGGCAGAGCTCAAGCCCGCGACAAGATGGGCCTAACGTATAACGTCTACCTAAACTCCAACCGCATCTACGGTTGCAAGAACTGCAAAACGCACCTATCGAATCATGACGACATCATCAGTAGGGTTAGTACTCCAAAGCACCCCTTTGCCCTGAAGCGGACTAGCTATTAACTTGTCGACAGAACTTCCGTGGTCAGCATGGCAAGGCATACCTCTTCGACTCGGTCGTCAACGTCACCCAAGGCGAACCTGGCGAGCGCAACATGACAACCGGCAGACACATTGTACGTGACATCCAGTGCAGGCAATGCAAAGAGACGGTCGGCTGGAAATACGACAAGGCATATGAGGGTACGGAGAAATACAAAGAAGGCAAGTACATTCTTGAGGCGGAGCTGCTCTGCACGGTTACCTGAGGTAGCGGTGAAGAGCTGGCGTGGTATACTGTATTTAGACGGAGTTAGTGTTGCATGGAGTTCTGGAGTTCTTCGGGTCAAGTCCTTCAGGTCGAGCTCAGGCGAGTTCAGGCAAGTTCTGGTCGAATCTTCCGGCCATCAGGCGTTGCGATTTGGGCAACGGACAGGGTGGCAACCCAACGGCAACAGTCGCATGGAGTTGAGATGGTGCGCAACTAGCTTGGCTTGTGCTTTTCTGCTTATCAAGCTTCGAATTTCGGATTGCTGAGTCTGTTGCGCTGTGATCTACCGCGCTGCATCATGCGGGGTAACGCAAGTGGGTAATGAGGGGTGCAGCGTCAAGGCGGGACCCATCTCCAGCAATGGCATAACGCAGTCGATGCTCAAGACCGATATAAAAGCCGACATTGTGCTTAGCTTTAATCGCATACACAGATCGTGCATCTCATCTGTCCACCATCCCGATCTGTTCATCTTCCATCATCCCCACCTATCCACCATGCGTGTTGTCGTCTTCAGGCCCCAGTAAGGTTGTCATCGAAGACCTTCCAGTTCTCATTATCAAAGACCTACAGACAATCGTCAGGGTTGAATACACTGCGCTATGTGGTAACGAATTGCACGTGTTTCGAGGCCATCAACCAAGCCCAACAGAGTTCATCATGGGACATAATTTACAGGCATTGTGGAAGAGGTGGCCGAACAGATCAACCGGTCAAGAAAGGGGATTCAATCGTTAGCCCTTTCACCGTCTCTTGGTAGGTCTCCACACCTCCTTGGACAAAGTGCTTCTACCGTAGGGGCGAGACTCATCACGGTGCGAGAAATTCTTCTCTTCGATTCCACCGCACTGGATGGCGCGCAGAGTACGTGCGGGTGCCACTGGCCGATTCCACAGTCGTCAAAGCTCCACCGGAGATAGAAAAGAATGCACTCGTGCTCATGGCCGACATCTTCCCAACCGGCGGCTACTGCAGCAGCCAACGCCTTTCGTCGATGACGCAGGAAGAGATTGCGGGGTCGACGGTGGTGGTGATTGGATGTGGCCCCGTCGGCCTCTGCGCTCTGGTCAATGCGGAGGAGTACAAGCCAAAGCACCTCTTTGCGGTCGACAGCATCCAAAGCCGCTTGGACCTGGCGAAGAGCTTGGGCGCCGAGCCATTGAATTCCCAGACGGATCGAGAGGGGCTACAAAAAATAATCAAGGAGGTGACTCAAGGGCGCAGGGCGGAGGTAGTGATAGAGGTCGTGGGCCTTGAAGCTGGGTTTCGAGGTGCTCCGGCCGTGGGGCTTGATCAGCAATGTCGGCGTGCACAACGGTGAGGTAAGATGACTGGGCATGCGAACCATGGAGTCGCGCGCTAACGGCGATGGATACCCTGACGGAAAAACCTTAGGATCCAGATGCCTGTGCAGACGAGATTGCCACAGGCGAAACAGCATCTACTAGGCTTCATGTGGGACAAGATGATAGGACTGTCTGTTTGATTAGATGAAGACGCAAAGATAGTATTCAATTAAGACCATCCCTTACCGGGGCGGCGGTCTAGATATCATTCCATTTGCCTGACCAAGGGATCGACTGCATCAAGGGCGGTGATGCGGGCGGTTGGCCAGAGGAGGCTTGTGCGAGCCGGGATGGCGGGGACAAGCGAGCGAGCGCGGCCAGAAATGTGCGGCTGCTACAGCACCTTTGTGACTTCTCCACCTCCGCTTCCAGCCGTCACCACACTCTTCGACGACCTGCCTGCCATCGTCCAAGCTCTCTTCCCTCCCCCTCTACTCTCGTCCATCCGCACCCTCTTCCGCTCCTCCTCCCCTCCATCCCCGCGCTATCTCTCACTTCCGCTCCCGCCACAGCCCCGCCGCCACTTCCTTGCGAGAGAGCTCTGTACGTCCTGCTTGCTGCGCCCGTGGCTCTGTCGCAAACGCGTCGCTGACCTGACGCAGCCCTCGCCACCTCGCTCGCCCTCGCAATCCTCCCTCTGCACATCGCTCGAATCAATTGCGACAACTGTGCCGCGCCACCTGTAACTTCCCTTTGACTACTCGGTCCCACCTGTGTCTAGATATCCGCCCGCCATGTCTGCCGAAGAACTCAACGTCGCCACTTCCCCCCAGGACCTCGGCGATGTCCCCCAGCAATTCCAGCGCGTCAGCCTCGGCGACGACGGCGAGCCCATCGCCCGAACCGAGGAGGAGTACGCCCAGACCCAATTGACCTTGAGGGCCATTGTCTCGTCCAAGGAAGCCGGCGTCATCATCGGCAAGGCCGGCCAGAACGTCGCCAACCTGCGCGATGAGACTGGCGTCCGCGCAGGCGTCAGCAAGGTCGTCCCCGGCGTCAACGACCGCGTCCTCACCGTCACCGGCGCGCTCAACGGCATCACCAAGGCCTACCACCTCGTCGCCAAAGGCCTGCTCGAGGGCGCTCCGGCCGTCGGCATGGGTGGCGTGATCAACAACAGCGGCACGCACCGTGAGTTTTGCGATTCCTTGTCCCAGTCCCTACTCTTTGCCCGCATCATTGACGCGTCATTGTGTTCCCTGGTCGCCTGACTGACGCGTGAGCCTCGAATAGCCGTCCGCCTCCTCATCTCCCACAACCAGATGGGCACCATCATCGGCCGCCAGGGTCTGAAGATCAAGCAGATCCAGGACGCCTCGGGCGTGCGCATGGTCGCGCAAAAGGAAATGCTGCCCCAGTCGACGGAGCGTATCGTCGAGATCCAAGGTACACCCGAGGGCATCGAGAAGGCGACCTGGGAGATCGGCAAGTGCCTGATCGACGACCACGAGCGCGGCTACGGCACGGTCCTCTACAACCCTGCCGTCCGAGTCCAAGCCGGCACCGGCCCCATCAGCAACGGCTCCGGCTACGCCGGCGGCAGCCGTTCGTACAACCGCACCGGCCACGGCGCCGACTTCAGCGACGCGCCGCAGCAGTCGTACAACCGTCGCAGCGGCTCCGACGCGGCCAGTCGCCCGCCCATGCCCACCACGACCGAAGACGGCGAGGAGATTCAGACCCAGAACATCAGCATTCCCTCGGACATGGTCGGCTGCATCATCGGCCGTGGCGGCACCAAGATCAGCGAAATCCGCAAGAGTTCGGGCGCCCGCATCTCCATTGCCAAGGCTCCCCACGACGAGACGGGCGAGAGGATGTTCACCATCATGGGCAGCCCGAGCAGCAACGAAAAGGCCCTGTACCTCCTCTACGAGAACCTCGAGGCGGAGAAGATGCGCCGCAGTCAGGCACCCCAAGAATAAGTGGAGTGGCACGACTGTCCCTGTGGTTCCTACTCAGCTGGCTTGCCTAGCCAACCGCGCGCTAGCACGACGAAGATTTTCTCGAGTCGAACCCGACCATCGCCTGCGATCAGCGACTGCCGGTCTCTCCCTCCCACCGATTATACCAAAAGCAATTTCCTTAATGCTGCGACCGGTTCTGTTCTCGACTGATATCCGTCTTGCGAGTTGAGCGGTTACGACTTCATGATTAACGCTTTGATATCCGCACGTCTGTCCCTTGGCGCTGAAAACGCACATGGGGCCGACGTCCGCTTTCAGGCTCGCTGTCATTATCTTTGGCAGAGTCTGCTAAAGAAGTTACCCCACACCTCAGGCACAAATCGACTCTCAGAATCCTCGGACACACCCTTTCCTCAATAGTCTCTTACTCTCAATATCTTCCTTGCCCTGATTACCGACACCGTCCCACTTCCCTCTTCGTTCAGTCGTCTGCAAGGGCTCTCCTCTCTCTCTCCATCAGCCAAGTCAAGCTGTCAACCAACTCGTGGGCCTGTAAATAAAAGAATGCAAGTGGGATCGGAAGCAGTCGTGTGTTTCGGTGACCTGTAATGTGATGTTCGAGTGGCGTTTGCGTGTATAAGAAGCCGTGGTCGCCAAGTGTGCTACTTCCATGACCAGTGCTGATGGCGTTTTCCAGGTTGCTCGACTCGGCAGCGTATGTGACCTCGCATCCTTGTCGCGAATTTGTCGCCTCCGGCTTCCTGCATGAGTGAGTAGAAGCAATTATATTAACTTTGTTTGCACGCCCAACGTGAGATGGAAGGCATACTCGGTGAGAGTCCCATCGCCGTCAACTGACAAACGCCCTGCCCAGCTTTTTACTATCATGCAAAGTCTCATTTTCAATTGGTTGTGGCGGTTTTTTAATTTCTCACTCTCTAATCAAGACACTCCAACCTTCACGTTCCCTCCTTCTGCTCCCTGCACCTTCCACATCTACATGTCCACCTCTCACCCCAACAAAAAATTACACCAAACCCAACCGTGCCTTCACCACCATGCCTCCTCCACCAATAGGCCTCCTCCACGCCAAGCTCGTCTTCATGAGCGAGGACATATGCCCGCCATTCGTCTACACACAGACTCTGCAGCAGTTCCCTGACGCGCTGAGCAAGAGGTGGTTCACTGGGTCCGGGGCCGAAGACGAAATCGACTGTGCCGACCTGCCTGGGCACGATGGTGCAGACGTATTGGTACGACCTGAATCGCCGGCAGAGGTGGCGTTGGCGGCGTCGACTTCGGATACGAGACCGCCTCCGCGACCGCGTGCGGGTGTCGTTGGTTTGACTGGTGGCGATGGGGAGGACAGCGATGAGGATGCTGGCCCAGTGAGGAAGCGTCTACGAATGCAGCAGCCGTCGTCGTCGTCGCGCTCGCTGCAGCGTCAAGGCTTCGCTGGGAGATTGGCTGCTGGTGCGGTCGTAGAGATCTCGGACTCTGAGGACCCTAGCGATTGGGACGAGGAATCTGAACTGTCTCAAGGCAGCGAGAACTACTTTACTGGCGCAGAGTCGTCTTCTTCTTCATCTGGCAGTGACGCTAGCTCGAAATTCGTCGTCTTCGACACTGATGGCTGGATCTTTCGCGAGACGGCCACTCGCGCTGACGCTGTGCGTCGGAGCACTGAACCGCCTGTTCGTGCTGGTAATGGGGTTGAACTCTACAGTACACACTGCACTATGTCCTCCCCTCTCTCTCTCCTTCCATCACCTTACCATCAGGCTTCATATCCCATCCCCCGTGACACTCTAAGCACACCCGCTAACCATGGCACGCCTAGTCAATGACGACGCCAACTCAGTCCTCTTGAAAGCCCTCCGCGCGCACCCAAAACGACAAGCAACGATGTTTGCGACGCACGCGAGGAAGGACGAAGAGCTGACGATGGTGGAGCGGGAAGAGAAGAAGCTGTGGGAGTGGGCAAAGGGGTGGGGAGCACGGGAGGGAGAAGGCAAGGGGCAGGAGATGGGGCGCTCGCCGCTGTGGTTTGTGGTCCGGCGGAGGCTGTGGGAGATGTGGATGGCGGAGAGGCGTGCGCGGGAGGTGTGAGGAAGGATGAATGGGAATAATCCGTTACTCTTTGGAGGACAAGGATTGCTATAGACCAGACTGTGTTTAAGTCGTCAGTTTGGGTCTAAGGAAGTCGACTGCGTTCTCAGCATCAATGATCATGGGATTGTGCCTCAGGCATGTCGTGGTGTCGGTCCATCTCCGCCCGCAGCCCGGGCGGTGAGTGACGTCGCGCGCGAATTCTGCCGGCAATCGGAACTTTTTTTGACCAAGGTATCCGATGCTTACTGAACCACCCAGCGACAAACCATGGCCGGAGCAAGCGACAAGGCGCGATTCTACCTCGAGCAATCGGTGCCCGAGCTGCGCGAGCTCGAGCGCAAGCAGCTCTTCACACGAGTCGGTACCCCCCACGTTGATCCCCGGCCTCGGCATGCCCAAAGCTAACGCGCTTCTCTCGCACACACACAGGACGAGATCACGGCGATTGCGAAGAAGCGCTCGGAGTTTGAGCACGTACTGAACGCGCGCGGCTCGCACCCCTCGGACTACGCGCGCTACGTGACGTACGAGATGAACGTCGAGGCGCTGCGCAAGAAGCGGAGCAAGCGGGTCGGAGTCAAGGCCGGCGGGCACAGCGGGCAGCGCCGCATCTTCTTCATCCTGGAGCGCGCGACGCGCAAGTTCCATGGCGACGTCGGGCTGTGGATGCTGTATATCGAGTTTGCGCGCAAGGAGAAGGCCCGCAAGAAACTCCAGGAGGTGCTGACTGGTGCGCTGCGCATGCATCCGACTAAGCCTGAGCTGTGGATTTATGCGGCTCGCTGGGCGGTCGATGATGAGGCCGATATGACTATGGCTAGGAGCTATATGCAGCGCGGACTGCGCTTCTGCCAGAAGTCGAGACTGCTCTGGCTCGAGTACGCAAAGCTCGAGATGATTTACGTGGCCAAGATCGCGGCGCGCAGATCCATTCTGGGCCTGGACCAGGAGCCGCAAGCCAAGGCGCAGCAGGAGACGCCCGCGGGAGACGACATGGCCGCGGACATGATCGCGCTGCCCGCCATCACAGCCGAAGACATCAATCCTAGCCTGAGCACGGAATCCGCCAGCGCAGGCGACACCGACGACGTGGCCTTGCAGAACCTCGCCGCAACACCGGTCCTCACGGGCGCGATCCCGCGCGCCGTCTTCGACGCCGCCATGGCCGAGTTCGCCCACGACGCCGCGCTGGGCGAGCAGTTCTTCGATCTCTTCGCCGCCTTCACCCTCGCGCCCTGCACGCCCGCCCTCCTCCTCCACGTCGTCAGCGCGCTGCTGAGCGCGGCCCCCGACGCCGTCCCCACCTTGGCCTGCCATTTCCGGCAGCCCGTCTTCGGCGTCTCAGTGTCGTCGCCCGCGTTCCCGCGCGCCCTGGGCGAGAGCCTCGCCCGTGTTAAGGCGGCGCTGCAAGCTGCGGACGTGGCGGCAAGGCCCCTGCTCGCGGAGAAGGCGGTGCTGTTTCTGCTGCCGTTGCTGCGTAGCGAGCGCAGTGAGCGTAATGAGCATAGCGAGGAGCGTGACGAGGGCGAAGGCGAGATGGACCCGGCGCTCCGCAAAGTGGTGCGCGCGTCGCTGCGGCAGTACGTGCGCGCGCTGGAGGGGGAGGAGCAAGTAGCGGGCGTGGTGGACGCGCTCAAGGGCGCCAAGAGGGTGGCGGATGCGCGGGCGCTGGTGGCGCTGGGCGCGAAGCAGTGGCCTGGGAGTGAGAGGTTGTTGCAGGTGCAGGCGGCGCTGGAGTCGTGAGTCGTGATGGCTTGCTTGCTGTCTGCCGTTAGGTGGGTTGGGTGCTGGGCGTCTGGATGGGTATGCTGGCGTTGTTTTGTTTTGGGGGTTTTTTTATATTGTTGTTCTAGGGGGGTTGCTGTTTGCTGTTTGCAGTGCTAAAGTTGCGGAAGATGGAAGAGGACGAGACTGGAGGACGAGACTGGAGGGGGGGGGGCGGGGGGAGGGCGACGTTTATATCAGCTGTTCAGACGAACCGCTCTCTTCCCTTTTTATTCTTTTTACAAAGGACTTCCTTTCCAGGCATAAAAAAATAATCAGAAGCACGAACGCGTACGCATATGTATGTATCATCGAAGACCAGAAAACGAAGATGGAGATGAAGATGGAGACGAAGACTGCGCGCTGCTGTTGTTGCTGTTGTTGCGTTCTGTTCTGTTCACTTCCCTTCCCACGCCAAGCAAGCAAGCAAGCAGGCAGGCAAGCAGGCAGTGAGTGGCGGCCCTGCCTACCCCCGTATCTATCTATCTATCTGTGTGCCTACCTACGTGGCAGGTAAGCGACAGGCGGGACAACGCCCTCTCCCCCTCCCTTCCTCGCTCACTCATCCATACCCCTCCACCATGAACAACATCAAGAACAATACCGTTACCAAAAAAAAAAAAATAAAATAAAATAAAAATAAAAATAAGGTAAGCGACAGGCGGGACAACGCCCTCTCCCCCTCCCTTCCTCGCTCACTCATCCATACCCCTCCACCATGAACAACATCAAGAACAATACCGTTACCAAAAAAAAAAAAATAAAATAAAATAAAAATAAAAATAAAAATAAAAAATAAAAGAGAAAAAAGAAAAAGAAAAAGAAACAGAACCAGACCCAAAAACAGACGCAAACAGCAAAGACGAAGTGCAGGAGAAGTGAAAGCGTCTGTCTATACATAAATAATCACGTACTATATAGCACCAATCTCGCACCTCGCATCTCAAGCAAACAAAAAAACAAGCAAGCAAAACATATATACATGAATCTGTAAACTCCCCCCCCCCCCCCCCCCCCCCCCCCCCCCCCCCCCCCCCCCCCCCCCCCCCCATCCACCCTTCCTCTCCATCAGCTACCTAACTAGCTACAAATAAATACCTAAGTAGATAACTCGTCGTTCATCCTGTTCCGTTCTGTTCCGTTCCGTCTCATATGTATGTATGTCTGAATGTATATCTGAATGTATATGCCGTACCGCACCGTACCGTACCTCACCCATATGTAGCCCCGTCTATACTATACCCATCATCCATCACCCAGCACCACCGCGTCCCTGCTCCTGCCCCTGCCCCACCTCCAGCAGACCAAACTCCGCACCCCCAGCCCCACCCGCACCAGAGCTTCCTCCCCCCCCTCCCCCTCCCCCACCACCAGCACCACCAACCCCCTCACCAGGCACGAGCGCCCCACCCCCCTCGAACCCAAACCCGCCGTACACAGCATGCGCCGCGCCGCCCGCGGCGCCGAAAATGCCCGGGTCGTCGCCCAAGCACGTCGGCGGATCCATATTAAACGGCATGAACCAAGCGGCGCTGGGGTCGTGGAAGAACGTCGAGGGGTGGTGGTGCACCGCGCCCGCACCTCCGGCATTGTTAGGGTTGACGCCCTGCCCGCCACCGCCGCCGTTGTTGTTATTATTGTTGTGCAGGCTGTTGAAGGCGTTGACGTCGAGCGCGAATGGCTCGTTGCGGTCCATGAATGTCGCGTACGACTGCAGCACCATCTGCCGGTCCAGCGCCGACATGGGGTGCTGCAGGGTGCTGAAGTCGGGTGCGGCGGCGAAGTCGCTCGGGTTGTATGCGTGGTGCGACGTCCCGCCTGGCGTGTGCGTGACGAAGCTTTGCGGGTTGAAGGGGTTGCTGGGGTCGAGGGCAGGGTTGGAGAGGTCGAGCGCGTTCATTTGCTGCTGTTGCTGGCTCATTTGCTGTTGCTGGCTCATTTGCTGTTGCTGTTGCTGCTGCTGCTGCATGTGCTGGGCTTGGTTAGAGGACATGTCGGACGCCAGTTGCGCTTGCTGTTTGCCGTCCAGCTGGCCCGAGCCCGCTTTGGCTCTGCTCTTCTTGGTCGCGCGCTTGCCTGATGCTTCGCCTGTCTTTGCGGGCGGGGACAGGCTGGCGAAGAATTCCTCCACGCTTTGGAGGTCCGATTTCTGTCCTAGGACTGCATCCGTTCCCGGCTCTTTCTTGACGTCCGATGCGGGATCTTCAAAGTCTGTGCGTGAGACGCCGTGGGGGTACCTGTCAAACCAGTCGCCGTACTGGAAAATGTTGGCTTGACGACCGTCAGTGGCTGAAGGACCGCGCAGAGCCGCATCCGCGTGCTGTCGGTAAAGGTCTTTTAGGTTTTCGGCAACAAAGTGGAACATCCCCCAGTATTTCTTCATTCTGCTGAGGAACTTGACGTTGTAGGCCAGGTAGCGTTTAGACGTCGTCTCCAGTTTTGGATTCTTGGAAAACACACCCCGGATATGTACGGTGCTGGAGAGGAAGGCAGAGTAGCCGGCGAACGGGACCACGACATTATAGTTCATGGCCTCGTTCACAAGGATAGAAATCTGATCAGCCGCCTCCATCGCCGACCGGGCCGCATCGTCAAGAAACTGGTGAGGCATGTCTGGCGGCGTCCGAGTGCCGGCCGACGAGGGCAGCGCAAAACGGTAGAGAAACAAAACAATCTGGTAGTATACGACGTGAAGGAAAATAAACTGGTTCGCAGTCTTCTCCGTGGCGTGGTTTTGTAGGTTTTCAGGCGTGTAGTGCAGCCATTCCGGGAGTGACGATTTAAACTCATTCACCTGCTCCTTGAGCTGCTGGAAAGTTGAGCTCGACGACCAAATGGGTTCGGCTTCCTGTTCTTTCCCTCCTAAATTGTTGAAGTTTACCAGTCGCCCCCAGATGGACACTGCTCGTACCAGATAAGCTATGACACCCATGTTCTCTTTCGCGTTTGACAGTTGCCCATCGTCTTCGCTTACTGGGTTACGGACGCGGCCTTCGAGGTCCTCTGTAGGGCCGGGTATCTCCATCTGGAAGTAATGTTCTCGTATCGGCAGTTGCACCTGTATGAACTGCCCATTTACAAATAAAGGTCGGTCGGTTCCGGAAGAGTTGAAGCGATCCATAAGAAAACAGGACCACATGGTGCGTCGCCTGATCTCCCTATCGGTGAAGCTTAGCTCGGCCCTATCTCCCTTCTCTTTCCCTAGCGGATCGTGTTCGAGGTCTTTGTGTAATTGCAAGGCATATGCCATCCTCTGCGCCATGCCTCCAAACATCCAGCTGCGGCCACCTTGACAAGTGCCGAATTCATGCAACCCCAAAATAAGGTAAGTGATGAGTATGGTAATGTTTGGGATATCAAATCGCTTCAGCGCAATGTCTCTTGCTTTGCTGGCCCAGTTTTCGCCTCTCAGGAAAGCCGGTTCCGTGCGGACCTGCGGATGTGTCGAGAACCGAGCGGATATGGCGCAGACTGCGAGAACCAAGACTGGCGGTACCTGTCCCGCGTTCAATCTACGCATGAAGCTAGGCTTGTGGAGCAGCGGATAGCTTTGTCCGTAAACATAATCAAAATATACCTCCGCAAGGTGTTCCTGAATCTCCCTTGATGGCAAGCTCTCGGATCCTTCATTGAGAAGACTATTCTCCTCGGCCTCGGGTTTGGATTGACCTGGGGGTGCTGGTCCATTCGGGTTTGTCGCCTTTGATTTTGACCACTCATCCAATTCCGCGCCAAAGGCTTCCTCGGCCGGACGCTTTTTCCCTGGAGTTCTCGGAGGTGGACCTGGAAGTTGGGGCTTCACGACTGCCCTTCCTACCGAAGCGACAGACGCAAGACTCTCCTTCGGTATCAACTTGATGACGCGTTCCTCCATTCTCTTAAGTCGTTTGTCTAGCATCGCCATGTAATCTGTCCTAGGAGCAGCCTTACGCGTGGTGACCTTGTACACGCAAGGTATTCTCGAACGCAAGCAATGCTTGCAGGCCGGCTTTTCTCCAGAACATCGGATTTTTTTCCGCCTACACGCAATACAGGCAAGCGGCAACCGTTTCCGCTCCTTGCCGGCTTTGGTCTTCATCTCGCTCCATGGTGGTGGCGGACCTCCCTTGTCGTCCCTTCTGGCTCTGGAATTCTCGTCGCCGGTCTTGTCCGTGACGGACGCTTCGCCTGCGACACTCATGTTCGTCGAGCCATCGTCTCGTCCAAAGTCATCTCCAAAACCCGAAGGCCCCATTCCGTATCCACTCTGAGGACTGGTGTCCGTATCCATGCCATCGACGCTCCCGGCGCTCGGAATCGCGCCATTCTGGTTGTAAGCGCCAAGATTGCTCATGCTGAGGTTGTGCGATTGCCCGTTGGAGGCAGAGTTCTGGCCGTCCGGGCCTCTAGCGTAAGGCGCATGATTCAGCGACGCATCCGCATTGGTAGGGAGGCCGTGCGGCATGTTCATATTGTTGTAGTCGGCAAAGCCGGGTATGATCGGCGACCCGGAATTGGAGACGGTCGAGGGCGACTGCGCCGCGTGCAAAAGGGCGTCGAGGCGCGGGTTGCGGCCATCGGGCATGACGTACTCGTTGAGGTTCAGAGGGTCGTTTTGGTGGTGGCTGTCGACTTCAGATTTGCCGTAGCTGCTCAAGTTCTGGTAGTTTGACGCCATTGTGGTCGTCGGGCGGCGTGGTACATCCCCACGCGCGCAAAGTGCGGCGCAAAGAGGCTGGCAGGGTCGCGCAGCGGATGGAACAGGCGGGCGAGCTGTGGCTGCTGCAGAGGATCGGGTTGGGCTCCCTTAGCTCATTGTTGTTGTGCGCGCGGGAGCTCGGCCGACGAGCGTCGGATGGGGTCAGGCCGGGCGGAGTTGGGCCTTGCTCACAGGGGTTGGAACAGGAGTTGCGCTGGCTCAGGCTGGCGATGGCAGTGCGAGGAGGGCCTGAAGGGTCCAAACATCAGCCGGCGTCAAGGTGTGGAGATATAGTTCGGACGGGGCGCAGAGAGGCGAAATGGTGTGCGGGCAATGCGAGCTGCGGGCCGTTGACGCAAGAGCGCCAGACGCGAGTCGTGAGCGAGCGAACCTTACAGGGTCATATCAGCGACTCTGGGAGCTTGCAATAAGGCGAGAGTTTCGAAGCTCTGCTAGTGGTTAGAGTTGGGGAACGCGTCACTAGACGACCGCTCTTCTCTGAGATCCGAAGGGGATCCTCTTCTCCCCACATGCCTGACTAATAAGCCTTGTCCAGAACCGACGACCACGCCAGCCTTTCGGGGAGCTGTCGACGGGTAGCCACGTTCCCGGCTTTCCCCGCTGCATCCACCATCGGCGTCACGCTGTGCTGTTCCTGTGCGGGGGAGCGAGCGTTGTACCGACAAGTCCGAGAGGCTCGAGAGCTGAGACGCGAGCGAGATCGCCCGCCCCGTCGACTGCTTAATCGCACGGCGGGCGAATCGCAGCAACTGTACCTGTACTTTCCTCCACACTGCAATAAACTAATCAATCGTCGTCCAACTTTAAGCTTCCTCGTGTCTTGGCGTTAGTGCATCCTTCCGCCGAGGTGGAGAAGGTCAAGTTATCCGAGCCCGACAGGGGACGCTTAGATGCATCCACATCCTCGCGAAATGCCTTAGCGAGCGAGGTAAATCACACCTCCGTGGGGCCCGGAAATAATCTGCTCACTACTCCTGCCAATAGTCATGTCTGCAGTGTTATGGACATAGGTACTCAGACCTACAGGACATGTCAAACATAATTCAATCCAAGTCATAATCGAATATGGCCAACGACTACTGCCAAATGTTGTTTGGCTACACCGGTCGGGACCTGTCCAACCACGCCTCAATGTCAACAATAAAGGGTATCTAGCGCAAGGGAATACAAATGCGGACCTATACACCAACCGTCCCGCCTCCAAAGTCCAAACCCCTCAGACAAAACTCAACTCGTCCTCGCTGTCAGCGTCGTCGAATCCAAATGACGCGCTCAGGCTCGGCTTGGCCACTGCGGGCTGTGCCCTCGTCCGTGGACCCACGCCGCCCCGGCTTTTCGGGGGCCGTCCCCTGTTTCTGTTTCTGTTTCCTTTTTCTCTGCGCGTGTTTGTCGAGACCAATGGCGCCTGGGAACCTTTTCTCCCGGATCCGCTCGGCCGCACACCCCTTGTAGAAGGTGCTGGAACGGAGTCCTGGGAAAAAGAAAGTTCATCTTCCTCATCCTCGTCTGCGTCAATGTCCGATGGCTCAGTGTTAGAGCTCTCTGCGTCGTCTGCATCGCTGTCGGACGTTGCATCCGCGTCGTTTGAATGCTGAAACGGAGAGGCGCTGCTGCTTGATGGCACGCTGCGTGGGCCGGATATTGACCGCGTCCGCGGCTTTGCAATGCATTGTCGCTTGCGCTGCGACACTTTCCGCTGCACATGGGATACCGCCAGTTTATTTGGAACCTGCACGAACGGCGAGTCCGCTGCCAGTACGTCCGGCGTTGCATTGGCAAGCACCATCTGACTAAGGGTCGTGCGAGGTCTTATGGGTGTCATCTCCGACGCTCTTATGGGACTTGATGGCAACATGTCTTCTCTAGAATAGCGATATGGGGAAGAATCCGTCGTGCCGTCGTTTTGTGCTGATGATAGCAGAGTCGGAGAGGGCGATTCTGGTAGCACAAGGTGCCCCTGCGACTGTGTAGGCTGTTTCTTCTCACGCAGCACATTAGGTGTGATGGCGACCCATTCGGAGATGCTTGCTTCCCATCTGTAGCCTAAGGGCTGTTCGTCTTCTGAGAAAGCGTCGTGTCCGGTACTGGTCTTCTTGAATGGGGTCGGCGCGGACTGAAAAGCTGGGCTGGCTTCCATAAACTCTTCGATTTCGCGAACAAAGGCAAGATGTGCTACGTTTCGTGAGTCTCATAAACCCCGTGAACCTCTTCTCCGGGTCAATACATACCTGGAAAACTCGACTGTTCGGCATGCTCAAAAGCAATATCCAGCGCCAATCTCTTCATAAACCACTGCGCATGCGGTGAGATCGTATCCGCAGAGAGATCTCCATCATCTGAAGCTCCAGTCTGAGGAGACGTGAGGGAGTACACGAGCAATTTGAGATAGTCGAACCCATCATCTCTGAATGCCTTGCCGCAACACTTTGCAAGCGCAGAGACAAAGGACGGCAATACCACCAGCGCTTGAGCTGATGATTTACCCACGGCTTCCAGTGCGCGCACATTCTTCGCGAGATTGAGTTCAGCGATGTGCTGACCGAGTTGGTTTCCGGTAACCTGCAGTAGCAGGTTGGCCGTCAAAATATAAGCCAGCCTTACATTTACCATACCGGACCTAATTTTGAGTCTTTTAGAGAACAAGTTGGAGGTGAGGTCGGCAACAACACATGTAAAAGCCCGATGTACGACCTGGGCATCAGGCGAAACTTGGTCGCCAGAATTCAAAGCCAAGTCTTTCGAGACAAGGACTATAGATGCCACAATAGTGGATAAGCTGGAAATGGTGTTGCTAAGCGCGTTCCGCAAGCTCGGTGCTGTATAGTTCTCCTCGTCATCCTTGTATGAGCCAAGACATTCATCCGGGACCTTGCCACAGGAAAGAAGAAAAACTGTTTGCAGCAAGCTTACAGCATCCGCGTGGGCTGGATCTTGGAGTTGTGATACTGATCGGATAATTCTGTTCCAAACTGGCATGAATGCTTGAGTGGCCAGCCATTCGATGGGTAGGCAAGATGAAGTCAGCATCCCCCGAACATGTCGATAGAAGAACCCCCATCTGTTCCACTGTTCTGCAAACGCATACAATGCTGAAATGGCCGGGTTGATCGGCTCACTGTAACCGAATAATTCTGTTGCGACGCCCATCGGTTGCGGAACACTGTCGAAGACGAAGAGCCAAGCAGACAACATTTCTTCTGCCTCATCAAAAGCCTGATTTTGGATACAGGCTTTAATAAGGACATTGACAGTCTCACCGGTTATGATTTGATTGGCGATTGCGTCAGCCACGAGTGCAACGCCATGCGCCCGGACAATTTCCCGCAGAGGCCTCCAACCATTTCCCGTTCCCATGGACTCCAGTTCTTGGTATATGCCATCTGCCACTTCTATCTTGTCTGGGTTGTCCTGATCTTGCCAATATTGTTCCAACTGGATATATGTGGGAATCTGTTTTAAGCATGCCGACATCAAAGTCCTTGTGCCCGAGTGAGAATTGGACCCTGGCTTTCGCGTCGATTGGAGAAGATAGTTGAAACTTTGTATCAACTGAGGGATCTGCCTCCACAATTCGGACGTCATTTCTTTGCGCTGGTTGAGAGCGGCCAATCCCAGATGCTTGGCCAGAGGGTTCTTTCGCTGCTTCGGCTCCTCTCGAAAGGGATTCTTGTCGCGGACTTGCGGAGAACGCCACGGGCTTCCAAAATTTGGCTGCGCATGCCGCGCTATCAATGGCGTAGGGATCGAAATCTCTCCAGGTCGGGTAGTTCCTCCAACTTTCTTCTGACTTGGCTGTGCGGTGCTCTTTGCGGGTCGGCCGGAGTACTGGCGCTTGATGTTCCTCCTTGCTGTAGGTACCGGGACCCAATCCGGGTCATGAGGGCGTCTCCAGGCCGAAACACTGTCTTCTTGCTCGACCTCGGCTTCATCCTTTCCAATTGCGCTCTGCGTTGCTGACACCGACACCTTGGAGGGTGCCGTCCCTAACTCCACATTCTTGCCATATAATCCTTTCTTCAGAGCTGTGATCCGGGCCTGGAGGGGTCTCAGCAGACGATTGCATCGGGCGGTCGTCCAAGGTAACGGGTCATCGTCTAATGCTGCATTCTTATCCATGCTCATAACTGTTGCTTCATTAGCAATGTCCTGGCAGCACCGAATGAATTATGCTGCGATATACCATGCTGAACCATACAATGTAGTGGGGAAGAAGATGTTGTTTTGTTGACAGCCGTCGCATCGGCGTGGTGTTGCCAAAACAATGCGAGTCACGTCGGCAAACGAGTATGATTCGTGCGGAAAGCTAGCCCGGAATTTGTCGATTATCTCCGTGCTGTGGCGTCTCTTCGAAGACGTCACAGCTACTTGCCATAGCACCAATAGGAAGGCATAAATCAAATAGAATTGATCCAATTTTTCCCATGTCCTGAACAAATGAGAGCGCAATCTACGATTCTCTGAAAGCTATGTACCAATCCGTATCTATTTGTAGACGGATTGCATTGTTCACACCGCAACAAAGGACAAACCGCGCTCCTGACACCTAATGTACGAAAAGTAGTAAACCAGAGCATCTTGTGTAGTAAACCATATCTAGCTATGCGTGCTATGCTTGCTTCGTTCAATGCACCAAGTTGCGCATATAACAAACAAACGATTGCCACGCAACCCATGTAAACGCCGCGCCATGCACGTATATCTTCCGTCCAAGTCTAATTCGCCAATCACCACAAAACACTTACAACTCCTTCTTCGGCTCTGCAGCAGCGGCGGCCTTAGAATTCTCCTTGGCCTTCTTCTCGCGGCGTGAAATAAGACCCTCAGCGCCAATGCCGCCGAAAACAAGGCCAACGCCCAGCCACTGCATGCCACGGATGCTGTGGCCGAACCACAGAACCGACAGCACCATCGTCAGCATCTTGCGCGTCACTGTCACCGTGACAAGCAGAAGCGAAGAGAAGTGTGCAAGAGTGTAGACTGCGCTGTGTTAGCCTTATTCGTGATTGGTTGAATTGAATGGGAAAGAAAAAAGAAGCAAACAAAAAATAAAAACATACAGATAAAGACTTGACCCACGGCGCCGCACGCCGCGAATGACAGTACGTCCCAGCCGACCTGCGGGTAGCGCGTAACAAAGGCGAGAGCCTCGTTCAGCTCGCCACTGTCAGCGGGCATTCCGAGCCAGGCACCGACCGCCGTCTGCGCGATAAATGGTTGGACGAGCAGATACGAGGTCGTCAGCAGGGTGGACATGATGTTCTGGGCGCACATCATCTGAGGGCCAGTAAAAGGCTTAAAGGCCGTAAAAATGTGGTCCTGGGTGGAGTTGGTGAGGCCGTCGAAGAGCAGGTTGATTCCGAGCAAGACGAGGCCCCACGTCGTATTGCCGCCGGCGACATGCTTGCCACTCTTCTTGGCCGTCGAGGGGTGATGCAGCGTGAAGACGGCAACGCCGAGCGTCACCAACGCCACCACGGCGTACTTGTACAATGGGTAACGCTTGCGGAACACGGTCAAATGCAGGAACATGACGGGGAGTAGCTTGCAGCTCTTGGCCAGGATGAAAGTCATGTAGTCGATGTACTTGAGACTGGCGTAGCCGAACGGGCTGGCCAGACTCGAAGTCACGGCCACCAGGCCCAACGGGAATAGGATGCGCGCCGAGGGGAAGATGGCGGGGACGGGCAGGCCCCGCGGCGCCGACAGACGCAGGTATGCGTAGCCCGTCAGGGCAGCAAAAGCCGACTGTATCGTATTGAGGAAGATGGAGTAGGTGAAGGTTTCAGGCGATGCGGGAGGGCCGTATCGCGTCGTCGTGATGCGCTCCTGCAGAAGCGCCCAAGAAAGACTGCGAGAGATTGTGTCAGGAGGTCGGTCTACATGCGCGCGCATTGCGCCAAAGGAGCGGTCCTGCCTTACAAGGATGCGTATATACCTCCGACGCAGACGACCAGCTCGGCGAGACCGGCCTGCTTCTGCGCAGGGGCTGGTGCTGCGGGCGCCTTCGCAGCGCCGTTTGCCTTGGCGGCGCCATTCGCGAGGTCGCCATTTGCGCGCTTCTGGTGACGTGCCATGGTCGCGAGCGGCGGCAGGGGTGTGTCGTGGGGTGTGCGACTGCTACGGGAGCGCAAAAGCCGAGGGAAAGAAAGGAGCGTCGAGTCCGAGGGAGCGATGGTGGATGTAAGGAACGTTGGGGGCCGGAAGGCTACAGGAGTGACTGCATGGTCATATATACCGGGCGAAGGAAATACGGACGGATTATGCTGGTGGTGAAATGTGGCATCAAGTGGCAGCCAAGCTTCCGCCGATCGGTCGGTCCCTCGAAAGCCACCCGCCGGCCGATTTAGCCTCCGCCCCAGCGCCCCCACGGTGCCCTGATGCTCACTCACTCATCTCGTGCGCCTCAATGCGGGTCTTGTCGAGCTTCGCGGTCCAAACGGCCGCCCAGTTCAATTCCTACTGCTACTTTTACCCATGCGATTCCCAATTCCCAACTCCGTCACCTCTTTCCCCGTGTCCATGCAAAATCGCCACTCCCCGCCATGTCCTTCACCCCACCAGCGCTCGTAACGTCGTAGCTTGGAGCAAGCGATGCAAGGACAGCCAAATGGCAACTAAACAACCAAGCCAAGCGACGAAAAATGCCAAAAAGAAAAACCAAAACCAAAACCAGAGCAGAAAGTATGCGCTAACAACCAAAGGACAAATCCGGAAAAATGGCTTTGCCCCGAAAAAGAGAGATAGAGAGAGTATTAATAAGTTCCCATACGGTAGAGGGATACTGTTGCGGATATAAATCAAAAACCGAAAACCAGGAGAAATGAGAGAAGAGAAACGAAAAAACCTCCCCGAAAGCCGACTGGTTCATCCACATCCCAGCCGAGTAGACAGATGGTAGTGTGAACATCTACAATCGTTTAGACCGCGTTCGGCCAGCCTCCGAATCCCCCCTTCCCCGCAGACCGCGGTATTCCAACTAGGTCATTGTCCGAGGAGGAGGGCCATTTACTGCGCGGTGTTGAGCCGGCGCTGGAGCTTGCCGTGTCCATGGACTCGGCGCCCGGCCCAAACGGGTACCTTGAAGGCGGCTCCTGGTGCATCGGGCCGGCGCTACTCGGGTGTGGGGCTTTCTGCTGCCTGGGCGACGGGTTGGAGCCGGCGCGATTGCGAACTTGATTAGACGTCTCGCGGCGCCGTTTCGGGCCATCCTTGACTTTGGGGTGGGTGTGACACTGCGAGATGGGTTAGTTCCAATTCCGAAAAAGTAGCCGGGATTAGGAATCCAGCGCCGGCGTCTTACCTTGTAGGCGTGCCTGAACCACGTCGTCCCCTTCTTTTTGCTGCTAACCAGCGGTATCCACTCCGCACAGCTGCCGCAGAGGCCTTCCCACACATCAAGGTTTCCTTCGGTGCGGCGAGTCTCTTGCGGCCCTTGGAAAGCCGCGCCAGTTGCCGCGCTCACACCGTGAGTGAAAGATTTGTCATACCAGAATGCGCTGTTCTTCAGGACGAGCCAGCGGCCGGGCTTGCACAGACCGCACCAACCCTCGCGCTTGTTACCATGGCCTCTGACCCATTTCGGCGTGTACAAGTCGCCGGCGAAGCGCAGGTCCTGCTCCTTCGGCACCATATCGGGGTCCGAGGGGTTCATGTCCTCCTCAGGGGGGTCGCAAGGCTCCTCGTGCAGGGAAGAGTAGAGGTCCGGGGGATCGGCGAAGTCGGCAAAATGCGCGGAGCAGCCCGGATGTTGGTGGTCGTTGCTTTGAAGGAGGCGGTACATGCCCTGGGACGGGACCGGGCGCGGCACTTCCAGCGAATACGGCCTTTCGGGGGAAGGAAAGTACGAGACGGCGTTGGACTGCATTTGCGGCTGCGGGGAAAGCATGTACTGCGACTGGGTCGGGTGGCTGGTCATAGTGTTGGTCGGGTAGGCCGGGAGTGAGTGGTGGGGGTTGAGCTGCTGTCCGTAGGTCATAAACCTGTCCTGGGCCTGGTGGACTGAGTGAGCGGGTGCGGGCGCGGGAGTGGACGTCGGCGCGACGCCCGTCGACCAGCGCTTGTACCGGTTGCTGTCCAGCGTGTAAGGGGACGTCCGCGAGTTGTTGTAGGAGTGATGGGACGCAGGGCCAGGAGAGTTCCGCGAGCGGCTGCCGGATCTGTTGTGGTCTTGCTTGCCAGGCGAAGTCAGAGGGGACAGGAGGTGCGTCTGCGTGTCTAGGCCGCTCCAGTCGTAGTCGGATGCAGCATAAGAAACGGTCTCTGACTCGGACAGATCCTCGTAGGTCGACATGTCTGGCATGAGGCCGCTGTTAGGCATGGGGCCGACGTTGTCAGAGTACCTGCGGGTCGAGTCTTGCATGTAGTTGCCCATGCCACCGTACTGCCTCAAGTCGATAATGGGCGAGTCTTCGTCATGGCTCATCAGGCCGGGGTTGAAGTCGGGCATGTCTGGGTCCACGTTAGGGAAGTCCATTTCACCGCAGAGCTTTTGACACCAAGAGTCTGTGGAGGGCGTCAGGCAACATATCAGCACGGAGGCGGGGTGCTTACTCGAGTACATGGCGGGAACGGAGTAGTAGTCACTCGATCCAGACGTGTTTTGCCAGTTGTACTCGGGATACATCTGGCCCGGGCCAAGCTGGGTCGAGGGGCAGGCTGGCGCACTAGCGCTGGGGCGAGTCGGAGAGGCAGTGGCGGCAGTCATATCGGTTTGTGCCACCGACCACGTGCTGGCAGGCTGCTGGGTGGGCGTCGTCGAGTGCTGGAGGTATTGTGGCTGCGAAGTGTTCGGTTGCACAGGCAGGGTGCCGTAGGGATACATCATCTGTGCCTCATGCCGGGCTGGTTTCTGTACGAATATGTAGGGGGGGCTAGGAGCCGGGTGAGATCTTTATACAACGTCAGTCAAAAGGCGGCTCAAGATGACAGGCTCCGGGGGACAACGTGGGCTCGGGGAGGCGGAACGTACTGGGGAGTTGTGTTATTGAATTCCATTTTTAGGCCCGTGGGTCTCAGCGGTAGACGCTTGCCTTGAAGACTATTTGTGCACGCCAGTCAGACCAGATTCGGCAGTGCATGAGGGCAGCCAGCCATGCGGGGAGACGTGCGCGACGGTGACGCCGAGCAGCCGCAACGGGCCATGCAAGGGGTGGGAAAAGGAACGTACGTTGGCCAAGCTGTCTTCGTGGTTGGCCGGCTGGTAGTGGGATTGGCGCGGCGGCGGGGTACAGGGTTAAAAGAATGTACAGAGTAAGCACCGTCTCGCTGCCTGCGCGAAGAAGGATAAACGAATGTGAGGAAAGGGCGAGATGCAAAAGAGCGACAAGGGCCAAAGTAGGGTCAGCGGCAGTTAGCGGGCACACAAGACTATGTATATGGGCAAAAACCATTGCGCCGGATGGGATGACATTTCGGGACGAAGCGAGCCAGCGCCAGGACCACGATGGGTTTGAGGTTCTCAAAAACGGGAGACGGCTTGGCAGCAGAGATAGGGAACCCACTGTAGCAAGAGCCGAGCTCGCCGTCGAGAGTGGTACCCTTGCCCTGCCGCGAGGTACTGAATATACTCGAGGCGAGAGCACCTGCGCCGCCCTCCGCAAGGGGTCGCCGCCGAAACGCAACCCGAAACGGGGAGGGTTTCATGTCGATGTCTCAATCGAGCGTTCGGAGAATATGGATGAAGTCGGGCTTAGGCCGCGACGGGCCACGGCCGCGATGAAACTTGACAGCTTCCAAGCGAGCGTTCCCCTGTCCATCATCAGCCGCCTCGGCCACCTCCACCACCACTATGTCCGCCAGCATCATCATCATCGAGTACCTACTCCGTACTTTGCTTACTTACCATGCACGCTGACGCCACTGCTCGACACCATGCCCGGTTAAGGTAGGTAGTGTATCAACACCACCACCAACCACTACTACCTACCACACATTAAATCCCGGCACTAGCCATGTGCTGCCGCTGCCACCTGGATCGCGGCCACTACGGCCACCCCCGCCGCCGCCGCCGCCGCCTCCTCCTCCTCCGCCTCCGCTGGTGCCACCCCCCCGCCGCGCCGGAGTCGTTGAGCAGCAGGAGCGGCAAAGGGTTGCATGCGCCACCACACGTAACGGTCTCTTGCGTGCGCGACTGCGAGACCCGTTTGATCGCCGTGGAGCCTGTTCGAGAGTGGGATGAGGGACCCTCGCTCGGGCAGCTCCACCATGAAGAAACACGAGGCGGCGTCGATCACGCCGGCTCAACCGCGGCTAGCCCGTCACGCTTTGCCGGAAGCCGGCGTGGGGTTGATCATCGCGCCAACTGCAAGTCACTCCCGGCCGTCGACACCACCTCTCGCGCATACCAACGGCTCCCAGATCTCGCGCGCCCCAACGCATGATCCTGCTAGTCCCTCTGCCATGCCCCTTCTGGCGCCCTCTGCAGAGCCTGCGTACCGCCCGTACAACACCAACCCGCCCCCCTTCTAGAACTCCTCCACGATCGCCTCCCGCCATGGCTCCCGCCCCGGCCCGTGGTTGGCCCTGCGCACCCATGTATCTAGTGCTCGCTCCTCGTCTATCTGGCTTACGGGCGCGCCATCACAGATCGCCCGTGAGCTGAGCTGATGCCGCCTGCACGATGAGCTTGTTGCGGCAAGCGGGGAATTCCCCTAGCTTTGCGTCAAGCCTGCAGTCGTGCCCGGATTCCTGCTTTTGGACGTGGCCAATGAGCGCCTGACCGTCTCTCAGGATTCTTTTCTGCCTCTCGACCAGGATCATCTCACTTGAGTCCCTGCATCGCCCGTGGACAGGTGATCTGGCTCTTGGCCGGCGTGCCAGAATGCTTGTCAGCTCGGGAGAAACAGTTTCTGGTGCCTCTGCAGCGTCACAGTGCCTGCTCGCCACATCGGCGATGCGGGCCTGCCATTGCTCCAGATGACATCTCGTATGCGTCTGGCCAGCTGGCCGAGGATCCTGACCGCCGCGGTGGCCAGGGGTACACAAGGCCAACGGAATTTCTGGCCATGTTGCTCACAAAGTATCCATGTCGCCCACGAAGTATCGTTTGCTGATCCACCCATCAGCCCTACTATTCGTGAGAAAATAGGTACAACTGTGTACACCGAGCTCACCGCCACCAAACGTTTGGCAAATCATGAAATGCCCTCGGCCAAGGGAGCGCGATAAGGACGCGCGTCTGACATGGCCTGACGGCATCAGCTGGAGCAGTCGTTGACCACGATAATCTAAAAGACGTCGACTGTATTGCCAGACCCACAACTCGTGCAGCGGACTTGCAACTACTATCGGCTCCCTATCGAGGACCGATGCGGCCAATCAATTTTTCCTTGCATCGAGACTGCGGGGAGCCGCAAACACTGCGGGCGCAAGGCACACCTCAAGAATGACTTCTCCCTCGCTTCCACGCCGGGAGCCGCATGTCAATAGCCGTAGCAATGCTGAAGAAGTAACACAGATCGTGAAGATAATCGATCAGCCATGGACGGCCAATTGACGACGGCAAGCCGCGTACGCATGATGAAAAACCACTGGGAAATTCCTTGCCAACAGAACCATTGCGACGGCGCATGACCAATCTTGCTGGAAGCCGCTCGTTCTATCAATCAGAGATGCGAGAGCGAGCCGCCAAGGGTCAGGATTAGTGGAGAGCGAGAATGTAGGCAAATGTCGAAACGCATGCATGAGGAAGTTCAATTGCCTTGTCAGACAGACACTGGACGAAATATTGATCATGGCATCTTCCGCATGCATTTGAGGTAGGTTTTTTCTTGCCCGAGTACCAGATTGGCCAATGGCAACAATACATGCTCCAAGCAATTTACCGGGTTACATGGCACGACAGACGGAGCGCTGCACCGCGGCCGTTTCTTGGTGGTCACCTACAGCAGGGCTGCCGGTACTGCACCCCATGACGGGACGACGCGCACCTACAGCCGAGTACAAATGCTTGTACATACCACCGACCCAAAGAAAAAATATGCTAAAGTCGGCGCCTTCTCCGCCTCTTCTGCCCTACATCATGCAGGCCGGCCCAGAGTTAAAACCCGCAGCCCACGGCGCGAATCTTGGCCGCCTCTGCCTCTGCAAACATTTTCTGCTCGTGCGACAACGCCACCCTGCAACTGTCACCGGGCTCGAGGGAAAAAGAAAAAAGAGATGGTCCAGCCCTACTGCGTGGATGACGGAGCCGAGCCAAGCAGGTCCGGACAAGAGGGGCAGAGGTGGTCACGCTGGCGGATGCCTCAACGTCAGGCATCAACGGCGCCGAGACGGGGCTTGCGCATCTGTCTGGCGGTTCTAGTCGCGGGCCTATCTGCATCGATCGTTCATCTGCTGACGGGTCAGTGGTACCGCGCGCGGGAGGATTCGCGCCAGGAAGCTCGTTGGTTGCGCAGGCACGACGCGAGTGGACTGATGGAAGCGCGCCAAGCGCCGCTGCGTACGCCCGTAGGGTGCAGATGGAGAGAAGGAGTGGAAGAAAGGTCGGGATCAGGCAAAAAGAGACGATGTCAGACGCGCAGGCAGGCAGCGCGCGCGCAAAGAATGCGCAATCGGCGGCGCGGCGGCGGAAAGTCCCGGTCCCGGCGCAATTTCCACAGCCTCACTCACGCGCTGCTAGGCGGCCCCGAGGCCATGCACACAGTGGCACGCCCCGCCGTTTGATTGCCCGATGCGTCTTGGCCTGCCCCGCGCAGGGGGCTGGAGTCTGAGCGCTCGTTACGGAAGCCTAAATCGAGACTCGCGACATCGACTCCCCCACGTGCCAGCTACTCCATAAGCAGAAAGGAAGAGCTTTTCTGGATCCTAAACCTGATACACGGACGAACCGCCTCTTGTCTGGACAGCGCCTGTCGCTCGCAGCACTGCCAACCAGCACCGCCTATCGTCGTCGTCCGCCTGACCTCGCCGGTGCACCAGTTGCTCGCAGTGACGCCTGCTGTTGCTCGCTCGCCCTGCTTAGCCCAGGCCTGCAATTGGTTTCCGCCTCTCGTTATGGGCACCGTTTGTTGTGGCTCGCGGCGGCGCTGTTGTCTCAGTTTAGCTGGCTGGCGTTGTCTAGACTGCGTCTGTCGCTTACAGAGGCACCACGAAGTAACGGTGACGGCGAAGGAATGCTACGAACGACGTCTACGAATGATGTCTAGTGACTGACGGTAGGGTAGATATACTAATACTAATAATGATCCGCAGACCTCCGCGATACTCGACGCTGCGTATGGCAGTTCAATGCATGGGATAGCAAGACGCTGTTGCAGCGATGAGGTCCTACTTTATTGCTATCTCAATTAGATCTTTATCTACCATAGTTTTCCAGGGTCGGTTAACCACTCACAGATACTTATTAGTCATGGCAAAATTCCGAGCACTTGGTCGTTATGCAAAAGGAAAACATTCTAGTCCCAAAACTTGTCAAGATTTTCCATAGCTTAGATGCATCTTGTCATGCAAATTAATTTATCGCGAGTTGCGTGCTCGATATACTAGCCACTATTAAAAGCGAATGGTCTACCTAGTCAGGCCAATCAACCAGGGCAGATGTCATGTCGCGTGGCGCGTCCTCTTAGGCGCGTTGACGCGATTCGACGAACCCAAGCCTCCGTAGCCCGTAGCCTGGTACCCGCGGCGCTAACCGCAATCGGCCTAGCCCACCGACCACCGTTATCTAATCCGTAGCGGCGCGCAAAAAGCCCGAGATAATTTTTCGAACAGGCCTAAGGTACCTAGCCCGGGCTCAACACGACGACGCAGCAGACAACACTTCACGCCAGACGACACGCAGACACAGCCCGCCTGCCACCATGGTCGCCGCCGTCGCTCCCGCCCGCCGCAAGGCACCCCAGCCGTCGACGACAACGTCAACATCATCGAAGAAGAGCGTGCTGCCCACGGGCGGCAAGCGGCCGCAGGCCGTCACGAGCGCCAATGGCAGCAACAAGCGAGCGAAGCAGCAGCAGCCTGACGAGTCGCGCGCCGTCGTCGCCCATCGCGACGTCGACATGGCCGACGCAGACGTAGTGGAGATCTCGAGCGGCGAGGAGGAGGAGAGCGAGCTCGAGGAGTCCGAGGAGGAGGAAGAGGCAAACGAGAAGGAAAACCAACGGCCGGCCGGCGCAGCAAACGACGTCGACATGGCGGACGGAGAAGAGGCGGGCTCGGGAGCGGGTGAGGCGCCGTCGTTCGGGGAGCAGCTGCAAGCGAACGCGCCCGAGGTCGTGGACGTGGAAGCGGAGTTTGCGGACGCGAGCGAGGGGGCGCGTGAGGCGCGAGGAGCGCTGGCGCCCGTCGTGGGCGGGGGCAACCGGGCTCTGAGCGCGCCGTCGGCGACGTCGCTGGGGACGGTGCTGACGCAGGCGCTCAAGACCAACGACCGCGAGCTGCTGGAGTCGTGCTTTGAGATGAACGACTTGGACAGCGTGCGCTCGACGATTGAGCGGCTGCCGTCGACGCTCGTGGCCAACCTGCTGCGCCGCCTCGCCGAGCGCCTGCACAAGCGGCCCGGCCGCGCCGGCAACATCATGGTGTGGATCCAGTGGGCGCTGGTCTCGCACGGTGGCTACCTTGCCGGCCGCCAGGACATTATGCGCGAGCTGGGCAGCCTGAACCGCGTCATCAAGGAGCGGGCGAGCGGGCTGCAGCCCCTGCTCACGCTCAAGGGCAAGCTGGACATGCTGTCTGCGCAGCTGGAGCTGCGACGCAGCATGCAGCGCACGGCGACAATGGACGACGACGAGGACGAGGACGGCGTCATCTACGTCGAGGGGCAAGAGTCGGAGTCGGAAGACGAAGACAACGGCAGCGTCGCCAACGGCGGGGCCGTCAAGCGCCTCAAGGCCCCTCTCGACAACGACCTCGACGACGGCATCGAGAGCAGCGCCGACGAGGACAACGCCATGAACTTCAACGCCGAGGGCGAGGATGACGACGCCGACTCCGACGACAGCGACGCCGAAGGCGGCATGCTGGACGACGAGGCCGACGAGACGGACAACGATTCCGGCGACGACGAGGAGTCGGAGAACGATCTCGAGGAGGTCGACGACGACGGGGAGGACGTGTCTGGCAGCGATGCGCTCGAGACGCCGCGGCCGACGAAGCGCTCGACGGCGGCGCAGCGGATGGGCTTTGGGAGCGGGAGACGGCGTTGAGTGGGGGAGTGATGTGTGTGCATGCACTACTTTGCTCTGCCTAGGTGCTCTTTCTTTCGTTTTACAAAATTTGCGGCTTCGTCATTCATCAAGGAGGGGGGCAGGGGGTCATTGGTCGCGGCTTCTCTCAGGTGCTGTTCACTCATATCTCATGGACATCGCGCGCGCGGGTCGGGTGCCTACGTACTACCTACTTACTACCTACCTATACCCACCACGCAACCTGCACCCAGCAATCCATCCCGAGGTCCGCCAGACGACACCTCCCCACCTTCATCCACCAAAAAGCGGGCATCGTCGTCAACATCATCATCAATACATCATCATTGCGGGGTCAGTTCTTCAGCTCGATGTCACCGCCGCCGTTACCACTATCATCGGCGTCTAGACACTGTCATGTGCTTGGCATGGATAGACGGGAGGGTGGAGGCGATGTCATGCAAGCTACCTACACCTACGGCGTTTCCTAGGACGGGAAATGGAGTTTTTGCTTTTGCTTTTGTTTCTGTTCTTGCTTTGCTGGGTTGGGTTTGGGATAATGGGCTGTTGTTGGGTGCGTGCGCGAGGATGAGGAAGGGAGGGAGTGAGGGCGAGGGTGCGTGAGGGACTGAAGGGGTAGATACGGTAGGCTGGATTGAGCCGGGCTGGTGGGGCTAGGTAGGCAGAACGAATGCATGCATGGATGGGTGGCTGTCATGTTCATTTGCATGTATGCATGCATGTATGTATGTGTACTATGCTGTGTTGCATTGTGTACTCCGTATGTGTGCCCCCACGTCCGAACGAAAGCAAAGAAAGCGAATACAACTACCTACCTATCCTGAGTTAACTACGCCGTCGTTTTGCTACTGCTACTACCGCTACTGCTGCTGCTACTGTTGTTACTGCTGCTACTGCTGATAGTAGTAGTAGTGCCCGCAACTACATCTTCATGCTTTATAATTTACGTATATAAACGTGTATACGTGTGCGTGCGTGTGTGTGTGCGTGCGTGTGTGTGTGTGTGTGTGCAATCTACAACTAGAAGGAAAGGCAAATTATTTAGGAGGGGTATAAAGTAAATACAACAATAACAACAACAACGAAGAAGAAGAAACGCCCTAGCCCGCTACGCTACGTAAGCAGGGAACAGAACAGAACAGAACAGAACGCAAACAGAAACGGAAGGAATTAACCTACTACGTGTAGGAGTATGCACGGCTGCTTTTGCTTCTGTTTCTGCTTCTGGTGTAGAGGAAGAGAGGGGGGGGAGGAGGAGAGGGCAGGGTTTATTGTGTCTTGGCGTATACAGTAGGTATGCATTCCGCACTCTACGTTCCACACACACGAACCACGCAACCTCAAACTCAACCGCACCTTCTGCCTTCTCCACCTCTTCCCTACCTCCAATATACACCCCCCCCCCCCCCCCCCCCCCCCCCCCCCCCCCCCCCCCCCCCCACCCCCCCCCCCCCCCCCCCCCCCACCACCACACACACACACCTACATAGCTAGTATACTCATCTCTTCTTTTTTTATTTATTTTTATTTTTTATTTTTTATTTTTCATTCTTTCTTCATAGTGCTAGCAGATAGGTAGACAGGCAGGTAGGTAAGGTAGGCAGACGAGCAGGCGAGGAAGAGGAGAGAGGAAAAGACGGAAAGAGCAGGAGAGGCAAGAGGGAGGTATACGCTACGCTACACAATACTCACACTCACCCAGAACAAGCAGCGCAAACAGACAAACAACCAAACAATGTCGCCAACGAACGCAGTCAGTCAGAATATAGAAGCAGCATTGACAACCCTGTCCCATCCCATCCCATCCATCCAATTCACTACCCAACCCATTCCGTCCGTCCGTCCATCCGTCCATTCCGTCCATCAGCCAGCCAATTTACAAATCCAAGAAAAACACCATTTAACACCCCCCTCCCAAATCACCCTAACCAACCACCCACCCCAGCCCCCCAACCACCCTCCCCGCCTCCGCCGCGCCCATCGCATCGACCCTTAAAGCGCGGACCTGGCTCCCCCTTCTCAGCCGCTGCAAGCCCAGCGCGACTTTCCAGCCCTCGCTCGCGTCGACCAGGAAGACGTAGCGCTTGCCCTCCGGATCGCGGATCGACGCGCGGAGGAGCTGGAGCTTCTGCTTCGCGTTTGCACCCATGCCACTGCCACTCCCACTATTACTCCCCCCGCCACCCCTCCCCGCCGAGCCCGCCTTATTGCCCATGACGGGCGTGGCGAGCACCTCGGCCGTCTCGACCAGCTTCAGCGTCCAAGCCTTGACGTCCCACTCGCGCTGCGCCACGCCGCGCACATCGTCGTCGATGAACAGGCCCTCGCTCGTGAGCTTCAGCACCAGCCCGTCCGTCAGCGGCCCCGTGCCCGCCACCAGCGTGGCGACGGGCTTGGGGAACAGGTTCGTGAACAGGTACACTCCCTTGATGACGATCTTGTCCGGGTCGGTCGTGAAGTAGGGGCCGCGGATGGCGGTGGGGACGGCGGTGCTGGCGCTCGTGGCCGAGGAGGCGTATGAGGAGGGGGACGTCCATGCTGAGGACGAGGTCGTGCTGCTGGAGGGCGTGGCGCTCGCGGCTGTCGACTCGGAGTACACGGACGCGGAGGCCGAGGTGCGCGCGCGCGCTATGTTCGGCTTGTCGTACGGCCTGTAACCCGCAGTCGAGGGCTCTTTATCATTCGGCGGGGTGCGCGGGACAGCTGATTTCGTCGGGCTCGCAGACCTTGGTCCCGCCGGCGTCGCGGGCGGTTGAACGTTCGGGATGCCGCTCTCGCTCGCCGCGCGCCGTTCGGCGGCCTGGCGGGCCAGCCGCTCCGCCCGCTCCCGGTCCGCCCGCTCCCGCGCGGCCTTCAACCGCTCCGCGCGCTCCTTCTCCGCCTTCTCCCTTGCGGCTTTCGCTTCGGCTTCTGCGCGCTCCCGCGCCGCCAGCGCGTCTGCCTCGGCCTTCGCCGCCGCCTTGGCCCGTTCTTCCAGCTCCACCCGCTCGCGGATTTCCTTTTCCAGCCGCGCGCGCTCCGCCGCCTCCCTTGCCGCTTTCTCTTTGGCTTCGCGCTCGCGTGCTTCCCTCTCCCGTGCGATCCGCTCCCGCGCCGCCTTCTCCCTGGCCTCGCGCTCGCGGGCTTCACGCTCCCGTGCCCGCTGCCGCTCCCACTGCTCCTTCTCGGCCTGGGCGCGCGCCACGCGCTCCGCCTCTTCCTTACGGCGCAGCTCCTCTTCCTTCTTGCGCTGCTCCTCTGCGGCCCTTGCCCGTTCCTCCGCAGCCCGCTGCCGTGCCTCCTCCGCCGCGCGCCGCTCCTCGGCCGCCTTCTGCCGCGCCGCCTCTGCTGCCCGCCGCTCCTCCTCGGCCTTGCGCCGGTCTTCCTCGGCCCGCCGCCGTGCCTCCGCCGTTGCTGCTTCGGCGCGGGCGCGCGCGCGTGCTTCTTCCTCCCGTGCTCGTGCTGCTTCTGCCGCTTTGCGGGCGGCTTCTTCGCGCTGTCGGGCCGACGCTTCTTCGCGCGCGCGGTTCGCCTCGTCCTCGGCTGCTGCGTCCTCTTCTTGTGTGGGCCCGCTGCCGCCGCCGCCGCGGGTATACGCGCCCCCGTTCCAGGAATGCTGCTGCTGCTGGTGACCTGCACCGGCGTTGGGGTTGGAGCGGAAGCCGGCGTTGGCACTACCGCCGCCGCGGGGGAAGCCGTTGGCGTGGGCGCCTGCGCCGCTGCCGCCGCCTGCCGCACCACCCGCACCCGCGCCGGCGCCAGCACCACCGCCCTCCGACTGCGTTTTCCCAAAGGCCCAGCCAGCGACGCCCACGACGGCCAGGAGCACAGCGACGCCGCCGCCGCCGCTGGACGACAGGCCGGCGACCCACTGCTTGAGGGTGGGCTGGACGATGGACCAGACGAGGACGGTGAGCAGGGTCGACGCGGCGCCGGCGAGGAACGAGTTGCGGTGGCATTGCAGCGAGGGGAGGTAGAGGAAGCCGCCGCCGGCGCTGTGGGGCGGGATGATGAAGATGTCGTAGTTGCCGTCGGGGAGGCCCGAGGACTTTTTGCCGCCGTTGGTGCTGGACTCGTCGTCGGCGCCGCTGGCGGTCGTCTTGGGGTTTGCGCCGTGGGGGGGCGGGGGCGGGGGAGGGGGCGCGTCCATGGTTTTTGGTGGTGCTGTGGGTGCGGATGGGTGCTAGGTAGGTAGGTAGGTAGGTAGGTAGGTTGTGGT